GGAGGCGTGGTTGCGGCACAGGCCAGATTCTTCATCCCGTTTATCGCGCCATGAACTGCCATCTCCCATCGGCACCGAGCCGCTAGTGTAAAGTGGTGTGCATAGATAGATCTTGAGACTGGAGGGGGAACATGTCATCGGCCGGGGGGCCCAATGATATCACATCGCGCAGATTCGGCTTTTGTTCTCACACCTCGCAGAATGCGGATAACTATGTAGACCTGATAAAAAAAAAACAAATTATGCCCATTGTCTGGCTCCAAGGCAATGTAACTCTCGCATCTGTGTGTGGGGTGTCCATCTTTATCCACGGGATCTAACCTGCAGAAATATATGTATGGTCGGGCTATGAACCACCTGGGGGAACCAGTTCTAGTACGTTGCAGACGAAAGGCCCCTAGGCAGATAGGTAGGTTCGATCGCCTTGTACTACGGTAAGATCGAGGTGGTCCGGTCCTATCACTGACATGGCGAGTGAGTTCGGTTGCCCACGATATTTGCTCAAGAACTTGTCAGACACTGGGGCCCCCCCCCCCTTTCTTTTTCGTCACCCGGGATTGCGGGTGTTTACACGGTCCATGGAATGGCATTTGGGACAATGCCAAGTGTGCATGATAAGGATGCAGAGATGTGCAGTAAACACAAGAACTGGCCTGGTGATTATCGAGGGCCGAAAGCGGCCGGATGGCGCTTGATTAGCATCATCGAGGGTGGAGATTCCAAACATCTCATCAGAAAGCGGTGCTCATAGTGGGTGATCGCCATCGTGCTTTTGGAGCTAAAGAGAGCTACTGTACTGTGTATGTATATGCGTAAGTATGCATATAGTAAGCCTTTCTCTTTTCTCTCCCATAGTAAATATTCATAATTCACTTTTTTTTTCCCCTTTTGGGGTTTAGTTGAAGATATCTACTATTGGAGGGAGGCGGAGAATACAGCCAAAGGAAATGTCTCCATCTTGACATCTGGAATAAAAAAAAACAGATGAACCCATCGATATTCTTCCGGATGCGCCTGCGTCAAAGCGTACTGCCGTGTATGCAGGTAAAGTAATATGTCCCGAGGCCTCTCAAGGTTCATGAAGATGGGGCAGTGTGATGTGCAACTCAAGCAAAAAAGACGTAAGCGAAAAAAAAAAAAAAGGAAGAAAAAAAAAAGTGAGGACCGCCGCCTGTCAGGGGAGATGTACCAATGTATCTAGATCCGGGGATACCATGCTGCCCATCACTGATCAGTGATCATGGATGCCCTTTCCTGTGAGTACGGTACCTTGGGAAAGGCGGGCTTGGATAAAGTGGATCGTCGAGGTCCTTTTAGGAAAGGCATGTCTGTGACTTGACTCAAGGAATTTCCTTTTTGGACCAAAATCTGTCAAAGTCTCAGGGGAGTCGAGCGAATTTGGGTACGTCTCCACAGGATAATATGTCATCATTTATACAGTAATTATATAACTCAGAGCACGGCCTCAAAGAGACCACGAGTTCTTGTGACTGAGTAGGTAGGTATGAGGGTTTAGCATCGGCATATTCTTTTTAGTCTCTTCGTCAGATCCAGGACTTTATTATAATGTAGCTTAAAATAGTTATTCTGAGTCTGTGATTAGATCAGTTCCGATGACATATTGAAGCCAAACGACATGTACGGATAGTAGGTATCGGCATCAATGATATTCATTGATAAGCCCAAGGGAGTGGGAGAAGGCTTAACTTGGCTGCTTGGGTAATTTCTACTCCACATACATAGGTCGTAGTTACATCATGAAAGTCTTAGACAACTGGTACATTGAGGCTTTGCTTCTTCTTCTTTTGGTGAGGTGTGGTATTACGGCAAGAACGGAGATGTGAGGTGAGGGTTTCCAGGTTATTAAGAAACTTGGCATAGAGCAGTGCGTTACCAATTACCCGTCTGAAGTTACCTATCTATGGCACATATACCTAGGTAGTATATATAGGTAAGGAAGGTGTCAGTAAATAGGTGGCTGTAAATTCACAGCCATACATACTCTGTGCTAAGCCTTTAATTATAAAGTTGTCGGAAATATTCAAATGATCGAAAAAGAAGCCCGATAAGATGATCGTGGAAACTAGTTCAAGAGTGAGTACGATGTGGCCATCATTTCTTGCTCTTACACATCATGATAACGACTTATACTACTACTATTATACATACATTATGTATAGCCATGAATACACATTGTATGTGGCTGCCAACACTTTGAGTGGCTACATGCAGCGTACAGTAGTATCTACTGTGTTAGACCCGCAAAACTAAGAGATTCAATGTTCAATTGAAGTCGAGAGAAAAAAAGGTCGAGCCAATTAGCTGGCTTGGCAAGCATCAGCCCTCACTCTCCAGGTACCACTCCTCATCAGATGTTGTTAGGTACCTGAAAAGATGGAAGTGCAGGCCCCCTTTCAGTACATTTGTGTGTACCTAACCTGGTACTCTCCCTTCCATTCTCAGCACTGAGCACGCCCTGTGGCTCTGCTTCTCCACGATTGCTCACACAATTCTGTCGGTCGTAATCTGAAGGGATGAGATCAGAGGAGTGATCAAGAGGAGTTTCTCCTTCAGACAAGGAATTTGCGCCTTGCTTTGGTCCCCAGGTCTTCTAATTGCTCCTCCTCCCAATGCTCCCATGCTCTTACACCCCCCACATTAGAGCAAAGAGGTTTACGGGATATGCCTTCACACTAGACCCGTGACAAACACTCGGGTCTTCCACGTCCACCTACGCCTTTCTGACATGCCTTCCCTTTTAACACTATACAGATCTCTAATTTTACCTTCCTAGTGCGATAGATATGTACTACGGAGACAAGGGAAGCCAAGACAGGGGCCAGCCTACATACATAGTACTCAGGCACCTCGTTTTAGCTTGACGGAATTCTCAAAACTCCAATACGTACCTACTTACTTTTCCACACACACACACACACACACACGATACATTTTTCGCAGTTGAATGCGACGTGCTGTAGACCTCTCAAGGACTTGAAGTTTTTCCCGCTTCCTCCTCTCTTCCTCAACACTGCTTGCCTAGTTGCCTTCACTCTTACTAAGTTAGTCTAGCCATGTAGGGGTTTTCGGAGCTGGGAAGAATATGAAAAAAATGGTGCAGGCAGTCGGTGAGGGCCTTTCGTTCTCGCTCTCGCTCAAAGTCCGTCCTCCATGTACATTTTAGTCCGTACCCATACACCTACATCTAGGTAGGTACATACTTGTCGAAATGGCTCCAGTGACGCGCAGCAAGGAAAAACCACATGCACTCTCCCTCTACATACATGTATCCCTCTGTTAACCCCCAGCCCCCAGCCCCCATCCACCTCTGGGCTTCTGGGCTACAACGCCACTTCAGGGGCCCTCTCCCCCTTCGGGATTCAATTGTGCGAAACAGAAGAACTCGAACGCTCGATCTATATTGTGTGTATGTATGTCATGGTATGTGGTGCCTGGTACAGAAATACTTGGTGGGTTTGGGTGATGTGAGTGTGAATGCACGGTATTGTGTATTCAAATGTTGTACTTTACACTACATACAGCCCTGAAAATGTACTGTCCAGTACAAAACATACATATGGCAATGGCATGGCCCCGATAGCACCCAACCCGCCTAGGCCCGCTATAGCTAGCAGCCAAGTCAGCACTTGGCCAGCGCTACCCTGCTTATAACCAAATCAAATCAAATCCATTCAATCCAAAATGAATGTTAACTAACTTTAACTAACTTAGATAAAAGTATGTATTGTACCTAACTACCCAGGCACCAACCTAGTACCTAGTCTACCCAGCCTACCCAGCCTACCTAGCCTACCTAGCCTACCTAGCAATACACTAAGACTAAGATCTGATGAATAAACACATGGGAAGTGGATACATATGGGAAGTAAGGCACGATACCTGGTACATATCATTCAATGATACATGTATGTAACGGTATGTACCGCTGGTCCGTTCAAGTTGTGTACATAGTTATATGTAGGTACTACTAATCATTAATAGTACGCACGGTACCTACATTCACCATAGTGCCTGCTGACTTCTGAGTAGTGAACCTACCTACTAATATCATCCATGATTGATCTATGTAACTAGTAGGCAGGTATTATCTATGTAAGCTGGTAAGCTGGTAAGTCAAAGTTTGTATTACATCCATTGAATGTTATTACCAGGGGGGTAACGTGGTCGTCGTGGAGGAGGAAGGAACTGGATTGGGAGTAAACTGACAGTAACTGAAAGTAACTAGGAGTACTACTGGGGTCACTGAGGAAGTAGTAAAGTACCCTGATTGATGTACTGAATGTACTGGATGTACATCCAAGTACCCTGTCGCCGACCAGTGTCACCCGTCTTTCGTTCAACTACTCAAATGTTCAAATCCTCGCTCACCTCCACCCAATTTCATCGTAGTACCGCGGAAGTACCTACACACCTCCCGGTTCGCTGGTCGTGCAAGGCCCATACGAAGACCCACTGCCTTACCTTCACAACCACTGACTTTGACTCTTTTAACTCTTTTAACCCTCTGAACCTCTCTTAACTACATGTACACGCCCACCCCCCTCCTCTTCTCCCTTCCCGCTCTCTAGCAACTCCTGTATTGTTTTTTGTTCCATCCTAACCCTGCTTGTCTCTAGTTAAGAGAGAAATTAGGAGGTTCAATGTGAGCTCTTGTCTCACTTCGACTTGGTTACTTCTCATCTAACCTACTACCTTTGGCCTTTGGCTTCCGCCTTCCTGGCTTCTTCCGCTTGGCTGGGCTGGCTGCTTGCTTTGCTACTACTTGCTTGTTGTTAGCTTGTTAGCTTGTTAGCTTGTTCTTGCTCTTATACCGCCGAAGCCCCCTTCAACTTACTCGGACTCTTGTTCCTTGTGTGTTCGGCTATACCTTAGTTCACCACCACGTTCGTTCCTTCGTTCTTCAGAAATCTCTCTGAGACTGGCTCTTGTCCAGGCATCTGACCTTCAGTCCTTCCTTCTAGCAAAATTTCATCAAAAACAAAACCCGCAACACGGCTGGAGTTTATATATACACTACTACTCGCCAGTGGGATAATCACAACAGCCTTGCCTTACGCCCTAATATCAAATATCGATTTGCTAAAAAGAACAAAAAAATTCATCAAGATATCGTCTGGTCCTTCTTAGGCACTAACGTTCAGCCTCGACTATACGTCAACAAGCCTAAAAGCTTCTAGCCACCAAACTTTACAAATTTCAAATATACCTGAAACATATAAACACATAGGTATCCCCGGACAACCTGGTTGGCTATTTTAATAGCTAGGAAGATGAACATGCATTATCACTCTCAGTCAAGCTATGCCCCTTCGGCATATAACTATCCGCCAAGCAGCAACATGCAATATTCGCAAAACCCTTACAATGGTTATGCTGGGTTTGGTGGTATCCAGTATATGTACGGATATCAACAGCCTCGCAGCCATAACCATATGTTAGCCGATCAATGTTCCTTGGCGGACTCTAAGACGGAATCTAAGCCGCGGCTATCTAAGGAAGAGGTTGAGAGACTTGAACATGTGTTCAAGGAGAACCCGAAACCGTCAAGTGTTGCGAAGGGTCAACTTGCAGAGGGGTTGGGCCTCGAGCGACCGAGAATTAACGTAATTTATGCATACCCTTCTTCTCATGTATAATGCTAACTTATACGGGTAGAATTGGTTTCAAAATCGGCGCGCGAAGGCTAAGCAAGAACGAAAGCAGAAGGAATATGAGGCGCGGAGGAGAGCAGAGAAGGCTTCTTCGGAGCCGACGTCACCTGACGATGAAACTCCATCGAGCGGAGCTTCAGAGAATGGTGGAGAGAGCGCACGCCAGCACAAGCAACCTTCTTCCGCTCTCTTCCCTAACATCGACTCCAAAGAAGACCTCGACGACGGTTCACCGGCCTCCGACGACCACGACTCGCCTCTCGCACAGGATGATGCTAACACCGTCAAGGGTCAGACTTCAAGTGATCTTCAATCTCCCCTGACACTTGATTTCACGCAACCGGAATTGTCCGATTTCACCGAATCAGACTACCTCTGTAGACCTATGGATGACTTTGGCTCTTACATCCCTTCGCAGCATGGTATGGGGCATAATGGCCCAGATGAGCAGCCGGCCAACTTGAACAGCAGTAGCGCGCCCTCCCCTGACGAGCAGTGCACCACGGGCGGACATTACGAACGTCGGTACTCAGCGATGGATGCGGACTTTTTGGTAAACTCAACAACGTCGCCATACATACAATCACAGACGGCTTTTAGCACCCCGATGATGACTGGAAATCGTTTGGAAACGCTCTCGATCCCTAACGAGTGCGCCAACACGCCGGTATCGGGTCATCCCGGAATGTCAGCCACCGCCGATTCTTTCAGGTCGCCTCCTCCTCCCGCGAACATTGCTTCCAGGCGCAACATTCCTCGACCGGCCACCATCCAGACTGGTACAATGAGAAGCCGGTCGTACAATCTTGGTGGTGGGCCCAAGACTGCAGTTGATGGGTCAAGGAGAGTGGATTCATCGAGCCCGGTTGCTTCAATACGACGAATTGTCTCGACCGCCGGAATGCACGCAAGAATTCAAAAGTCGACTGCGACACAGCGATCACCTATGGTCTTCAACCGCAATCCCGAGGCTCTACTGCACTACCACGCCCGTTCACCAGTGGGCGCCGTCGCAGCAACGTTTCCGGGGGCAGCACCCCCTACTCCGAACACGCCAGCCGTTCTCGAACAACAAGGTATCCGGGAACCTACAGTATCCTCCACTAGCTCCGATGATGCTCCGTATTTCTTTAACGGCCTCTCTTCTGGTATGATGCCGGAAATCAAGGTTGATTCAAACCTGAAAACGCCACCGAGCACCCCAGGCCTCCTGACGCAGTTCAATAATGCCAACTACCCTTCAAACCCGTATACTGCTACCACTGTAGATTATCCTACCGACCAGCCAATAATGACCCCATTCTTTCAATCTGAGTTTAATGATTTCAGCATCCGGGGTTTACCTGTCTATACTGAGGCGAACGATGGAAGTCTCCCTTCGACGCCACTATACCCCAACATGTTTGGTGCCATGCAGGACCAAAGCCTGTATGCTCATGGGTCAACGGGGAACACACAGTTTGATTGGGATGCCAACGAATCAGTCAACTCATCGAAATCCTCTCCTAACCAACCGAGGTCGAAGCAAATTCAATTTACCCAGAACATGACGCCTCAAGACTACAACAGTCACCAAGAGAGATGAATAGTTGTGGAAGCTGGACTACATCTTCGAGCCAGTTAGCTTCACCAAGAACACCCCCTTGTACAGGATAGTGCGATAAAAGCCTTTGATACCCAGTTCTTGGAGTTGTTGGACTTGCTCGGCCGGCCCTATTAAGGATCGCTTGTATCAATATTTATTGTCATTTATTACCGGATCTTTTTCAGACTTCTCGCATTGGCATTCACTCGACGGGCGATACGATACGTCCTAGTATATGTCAATCCTTTCAAGGCGATCGACTCGACCAAAATTAAGCTTTTCTTAATGTTATGAACCACGGATAATGCGCTGGGATCGGATTGGCAAAATAAGTGATACCCCTGGATGGAAAGGGGAACTGACCGGAAGGTGGAGTGTATACGAGGCGGTCCCGGAATACTGTTTAGCCCTAGTACCTTTCCTTTCTTTTGATTACCTGCCTAGGTAATCAGTCAAGAGACGAGCTCCTAAACTAGCACATATGTCTCTAGTATCCCTGAAAACTTTTTAATACCTACTATATAGCAGTGATTTTCTCTGGGAGAGATCATGGACGCTGAGACGGTTGCTTCTATCTACCTAATGGGCGTCTAGGCGGGGATGGGATCTAGACATCTTTACTATATTATATATACCGAGTTGGAGGAAACTGTCATATTTACGTCGTCTATCTATCATTTCCAACGAAAAAGTCACAATGGCAACCAAAAAAATGTATATATTATCAATATCACTGTCGCTTCATGACATACTTACATTGTCATGATTTTTGTTCCCTTGAGCTGCAAGTGAGGGTGTGTTTTGTTTACCTTTAGGTCGGTAATCGAATCTACTACCTACACCAAGCCTCATGTGCACCTGCATGTATGTGTATCATTGGACTGGTTCCTGAAAAGCCCAGAAACCTTGATCAGCGACATAGTAGAGTGCTGACGGGGAGGGAGAAACAACATCGGTGACTGAGACCTGCAGGGCCACCTGCAGACCTATTACGTACCTAGGTAGGTATGTAGGCAGGCACCTACCTAAACTCCAGGCTATTTTCACAGTCAGATTGCACTAAACCTAACCTAATGGTGATGATGGGGTAAGAGAGTGCATGAGAGAAACAGAGAGTGTAAAATAGAGTGAGAGTGTAAAATAGAGTGAGAGTGAGAGGAGTGAGAAGGAAGGAAGAGGGGTGTAACACGATTGGGTCCCGCCGCTGTGGTAAACTAACTACGTGCTAATGCCTACCTGCCTGGTAACCTACTGTAGGTTAGGTAGGTACCTATAGCAACCAGATGCCTCCAGATGGATTGGTGGTGTAACGAACGACCTGCTACATACATACCTACCTAGGTTAGGTTACTTGCTTACCTCCAGCTAGCTAGCTACATATAATAATATAGTACAATACAATATACTACCTAGGTAACCTAACCTAACCTAACCTAACCTACCTCAGAAACGCCTCTCTGCTCAGTGCTTACATACCGGCACCTGCATTCTGCATCTGCATCTGCATAACTACCTATGTATTGTACATGACCCAGAAACAAGCCTTGCTGACTAGGTACCTAGGTAATTAACCAAATGCCGAGACTTACATCAGACAGATCAGACTCGAGTACCTACCTAGGTACTAGACAGTAACAAAAAAAAAGGGGGAGGGAGAAAGCTGCAGGTGGTCGATCGTTTCCCCCTTTTTACCTAGCCTAGCTATGTAGGTACAGATTACAGAAAGCTTAGGTAGGTAGGTAGGTATTCGACGTAGTTAACGTGACCATGCTTTGCTTTACTTTCCTTTCGAAATAACCTGGCCCTATCTCGCTCGCATGTAACTGCCGGTGGGGGCATCTAGCAAGCAAGCAAGCAAGCAAAGGAATGGGTATGGGTATGGGTTAGGAAGAGAAGGCTCTGTGTCTTTCTTATCTGTGTATATTTGCGTAGGTATGTACTGTAGGTTAGGTAGGTAGGTAGGTATCTAGGTTAATTAACTATCCCATCTAAAACCGCGGCGGCCCGAGGGTCCCTGCATGTAACCTTGAACCCCGAGTTGACGAGATCTGGACGGCGATCAAACGCCCCCGGGTTGGAGGAAAAGGGGGGAGAGGGGGGGGGGGGGGGGTAAAAGAGAGTGAGTGAGTGGTGCGAGCACGTTTGTATTACGATAGATACCTACCTACCTACCTACCTACCTACATATGTATCCCCGCCTCTTCCCGCACGCAGCTGCAGCTGGTTAAGAAGAAGAAGAAGAAAATGCTGATTTCGTTTTTGGCACATCGGTCCAAAGGGGGAATACCTAGATAGGTATAAGGTATGTAGGTAAGGTAAGGTAAGGTAAAATGATATGTATGTATGCTTACTGGCTTGGTAAAGTACCTTACATTAGGCAGACTACCTACCTACCTACCTACCGAATGTATGTACTAGGTTAGATACCTATGTAACCTAGGTAGGTGAGGCAGGTAAGCATCTTATATGAGAAAATAAGATCAAAGAGAAAGTAACAACCAAAAGAAAAAAAAGAAAAAAAAGGTAAGCGTCTTAATTAGGGTCATTCAAATCTATCTCCCCCATACATACATACATACATACATACATAACATGGGCAATCAATTCCCATTTTTTTTTTCGCTTTCTTAGTCAACCCGCATCGAATTGCCTTGCCTGGTTGGCTCGTTTGCGTGCACCGGGACTCGAATTGCCGCTGCCGCGCATGCACTCCTACTGCTTGTATCACACCTCATCGCGCATGCCGATGTAGTATGATATGTAGGTATGTAGGTATTTATGTGCATGCTTATTATTCTGCTCCATGGTACATACATCCCATTGCCGCTAAAAAGGGGGAGGGGGGATGGTGATGATGATTATGATGGTGATGATGGTGATGTTGGGGTGGGTTGATTAGGTACCTAGCCGGTAGGTAGGTAGGTAGGTAGGTAGGTTAGATGGTTAGACGTTGTTAGATCTTGGTGCATAACATGTTGCTAGCATTTATCCGCGGTTGCAATATTGACAGACCTTTCTTTTTTTTTAAGGTACCTACATCCATCTTTCTCTGGGTCCGATGCGGCGCTCTCGTCTTCTCGGGTTATGTCGATGCGCGACATCGCATCGTCAAATTGCTCGCACGCACCCTTTCCCCCCCTTGCGCATTGCGGTTGGAGATGCAACGTGTAAGCCAAACGAAAAAGCCTCTAATTACTTACCTACCTATCTGGTACCTACCTAACTTACTTACCCCATCGAAACGCAACCGCACGAAACCCACGTTCGCTCTGCAGGAAGATCTTATTGATCGTACCTACACCTGTCCACCTAACGAGAGGTGAGCAATGTAAGACGAGAGGCACTAGTGAGTGACTGTGGAAGGTGAGGACCGGGGGGGTAGGGCTGTCAGAAACTGCCCACGAGGTCGTCCCTTTCGAACGAGGGGTGACGAGACTAGTTATTCTAGGGATGCTACCACCATCATCCCGAAGCCTCTTTCATCTTCCCTCTTCAGGCATTAGCAGCAGTTGGTTGGTTTCCAAAGGAGGACGAGGGGGGAAGCGAAACACGGAGAGAGAGATGGATGAGATGAGATGACTAAGAAGGGGTAGAGAGAGAGAGGGCTCGGGAATCACATGCTGGGTAAAGCGTGACGGGGGAAAAGCAGAAATTCTTGGGTCTTATGTTGCCGCTTTGGGCGATAGAGGTTACCACCCACCCCCTTGGAGGTTATGTATTGGGAATCCTTCGTGTTGCGAGAGCGACGTCCTATTAGTCACTTCAAGTCAGAATAGGTTCGCTATGTTGCCATTTCGAGAAAATCTCACTTATTGGGCGAGAGGGGGGGAAGACACTTACCCGCAACTCTGACATATTGATTCAATATCTACCCGTCGGCACAACGTACGATGTCCTCCTGCGAGCACTTAGACCAAAGATAGCTAGGCTTAGTCGTACGGAGGCTTCTCATCCTACCTAGCGCTGCCTAGCAGCCATATTACTACCACCTGAGTGAAGATAGTTAGCCTCATTTTCTCTTTCTCTCTCTATGATTGTATCGACGAGGTGTTGTAGATAGATACTTACCTAGGTAGATTGCTCACAAGGACGCTGACGTTGGGTCATATTTTGTTTAGCTGCCGTCGGGAACATCACCTCCCTGTTGAGGAGAGAGGATGTCTCACGATGTAGCTCCAGGTAGCTTCAAGTACTCCCGTGTTGACCTCAAAGTACCCCCGTTTTAGCCTCATGTACTCTCGTGTACTCTCCTTCTCCCTCGGGAACGATGAGGATTACATCAGTTCTTGTCGGCTTGCCCAGGGACGAGGCTACGTCACAGCTTATCCGTACCGTTCATGTACCCCCCCTATTCCTATTCCTATTCCCTAGGCGAGAGAGAGAGGCGAACTCGCAAAAGCGACGATGGCTCATGTGATGCGATGCGATGTGACCGCGATCTCAGAATAGTTCGCTTTTTACTCATTTTTCTCTTCCCCTGGGCCGCATCATGCCCGCCTTTCTTAGAAGTAAGTGTAAGCCCTTCTCACTTGTTGCTCTCCCCCCCCCCTTTCCTTCCCCTTGATGGATGGCTGCGCTGACGGATGGATGTTCGTGATGGCCTTTACCTTCGCCATTGCCTTCGCCCCTTTTTCTTTACGATCGCTTTCGCCGTAAGTACGTAGCACCCTGCGACGACGAGGTGATCACCTCCTCATCCGCCTCGCCTTACCTCACCTCACCTCACTTCACCATGCCGTACCTTACCCTTTAACTTACTTTGCGGCGCCTTCAATAAGCTGAGAGCATCGCGCGCGTGACTCGAAAATCCAGGGGTCCAGGGGTCCAGCGAGATACTTGCTTGCTTGTATCTTTTTTTCTCCCATCCGATCCCCATCGCGTTGGGCTAACCCGAATAGCACAGGATGTAGCGAGGTACTTCTTTCGTCTTCCTCCCCCCCCTCCTCCTCCTCCTTCCTCCTCCGCCTCATCACTCCGCCACGACCAACCAACAACCAGCTCCCCCGCGTGATCCGCTCCTCCGACCCAACGTGTGCGCTGAAACTGTGCGGAGGATCTGGGCAGAGTAAGCCCCCTCTTTCCCCCTTGATGTTGGTGGTGGCGGAGCTGAGCGGCGCGGTCGGGGTGGGGGCCGTCCGTCCGCTCAGGTTCCGAGGTCTTGTGACTTACTGACGGCTGACTGGATGCTGGGATTGGGCTTGTTCACCGTGATACGGGAGGCATGTGCAGGTTTGTAGGATGTGGCTGGCTTGCCGGCACGGGACTCCATAGGTGGGTGCGTATTCACCTCCGTAGTAGCTTTTTCGGCGTTGTGGATATACGCTGTGTCCGGGACATACCATAGGTACCTACCTACTCTAGGTAGGTTGGCTGGTATCTGGTACGATACTCAAGGGGTCGGTATACGTACCTATTACTTACATAATGTATAGCCACCTAACCTAGGTATGTTAGTGATCGTGAGGTTGTTCATAGAGATAATCCAACCCTCCCTCCTCCGACAGGGGCAATCAACTAAGGAAGTCATCATTCTTTAACCCTGACTGAATTGCAGACTTTTTTTTCCTTTACTCTGGTACATATCCCACTGTACCAATTCAACTCAAGATCTACCTAGTAGATCTAGACAAAGGGGTGGCTGGCTCTACTGGAGTCACCAACTGACTTCTGAATGATTATGTGGTTGTTGTTTTAAACTCTTTTTCATTTGCCAATCAGATAAATATATAGTTCTGGCAATCTTGGTCTTCAAAATTTATTTTTGACCTTTTTCTAGATGAACTTTCCTATGTTTGTATAACTTTGTTTTATAGACATCAGTTGATCTTGTGAATAAGAGTGGATTCAATAAAAACACCAAGGAAAATCATATTCTAGACTTACATTGTAAATCTGATGATATTTATGATTTTAGTAAAAGAAACACTAGTATTGGTTGTGATGACATATGAAAAAGAAAAAGAAAAAGTAAAGAAAGAAAATACAAAAAAGGGGTGAACTACGTAGTAGACATTAGATATAATAATCGCATGGCGACATCAATTGACTTATACTACTATCCACCAAGGCAAGCAATCGACAACTTCAAAAAGAATAGGGGCTATCGATTGAATATATCCAGTTGCCAGATCAGCTGACAGCTGCAAACAACCGAACTCGGAAGGCATATGATAGGTTGCTGCCTCACTTTCTCTACACCGACTGTTTACTGTTGCCATTTGGCCATGCATGCATATCCCAACAAGTCTATATCTCCTTCCGTCGTTACAGTCACCCTTTTTTGAGGCGGGGTTCCCGATAGGCAAGGAAGGGGACTAAAGTAGGACCCAAGTAACAACGGAACACTGAGAACCTTCCACCCGGTCATACCTCCGTGATCCCGTTACCCCTCCGTTCTTCCGAACACGGCGACGACTACCGGGACTGGGGCACTATAGTTACTAGGTAATAATAAATAATATATTTTCCCCAGATTTCCGAGCCGGTTTTTATTCCTTCCCTTCTTTTATTTACGGTCACTACCAAAACACCACAACACCACAACACCACAACACCACAACACCACATCATCGCGTAAACCAACATTAACTATGGACAATTTGAATGAGAAGGGGGGGGAGAAGAAAGAAAAAGGAAAATGCTCATCTCCCTGTTGCGCTGCACCTAAACCCACACCTCCAAAGGAAGAGAAAAAAGGTTGCAAATCAGGATGCTGTGGCGGCAACACTCCTTCAAAGGCCCCCGAGAAAGACGACTGCTGCAAACCATCCGCCTCCAAGGATGAAGAAAAACTTGCCAGTGTCGGTCCATTAGTAGAAGTGGCGGATCAACGCTGCCAGCCAGCGCCTGTGCCCGCGAAGCCAATTGAGACGTCCGGGTGCAACGCTGGCTGCTGTGCGCCCAAGCCGCAGGACAAAGACTCTTGCTGTGGAACTGCGGGATCGAATGGAGGCCCCGAAGTAGCCGATGGGTGTTGTGCAGCGAAGGACCAGCAGCAAGAGGGGAAGGATAGTTGCTGCAGTCCCGGGAAAAAAGTGGTTGTCGACGATGATTATGAATCCTGCCAAGATGCGTGTTGCGATTCCAAGGAACCAGTTGATGATGACGGTTGTTGCGGTCCGGCAAAGGAACTTCCTAAGGACGCCTGCAAGGACAAATGCTGCTCTGCCTCTAAATCGGATGCAATTGAACCGTCTTGCTGCGAGGGGAAGCAGAAGCCATGTTGCGACGGTGCGTCTATCGAGCCTAACCCTATTTTGAAAAATATCGATAGAAGGGACATGACTAACTTCATTTCAATCTACAAGCAACCTGTATCGACCGCCTTGTGCTCCGAGAGACCACTGCCAATGCCAAGCAAGGTCAGTATCATGGGTGACCCTCTTAACCTCTTAACCTTCCCAACTATACTAACACATTCACTCCTAGACGATGACGACGACGCTTCATCGAGTTCCGGCAAGGGCTCCCTCCATTCCAGGGAAAAGTCGATCCGCAAAAGATACGAGACCAGACTCGCGGCCATAGGATGTCTGTGTAGAGCGCTGATCGCCCTAGGCCAAGAATCGTGCTGCGTATCCCCCGAACTTTCCTCCGAAGAACGGAAGCGAGGTCCTAGAAAGAGCCGCCCCGCGTCTCGAGGGAAGCAGACGTCGAACTGCTGTGCGAAGAAGGCCGGAGGTTGTTGCACGAAGGCCCCGGAGCCGGAGCGGAAGATCGCGGCCTCGGGCTTGGGAGGTACGAAGAAGGCCTGTAGCAAGGGCTGCTGTGGTAAACCGAAGGAGGTCGCTGATATTACTCCTGCCAAGGAAACTGGCTGTTGCTCTGGTGGTTCATCGTCTAAAGAAGACTGCTGTCTAGAGGAAAAGATCACCCCCGTGGAGCGTGGATTAAGTAAGGATGCACTAGGGGCCATTAACCTAGAGAAAGGCCTATCCGGCTCCGAGCGCGTCGCCCTCAGCATCTCCGGAATGACATGCACCGGCTGCGAGACCAAGCTGCAGCAAACCCTCGGCAAAGTCGCCGCAGTGAAGCACCTCAAAACCAGCCTTGTAATGGCCCGAGTTGAATTCCAGCTCGACCTCAGTCTCGCCACCCCGGAAGACGTCAAGAAACACATCGAACGGACAACCGAGTTCAAGTGCGATATAATGGTGACGCATGGCTCGACATTGGACGTTATCCCGGTCGGTGGAGCCAAGCAGTTTGCGCAAGAGTCCTTGCCGTTGGGGGTAGAGAATGTAGACGTCCTGGACGATAAAACGGCCCGCATTACTTTCGACCCCGAAGTCATTGGAGCCCGGGATCTCATCTATAACGGGTTCGGTACCCCCCCGATTCTTGCGCCGCTGCAAGCCGACCCGGCGCTCGCTGCCGGGAGCAAGCATGTTCGCCACATGGGCTGGATGACCCTGCTTTCCGCGGTTTTGACAATACCCGTTTTGGTCCTGGCCTGGGCTCCATTGGAAGACCGCCCCATCACATATGGCAGTGTTTCCCTGGCTCTAGCGACTATTGTCCAAGTCGTTATCGCGGGCCCGTTCTACCCGAAGGCCTTGAAGAGTCTGGTATTCTCCAGAGTCGTCGAGATGGATCTGCTGATCGTCTTGAGCACCACGGCAGCATACACCTTCTCAGTTGTTTCTTTCGGCTACCTAGTAGGCGGCCACCCGTTGTCCACGGGTGAATTCTTCGAGACCTGTACCTTGCTCGTCACTCTAATCATGGTTGGCCGATGGGTCAGCGCTCTGGCCCGCCAAAAGGCAGTAGAGTCCATCTCTATTCGAACTCTCCAGGCTTCTACGGCGATCCTACTTTCGCAAGACGGTTCTGAGGTTGAGATTGACACCCGACTACTCCAGTACGGCGACCTCTTCAAAGTCGCTCCTCACACCCAGGCCCCCACGGATGGCGTTATCCTCTCCGGCACGACGGAAGTCGACGAGTCGATGCTGACAGGCGAATCGCGTCCGGTAGACAAGAACCCAGGCTCTACCATCGTCGCCGGCACCCTCAACGGCTCCGGTGCCGTGACGGTGCGTCTCACAAAACTGCCGGGCGAAAACACCATCAGCACCATCGCGGGCATGGTCGACGACGCGAAGCTCTCCAAGCCCAAGATCCAAGACCTAGCCGACCGAGTAGCGTCCTACTTCGTGCCCGTCGTCATTTCGCTGACCATAATCGTCTTCGTCATCTGGACCGCGGTGGGGATCAGCCTGCAAAACTTGTCAGGCGGCGAAGCCGTGACGCAGGCGGTTACCTACGGCATCACGGTCCTCATCGTCTCGTGCCCCTGCGCGATAGGCCTCGCAGTACCGATGGTTATCGTGATTGCCTGCGGCGTCGCGGCAGAGAAGGGTGTGATTTTCAAAGCGAGCGAGGCTTTGGAAGTCGCCCACAAAACCTCCCACGTCGTGTTCGACAAGACCGGCACACTAACCGAAGGCAAGCTATCCGTCACGACGGAAGAATACCCATCCGACACCGGCCGCGCCGTCGCCCCCCTCATCCTCGGCCTCCTCGCAAACGTGAACCACCCCGTCTCCTCCTCCGTATCAGCCCACCTCCGCAACCAGGACATCGCCGCCGCCCAAATCGACCAAGTCAGGTCCCTCCCCGGCAAAGGCGTGCAAGGGTACGTGAACGGCGTCCTCATGCAAGCGGGCAACTCGCACTGGCTGTCCGCCTCGCCGCACCCTGCCGTGCAGGCCGTGCTCGCCAGGGGCCACACCGCCTTCTGCGTCACCATCGGCGCCGAGCTGCAGGCCGTCTTCGGGCTAACCGACACCCTGCGCCCCAGCGCCCTCTCCACCGTCGCCGAGCTGCAGCGCCGCCGCATCGCCGTCTCCCTCCTCAGCGGCGACGACGCCGCCCCCGTGCAAGCCGTCGCCTCCGCCCTCAGCATCCCCGCCCAAAACGTCCGCTCCCGCTGCTCCCCCGCCGACAAGCGCCAGTACATCCAATCTCTCCTCCTCGCAACACCACCCCAATCCAAACCCCCCGTCATCATCTTCCTAGGCGACGGAACCAACGACGCCGTCGCCCTCGCCCAAGCCACCATCGGCGTGCACCTCTCCTCCTCCTCCTCCACCAGCACCGTACAAAACGTAGCCCAGTCCGCCGCCGACGTCGTCCTCATGCGCCCCTCCCTCTCCGCCCTCCTCTCCGCCCTCGACGTCTCCCGCGCCGCCGCGAGGCGCGTGTACTTTAATTTCGCGTGGAGCGCCGTGTACAATGTTTTTGCGGTGTTGCTTGCCGCCGGTGCTTTTGTTTCGACTGGTGGGAGTGGTAGGGGTGGGGGGGGAGTGCGTATTCCGCCTGAGTTTGCGGGTGTGGGGGAGCTGGTCAGTGTGTTGCCTGTTGTTGTGGTTGCGGTTAGTTTGCGGTGGGTTAGGGGGCTTTGAATGGTTGGGGAGGGGCAGAGGTTGGGAGGGAAGGGAGATGAGGTAAGAGGCCTTGGAGAGAAAGGGGTTAAGGAGGGAGAGAGAAAGAGTGAAGCGGAGGTGGTTTAGGGGCTGGTGGGTGCGTTAGGATGAGAGTCAGTCAGTCAGTCAGTCAGTCAGTCACGAAGAGTCATATTGGTAGCCGTATTTACCTGATTTAAAGGCAATGTCTATATCTATTGTGTGCAGGCACCTAGGTATTGCCATATCTCATATACCTGCATGTATGTGCCTGTGTCTACCTATGCAGTTTCTATAATAGTTTTGTACGTAAGTACCTACGTACGATTTCAACCTCAACCTGCCACCTACATCCGAACCTCCAAGCGCTCTCACTCTGCATCGTAGATAACATTAGGTTAGGCATACAGTTAGCATAGCCGGAAACTAGCAATAGGTAGCCCAGACTGAAAAGATATAGGTACTAGGAAGATATTCTAGAACTATGTAGATAGGTAGGTAGGTATGTAGCAGTAGCTGTTGCGCGCTTAAGCAAATGATTAGGTAGGTTACTTAACATCGGACGTCCGGGGTAATTCGTGTATAGCAATATCAACGCCCCAAAATATGCAGAAGCAAGCTTATAACGCAGACTCAAAAAAAGGGGGCGAGGGGATGGGGGCAAAAGAGTAGAAGGCGACGGTAACAGCGACAATAGAGGAAAATAATAAAAAAGAACCCTCTCGACTCCGTCGCTCATGCAGCCGGACGTATGAATCTTATGCCATACAGTGATCCCCATTCATAGATCCGCTGTCATAAACTTATACACACTCCCATTCGGTAATAAGCAAGACACCGCCCTTACTACTTCCATATTCCATCAGTTTCCACATCGTCTTCGTCGTGAGTAAATTAGGGATGGCTGTTAGAGGAACTTGGCCCGAATTCTTCTTCCAATGTGCCCTGATGCCAAAAGCTTGGTACGGCAGATTCGGACTCCGCTCTCGCCCGATTAGCTGACTCTCGGATGTTTGCTCTCCTCGCAGATTCCTGCGCAGCTTGTATACTGGTTGGAGGAAACGATCGAATACTCGCATCAGAAGTTCGGCGATTACTTGGAGAAGACATGATTGTATGATGTTCAGCTAAAGGCGATGACGTGGGTTCGTCCGGTGACGAGACATCCTCTTCGTTCATCTCGGCAACCAGGACAGAAGGTAAGTCTTCAGGGGGCAAGTATTCCTAATAAAAGCCGTCCCCACCCGCACTTCCTCTGCTTCCCGCCGACAAAGGATGCGGTGTACTCTGAGCCGAGTTGCTGCTAGTGTCGCTCGGTGTCGGAGGCTCGACGACTTGGTTGCGAATGCACATGATCCACTCATGCTGGAGCAACTCGACAGCGCTTGCCCTCCTCTTTGGATCCCTGTAGAAACACTTGTTCAAGAAATCAATTCCGGAAGGACTCAACTGATCGGTGCTCGGAAGCTGTGGAGGATTGCCCTGAGCAATATTATACATGATTGCCCATTCATTGTCCAGATTGGACCATGGCCGACGACCAGTTACCATCTCGAGGATTACGCATCCTAATGACCACACGTCTACCGCCCCGGCGCGTCCTGGATTTTCACCCTTGATGACCTCTGGGGACATATACATGGGCGTGCCGGTCATCGACTTATTAGGTTTAGTAGCGGCAAGGCCATGGACAAGAGTGCGCCCCTGACGTGCAAGGACTTTGGCAGCACCAAAATCGACGTATTTGATAACGCCATTGTGGTCAAGGAGGATATCTAGATGCACGTTTAGTATAGAACTAGTCATATGAAAAACGAGCGCGAAACTTACTCTCTGGTTTAATGTCGCGATGGGCAATGCCGCTTTCGTGCAGGTAGGCTAAACCCTCAAGCAGCTGAAGTGCATAAACCATAACGACTTGTTCATCCTCGATCCGACCATGTTCTAATAAGGCGGCTAAAGAACCCCCTGAGCAGAATTCCATAAAAATATAGACCCTGTCGCGGTGAACCTCAATACCATAGTAGGACACAACATTTGGATGATCAAGCACCTCCAGAACACCCATCTCATCTTTGATCTGTGTTGCGATTTGTGGAATCAACTTAGGGTCTTGTAGTCGGATCTCCTTGACAGCCATGAGATGACCGGTATCCAGATTCATTGCTGCGTAGACATTGCCGAATGTGCCGCCGCCAACAAAATGCCCCTGCTGCCATCTCATCGTTACGTTAGTCGCAGAAGATGACAAGTATGCAAGCGACCGATCGACTTCGTTTGAAACCTCCAACACTCGTCCGAGACCTTGCCTCTCTTCAACATTCCGTCTCTGTATTTCGTCAATGTCGGCAAGTCGAAGCGATCGTTGCTCTTGTATATATTTGATGGCTTCCTCGTCGTCAAGTATTCGGTTCTTGTCGAATCTCTTGAATTGGCTAACCAGAGCCTCGATCCGCTCCCGTTCTAGTTGCGCTGCTTGGTTGGATTTGGCACCTAGAATATCGAAATGCGAGATGAGAAGCGACATACAGCCGGATACTTTGGCCCGTAACTTTGCGTACTCATCATCTCCCAGCCCTAAGATATGTCGACCTCTTGTCATGCCCATCGCAAACTCTAGTGCCGGTACCGCCCAACGAAAAGACTTGCGATCGGTTACCTTACAATCGTCGCAAATAAAGCTGACCCAGTCCAGACTTAGCTTAGTGAGCTTCATGTTGTTCATCTGGCGCCGGTTACTGTCCATATAAAGGAGCGAACGCTGGCCAAATTCTGTAGCGAAAACGAAGCATGTCTGGATGAGATCTTGGCAATCTAAGCCCTTGGTCTGTTTTCGGATGATTTCAACACTGTCCATGAATGTATTAGACAGTTTAAAGCCGACCTTGCGGATCTCAAAAAGTCTCGTGTTCACTTTATGTAGGTTCGAGCGCGCCTCTACAATGAGGTCGAGATGCATTTCGATAGTATCTAGAAAGAGCTTCCGAGCATTGGCTAATCTGACTTGGGATCCGTCCGCGATTAGACGCATTTGACCCATCTTGAGATCAGTCGACTCGATGTTTAGACATTGAGTGCGTCGGTTGCCAAACCAGTGCAACGGGGCCTCCGGGCGAAGTATCAATATGTATGGATCTGTTGGGTCCTCAGAAATCTGTTCGTGGAAACAAGTCCGAAGTACTGTCTGAACCTCCCCGTCACGGCCGCTTAAGGCCGGTGATGCTATGATTTGGATTCCATCGAATTCATCGACTAGGAAATGTCCAGTAACCGAAAGCCGTTCATATAGGGTTCTGAGACCCTCAGCACCTAGAGATATACTCATATCCGATGCATTCTCGTAGTGTTCACTCAACATCCTCGAGAACCGCTGCAGCATTCGTTGCCGAACTCGTACGGAATCCAGCATCTGCATGTATCGTTTACTCATGTCGTCTGCACTTTCTTTTGGTTTCCTCTGCAGCTCACGTTCAAACGTTTGGCTGAGACGATTTAGAGCTTTATATGTGAGGTTGCTGAACTGTTCTGCGACTTCAATGTCACCCCCAACAAGATGTCGACCGATTTCGTTGGCGAAATCCCATTCTTGAAATAAAACTTCGGCCTCTTTGAAAGTATTCTTGTTTCTGCTAAGCTTCCAATTCAACATCTTGAAGTAATATTTAAGGGCATCGAGTACAACCTGGTCAAATGAATCATCGATGCATGGTGGTAAGTTCCATCCAGGTTGAGACTGGGAAACCGTGAGGTTTTCTTGCTTAATTCGGATCGCAAGTTTAAGCAGGATCTCAAACTGAGAGATCATCTGGTCTTGGAGAATAGGCGTTTGCTGGGTGGTCTCCTTCATCTTCCTAGCGTAAGCTACTCTGACCTTGATTATTTCTTCGATCAGCCGGGAGGGGAAGCTAATAAGGGTGAGAATCTCCTCGATGTATGGGGGGAGATGTCGCTTTTGAAAGGCGGCGGAATTCATAATAAGGGTCTCCTTAGCCTTGGCAATCGTAGTCGAGATGGGCGTTAGCATACTTCTTCGAATAAGGGTCTTGGTCTTCAATGCATGCTCATGCGTTGCTGTTGCATCGTCTTCGTGTAATGACCTTAAGCCATCCTCTTTTAAAAGACGATCCAAGAACGAAGTCTCGTCGCTGAGACCGTGGGTGCTTGGAGACCTTTGCTTCGTCCGTTGAAAATCCAAATCGTCATTGCCAACCCATTTTTTGAGGATGGATAATTCCGTGTTAATCATCTCGTTGGTGTTATACCATGACATAACCGCATCATTAGCCTCTAGGAATGGTTGTGCCATGGCTTGCGAGTGTGCGGTTCCTAGGGCTTGCCACGAGGGATACAGGCTCTCGCATTTCTCAATCTTTTTTACAATATCCCGAACCTGCTCGATGGCAGGCTTGCCGGCTGCTGTCTCGCCTTGAACCTCGAACCTAGTGATTTCATCAATCGTACGGTCAAGGTTTCCCCGCGCCTCCTCGACTACTCTCCGCTGAACAGCAAGAGACCGGCCCGTTAATTTGGACCTTATGCCGAGCCATAATTCGGCCTTGTACGTCGTCTTCCCACCTGATAATTCCGATGTACCAATAAGTCTCTTTTTCTCCTGCTTCACAACATCGCCGGTCAGAACTGCGGCTAGCATACCATGCCACTCTAGTCGCTCACGATTAACAGGATCTTTAATGTCTTCCTCGGTAGGCTGCGTGTCATCGATTAGGTTTTGGAACATTATGGTCTCATCATTGGGGAACCGATCGTCGAAGACCCCTTCGGAAGAAGGAGTCTCGCCTTCAGACTCCTCGTCGGAATAGTCTATACTGGGTGTGTAGGGATCGAAGTACCCATTGGGGGGTCGGTCCTGGCGCATCATGCGCAGGTAGGCAGGCTCTTGGTCGCGGAACTTATCGGCAGGATCTCGTCGACGAGATCCGGATCGGGTCGAAGTGGATATAAAGGAAGGCGGCTGTGGAGGAGGCCCTCTTTGCGGGGCGTAGGTACTGGAAGGTGTTCTCGTGACATGCGGTCTTTGTTGTTGTTGCTGCTGTTGCTGTTGTTGTTGCTGTTGCCGACTGCCCACACCATTCGCGACAGGATTGGCACCCGGATCGGTGCTAGAACCTCGTGGCCTCCCAACATTGTTGGCAACAGAGTTGGGGGCTAGCGATGCCATAGAGTTTGCGAGGCCAACATCTCCATACGGGGGAAGAGAGCCAAGTTCATCCTGACGCTCAAGCTCGTGGGGATCAGGCGGATAATCTTCAGAAGAGCCCGAGCCATCAGAATCGGTGGAAATGGCAAGAGCCCGTGGGTTTTTAACCTTATCCTGAGTGAAATCTACTTCGCCTTGGGAGAATCGGACGGCGCGTGGAGACGTCTCGGCTGACATATCGTGGAAATCAGGAAAGCAATTCGGTGGAGCCGATGCCAGAGGCAGAATTGTTGGTCAGTTCAGCATCCGAAGAAGGTTGCGCCTTTTAGGTTTGTACTTGACGTGACTGTGGAAATCGAGGGTTATGTTGTTCAATGTTGTGTTGTGGTTAATCGCTGTCAAAGTAGGTTCGCCAAGCCAAGTTAGCTATTCACGATGAACCGGGCCAGGGTAATCCATGAGTAAAAAACCCTTGGGATATTTGAAATAATAGACGAAAGTGGACAAAAAAAAGTTGGGTATTATTGACTCGGACTCTGCAGGTTTCCACTCTGTCGGACACTTTTGGATCGAATTGATTAATCTGATTAGACGACAGAATATGCTAAGCTATCATATGACAGATGCAGTGGTCAAATAATAGTCACGTACGAGTTGTATGTTGAAAGTTGTAATGTGTGTGAATTGGGAATCTTGGGGGAAATGTAGGTAGTTAGTTTTGGGTATGGCAAATGGGACATGGATGAGATGAAGTGAAGTGTTGGATGGGATGGTGACGATAGTGTTAGTATGTGTGTGTGCGCATGTGTGTAGATCCCAGGAACATTTGAATAATTGATACCATGCTAGGCAGATAGGAGGAGCAAGAAATAACATGAAATACCCAGGTATAGGTACCTAGGAGGTAATTGCCTAGGTGAGATAGCTACATGAGATACTGGAGAGTACTAACCCAGTAGGTACTTTGATAGCCCTGAACATTGAAGCTTTAAGCTAATTAGGAGGCAGTTGTACCTACCTACTATGTATGCTGGGCTACATAAAATAAAATAATAGGTCCACTGTATGGTGACTTACCGATTTAGAAGCTTGCATATGCCATAGTTATAGCGAATGGACCACATGTGCATTTCCTTACGTATTGTCCAAGTTGAGAAAAAAAAAATAAGAAAAATAAGAAAAACAGTGTAGCACAGATAAATGTTTAATAGCCATAGACAAAACATTGAAGGAAACTTGTTCAAATGCACTTGTATTTACAGTTGCACCAGCAATATGTTCAAGTTTAAGCCTGTTAACCTTTTTAGTGTCTCAAACGGTTGAATTTCTGGTTTGGTCTGGCCTTGAAGCAACGAGCTCCGCTTACTTGTGTAGCCGTTTCATCGTGTGGAAGTACAGCGCCACTGTGCCACGATTACGGAATGTGTTCTCCGGGTTATGTGTAGATTGATTAAGTGTAACTGGTGACAAGTTGGCAATGATGTGTATGTATGACCTACCTAATTGGGTATATAGTAGGTGCTATCACTGCCTAGGCTGGAGGTACATATGATGAAATTGACAGCCTTGCAATCATGAAGATATCGAGGATAGTTATCGAAGATCCAACTTCGAAAGTGCATCACAAAATGCATCACCATCATCATCACCACAATCTCGTTCAAATTGGAGGGCCAAGACGTGCAATTACTGGCTGGAGCATCTTACCTATTTTGTACAAGGTGATTGCCACTGATCACCGATCTGACCTGGACCTGGACTGGGGACGATAAAACCCATGGACCAACCATGAATCTTGATTTGATTGGGGCACTCTGAGTAGGCACGGCGGGTCTAGTGACCGGTGCGCCTCACTTGAAAGGTTCAAGTCGAACTTGCACAGTGTTGCACAGTGAACAATTGTGGCTAAATACCTAGTAAGCAGGTAAAGTGCAACCTTGAACCTTGAACTTGCAACATTGAATTAACGGGAGTACCCCTCATCGCGCATTCGCACAGTTTAAAGACGTGCAGCAGCTTGACGCGTGAAGCCGTGAGGAATTTAGTTTAAAGAAATCTTTGTGGTCTGTGCACTCTACTCCCTCCCTTCATGTTCAATGGACGTTTTTGATGTCCACTACACGCATCCATCTTACTCCATCTAAATCCATCTTATCTACTTCACTACTGTACATCATTAAACCTATCCGGTTTATTTGATAGATTACCTAAATTACTTGATTACGTCTTCTTTACTACTACTATCGAATCTGTATTGTTTACCTATATATCCATCTCGATATTCAACCTCTCCGGCGCCAACACTACAGACCGTAAATGGAATCAATTCCTGGGCAATTCATATACGTTTTGGAGCTCGGGGTTCAAACGCGTCGCGTTTACTCTCTGGCAAGATACTGATGGCTTCATCGGAATCCCGTCCAAATCCAAGTCAAGATGGAACCCCCGATAGCTCGCCTCGGAAGTTCAAGAGATACGTTGAAGCTTTGGAAGAGCTCCTCAAAGCTTCAATTGTTGTGAAGGTGAGTTTATTGGGTTCAATGTTACACATGTGCCTACTTAGGAAGGTAGGCATACTAATTAAGCCACAGGCACACCCTCCGAATCTCTCAGTCAAACCACGTAGCCTTCAACCTCTAATGCTTCTACCTCGGGAACACCTTCAGCTCTCCTTTCTCGACCTCTCTTCACCATATGGAAGTTTCGAATCGTCAAAATGCTACGAGTCCAACATCAAGATTTTAGATCTTGAAGGTCGCATGGGATCTCGGCCTGTTGTCCTCGTTGCGAGACTAGAGACTGACAAGACAATTTATGCCATTGAACGCCGAAAGAATGGCTTATATACCTTGTGTCACTTTGGCTCCTGGGTAGACCTTCAAGAACTGGAGAAGCTTGCTATAGCTGCTTATTCTCAGTTGATCGTGACGCGGCTTGATATTTCGGCAGATTCGAATTCGAACGCTTCTCTTCCACTGGTAACCCCCCAGTTACACCACGATTCTAAAAAGAGAAGGCTTGCGATTGAAGCCATCCAATCCCTGGTGAGACGGCCATCGCGATCTCTTTCCATTTCAACGACATCCCAATTGATCCCACCTACGGGGCCACCTACGCCAGCCCAAGACAGTAGTGCTGAGTCTCGGCCTACTAGCAGCCATATTCCTGGTGATGTTCTGCCAACTGAGGTGCGAGAAGTCTTAACTGAGGGTCGGACGACGAAAGCCGCTGCTATAGATGAGTTTCTTGCGGCGCCAACAGCTCAAGGTATCTTTGATAACATTCGCAGCCAATATCTCGAATCTCTTTATCATTCAATGGTCAGTTACTATGGTACATTATACTGTTTTATCTGACTGACATTTGCAAGGGTTCTCTGGCGTATTTTGCGAAAGGTCCTCTCTCACGGGCTCGTGCTACCTTTCATTTAGATTGTGATGCCAATCTAGAAATGAACGATTTGATAGACTTCTTGAAGAGCCTTGTTATGACCACTTCGCAGATTGACAAGAAATATCGAGAGTCAATCCCAGATATTATGTCCAAGATGAAGTCCACGTTCGAGGATTCAGATGTTGAAAATGGCACTGCTAAGGCCAAAAAGCGAAAGGCCCGAAAAATGAAGCTTGGGAAGGATGGGTTATATCCTATGGAAGACGGCCATGTTCGACAATGGTGGACCGCTCGAAAGCCTCAGTACAGAGATGAAGAAGAAGCTATGACAAGAACTGAACCGCAAGACGCCAAGCTTCAAGTAGCCTGGCTGCGATCAAGGGAGACGCAATTGCAGATGATCATCATTCTCGAGATTCTTGCACTGGAGCCATTAGTAACGCCACGAGATGATGGGGATTCACAACTGCCCGGACTGGCCACACTCGATGATCCAGCTACGAAAACACCCATTGACATGCCTACCAGAAAACGCTGTAAACATGACTTGCCCTCGCTTGTTGACGTACACGCGGATCGGTTATGCATTTGGCAATCCACTTCGTTAGATGATATGAAGTTGCCGGATCACTCCCAAAGGAATGAAGACTTGGAGTCACAAAAGTCATTACGGGCTACCTCAGATCCTTTGAAGGACTTCTGCGTTGATATCATTGTACCATTGTAAGATTCCCTGACTCGAAGGCCCAAGGACTAATAGCTAACTTTTTCTCAAGTTTTTCTGCAAGATTACCCGAAAAGACTGATTCGATCAATCGCAAGTTGGGTGGTCCGATCATGTTGCCGCCGTCGAAACCGAAACAGAAGAAACAAGAGAAGACAGACTCGACAATGAAACCGAAATCAAAACCAATCTCTGTGGCAAAACGCCCGGGATCATCGAAGTCCAAGACATTGGAAAGCGTTTTATCCAAGGAATCAGAGAAGCATCGACGAAGTATGTCACGTGGTCCGAGTGGTGTCATTGCATTGATGAGGTCAGCTTCGACCCCTATGTTGAAGCGAGAAGCCAGTGAGCCCATGTCTATGACGAACATTCCAAAAGCGGACTCTGTCGCCTCCCAAGATAAAGCACCACGCCCACCTATGCCCGCATCCACAAAACGCATATCAGAAGAAGATAAAGCAAAGAAGGATGCTAGGGTTAGGGCAGAGTTGCATGATGCTATAACCGCCCTTAGGCGTCCTAATAGAGAGGTGGTGGTAGGCAAAGCTATGGCTGAGGCAGCTGAGAGACAAGCCATTACCAGTCTTTCATCCCTGAGAAGTAAGTGAAAATCGGCTCGCACTAATCATTGTATTCCAATAATAACCAAATTACAGAATCGCGGAAGCCAACTCAATACCCACGTCCTCGGGATATTGTTAAAGCGACCCCCGTTGGAAACCGTTTCAAAGATGTACTGGGCATGGGTGCCAGCAAACAGTCGACTTATTCTCAGGCTGCTTCATTGGAAGCCACGCCCCCTTCTTCCATGATTCCTTCCTCGGCACCAAGGAAGCGTAGCCATGGCACCGCGTTCACTCTCGATGAATCCCCAGATGTTCCTCACTTTATGGCACCAGCGAACCAAGTAAAGGCAACTCCTGTTAGATCCTCAACTCTGAAGCAAAGCTTCCTTAGGGTCCCCGAAGCGGACGATGCCATTCTTGCATCGTCGCCTATTATGGCGCGGAAGTCATCTCAGACGTCATTTCGCGATAGTGGGATTATGATGCCCAGTTCTCCAGCCGCTGAGCTTGCCGAGACGCCAATTAAACAACGCGCTGTTTCCGCCCCACAGTCTAAGCTTGTGCTAGCAACGCCAGTCAAGAGAATATTTGGTAATGAGACCTTTGCTAATTCCGGAAAGGCCACAGGTGGCAATAAGAGGGAGTCGGAAAAGAAAACTTCAATTTATGACCGTCTAGGCTGGGACGATGACTTTGATGAATTAGGCTAATTAAATATATATATATTGCATTGCATTGGGCATGAATGATGAAAATACCTACGTACCAGGTAGGTAGGTACCGAGGTAATGAAACTATACGAAAGCATAAGAAGGGGGCATTTAGACAATGTAGCATTTTTGAGCATTGCATTAGGTACTGGAATGAAAGTTATAAACGGAGCCTATAGCTATAGGTACATTTATTTAATAGAGCAATGAACATGAACACCCGGCTTTTACTGGATGGATGGATATATATGATGATATGATGACACTTCCTTGTTCTACATATGTACCCAAGGTACGTACGTTAGAACTGAAGCTGTCTCACAACCTCTTCCGAATTGATGAACGCGCACCGCTCTCTCAGCTTCTGCGCCGCCACCGCGGGCGCTGAACCAGGCCCCTCGACCGGTGAAAGGCCCTCGTGTGGCCCGCCGGCGACGAAGATGGAAAAGGTCTCCTTCTCCTCGCCATCACCGCCGGAAAACGCCGGCGTGAACCCCTGAAACGTATCATGTCCCTCAAGCCCAGGCGCGCCGAGACTCGCAAACGTGGTCCACGAGCGGGCGCCGCGCCTCACGAGGGAATAGTCGGCGGGGGTTGGGGCAAAGGGGTACCCGTTCGTGTCCCAGTGGCTCAGGTTGCCGAAGATGTAGGCGAACTCGGAGGTGTGGATGACGCCTTGGCCGGACTGGTTGTAGAGGCTGGCGAGGATGGGGTCGAGGATGGTTTGGTTCCAGGTGTAGAGGTAGACGTTGGCGGAGGCGAGGGCGGAGGCGTAGAGGATGGGCTCGCAGGTCATGACGAGGTCCCGGAAGATGCGCGCCGTGCGGTAGAATTCGGCGGAGAGGTTTGCGGAGGGGTTGCCGGTGAAGTCGGATGATGGGTAGAGCGAGAGGAGCGTGGCGAGGTTGGAGGGGGATAACCCCCACGCGTACGACGAGACGAAGGACGCGGTGTCCTCTGCGCTTGCGATGCTGGCGTCCGTGAAGAAGGTCAGGTCGTCCTCGCACCACCCCAGCATCATACTCACGTTGCGCGCGAACCGCTGCTCGGCAAGGAGGGTTGAGGGCGCTGCGGGAAGGAAGTCGCCGTCGACGGTTGGCAGCCATATGTCCCCGATGTTGTGCGCCAGGTCGTCGAGATATGTGGCCTCGGCGGCGGCCTGCAGCGTTTCCATGTCTAGGTTTCGCAGGCACGCGACCGTTTCTGGTGAGTGCAGCGCGGTGGTGTTGCACCCGACGTGCTCTACTACTCGCTGAAAGGCGTCGATGCTGAAATTGCCGGTGATACCTGGTTCCAGCACCTGGCTCTCGCTTATGCCTCGCTGGAACGGCACGGGCTTGGTGCCGCCGTAGGCCATGATTTGTAAGCCGACGGATACGCCTAAGGTGTGATTGTATCAGTTATGGGGGGGGGGGGGGGTACAGAGGAAAGGGGGGTTAGTATAGTAGGGTATATGCGTACCGCCGGATGACTGCCCGAAGATGGTGATCTTGTTCGGGTCGCCGCCGAAATGCGCGATGTTGTCCCGCACCCATTCAATGGCGAGTCGTTGGTCTCGCAATGCCGCATTCTCCGAGCCTTCGGATCGGAGGGCGTCGGATTGTGCGAATCCGAATACTGCGCATGAAGACGTTGTATTAGTGTTGATTATCTGTTTTGAGCAGTATCTACTAGGTAGGTACCTGAGTGGTTTATAGTAAGATGATCACTTACCTCCGAGACGATAGTTCATCGCCACGTGTATCACAGGAAGTCCGTTCTCAACCGACTCAAGGATCATACCGTCCGGCGCCGTTGTCAGCTCGTTGCTTATACCCGTGAAGAACCCGCCGCCATATATCCAGACGAGAACGGGCAACGGTGGGTCCTCGGCGGCTATACCGCGCGGCCGTGCCACGTTCAAGTGCAGGCAGTCCTCCGAGATATGAGTTGTATTAGTCAGGGTGAGCGGCGGTAACCCCTGGCCTAACGGCTGTGGGCAGGCGGGGCCGACGGACCGCGCGTCGATGACGGTGCCGGGCTCCGGTACGACGGGTTGTGGCGGCTTGAACCGGTTTGCACCGCTCGTATCTTGGCCATACGGGATGCCGAGGAATACTTCGATGCCATTCTGGTTGAGGCCTTGGTACGTGATGTTGTGGGTGGTGTCGGCAACTAATGGATCTTGAGCCGCGACAGAGTTGGCGCTTAGTAGCAGCCATGCGCTGGAAAGAGTTAGTGGTATCATGGTCCTTGGACTTTGGCTTTCAACGTCATGGCCTTATGAGTCTTCAAAGTTGCCTTTGTTCAATATCGTCACATTTTATAGTCGTTCGTAGGTTCTTCGTTCTCTAACTTTGACGGCTTTAGGCAGCAGCAATATAATACGAGTTTGCGCGACATAATACGTTTATAAAGTGGATAATGCTCATTATGATTTGTACGCCTACCTTGAGATTCCTATTCATGGAAAGGCTCTTGTTGGTGAGAGTTGTGTTGGACGCCCAACACTTGTGCTTACAACCGTAAGCCTTAAGAGAATGCATTGGAATGTAAGAAATATGCCCATATGGCACATTGATGAACTGGTTAAGATTTCAATAGACATGTTAGCTGGCACTGAATGTGACTCGGGATCCAGTACTATGTCTGTATTTTGATAAATGAAGAAACACATTCAAGTTTTCGTCTCATGATGATTCTATTTAAACATTTCGCCTATTACAAAGCATGTGTAACACAGTATTATCTAGGTTTACGATAGAAAGTTTACACATAGTTACTTAGGTTGTACGTAGTATGGATTATATAATCTGTCGACCCAATTAAATATAAAACCATACATATGCATGTCCTCTTCGGCTCTTCCCTCTTTTCTTACTATCACAGTAAACTCTCTTCTCCCTCCCTAATTGGTTCACTTCTAAACCCTCACCGCATCATAAGCAAACCCGACGATAATACCATGGCTTCTGCAGTGTTTCGTACCGGTCGCACCACACTTGTATACTATTGAGGGCAATGCTAACACTAGGTACTAGGTATTGTACATATATCAGTACTTACTTGCATAGCCCTGGAGTACTTGGATCAAATGTCGATAAGCTCAAGACTGCCCAGCCAATGGTTTGGCCGATCATGGCGGACGGCATCTCAAATTCAAAACCAAGAAGACCCTAACGTAAAAGCCGAGACTTTGATTGTTGCACTTGGGATGGAATAGAAACGACACGGGATGGGTTGATGTGCTGCAGGGACCAATCCAGCGAAGCACGTTGTCGAATTCTCGTCTCTGATTGGTCTACAGTTCCCTTCAACCAATGTCAGAGCTCAAACTGATCGCGTGCCTCGACTCGACACTTCCCAATGCTTCGTTTGACATTGAAACTTTTCGTCATGTCTAATATACCTCTCTCCATAGATTCCTCTAGAATTCATCTCTTCTTAATTCCAAGCACCATCCAGAACTCTGACCTTATCAGCAACATCCATACTTGCGTCGATTTCTCCATATGGCATCTTGAAGGAAAAGGATAATTCAATCCTCTTATCCTACCACCCAGTACTCACTACTGTTTTGCGCCTATACTACCGTCTTGCCTAGCTTTCTGTCCCGGAGCTCGTAATCTGCTGTGGTGAATTTGGTCTTTCCCCCCAAACCCGAATCTTTACCCGAGCCTGACCTAGGGTACTCTAAACACCCATCACTTACACTTCCGACTGAAGTCTGAACATTTATCATCTTGTCGTGTGACCGAGAGAAGTAGCGCATAAAATCACTATTCAAGATGACACGTCCCAAGATGCCGCCAACGCCGGCGTCATCTACTGAGATGAAAAGTCAGGATCATTCACGCAAGCTATCATCCCTACAGATGTCCTTTGAACTGCCCCCGTCGGCCTTGACGTCCCATACGAATTCCCAGACACCAAAATGTGGAAGCAACACTTCGCCCGTATCACCAATGACTAAGACAGCTTACCCTGTCCAGCCGAGCGAGACGGTCAAATCGAGGAGACGATCATCCGCTGCGCAAAAGGAAACATTCGCTCTTCCCCCGCCCCCCACAAGATCTCGTAGGATCATTCAGATGAAACCTCGTTCTCAGGAAGAGCCGGCTTCACAGGACGCGTCAGATAAAGCAACTTCCACGTCCACTAGTAAGAATACGGGGTCAAAGAAGAAGCAGCCATCGGCAACTAGCGCTGCAGGAAGAAAGATTGCGAGAAAGACAGCCCACAGTCTCATTGAACGACGTCGGAGGTCTAAGATGAATGAAGAGTTCGCAGTGCTCAAGGGTTTGATACCTGCCTGCACGGGCGAGATGCACAAGCTAGCTATCCTTCAGGTATTCTCTATGAAAATTAGTTCGTTACTTTGACTTTCCGTACTGATGATTATTCACCCAGGCTTCGATTGAATATGTGCGGTACCTCGAGGACTGTGTCACTAGTTTGAAAGAACAACACCATGGTCAATCTTCTGCACCGGCTCCGGCCCAGTTTAGACTCCCCGTGCTTAATGATGGCGACGCATATGATATGGACGATAAGGAGGATGACGAGGAAGAAGGTCAAGAGGGTCAAGAAGACGTTGAGATGACGGGCTCCGAGGCCCCTTCACCCGTCTATGCTCAGACACCTGCTCGTTCCAATCAATCTTCTGTATCGCCGGCGCTAGTTGCACAAGATGCGCGAGGGAGGCAGCAGTCGTACTCTTCGGTCTCGACCGAGTATCGGCATTATAGTTACAGCGGACCAGCCACGACATCGCCCGCCTTCAGTCCTCGAGGATACCCACAACAGCCTTTGGAGACGATGTCCGCGTCGCATTCCACACTTGCCAGTCCAACCCTAGGCCCTCAGCAGGACCTAGATCAGGAGGCGTCCGCGGCGCTCCTCATGCTTAATGTAGCTCGTAGGGCGACCGCCAACGCTGGTCCGGGAAGGGGCATGAGCGTTAGGGACTTGCTCAGCTCATGAAATTTCCTTACTCATGGATTTATTGGGTTCGTAACTCGGCGTCGGTCTTCGGTCTTCGGGCTTGGGTAGGAAGGTACACAGCGCAGGTTCGGGTGGGTTTCCTGGTTGGTGGGTGGGTTTATGCGTACATATTTTTTTCTTGCTAGCGGATTCGGAGTGGCCGTCCGTACTGTATATCTATACTTTCACATCAGGAGACACATGGGTTGATGATAATGTCATTAAAAATCTTGGGGACTTTTGGCATGGGTACGATGGATGGATGGATAGGTTGGTTGGTTGGCTGATGCTACTCGGATAAATAGGCACGTAGGTTAGGTCAGGTTAGGTACTTACCCTACTCTACTGTATCGAAGAAAGGGTAAAATCACGAACTGCACAAAGGGCGTCTGTGCGTTAGTTACATACCAAGGGCCAAAACTAAACTCCGCTTGCTGTGCCGCGCGCTGACGAGCTAGTGGCGGTTATTAATTGTTTTGTCATATTATAACCTACCTAAGTACTCTACCTGGGTACTGCGTTCTGGGTTCTGGGTGCTGGGTACTGGGTTTGTAGGTGGACAGTCAGGCAGTCAGGCACCAGTGTCGTGGGATCGATAGGGGGGGGCATGGAAACCTTGGAAGGGAAATGGAAAAGGGGTATGGTATGTAGGGACCTACATAGTCCCCCTTGTTACGATGCAGAAGAACCGTAGCGAATGCCCCTTTTCGATCCATCCCGTTGGGTGCCTACCCAGGTGCTAGGTTAGGCTTCCGTGTGCATGGAACTAGTTATAACTATGGATGTATATACTGTGCTTATAAACCTTGGAAGGCATGGAACCTGGTTATGCGAACTCGATACCCCTTTCGTTTGGATTGAGGGCTGAGGAGGGAGGGTTCGTGGGTGCGTGTGGTATGATTACGGTACCGGATGGGTGGGAGTGTATGTAGGTATGTACCTAGGCAGGTATATCGTTCGAGAACTTTGGAAAGACGTCGGGATGGTTACCGATGCTTTGGTGCTGGAGGGCACTGTCTCGTCGGGTGTCTGTATGGGATGCATTCTTAGTTTCAGGGCCTCTGAAAGGGCTGGCTGGCTGGCTTGTGGATGGAGAGTGCCGTGGTGTTGGGCCAGGTGTGTCTATGTCGATACCTTGCCTTTAGGTGGTCGTGGTGGATATTTGGAGAGTTCTTCGTCGATGGCATTGATACGTTTGTCCCTGCCTACTTACCTAAGGCCTTCGAAGATCTAGAAGACCTAGAGGCCATGCATTTTGTGTAGACTATCACGAGGCAGGACCTAGAAGAGGCAGAACATCGTCGTTGTTGCGTGGGGGTTTCTAGCATCTCCTCAAAGACTATCGAGGCTAGATATATATATTTGTAGCCGTCTTTGTTGTATCTAATTACCTATGTAGGACCTTTGGTACCCTAGCGGGAACCCCTATTCGTGAGAATCATTCTAAACTTCGTCCAGCGAATCTATGCATCACCAATGATAGAAATTGGGAGAAGCATTCCAGCTTAAAGAATTATTCTAACTGCTGATATCCATGCCTAGGCATGTATCTCCCAAGGAGTAAATCAACGGCTTCGTTTATCTGTATCTATAGGATTCAATGTTTTCGTCTTCATTGTGTTAATTATGGGTGTAGTGAGACCGAGGCTAGGAAGTATCGAATGCTGGGAGGGAAGGATGGAGGTATGCCCCTTTTACTCTTGGAGGTGACACGATTCGGGCTGTATGCTGACAATCATTAGGAGTTGACAGTTTACCTGTAGCCATATTGTTCTGACCATATCAAAGCTAGCTACTGACGCTCTTCAAGTAGATTACACGAAGCGTTGAGCTCTATGTCCGCCATATATACGACTTCTGGCACATATCGAACCTAGCAGTTCATAAGATTCCGTCTTCTTTTCTCATTGCAGTGTAGCTCTGCTAACCCAGAACTGTGTCGATGACACCTAGGCTAGAATGGAACATGGGAGTTGCGGAAACTAGGCGGGAAGCCTGGTCTGAGCCTCGAGTTTCTGGAAAATTGCTTCATTGAGGTAAATATCGCGGCCCCCTAACGTACGAATTAGCTCGTATGATCTTGGAGGCACTCTGACCTGACTCTTCCCATCTCGTCTAGCTGAATACTTATATACTAACCGTACTTCTCTAGGTACATAGGTGTCCTCCTTTCACAAAACAGGGGAGAACCGTCTCCCCCTACCATAGCATGTGGCACAGCACATCAGGTAGTTGCAAGAAAACGGCACAGTCGAGCCAATTCTCGCGATGACCCATCCATCATATGTATATTTTCCGATCATACCATATGTTGCACGATCGATTCAACTCAAGATCTGAATGTGCCGTCGAGGTAGCCCTAGGAGAGGCACATGAAAGCAGCTGGTTCCAAACGTCTGGGTGCTTTATTGGCATTCACGATTCGAGATACGCGATTCACGATTTACGATGCAATAATGCATACCCAGTATATAGTAAACACCCATGTTATTTGATGCAGCACTTCCTCAATACAGCTACAAAATATGGACATATAGAACCCAATTCTAGGTCAAGTTATGGAGTAACTACGTTGCATAAGAGTTAGTTTCGAGGATTCATAGTGCTAAACAACATGAACTTGAAGTACCTAAGTTGGTGTATCTTAGGTATATAAAGACAATGAATCTCACGTAGACCGTTCTTGTTTTACAAGAGCTTCATCGGAATACACATAACATCACGTACGGTGTTATAGTACGAGGTAGTTAGGTATATTGCTAGGTTCTAGGTTGATGGCATGATTTAGAGCAATCAGATAGAGTTCTCACCCGTTCTGACTACAGACACTGAAATGGACGAGGACTTTTCCAAGACATCTTTGATGTTTAAGCATAGCCTATACATGTGCATCTGTTACAACTACAAGGAAGTCCTTTCCAGAGCGCTTACACAAGGAGTGATGATAGAGAAATACGGCATATAAACTGGCCAAAACTCACGGAGCAGCTTATAACTGTACATTTACTCCTTGCTTCATCAGAATATACTTAGGTTGTTCCTACTGAGAATATCAGTCTATTAGAGGTCCATTACGTGATCCCCAAAGAGCATGTCTTAGTACCTCATCCCTTACACCAGTAGTATATCGAGATCTTGACCCCCATCACGCCCACGTTACACATGTACGACCACGGGAACGGGAGCTACCATTATGCTAGAATAGGAAGGTGGAGGTAAGCACAGCGTTGTTCTATTGGCTCAATCACAAGTACCGCAAAAGGGAGAGTTCCGGCTTTTGGGATGGAAATCCTGGAGTTCGTGGGCTACATAGCAAACAGGATCGAGTGGGTGCTTCGATACACACCGCATTATGCAAGGCCTATCTTTTTTTCCTTCTGGCCATAGCCCTGGGAAGTTAGCTCAATGCGTTGAGATGATTTTGTTTCGGAGAGCTGTGCTATGGAGGTATGTATGGATGTACATAGGTCAGTATTTACTAGTGAAATCTTGGTGTTTAGAATCGAATTTCGATGGGCATCGGGACTGGAATGTTGATCGATAATTTCATGAGCTTGGTGTTTCACAACAAAAGTTCATACACTACAGAAAGCATTGCTGGAGCTACGTGCCCTGATTTGGGGTTTGATGAACTGCCCAGTGAAATGACACCTCCTATTTCCCAAGGATCTAACTAGCTAGTAACTATCTGCGAGATCTCACGCTTCTGTGAAGAAACTAGAAGCATGCTTTAGCGATCTGGATATCACAACTCGGCATTGCATATATGCACTAGATCGGATATTATTGCCTCGTGGTTGAACTGGAATAGGGGGAAGACCTGTGGGACATGTAACCCATGAACACTGTGCAGAGAGATCTCACCCCCTATGCAGTATACCAGGTACGCTTAAATCATACCAAGGCCTCAGATTAACGTACGTATACACACACAGCTGTCGCATTTCGTGGAGGTAAGTAATGCTGAGCTGAGCACGACTCTGGTACCTGACATTGTCGATCATGATTAATACCGGCTGACATGTCATCGAGATTCTCGTCACCTACATATTCAGTGGGGTTGGTGAGGCCATTCACCCAATACCTGCCTCCCTCAATTACCCATTCATATCGTATACGTGAAATGAGTACCCCATCGAACGTATGTCGAATTGAAAGACTCTGCTAACTAACTAGTTAAAATCAATGCCTACTTATGTGATTAAACAGCTAATTCCAGTAACCAATCTGATCCTATTCCGACACCTTTTATGCTGGTGGATATCAAGGCAGTTGTTTAGCGTTGGAAAACCCATTGCATGCTACCTAAGTACCCGTATCATGCTGCCATCGAAACATGTCTATGCAGGTAAGTGATGAGAATCCTAATACATGCTAGGCACAGGCAGCCACGATCCCGTGATTCGCCATCAGTGGAAAGGGGAATCTTCATTTGAGAATGCCCTTCCCCCTATCTCGCGAAAATATCCGACGGTTCGGACCTATCTTTCGTTTAGACCGCAAAACCATGGGCATAGTAGGCAACAACTTTGGGAGGTGATTGATTCTAGGCCTTTTAGGTTGAGTAATTTCTTTCACAGGGTTACTATGCAGTTGGTGGTGGTGCTGTTGGCTGCAAATCGCCGATGGTTGGGATACCTAGATGGCTGAAACTTCAATTGACACAGGAGATGTTATTATCTTTTTTTTTTTCGGCCACTTCGCATGCTTGACCGTCCGATCCTCCGAGCGTCCGAGATGGGCCTCGAATTGAAACACAATGGTTCTAAAGCTGTGAATTTTAAAGGTGGATTTTTCCTTGGAAAACGAATTATTATGGGAACGCGGAGAAAAAGACCGTGGTTAGAAGTTGTATGATGAAAAGATAAATTTGACGAGGTGACTGGACCATACCTATCAGTAGAACCAGGCTATTCGTACGGATGGATGGTAAGGGTATCGGACTTATTGTGAGCTATGCAAAGTATTGCCATAGATAGATCGAGCTACGATATCCATTAAGATGGCGACATACAGTACGCGTGTCTACTATGCATGTAACTACACTACATCATAAATACTAGGCGTGCACTAGGCCGACTACACTAGGTACCTACTGTTACTGTACCGTCCGGCAAGTTCCCCCTTTCGCCAGACGAGGCATATCTACGGAACATAGTAACCTTACAGCCCTAGGCTAGGCATTTAGTGTAGGCTGATAGGGAGCCGAATTGACGCTACCGACAGCCTAGAACTTCCCCCGAGTCGACCTTGTACCGACTGGGTAAGTTGGCGAAGACCGCATTCTGGCCGTAGCGTCCGCGGGCCTATCCCCACATGCCCCCCTGGTAAGTAATTATAACCCCCCAGCCAATAATTGCTTCTGGAAGTGATTCTACTGATATGATATGTTCTGGAATTTGGAGCCTCATGTCGCAAAGCCTTTGGCCTAGACTGTTTATGGTATCGTACTGATCTATGCTACGTACCTAGGTGTGCATATTTCGTAACATGTCTCTTTACGAGTAGATATATGATTACCGAGGTAGATATCTACCAAATGTGGTGCTTTCTTTTTCATTAGAGGAGTAGGATCTGAACAGTATCCCGAAAAAGCAACTCTTATCCGTCACAGGACACAGGCAAACAGATGATAGGATTATGCAAGCAGGCTCGGCACGTATAACATGGAGTAATATACACCTGCACCCATGTATGTATCCCACTCTCGCGGAACCACGCGTGGTTCCATCGAACCAAACTCATCACACTCATGGTTCTCATGTACGTCCTAGGATTAAACAACTGCAAGGGGGACTGATGGGTGGTCTCACGTGATCGGTGCCTCGCTCATTGAAGGTGGCCAGTGGCCACAGGCAATGCAAAACTGGTTAGGTGGTTAAGAATTCACGTGGAAACGCTACTTAGTCCGATGGTAAGCCCTGTTTAGTTGATGCGGAAATCTGGGGGAGACCTCCCTCGCTTGAGCTACCCTTGGATCCCGTAAGGGAAGGGGGGTCGGAACATCGGACGGTCGGAGCTAGGGCGCTACATAGCAACCGTATTGTTCTTATTGTACAATCTTATAGATATCAGATTTTAGATGGTTCTTACATAGTAGTAAGAAACAGTGCTTTGACGATTTTCGAACAGTTTTAAGATTAGGTATACAGTTGGATGGCATAGTATTAAGAAAATGTCCTTGCAAGTTGCAACTCTATAGACGAATTTGACTTGTAACTATTTTCACTTCCACAGAAGTTCCACTAGGTACATCTTTGATTCCAAGACTTCATTCTCAAAAGAGTTTAAGCTGATTTCCAGGTTCATCTTAAGGCAGCCCGGGCCGAGTCTCTTAATGCTCCACATACTATAGTACTAGGTATATAACGTACTCGATTTGTCAGAAGTAATCGTTTGATCACATACCCTAAGATCTCGGAAGATCAACCCACCAATACAACTTCATAGAAGCGGGCGGGCTTGCAGAACTCGCAACGGGACCTGCATATATGGCACCGACTATGTACCCAGGTAGGCATTAGGTGGACCTCGAATTGACCAATGCCAAAGCCTTCATACATACTTTACGTATGGCACTAATTAGCATACAGACAGACGTACATACACGATACATGTACGATAAGCTGTGGGCTGACGCGTTACATTCGCTTGCGGGTACGTCGCGTCAGAGCTAGGTTGGCTGCTTGTTTACCTACAGCACTCATAACCAAATCGAGCTTCCAAGAGCTTCAATTAATTAACAAGAGTAGCTCAATGCCAAGATGAAAGTCCCTTACAGGTAATTACTAGGTAAGCAAAGTCTCTCTTTATTGACTATTTTGTCCAAGATCGGAGGGTTGCAGTATTGCCGTGTTGCAGTATAATGTCATCAGTGATCACAAAAGCAACAGACAAAGACAAATGACATGCAATAATAAGTAGTGTAATCAAATGTCAATGGTATCAAATTAGAATTAATCTACTAAATACATACAAAGCTCTAAGTAATAATAATAACAATAATAATATCTACAACATCAAATCTGAATGAAGGACCAATGCGCACGCGCATGCGCCTGCGGGGGCCTTTTTGGGTAATTGTAATATGAGCTCCAGCCAGTCAGCACAGCCTCCCAGGTGTTGGCTGCTCTTCAAGCCATCATCATCGCCTCCGCCTTGCCCCAGTTCCCCTTGACCCTATTCCCACAGAACCAGTAATTGCCCCGCGCGTCCCGGCCCACTATCTGGAAGCCCTCCGTGAACTCGTACGGCAGCTCCACGCTCTGGATGTACGACGGCGTGCACGGCGTGTCGCGCGGCGTCACTGCCGCCGCCGCCAAGTCGACGTTGAAAAGCCCCGCCTTGGTCCAGTTCGAGAAGCTGACGAGGTGGTTCGAGCCGTCGCCGAAGAAGGGCGGCGCCCCCATTTTGGATTGTCGCAAAAGCCCGCCGTAGGCTTCGACTTGCTCCCGTGTCCCTTGCTCGACGATCGCGCGCCGGAACTGCGAGGCGACGTACCCGAGCGACTTTTGGTGGATGTCTTTGGCGGGGAGCAGCACGTTGATGAAGCCGACGCAGTTCGCGAGGTACTTGCTGCCCTTGGGTATCAGGTCGCCCTCCATTGCGGAGCGCATCGAGAAGGCGTTTTGGACAACGACCTGGAGGTGGAGGGGTAGTTAGTATCTAGTAGTATAGTAATGTAATAATAGAGTGGATTACTTACGTTTCTCGTCGAGTCCCGCGGAATATGCGAAACCGCGAGCCGGAGCCACCAAGCCGCCAGCACATCGCCCTCGCTGACCCACGGCTTCTCTCCCTCCTTCCCTTCCTCCGCCGCCTCCGCGGCCAGCTCCTCGAGCGCCTGCGCGCGCAGCTTCTCCAGGAACGCGCCGGGGATGCACGCCATGCGGTTCTCCTTGCTGCGCCACGCGAGGTCGAGCACGTTCTTCAGCCCATACATGACCAGCTTCCCGGGCGTCATCAGCTTGGCGGCGAGGACGTGCGGCTCCTTGGGCGCGGCGCCGAACTCGGCCAGGGCGTCGTGGTCCCAGCCGTGCGGCGGGCGCACCTCGGCCTCGCGCCCCTGCAGCACGAGCGTCCACGCGTCGAACATCACCTTCATCCCCATCGCGTCGAAGACCGAGTGCGGCCAGTACAGCACGACGACCGTCTTGTCCGCGAAGGAGACGACGTGCAGGCTCACCTGCGGCCGGTCGCTGCTGAGGTAGTCGTCCATCTTCAACGGCCCGTCCGCGCCCCGGAACAGCGCGGCCAGCTCCGCTGGGTTGCACACGAGCGACGGCCGGTCCTGGGTGGGCTGCGGCAGCTGGGAGCCGATCGGGTGGTCCGCGCACGCCGCGTCGTGCTTCTCGTGCGTGTAGGCGATGGCGGGGCGCTCCGCGCTGAAGGTGGCGGGGATGTGGTGCTCGAAGCCGCCTTGGGACTGGTGGGGGGGCAAGAGGCAGGTTTGTTAGATTTGGTCGCGTTGCAATAATTACAAATTCACTCTAAAGGTACGTGTGTAGATCTACCCGCATACCTGTCTATCTAACCTACCCACCTACCCTTGCGTCTCGGGTAGGTAGGTAGGTAGGTAATCTGGAATAGGTAGGCATGTGGGATGGGGGAGTAGGGATCTTTGGATAAGGTTACGTAGGTAGGTAATGACTTACATTCTTCCTCAGTCTGGCACCCAGTTTCCGGTATCCTTCGCGGTGGACCAGGCGCTCGAGACTGCTCCGGAGCTTCTCGGGGTCGAGCACATCGTCAAATACGTAGAGCGAGTTCATAACAAAGGTCTTGTTGATCAAGGAGCCATCGAGGATATTTAGTGGCTGGACCGTGTCCGTCGGCACAAGGACCGGACCAGCTTGCTTTTTGTTTCCGAACATGGTTAAGAAGAAGAAGAAGAGAAGAAGATTGAGATAAGATCTGGATAGTTTACTTTGATTGCATGGCAATTGCCCTTGGAGTTCTATGCAAGTGCGTGTGTTTGCGTATTATGTGTGTGTATGCGTGTGACTGTATGATGTGTATGTAAGGATAATAGAGAAAGACTGGGAGAGAGAATGTTGGGTGAGAGTGAAGATGAGGGACATCCTCGACGATTAAAGCAACCGTTGCGCTAAGGCCTTTGCTCTGCTCCGGGATGGTTGGATGTGCGAAATACCAGGGCGATGCTAGGAGATAGGTCAAGCTTATCCTACTGTGCCACGGAGCTACGAGATCAGGACGTAGCTTATTCTGCTGTGCCGCGCGCACTTTACAAGTCCAAATGTTCAGTTTCAAGCATGAGCACGAAATAGTTTGAGTAGCTTAAGTTGGAAGTAGTTAGTAACTGTTAGTTGCACGTGTAGTACGACTGTAGAAGGGGTGGTGGGCTGGCGATCGTCTCATGCTAAAGGAATCCCCTACCGCCAAGCAAACGTTTCTGACCCTAGTCTTTAATGTCATGGATATGGATACCAACACAGTGTATTGGTAGATGGTTACTGGCTGTACTATATGTATGTTGTATCAACTTGTAATGTGCAATGCAGCAACACCCTCCGAAGCTCACTAGTCTCGAGTTGGTTGGTGCATACGTGAAGGAGGAAGACAGAAAAGAATTTCTATACCCTTGCTATTACCTTTCTTGGAGGGGGAAGGGATAGGATGGGTGGGATGGGTGGGATGGAACGGGATGGCATGGGATGAGAGGGTGGTGGGGGTTAACAAGCGATGAAGATACATACATAGATAGATACATAGATACATACCTAGTAGTATATTGGAACAAGCATGCGAATAGTCATGAGTTCTGATTAAAATAGATACTAATTGGATATAGGATACTAGAAACTAGAAATAAATGAATATTTACTAGTGATAGCTAAGAGCCTACGATTCCAGTGGAGGTTGGTTCCCGTACGTCCCACTAAGACGAATGGAGACAGGTATTAATATATCAAATATGCAAGTAAGTATTCTATTGAAATGACCTTATTTTCCAAAAAGCAGTTGATCACACGCATAATAGGTTAACGAGTTAGAGAAAGGTTTCTCGTATGGAACTTCTCTCATTTGGACCGTTACATGGCTTTGTCCACACACCTTGTAAGGTACGAAAACGGATTACATGGACAATACAATACAATACAATACAATACTATGCCGTACAATACAATATCTACCTAGTACATAGTTACTTGCCAGGCCTGCAACAATGAACCCGGTCGCATTACCCCTGAATCTGGGAAAGGCGAACAAGGTAAAGAAATCGTCTGTTAAGGGTGGCGCGACCGGAAAGCATGCTCCAGCGGTCCCCCGGATTCTCCCCGTGGACGGTAGTGGGTTATAGCGTGGATCCATTTTGATGTGATAGAATAGGTACAGGATGCATTAAGCCTTATAACTGACCACCTACTCCTCCGTGAATTTATTATTTAGACTTGAGAAATTTTGTATATATTACTATTCTTTGTCATCAATGAGTTCGACAACTTAGCTCAGACAAATCCTATAGCAGCTTTACCCCAGGCTCAAGAGACTAGTTGCGAAAAAAAAAAATCGAAATCATGGCAGCTCAGATGACAGGTGAGCAGCTAGCTGCTCTATGCTACGCCGAGCCCCCTTTGGCAGAGATCCACGGCCTCGCCAGAGTGGTAGAGGTTTTTCTCTACGTTCTCGCCATCATATCAGTCGTCATCGTCGGCCTTCGAGTATACGTCCGAGGTTTCTTAAATGGGGGCAAAATATGGGGCGTTGACGACTATCTAGCGGTTCTAGGGTTTGTAAGTTATACCACGGCCTTCGTTCGCATATCTACCTACCTGCCTAGTATATACTACCTACTTGGTATTGTATACTTCGTATATGTATAGGTATACACCTAGGTCACAACAACTTACTCGTTTACTAGCTGCCATATATCCCCTCTGTTGTATTCGCCATCAAAGGCACGCATTATGGACTCGGCACCCTGGATGTCGAGTTAAACATGTTCAAACAAATACGAGCCGCTGAGTACATGTTGTACTTCCAAGTCATCTACTACGTCTCGTCTACCGTCACAAAAATCGCCATTGCATTCACCATGTTGCGATTATTTCAACAAAAATGGGTCCGCTGGGTTATTCACATCAACTGGGTATTCATGACCCTGACTGCCATTGGAGCGCTGGCCTTCGTTTTCGCCAGATGCCAACCCTTTGCGGCCAACTACAACCCTCTCATGTACGTCTCTGGCCTCCGGGAATTGGTGCTGGGGAAACTTGTGGAAACTTACTATTGAATAGGGGAACATGTCTACCAGGAAACGGCTTCATCATTGTCAGTTATTTTGGATCCGTCGTCCAGGTCGTCACGGATTGGGTATGCGCCATCGTACCATTCTTCGTCGTCAAGGATCTTCAGATGCCCAAGCGAAAAAAGATTTCTCTACTAGCCGTCCTCATGTTGGGTGTGCTCGCCAGTATCGCTTCGCTCATTCGCATGCCTTACTACAAATACTACGACCAGGTGGCGTATCCCAACAATTACTTCTGTAAGTCAAAGCGCAATATCCATACTACTAGTTATAACTCCAAAGCTGACTGGTTCAAGATCACGCGGGCTACATTGCTCTATGGTCAGAGATGGAGTGCGGTCTCGGTATAGTCGCTTGCTCCCTACCGCCTCTACGCAGACTATTCAAGAGCTTCTTTGGATCGTCGAACCGATCTAAGCCCGGGTACTCAGGCTCGGCCGATGTAAGTCATCTCCCCCAGAAACTGATCATACAATCATCATAAGATGGAGAAAGCTCATAACTAACTGCCTTCACTTCAGCCTAAGAAATCATTCAACACGCCGCTGGGTGCCCTTACACCGCAAGGAAAATCTCGAGCCGACCAGGGATGGGATCGTCTGGATGACGACAACTCCAGCAGCCAACACATTGTCAGGAAGACTGATATCTACGTCCAGTCAACTAGCCATGACGGCCGCGACGACCCCGAAACGAAGCGGAAGGACGGGGGGTGGTGAGAGGGAAACGAATTCATGACCCGCAACGGCCTCGGTCCGGGGCCTAGGCAGTATAACTCGCGCTCGGCGTGTTTTTAATAATTGCATTGTACCATTTCTATTTTCGAAAGAACCAGTCATTCGTCTGTCTGTACCTATGTTGTGCGCCTATCATGTATACATTTTTTGATCTGCCTGACGTGTAACCCAGACTACCGAGGTAGGCAGGGAGTCACCGCCTCGTCCTTTTTCTTTTTTTTTTCACAGGAAGCAACGTCGGCGGTGGCGTTCATCCTGCATGTGAAAAAAATGGATGGTGGTATTGGCAGGCGTAATAGTAAAAAAGTCCGCGTCGAAACTAATGAACCAAAATATACACAGGTTTAAAACCCCCAAGTTACATCGTTCTGCATCCAAAATCCTCCTGGCTCGTAGTGCCCATATGGGAACCTGGTATACGCCGCTCTTCTTTGCAGGTTATTCTCCTGCCTCGTTGTCTCCATGTGTCGAGTGCATACAATTTTCGCCGGGTTAAAGCTCCCAATCACCCTTGTCTCCGCCCTTTCATTTTATGTCGAGCACCAAATTTTCAAAGAGAGAATTTTCGGTGTGTCTATCATAAGGGCTAACTGATTTCAGGGATAGTATACACTTCTAGAACTTCCTAATCTGCCCGGCTCATTACCGACGTCACAGTTGGAAAACTATTAATATACAAATTAGCATATAAAGTCTTTAATCCCGGTCAAGATTAGGTTTTATTCTCTATGTCTATACAGTAAACACGGCTATACTATGATAACGAACCTGTCTTGGGAGAGAGGGGGTAGTTTTACTCCAGCGGCACAGCAGTAATAGCGTTTCAGAGACTGAACGGGATTCACGATAACAATACAATCAGGTTAGCCTGCTAGTTATCTACCTAGGTAAATATTGTAGCATTGTATTTCATTCTCCACATGTCAAGCACATCTGTACTGCACTGTAAATCCGGGCCACCTGGGCGCGTCTAATATCCTTGCTCCTGTTGTACCGCAAATGGGCCGGCTGCAAACTGGTTCAGGTCGTTCGTTGCACATCGTGAACACCTGCCGTCGCATTGTCGGGTTGTCGGGTGGTGTAAAAGAAAGAGATCTGAAGATCGACATCTTTATGCACGTACGTTACATTAGCCCGACCGACTTTTGGGGGCGCTTCCAAGTACGTAGTCAGGCCAAGAAGGAAGGATTGGGACTTAATAGAAGCGATATAGAAAAAGAAAAACTCGAACCCTGCCGATGTCTTCCAATGCCCCAGACCATGGACTATACAGAAACTTAGAAGAGTTTGGTGAATATCGATAGTCCGAGCAGATTCAACAGTGATATCGAGTGATGCTTTAGGAGGTTACATCTATGTCGAGGATGTCTCATTGCGTCATGCTACTCTTGATTACCGAGGCAGATAGGGTTACAGGACATGAAAGAATCTATAGAAGGCCCAAAAGCACTTCCTAGATGTACAATATATGAGGGTCGTGTACACAGCTCAGTATCGAGATGCTAGGTACGTTCTACGTTGCTAACAAAATGGGGAGTAAATAACTAACATCGGTGTCCCTCGGTGAATCCTTAAAGGGGAACCCGGGTATCCATACAAGCGGGCCCTTCATCGTGCATCGTGTCTGGGACAACGCCGCGCCTCTTTTGTATGCAATTCCCGAAGGAAATATACATAAATAACAAGCATGTGGCTTGTGCGTGGTGATATGACTTCCAGTATCTTCAGTAAAATGGTACACCAGCCTTCACCATCCCGGCAGAGGCGTAGTTTGAGGTGGCACGTTGTTTGTGGGCTGGTCACCATGAATACTTACCTAGGTGAGTTAGGTGAGTAGGCTATTGCTGTGATACAGAAAAGTCTGATGACTTACGTCCCATCCACCCTCCGACGTACCTAGTAGACACAAATATTACTCTCGAAATATAAAGCCAAGCCAAGTTGAGTGATACAGACTAGGTACCAATGTTAATCCCTTCCCGATGTCAGCACTATATCTCGACATCACGCCGCGTTGCCTTTATTAGGTGTCCAAGGTACCAGCGGCCGCCCCCTACCCTTTTACCCCTGAGGCTGAGAACTACCGGCAATGGAACTAACGCGTCGGCATCAAAGCCGGTGATGTGATGAAATCGCCACGAGGCACAATAGCAAGGAATCAGGAAGCTAGCCTTTGATGGCGAATGTGATTCAGAATAGCGCCGATTCTAGAACCGATAATTATCATGGTGTGACGAAGAAAGTGTGACGACATTCGGCCGCGGGCGGAGCATCGGACCACCGTCCGGCGTCCGGACGTGGCTTGTTCTTTCCTTTTTTTCTTCCTTTTTTCTTTTGCCTCTACTTAGTTAATTGCCCCTTTCAGAGATCGTGTGATTAGACAAAGTCGGTTTCATTCAACTCTACAACTCTGAATCAGTTGAACAAGCATGCAACGCTTCTAAAAACGGAGTATAACTTCATGAAATCGTGATTCGGCGGAGGGTCGGGTCTTGTTTTTCCCCCCTATGTCTGGGTACCTAAGCGCCTACTACATGGTCAAATCGACAGCATAAGTCTAGAGCTGTGATGGGCCCTGGGCTAGCAGCAAAGCAAGCGTCATAATTCCCCCTACGGGAAATTCGGAGACACTAGCTAGTGCAAGTCCCGGGACGGGAAAAAGAAAGACACTAGGCAAGATTCCGTCTTTAGGGTCCGGCGTTGGGTGTCATCGCTTGGCCGGGTCGAGATACCCTGCGCCGCCGTTTGATTGACAAGGTCTACGACCGACTAGGATCGTGAAAGTCTTTCTAATAAATCACTAATACATTATGAGCTTTAGTCTTATCGACGTTGAATGGATAAGAAAGACAAAGCCGACCCCCCGTTGTGCACTAAAACCGACCGTTGGTGATCATCTTTTAGCGTAATAATACAGTCTGATAAGTTTTAGCCCGATGTGACATTGACGTGCCGAAACCATGTGGCTAGCCGTAACCGCCCGTTTGGGATTTCATGGAGCGATAAGAGTCTGATATCAGGTGAACAAGATGTTCACGGACTTGACCGTGTTTTCTCAGAACGTTAGAAGTTAAAACTATCGAAACTAGGTACTTTGCTTGGTTAAGATGACTGTGAAGATTAGATCTATAATGATATGCCTGCCAATTCTCACTAACTGTGCAAGTCTCCAGGTTCATTTTACAGATCGCTGCTGGCCTCTACGTTGCATCATGGTTGATGGAGACATGCATCGTTTCCACTAGGTATGTCAAGGTGAGCCCAATCTTCGAAGGTGTAGGTAGGTAATAAACAGAAATGAAAATTATGTATGTAGCCTCTCGGATCCTCGGGACGAATGCTCAAGAAATGGCACAGAAGACTGTGCACTACATAGTTATCTTATGTTCCTACCCAAACCAAAGTCTGAGTCTTTGCGGCTCAGGTGGAGATTCCAAGATCTTGAGGCTATTCAGACCCCAGGCAATGGCCTGTTACACATTCGTAATCAAGCAATCAGTCCCTGCTGTGTGGACAGAAGCTCAGCTCACTGACCTTATCCTTGTTGAGATCTCGTCCGATGTTCTTCCAGCTTGGACCTATCATATAATAATATATCCTAGTCGATGCAGATATCACTTGAACGAGGCGATATTATTTCATACATCATTGCAGTTGGGCAGCCGTAGATCATGATGTTCTTTCTTTACTATGAGGCTTGCAAGTATGTCTTCTTGAGAGTACCAAGGAACCCTCGATTTTTTTTTGTTCTGCTACCTTCTTGGTTGCAAAAACGTACGTTACAACCCAAGGCGTTAGTTGGTTGGTACCTTAAAGACGTATGCGAATTTGTGGACTTCGACAATCTAGCTGCCGCTGTGCCTCTCGGACCCGGCCCTCTTGTATTGCGACCAATTTCCCAGGGCTTCTCTGTGCCGTACGATTGCCTGTAAACACGAGTTATCCAGGATTGATAGCTGGCTCGGGTCGAAAATGTGTTGTAGATCCAGAGTTCTGGATCACCTCTTGTCACGAACTGCCGGGCAACATTGAAACCTGAAAAGGAGTATACCTGGTTCGTGACCTCAGCTCAGCTTAACGAGTACGATAGGACTCGGAAACCCTCATGGCCAAAAACGGAGGGCTGGCAATCGAAACAAACGTAGGACGCCAAGAATTATAGCGATCTCATAGCTGATTAAAAGAGCTGATCGGAAGAAAGGATAGCTCTCTATGTTTAATAGCACCACTGGTAGAATAATGCAAGCATTCCCCAGACTCCATTGTGCACCGTGCCAGGTTAGGTACCAGTGCCAAGACGTCGACTCAGATATGTAGGTACGTACGTAGATATTAATGATGAAATATGAATTTCCACGTGCTATATCCAAGTAGTGCTGGTATCTTTCAGGCGGGCTAAGTTGGGCTTGGCTAGGACTCTAACGTAGAAGCTATCATAGAAGAAATTATAAAGTGAAAGATGGAAAAAGTTGAGGCTTCACACAAGTAAGGACCTAAAGTATGCAAGACATGGTTCTGGAAGGTCTGTGATCGTATGTTGAGGTTTTCCGAGTTATGTTGAGTTAGATGAGTAGTTAATACTCAGTAGACTAAATGTGGTCGTCCTGTTTTGATGTAAACTGCTATATAATGATACTTGCAACGTTATATCTTGTGTATCTTACGCAGGCATATGTATAAGGCACTCGACTTCATTAAATCCAATGATGATGATTTAAGTCAGGATAGGGGGCTTATTTCTTCTGAAAGGAGAACCTGTGATGATAACATAGCTGCTTATAGTTTCTAGTGAGAGTTCCTATCACGGCTACATACTGAGTTGATGGGATAATCTCCATGTTCTAGAGGGCTTAAATGGGAATATTACCTTTACAAAGTGGTTGATCGGTATTGGATGTTGTAGAAAGAAGAAGATGAAAATATCTACCGCCATGTTCTGGTATGTCTTTCGTCTTCCTTTGTCTCAGGGGTAGTTACGGTCCATACCTAAGTATAGCATTATCTGTCAATTTACGTATCATATGTGTTGCAGTATAGCTGTAACCAAGAAGAAGAAAGATGAAAGGAGGAAAGCTTGCTTTATTCTAGACTACATGGGCGGAGTGCCAATATATGGCTAGTAGGCTTAAGCCTCAGGCACCTGCAACAATATGAATTCCTATTATTCTATAAAATGAGCCAAGGCCAGGTCTATTCCAGTATACCTTATATCAAGCCCCTGAAGGCATATCTGATGATGTTCTAACTATTCCCGTTGTCTCCTCCTGGTGAGATCGGGTCCAGCGCATATTTCTCAGGGGCGGTTACTCGGCCACTGCTGGTTCATCATGTTAGTCCGCATCAGGCCTTTGTAACCATTGCTAAGACATGAAAAGGACTACCAGAAGCACTTTATGCCCCATTTGCTTTGTCTTTAGCTCGCCAATGAACATTGGTAGGTTATATTTCAAATAATTATCAGGGATCGGTTTATGGGAACTGTCCATCTGGTCTGGTCTAACCTTAGTGATTCGGCAATGGGTAGGAAGCTAACCTAGTAGTTTACGTCACGCAATCGCGGAACTAATGCTGCTTTGATCGCTGACGAGTGTTGTAGGAATCTGTGGTTTATGAAAGAAACAGCAAAAAGGAAAGAAGGGAAAATACTCATATTATCTTCCCCATTCTCTACCCACCCCCTTTTTTCTTTTGATAGGGGGGGAAATTTTCAAAGCACGGGAGAGGTTATATCAAATGGTCACAGGCGAAGCTTTAAGTTGGATTTTGGACCATGAAGGGTAAGAAAACACCTTAACACCTTAGAGGTTCTGATGCGACTAGTGTTGGCCGTCGATTCTCTGACATGGTATGTCTTTTAGCATTTCGTTTTCTCTATCTACCATGTACGTCCGTCCTCTTACCTATGAGAATACTTCTCTACCAATGAGATGAGTTATCAGACGTGGTTATGCCGAGTGTGTGGGCTTAGGGGGGCGAGCATATACCTAGATTTTTAACCACATAGAACGTAAAGACAAACAATGATGTAAGTTAGGTATTACTTGAGACTCCTAGGTACCTACAGATCTAATACATGGTCCTAAAAATACCGGCACTGATTCCGTGTATCACCCACATTACGGAAGCGAGGAAAGTTCCACGCAGCACTGTCTCTTCTGTTGCGTACGTACGTACTCTTTGATTCTCCTGTCCTTCGACGACTGCTGTGATACCTGTCCAGGTACTTAGATACATGCCTACATATAACTCAATAAGTAACACCGGGATCCCCAACGATTGAACGAAAAGATTTCGCTCATCATTTCTCTCAATGATTACCTGTTTACATAGGTAGAGATACAAAATCTTAAAGCCACCCACCCCCCTTTTCAGTTCCGACCATGAGAAAACAGACCGGGTCTGTTTTTGGGGCACGAATATTATCCCAGATATAATCTCCCTCTGTTTAGTATATCTACGTGTCGATATTACATACCAAAAAAAGATGTGTAGCATTTTCCGATCAACTGGTGCATTGTAAGAATGAGTGGTCGGCACGCACTCCCTAACCTATGTAGGTACGTACCTAGGTACCTAAGCTTTCCTATGTGTAGACGGTCTCTTCCGAATACCACCTCGAAGACACATCTGATAATTAATGACCTACATGGTTTCCCAATGTAGGACGTTAAGCGACAAAAGCTTGAACAAGATAAACTTATATTAAATGGCCGACTGCATTTATGCTGTGCATGAAAGAAATGTCAGCAAAAAAAGGGGGTGAAATGAGGATTACATGCGTCTGCACGTAATATCACTCCCCCCTTTTTTGATGACTGTCAAGATGTTAATACATGTTAGCCGCGTGGTAATTGTTAAACACATCATTATCTATACACTTCCTTTCAAGCTTCCGTAACATATAAGACCAGCTCTGATTAACAAACACCATTAAACATCTACTCCTGCGATGTCAATTGTTACGCGGTTGCCTAGAGATCCCGATTTATAGGTAGATATACCTACCTACAACCTCTCCGCCTCGCAAGTCCCAAGACTCAATCCTCCAATACCGAGACCCCTGACCTTGCAGCCCTTTAACAGACGACGTTATAGCTGATCCCAAGCAAGGGGTCATATAAGCGCCAGCGTGTTATTGGTCTAGGTTGGAAATAATGCAGCTTCCCAATGCCGCGACACACTGCGCCAAAAGCCGGTTCGCAAATCGATGTATGTCATAGATATCTACACTGTGAATTGCGTCTTATTGATTAATTAAATCTGATATGTGATATTATCCCGCCCTCGAAACCAGGTATTTCCACCGGCGTGCCTTCGAGGACAAGGTCCTAAGGTTGGTATGTTGCTTATCACTCGCGGCACTCATACCATCAGGGGTGAGATATCTAACCTAGGTCCTTACATGTAAGCATTTCCACAACTTGCTTCACCACCCGGTCACTCTTCAGCCTCTTGTAAAACCCAAACGCAGCCAGCCCAGCGCCCCTCTTCCCCGGAGAGATGGATCCATGAATGAATGAATGGAGCATCCCCACAGCTACCAATGCCTGCAATATGACGTAAAGCTTCGGCTTCCAGTTAAACATAACTCTTAAACATACCTAAATTGTTAAAGTCTCTGTGGAATCGATACCTACCTAGGCTGCAAGGCTTTCATATCATTAGGTACCTAGAGATGTAGGAGAGGTATCCAATGTGCTTACTACGTACCTATTGAATACCTTATGTATGTAAGAGGCAGGCAGGCAGACAAGCAGGTACATGTAAGTAAGCAGTATCTGCGAAGCCTCCCGAGCCTTTCATCGACATAGGTCGTCATCTTCTCCGAATGTTTCCGGCCACAGAAGATTCCCGGCTGGAACTCAGACCCTCCTTCCTCTTCTCTCTCGCTCCCCCCCCCCCTTTTTTCTTTTTCTCTTTCTCACAACTACAATTTTTCTGCCTGCCTGCCTATAATCACCAGGCATGAATCATCAGCAATGGCCAAAACTAGGTACTACGATTGTGGGGGAGAAATCTCGGGGTATGTCCAAAATTGCGGCGCAACTAAAATCACCAATGCTACATACCCCATATCCCCCCAACCCCATCTAGTGTAGGGAATGATGGATCCCCCCCCCCCCCCCCCCCCCCCGGATCGCCAGTCCCAACTGCTGTATTCTGCATAGTATTCCTCCCTGACAAGTCTAAGAAAAAGACGACCAAGTGGAGCCGATTCGGTCATGAGTTTCGGTAAACAAGAATACATAGGTAAATAGGCATATATATACCTATACGTAACCAGAGCTGCGGTTATTGCGACAATCGCCTTATTTCTCCTCGACGCGTGGCTAAAACTCCCGCGCAGACAAGCCTTGCGCAACGTCGTGAGAACGGCGCCGGCACCACGACTACCTAACTACCTAACTACCTAGGTACCTAAGCCGAGAAAGCAAGAACGTGTCGTGTTACCACCCACCACACGAGGGGCGGCGCCTGGAGCCTGGAGTATACCTACATACATAGTGTAGTGTACTTGGAAATTACGCGAAATCTTCGAGTCACCTGACACCGCAAACTCGGGCCTTTGAGGGAAATACTCGCTTACTTGCCTACCTACCCAAGTTACTTACTTACTTTCGCGTGGGGTGATGTGGATGTGGTGCCGGGAGTGGGTGCTTCCCCAGGTTCTTCCCCACCCCACACCCCTGGGGGTACTGGTCGTGATCAGCGTTCGATTGGGTACGGCGTAGGACGATTTGCGTGACACCCCCCCTTGTCTCTAGTAGCATACCTACCTATGTAATTATAAGTTGACAAGCCTGACACTTCACGATGCTACATACATACATACTCGAGAGGGTGAGTTACCGGCTCTCAGGGTCTGTTTAGCCGGATGCATACTTGGGTACCTAACGTAGCTACGTAACCCAGGTCGGTCGTTCTTTGTCATACCTATAAGAACCCATCGCGTTTGCCTCCTTCAGCCCAGCCCAGCCCACACCACCTCGGCATTCTACTTAGCTACCCCCGAAAATCCTCCAAAAGTTCTTTAAATCCTCGGTCTTTTTCTCTTTCTTCTTTCTTCTTCTTTGCTTACCTAGGTACCTATTCTCGAAACTTGCAGATACAGGTACAGATACAGACACACAGGTAACCTGCAAGAAACTGGCGACGACAGCATGGCGCTGGCACGTTATAAAGAGCCCTACTTTGGGCTTAAGGGAAAATGGCTGACTTTCTGGATTACGGTATGTATGCGCGTGGCGTGTTATAAGGGGGGGCGGGGCCTTAGGTAAATGAGTTATAGGACTAACGGAGAGACGACAGTTCGCATGCGCGACGGACATGACCCTGTTTGGCTATGATCAAGGTGTTTTCAGTACGTGGATCTCGCAACCTACCAACGCAGGTAGGTACCTAGACAGCGGTGCTGGTGCTAATATAGCGGACTAGGCGGCGTTGTCATCTCTCAAGACTACCTCGACGTACACGACTTGAACGGCGCAGAGAAAACCAGCGTCCTATCTATCATCACGTCAATCTACACCATCGGCTGCTTCTTCGGTGCGATCACTGCCTTCTACATCGGCGAGGTGATAGGGCGCAAGAAGACCGTCCTGGTGGGCACCGCGATCATGACCGTTGGCGCGATTCTTCAGACGAGTTCGTTCAGCGTGCCGCACATAATTATCGCCCGTGTTGTCACCGGGTATGTGTCGTAGACTTAGACTTAGCATCGGATGTGGCCCCCATGCTAACATGTGGAAATAGGATTGGGAATGGAATCAACACTGCAACAGCGCCGGTTTGGCAGACGGAGACCTCCAAAGTACACAACAGAGGATATCTGGTTATGCTAGAGATGGGTTTGAACATCTTTGGTTTCTCGTTGAGTAATTGGATAAATTATGGAATGTCTTTCGTTGGGGGCTCTGTAGGGTGGCGGTTCCCCCTATCTCTCCAACTCATCTTCTGCTTCATTCTCTTCTGCACGGTCCCGTGGTTGCCAGAATCACCCAGGTACGTCTCCTAGCCACTGCGAAACCGCCGTGTTGGTCTATCCAGTAGCCTAATAGGCACCTAACATTGATTATAGATGGCTGCTTGCTCATGGGCACGAAACCGAAGCCAGTAAAATATTGGCCGACTTGGAAGATAAGCCGGTTGACGATCCGTACGTTGTCGCCGAGCGAGAAGAGATCGTATACAGTATCGAGTATGAACGTCAGAATGCCATCAAATGGAGTGATCTCTTCCGCGGACGTACTAAGGCTGGGACTAAGACTGTTCGACGATTGCTTCTTGGCGCTGGCACGCAAGCCATGCAACAATTTGGTGGCATCAATGTGAGCTTTCGATATCTTAGACACCCCACTCACAACTGTTTGTAGCATGCTAATATACTTAGATCATGTCGTATTACCTCCCGACCGTGTTAATCCAGTCCGTTGGACTCGACGAAAGTATGGCTCGCCTCATCGCAGCCTGCGCATCGGTTGCCTATCTTATCGCGTCTTTAATCGCAGCGCCGCTAGTGGAAAAGGTTGGCCGCCGCATCATGATGATAGTATCCACAGCAGTTCAGCTATTCTGCTTCTTGCTCGTGACTATCTTGCTCTACTATGCGGAGAGCCCCGGGTATGCTCACAAGATTGAAGTGGCCAAGGCTTCTGTCGTGTGGTTCATCCTTTACTACATGGGGTTCGGCTTGGGAATGCTGGGTGTATGTCTTCGCCATCCTCGGTGCTCGTTGAGAAAGCTAATCCGGGTTTGCAGATTCCGTGGCTGTACCCGACCGAGATTAATTCGTAAGTATAAAGTTATCTCTAGTTCGGACACGTCGTGAGATTATTTGTCGAGTGAGGGCCATTACTGACATGTCGTAGGCTTCCTATGCGAACCAAGGGTGCTGCGGTAGCAACCATGACAAACTGGATCACCAACTTTGTCGTCGTCGAAGTGACGCCAATTGGAATCCAACAACTTGGCTGGAAGTTCTATATCATCTGGACAGTGATGAATGCTGTCTTCTTACCCATAATCTGGCTGTTCTACCCCGAGACAGCCAACCGCTCCTTAGAGGACCTAGATGCGTACTACCGAGACAACCCGCCCCTATTCCTCCATAGCGACCGGGACTCCACCTCGGTAAGTCGACCCGAGAGGTTTATCCGTGCGCAGGGTCGCGATATCGAGCAGGCGGCAGAGAATCTGAGGCGGCGATCTATTCTCGTCCACGATGAAGGGAAGGAGAAATCGCTCAGCGAGTGAATCAAGGTAGATATTTTCGCCACGCGGGCTTCGCCGAAGTATAAATATCATGGATGGTTGCAGACAAGGCGATTCTTCGGAATAAATGACGAATGCGGCGATAAAAAGCGTCGTTATTGATTTATTACATAGATAATATTCTTAGACCTTGGTCAGAAGTTAGACGTGATACCACACTGCCGTCAATATTGCCGGGAAGCGTGTGATTCGAGAAAAGATGATGTACTTACTGCTGACTTTCATGCTGACATTGATGATGAGAATCAAGGCTGAGAGCCTGGGGAAAAGAGGCAAAGAAGGTTAATGTGAGTACCTAAACAGAACTGATGATACGAGTAGCAATCATACCTAGTACCACGAACCGTAGTTACTTTAGCAATCTTCATCTTCCAATATATTGACCCTAGTACTGCGTATATGTGCACCGTTACGGTGGCGTCTTCTAGGCCTGAGCTTCCCCCCTTGTTTCGCGGTAGATGTGCCCGCAGATCTCTGGTACACCGGCACGAAAATATGCGCCACGATTAATATTCTTGCCGATGCGTTAAAACGAATAGTTTAAATGGATTTCGCGTTTATATGTGATTATTCTCAGGGCGGTGATATCAGCCTCCCCTAAAAGGCCATGAGGCTACATGGCTTGTCTCCGGCCCGAACGTGGGTACACAAAATGTCTGAATATCAACCAACGAGACCGTTGCCACATAAGTCATAGCCGCATTATCTTTTCGTGTATGCGGGCAGCGAATGCATTTTTATACTTCGGATCGGTTGCGGGGATGCCACACCATGGGCCTCGAGGAGATACGACAATCCAAACTTCTATATCGCGATGTCATCTAGTTTGCGTCATGAAACGAAAACTAAATGCGCCACCGAGTTGCCCAAGAGCATATTAGTTACTCTAATGTCCATTAAGCTCTACTATAGTGGTGAATACATGAGCGTAGACGACGATGCATCCCACTATACCTGCGGGCGGTTATAGGATCAAGATAGGCCCGTATAAGATTGCGATGTCCGTATGATGTCCCAAGATCCGAGTGTCCTTGTGCTCGGGCCGAGGTGTTTACACGATAAATGTCCAAGGTGCGGAACTCATTTCGAATAGAGCCACAGGTCTTGAGTGGGATTGTGGGACTATCAATGGAGACCCGGGATATTGACTCGGGACTAATATTCAAGATATGCGCCAGGCTTGATGCTCCCGTGGAAATAATGATAGATGGTGTCTAATCCGATAAGTAGTTTGCCAATGTCATGCATCGATAATGGCGCATATACTCAAAGAGGGTCACGGCAAGCTTTCTGTCATCCTAATGCCCTGTTAATCCTGTCTGACGAGGTATACAAACCGACTCTTTTCGACAGTACCTACAGTACCATGTACTGAAACTTAGGGAAGCATCAGCAGGGGTCACGTGATTTGTGGTCGCGAATAATGTTATTCCCATCGGCGTGCCACGTGCATATGCCAACCCGAGTTGCTTCAGGATTACCTCACTCACAGCAGACATGGTGAAGGAAACAATATCATCGATTCGGTTGTAAGGCGGATGAAAACAAAACGCGCTCCTGTGGCAAGTCGGTAGGCTATTCGGGCCAAAGGGTGCTGTCAGCTAATAAGAGAGAGGCGATCATTCTGAATGCTATGACAATGGCCACGACCAGTGTACCAGCGAGGCAGAATATCTATCTACCTGAGTAAATGAAGGTGTCGAGGCTTGTCGATTGCTTTGGAGCACGGACGTGATCATGATGGATTATGTTAACGATTATCTGTTTTCTATATCGCCACGGTTACTCCGATGAGTAGTAACTGATCTAGTTAAGACCTACGGCGCATAGTAGAAAGGTAATTTATTGAATTGATGTATTTGCGTACTTACGGTGGATGTCAGAGAATTATTTCCCTTGTGCGTTAAGCAATATGAGAACGCTGTCGTCATTTCCAAGGTTATATCTACCGTGGTAAACATGAATGTTTCAATGTTGTAACCAGCTGGACTACATTTGGTATCCATGGATGTGATGGAAAGAAGAGCAAGTTGAGATAACAAACGCGCAACGAGATGTAAGTTTAAAGTCGATCACGTGCTAAACTTATATAGCTTAGTAACATTGAATAATCAAGAACTGTTATCTTATCAAGCCAGATATTAGCCCCATCTTATACATACCTCGGCACCTCGGCCCCGTCTTTTCTGCATAGCTTCAGTAGTTAATGGCTTATCTTAGGTAATCGGATGCACTTCATACTTCCAGGGGGAATATAACATGTGTAAAATAAAATAAAATAAAACAAAACAAAACAAAAAGAGGCGACTTCGCTTTAAGACTTTTCTGCCACGGGAACTTCAACTTCCATCCCCATAAATAGTCAAAAACAAGACACTACACTTGCCGGCTACCCTGTTGCCATGCTATACCCTTGACCGCTTACCTACTAGGGAACGTACTAGACCCGTTGTATGATGTGCAAAGGGTTGATCAATATGAGAGTATGGACTATTATTCGGTCGATATACAAACATATGTGGATGGAATTTCATGGAGCGTGTGCTCCACGATTCATGCAACGATTACATCGCGTAGACGGGACATCACCAATACCGGTATAGCGAGGTGGATTGGCTGGCATGTCCGATAGGCGCCATCTGCATCTTTATTTCAGTACTACGTAACTATGTAGTTCGATATCGACGACCCTTAGACTCGATGAATCAGGGGTCTTTTAAGTCTTGGATAATACTACATATCTAACCTACATACATACAGGCCTACATCATATGTTGGTTGACAGGATAATTTAAGCTTAACGTGGCAGCTGCATGGCTAACTTGCCTACGAAGACACGAGCAGCACGCTAGGTTGCATAGCATGTTCCTATTTTTCTGTTCCATTTTTTGTTCGTGATCCATTGCGTGATCCATCTTGAGATTAACACTGCTATCATTCTTGCGTCTACCCGACTTTAGAGCTTGGTTCAGTTCCACTTTAGTCTTGCTACTCTCTGTCCCATTACTTACACATAAGTGACATAACCAACATTACACAACTAACCTAGCATTTTAGACTCTCAACGTTGAAAATGTTAGCTTGCCACTGTTCCCTGTTCAAATCAAATCTCCTTGGAATTATTAATCACCGGCTAACGGTGTCGTAGCATACACGCACACGTGGGTTTAGAGGTTTCGAGATGCTACAGATCGAGTTAGTGTATCCGACGCTGGCGGCAATTCTTGGAGCCAAGGAATATAATTCACTGGTTTCGCCGAATCCATGTTCCTTGACAACATGTTTCCCAACTGATCAATAGTTACATAGTATATGTAAAAGTTGATATAAGCTTTTATTGATTCTAAAAAAGTGAAAATATTTGAATGATTGATTATCTCAGACTTCAGCTGTGCTTACTTACCATAAATAAATATCTCAGCCTCTCATATGCTTACTCCAAGTCGATAGCAACAGGTCTATGAGTTTCCCGGCGTGATCGCAATAATCTACGAAAAAGGGAACGCACGCAGAACAAAAAAGAAGCACTAGCTTTAGTCGCCTGCGTTCGAAGCGAAACTTTCCAATGTGGGCCTTCGCCTCCTTTAAAACCCCCCATAATAAATTATCATTTGCAGGTTGAAAGATGTTCCACATTGGGTCAACGACGAGGTCTAGTAAATTAGACTAAGTGCGGTTGAATCCGCATGTCCACTCCCTGCTTTAACGTCATGGATGGGTAGTATGCGAGATTGGTAAGTTCGGAGTTTTCGGGGGGGCTCTAAATACAGAAGTGTGGGAAAGAAAATATTTCATCGCCGCGTCCAACAAATCCGTGTCCTGGACCTAGAGCTCTATATAAAATACCTAGGTAGGTAGTGTAGTCTAGTCCTCTTCCAATAACAATATAGAAGTTTCCATCAATCCATCACTACCTTGACACACACTCGAAACCTAGTCTATTCAACCTACCGAATCATTCACAACTATACATTTAATCAGCCATCAGACGATATGAGCACCATCACATTCACCGTCTTCAAGGGCACCGAGTCCGGTGTCGTGAAGAAGTCTACCACAACCAAGCCCTCGGAGCTAAAGGGCGACGATGTTCTTCTCAGAGTCACCGCGTCCGGTGTCTGCGGAACTGGTACGTTTGAATCCTAGCCCCTTATCTCATAACACGATGTAGCTAACAAGAGTCTCCTAGATCTCCATTACGTAAATACCCCCTTCCTCCTTCCTACCCTACCCTACCCTACCGGGAAAAAGACACTAACACGGTGTCCAGACAAAAGAGGACATGGTCCTAGGCCACGAAGGCGTCGGCGTCGTCGAGGCAACCGGCCCGGCGTGCAAGCACCTGAAGAAGGGCGACCGAGTCGGCTGGGGCTACGAGCACGACTGCTGCGGCCACTGCCAGCAGTGCCTGCGGGGCAACGAGGTGTACTGCCCCGGGCGCGTCATGTACGCCTACGCGGACCGGGACCAAGGCAGCTTCGCCTCCCACGCCATCTGGAAGGAGGCCTTCCTATTCCCGATCCCCGAGGGCATCTCCGACGAGGACGCCGCCCCCCTGCAGTGCGGCGGCGCCACCGTCTTCAACGCCCTGCACGCCTACAACGCCCAGCAGACCGAGACCGTCGGAATCGTGGGCATTGGCGGCCTTGGCCATCTCGCCATCCAGTTCGCCGCAAAGATGGGCTGCCGAGTCGTCGTGCTGTCCAGCACCGAAGCTAAGCGGGCCGAGGCGATGCGGTTGGGTGCACACGAGTTCGTCGCCACGAAGGGCGTGACCGAGCTGAAGGTATCGCAGCAGCTGGACCGCCTGCTCGTCTGCACGTCGGCGCAGCCCAACTGGGAACAGTTCGTCCCGATCCTGGCGCCCGGCGCAACCATCCACCCGCTGTCCGTCGACACCGGCAACTTCTCGATCCCCTACTACCCGCTCATCGCGTTCGGTTTCACCGTCCAGGGATCCGTCGTCGCCTCGAGATATATCCACAAGCGCATGTTGGAGTTCGCTGCTCTGCACAAGATCAGGCCCGTCGTCGAGGTATTCCCGATGAGCGAGGCTGGCATCAAGGAGGCGTTGGAGAAGCTGGAGTCGGGCCAGATCTACTTCCGCGCCGTGCTAAAGCCGGAATAAGCGGTATACCCAACCTCTCATCATGTTTGGAGCGATTAGAATAATTGTCCTGTAATTGTCTGTCTGTTGGGGGTACGACTGAGCGTTGTGTTTGAATTGGATTATTAGTGAGCGAACTAGTGAAAGGGAATAAGGGGGGATGGAGTCACAATACCATTGCATATAGGTACTGGCATGATGGCAGTAGCGCAAACACCATAGAGCTTGTTATACTTTGGTCATATTATAGAAGAATGATATAATATAAGAATGCCTACATATTTCAAATTTCTCGCAGTTCTATCATCTCATTTTGGTGAAGTCTTCGTGGCAAGTACTTACATAGGTTCTTAGTATGTCAGAGATAGAAGGAGTAAAACATTTGTTTTGAAAGGGATGGATCTAGATATGGGCTTTGTACAATAAAATGTCCTTAAATACAAGGCTACAGTGTACCGCTGAACCCCTTTAACCACTCATCCTTCTAATTGAAACCCAGACTCCTTATATAAACTCCCACGAACTTGAAAGCCACCTCCAATTCTAATGAAATAGTTCAATTCTTATTCTGAAGCGTTTATCGATAAATTACAATCGTTACCTCAGCAATTCTCTGTGGCCATTTACCGTTGACCAAGACAACGACAACAAGAAGCTCGTAAAATGGTGAAGATAACGACAAGTTTAACGACGTCAAACAAGAGACATCTTAAACAAAAGCATGTCAATTTGCTCGTGGCGATTATTACGACCCTGACGGCGTGGTACAAAATGGCTCCGCCAAATACACTTCCTACACCAAGACCATCGCCACTGGAACGACTACCTGGTGCTGAATATGAATGAAATTCGAGCTGGAACTTGAAAGATGGCCTTCCCAAGGCTTACATGTCGAGGTCCATCTCGCTCTCCCTCCCTCCCTTCTCCTCCCATTCACCTTTATATGAATATTCTAGTCAAGAAAAAGAAGAAAAGAAAAAAGAAGCTGACAATTGCAGCAACACCAACAGCGTCCTGCCAGACCCCGAGAATGTGCATAATCTCATGGAGAATGACGTTCCGTTTACCTGGTTCAAAGCGTATGTTGTTTCCTCCCTTCTCACCCTTTCCTAACCTTCGAATCATCTTCCTACCTTTACTTCAATTCTCCTTACCTAATGTACCTACCTACCTACCTATTTATACCATACCAGATCCTATTTACTAACTCAAACCCCCACCACCTTCAGGAATCCGTTATGGGGTCTTCGGATACTAGGAGGTGTGCGATCAGGCATTCAGGGCTTGGTAATGGGAAAACTCTGGGGTAGTTGAGGGGACTCTACGGGAATTATGATAGGTAACGAAATAACGAGATAAATACCTGCTATTTGTGCCAAGTTTCCAGTCTCTTATGTTTTACCTTACCAATGTGACTACTTCCGTCCCGTAACACTACCAAATACCAATGACCAAATGCTATACATTGCCCGGTTCAAATTTGTATTTGTTTTTCAGTGAATCGTATCATCTGTCCTTTCAATCTACCACATAGTAGGTATCTAGTCCTGTTTGTCCATTCGTCATGTAAAAGCCATGTTCTTTGTGGTTTCCAGTAGAGATTCCAAGTATCTCAAACTTCCCACTCGCCGAAAGAATATCTCGTCGATACGCTGCTACTGCTCATTCAAAAATGTTAAATCGTTTTATACCCTGTCAAAGTTCGTTTTATTCGTATAATTCGTGTAGATATATTCATAAATTTGAGTGCTGTCCTACTCGCTCGGCTTCAAACTGCCACCCAATGACCCTATCGTAGTTTCTCATTGAAATTAATATTGCTCGTTTTATACTTTGGATGTATACTCGGTCCCTGTCGATGTTACTTAGCCGTGGGAAGGCCGCTGCCATCGGCCTTTTCCATAGTGCTTGTCCAGAGCACGTGAATTCTTATTCCCGAGATGTTCGCGTAGATCACCATTGAATGGTGACGAATAGGGAATTAGATTGCCCAGTAACTCACTCTCTAGACCGCGGTAAGCCTCCATAAACCATCACCCAGGCAATGCGCATCTTCGATCACGGGTCCTTTGCCCTTCTCCTTAACTTCCTTGGTCCCCACGACTAAGAAGCCGACAGCGCACGCCTCGATCTTCCCCTCAGCTCTCACCACAACCGGTTCGCCCTTCTCTAGCTCCCTCGTCCACCTCTCATCCTCGTCAAGGCCTTCCTTCCCTTCTCCGCCCTCGTACACTCCACTTGGTAGCCTACCACCTGCGCTCGTCAGGCCGGGGGCCATGAGTGTGGCACCAGAAAGGACGAAACGGATCGCACCACGGTCTATGCGTATACTGGGGAAGGCGGCGGGGAAACGGTGGACGAGGCGCAGATGCGGTAGTAGGGTGGCGGTGTCGTACTGGAAAAAGAGGGGTTGGGAGTCGAGAACATATAGGGTGCAACGGTCAGGAAGTTTCATGGCCTCCAGTGAGCCCTTCTTGGGTAGGATCTCATCGATATAGGGATTTAAGAGAGGGTATGTTGTCAATAGGGACTGCCGTAACGACCGTTGAACTGACGACTTTAGCTTGGATTTGGGGGCGGGGGATATGCTATTTTTGTAAGTTAACAAAGAATTTATTTCTCAGAAATCACCGTACCATAATTTATCAAGATTACTTACTCTTTCTTAAACATCTTGTCTGATTTATCCCTAATTGACTTGGAGGTTGTTTTTAATGATGGTGTTGTTGTAGTTGTTTAGTTTAAAATGGAAGCTTGTGAAAGTTTGGAGGGGCAGTTCGATTGAGGTGCCCCGCGGTCGCACTTGACAGCGGCGCGGGGCAGGTTTTAGAATTCTGGTTTACATAGTAGTTAATTGATTGTAACTATGTACCTAGTACTTTGCTTCGATGTATAAAAGTACCCCACTTATACCGTGGTATTTATGCTTTGCATATAATGTGCAAGCTGCAGCCCGTCGATCGTCTGATTTTCGAAGCATAAATTAAATCCCGAGGTGATGCGGGCAGACTCCATGAAATCAGACTATAATGATTCATTAAATCTCATAACCAGACAATTTGTTGCAATACCGAACTCGTTCAAGCAAACATTGAACCGACTTTGAGTGCTTACCTAATAGACACCTACCTAGCCTGACCTCCACGTGATTTTCCGTAGCGTCTACAAGCCTGTTCTAGGTAGTAATACATACATGTACTACATTACATGTAGGTAGCCATATACGTCATTGCATACGTCGTGCCAAACACACTTTATCCAAGGTTGTGGCTGACTTCCGTGTTCAACCTTAGACATTCAAGCTTTCTTATAAGAGCATTGAACAAAGTCGATCAAGAATTCCACAACTCTTCCTTCTTATTCTGCTTATTTTGAAACTAAGCTACTCTCTACACTCAAGCCACGAACCTGCATACTAGATTTTATCAAGAATACTCAACACCAAAATGCCTCTCGTCATCCCAGGAATCACCAGCAACTCAAACGACAAGACCACAGAATGGTCGAGCAAGCTGGTGGGCAAGACAGTTTCTGACAACGACCACACTGAGACGGCAGGTTCTCATTCCATACCACATACCACAGGCAGTAGATAACTAATACATGCAATCACTCAGAACTTTTGCAAGAAGGATCTCCCCCAACAATGCCGTGTCATTCAGCCGGGCATGATGGTAACCAAAGACTTCAACCCCGACCGACTGAATGTCCACGTCAAGGATGACGGCACCGTGACCCATGTCCAGCACGGTTAAGTGCCCGCATCTCACCATGCGTGCGTAGCTCAGCTCGAGAAGAGGTACTGTTTTCAGGCTGGATGTTATTGGTGCAAAATGGAGTTCTATCGCGTCACTAAGGCTCTCATCCTTTGTACCTGAGTTTATGAGTTTCGGGAACGACAACTACCTAATAAAGCAAGTTATTATCTCTATGAGTTACTTAATGACAATGTGATATCCATTTACAACGATTGCTATGTTACGATTAGTAGTACCTAACTAGTACTTATGTTGAAAATACTAACACAGAAGACCTTATGCGAATGATTACTATACAATGACTTATCAGCACCAAGAACAAGCTGTGCGTCGGCAGGCAGCATAATCATCTGGGGCGACATACATACATATGTCACCGTATCACAAACGTGCCAAAATATCACATGCATGTCATGTAAGTATCCCTTGATCCTTACAGGGACATATGTAGGACTTCCATGAACTACTGCATGTACGGCCCCAAAATCCCCATCCCCATCCCCATCCCCGCTGTCGCAGAGAAAACTTGCGCACAGACTCATGTCTCCCCCCCTTTTTAGGAACACGGAGAAGCTCAGCAATCCGAGTAATACCGAATAGTTAAAGCATCCAAGACGTTCTTGCATTCTATTTACATCAAGCGCTTAGATTTAGTGCCTACTTATCAGCTACTCAGGTATTTACAGCTCACGCACGAAGCGTTGCTCAAACACCGTAACGAACCAGATCCAACACCTATCCACAATGGCCAAAATCGCCATCGCAGGTGGTTCCGGGCGTGCGTCAATCTCGCGAATCCAGTGAAAGATTTTTTTTTTTCAGAAAATAAAATCACAAACTAAATCACATAAAACAGAGGTGTCCCAAGAGGTCATCGATGCCCTTCTGGCATCAAAGAAACATGAGATAACCATACTGAGCAGGAGGGTAAGAAGCTCCCCCCCCCTTTCTATACCCAGGTACCTACCTATATAGGCAAGTCCCAGCGATTCCTAGCAATCAGCCCCTAATCCCCAGCATCCCACCCGCATAGGAAGCTCCCACCACCGACCCCACCCCGCCGTCAATACAATGGCAGGTAGTCGACTACAACTCGCAGCCAAGCCTCGTCGCCGCCCTGCAGGGAACCCACACGCTCCTATCCTTCATCCAGATCCTCTCGGACCCGGAGTAGATGGCGCAGAAGAACCTGATCGATGCCGCGATCGCCGCCGGCGTGAAGCGCTTCGCGCCGAGTGAGTATGCGAGGTATGTTATTTTTATGTTATATCATGTCATCTAGTGTCCGCTGAGGCCGAAATTTCCCTTAAAAGCTCAACGTACCAACCTGCCTACTAGGGAGGCAAGTAACCTAGTTAGTACATTGAGATGCCTCGTACCTAAATAACTCTGTTGCAGTACATCTGCAACCAAGAAGAAGAAAGAGGAAAGGAAGAAAGCTTGCTTTATTCCCAACTACGGATGGCGGAGTGCCAATATATGGCCATAAGGGCCATATGGAGCTAAGGGTGCCTGAGGCACCTGCAACAAACTCACACCACGTGCGTGCCACAGCAAGGATACAGTCGACATGCCATGGTGGGCCGGGAAGGAGAAAGTGAGGGCGTACCTGGAAGAGGTGAACTCGAAAGGAAAGGTGCCTAAATGCCCAGGGCTTTCTCCGATAACCTTCCTCCTGCTCTTCCCCGAGCATGACGTACCCCGCTTCCTGCAGCTCGTACTCGGCTGCCTGGAACTCCTGTTTGATGTGAGGCGGCAGGTTGATGGCTTTGAGGAGTATACGATTGGTAATATCCGGATCCAACCGGCGCACCCATGGTACGTCCCCATTCTCGGTGATGAAGGCTGCGACCCAGCAGAGGTTTTGGTAATCCGGGGTTGCCATGAAAGATAGATAGTAATGACAAAATGGATAATAATAGCGGTAAATAGGTCGGGACCAGGAGACCCCTCTTCGGCGTAGGGCCGGCAGGGCGGAATCTTGGCAAGTGAAGGGTGGATGGGCGGGAAAAGTGATGGGAGGGGGTTGCGGGCCCTCCTAGGAATTCGTGAACCCCTCTTCGACGACCAGGGTCGCCGGCAGGGTGAAAACGAATTTTATGAGAGCAGAGCAGAGCTACCAAGTGTTCTGGAGGATTCCGCGAGTAGTTGTAGCAGAACCAAGCGTGAGGGACCCCGAAAGCTTGTCAAAAGGTCGGATAGAAAAAGGGGAGGATAAGGTGGAATTATCAGTAGGAGATTGGGAAGGTGATTGATTTGGTGGGCTCCGCCACGGATGGCTCAGCTTCTCAGGGGACTTAAAATGGACGTGCCTTTCGTCCTCCCTCTGAAGGTTAGGGTTTGTTTGCTGACAACGGCTCTTCTTCAGTGAGAATAGGAAGGCGGACAACACGCCTCTTCGTGGGGAAATGGGCCACCTTCCCCGGGTGTTGAGGGGATCGGGGTTTATTAAGCCTGGGTCGTGCTACCTCGAGCGTAGCCAAAGGAGCTTCGGGTTAGCTAGAACAAAAATAGCCACATGCCGTTAAAACTACATGGAATTATTCTGGAATAGCTTCGCAGTACCAAAACTAAGGAAATATGTCCTGGAAACTTTTGTTGAAAACCTCTACCAGCCCAACACTCTGACGTGAAGTCGACGGGGCATTCAAGACAACAACACCCACTTCTCCCATCATCTTATGATAGTCTTCTGAAACCAATGCTCCTCCCGGAAGATGTCCATGCAATATCTCGAAGGGAGAATGACCAATTTGCTCCAGGTTTTTGCCGTTTACACTTCTCAGCCCGTCAGGTCGGAGTTCATTCCATCTCTGTGCCATGTCTGTCTGAATCTCGATTTGTTGAGAATTTAAGTGCAGGGGGTCAGTCATCGTCGTTGTCGACCCGGAAACAAGTTTGTTCAAAACATTCTGGACACATATCTAGGTATGTAATGTTCGTAGTTTCCGAGGAGGTGTTAGAAGCCTCCACTCAACGGCGATGTTGTTCCGCATCTTCTAGATTCCACCTCGTGACTGTGTGGTCTAGCTTTCTTACTCATGCCATCTGCTTGGATAGGCGTCGCTAAGGACGACGTTATTTTTCAAGCCTCGAATGTCCGCAACCATTCGTCCCCTGAGGTGTAGAGTCTTGAATACGGATTTGACTCTAGAGGGGCAAGATGTTGCGTGTAAAGCACCTTGTTAAGGTGCTGTAGGGGATAGTCAAATATATAGAGCGACAGGCTGTGATAAGCGTGCTTCGATATTGACGTGAGAGGTTTGGTACAATTGATAGATGTTTCGATACAGAAGAGTTTGACGACCGCCTGTTTCTGCTGTAGGTCATCAGGGCACCCCCATGCATTTCTGATACTTTTATGAATCATGATGTTATTAAGCGCCAATCACCTCAATACCGAGTGGGTGAAGGAGCCCCTGAGTAGCTACTACGCATACGTAGCACTTGCTGGTTACTGGAGGCTTCTACGGAAGTCGCGATGCTTTTTATGCGAAGAAACTCAGTTTCAAAGTTTCTATTTGATATTAAGGATGCCCTGAAGAAGTTTGTTTCTGTTTGCCGTGTTATATAGAAGTACTACTTATGCAAGAGTAAGAAATTGTCTCATGTTTTACTTTAACCTTGGCTGTTATTGTGGATTGTCATGGTACTAACGATTGACGTTCAGTGTGATTAACAAATCCGATATGTGGTAGACCTTTCACTCCTCCTCAAATCGATAATATTGCTTCTCGTGAATTTGGGCTATGTGTGAAGCAAATGCGCTCTCGGTTGTTTACAATCCACCCGACACTAGGTAGACACTAAAGTATGCATACCTATATTGGGTCATGAGATTGTATATCGTGGTTTTTATTTTCCGCTTCAGAAAAGGTATAGAGAATATTGACAGCACGATGCTACATTAGAAGTGGTTCTGTCGAGAGTGGGCTGCCCGTCGGTCAAGTCCACAGGGCGACGCAATATTCTCTGTAGTACACACATATGTATATAATAGGTATTGTACATACATCAATAATAGCAATATAGATAGGTTGCATATATGCACCTAGGGCTAAACAAGCCAAGCAGATCCTGGAAAAGCTTAAAAGCTAAAGAAGCCAACATCCATTCAGCTCACGCTCTAGGCATCGATAATCCGCCTGCGGTTGGCCGTAGAGCAGTTTTCTGGGCTCCGCCACCTTGCTAGCTCTTCCGCACCAACCAGGGGGGTACAGCCTTATGTGTGCATGCAATAGTAGTACGTACACTGCTTAACCTGATCAAGATCTAGTTCGTGTTGCCAGCAAGTCAAACTACCGAGATAACCGTAATTACTAACATTAAAATGCATAGAATTATGTATGTATCCTGCCTAGCATAGTTACATACTTCTATGTACTATGTATTAGCTGCGGGCTTAGGACTACCGAATATTAGTAAGAGACCCCGACGCTCCCAGAAATTTCTTTACTTCTAAGATTAACAACAACAAATCATACGTTGTTGCAGTTTTTCATATTCATCATCTCCAAGTAACTAACTAGCAACTGTAACCTGTGTGCTACTCTATGTAGTAGGTACCTAACCTTGGAAGCTATTCAAACGACACATCATGCAGAGATGTGACAGTCCATTTCCATAAAAGTCCGAAATTCTGTCTCGTATCCTCATTGGGTCAATCACCCTTTCCTATCCTAGGTTACCTAGCGAGCACCGCCCAGTCAACGAACGAGGCATTAAAGCATTAATTGACTGCGGCCAGGAGGATGGGTATGCAGCTTGCGAGTAAGCCACTGATATGTGATGCGTCTTTGGCATGGTCGTCCTATAGGACAGGACGTAAGCCACCAAAAAAAGATATGTATCAAGCCTCGAGTCTCATGTTGCTTTGACTTATGTATTTATCACCTAGATCTTTTGTTAGGCATCTGCCGTGAGAATTCCCAGAATTCTCTTCCTGTCCGGTCCTGTCCTAAAGGGGAAGAGACCCTGATAAACGCGTCGTCGTGATGGGCTAGACTGACTAATTTAGCGGCAAGTAGAAAGCCGAACAGGAGGATGTATTTCAATACATATTCAGCTCTACGAGCCCAACTGGCCCCCGAAGTTTTTTTCCTCATCTCCTTTAGCCCTATATAATAATCCAGCCCCCCTTCCCTCTTCGTTACGCAGATCTGTCTTGTTTTGAAAAGTTTCCGCGTGTTCCGGACCAGCAGATGTGCAAGTGTTTAAGACTCAAGAAACCTAAGGCACTTACATAGGTTATTAATTGTTTAGCGGTGGTACACACAAAACAGACAGACGAAACCAGACCAGACGAGTCGGGAAGTACAAGGTGTCACTCAACTTGCCACAAAACCTGACTAGTAGAATCAAGAAGACCAGTTTTGTCTGGTATTTCTACGCTTGAAAAGAGAACTGGGTTCGAATTCACTCCACAACAACATTGAAACTATCCAGACGGTCTCCACAGTATCCGAGTTACCTATTACGGTAACTTACACCAATTTCTTGGCTCAGCCGCCAGCAACGTTCAACTTCCCAGCATAGTATTTACTTAGTTGGTAGTAGGTACTTAATCGACCAAGATGCTCACTCATGGCTCACCCGCGGCACTCCTGCCATCCACCCTTCTCCCCATCCTCCTTCTCTTCTCAGGATCTTCCCTCGCCGTGAACTCGGCACTGCCGGACCGATCCCCATGCATCCACCTAAGCGCTGTCAAGCTCTCCGAGGGGGCCGCTTGTGGTGACAAAGGTTCCCTTGAATACTGCTTCCTCAACGCACCGCGGTACCTTGAGACCAGCGATCTCGAGCGATGCTTCCGAAACGCTGGCTGCACTACGCCAGAGGCTGGCATCGAGGCCCGCTTCATCCTGAATAAGTGTGACAACGAGAAGTCTATCGCAGAGCTTAGACGGCGTGCGCCTGAGCCTTTCCCAGGTAAGCCCTCCCTCACCTACTTGAACAAGTGAAAGAAAAATAAGGAATGAAGGGCCGTGGAATCCACGGAATATTGTATATGAATCTGACCCCAGCTCCAGAACCCCAAGATGCCACCACTACGGCCGCAACCACCACCGCGGCAACCACTGCGGCGACAACCACCGCCGAGACAACTACCGCCGAGACTACCACCGCCGAAACCACAACTGCCGCGGCCACCACCACTGCTGCAACAACCACCGCCGCAAGCACTACTGCCACAAGCACAACCGGCACCAGCACCGCCACAAGTACCACAGGCACCACCACCGGCAGCAGCTCGAAGTCCAGCCTGCAATGCAGCACGACCTCCTCCATCACGACCTCCTCCTGCCCGGTCCAATCCACTGGCACCGCCTCGGGCGTAACCCTCTCGTGCTTCGAGACCGTCGTGCCCACCTTAGTCTGCGCGGACGAGAACATCTGCTCCGAGGACGACAATGGCAACGCCGTGTGCATGGTGCGGCGCGACACCCTCGACACCATCGAGATCGTCGTTACCGTCTTCCTCGGCGTCTGCCTTGCCCTCGGCATCGCCGTCTTCATCTACTTCTGCTGCCGCGACAAGCGCGCCATCCGCAAGCGCCAGGCCAAGATCGAGGCCGCGAATATCGCCAAGACAGCCGCCGCCGCCGCTGCTGCGCCTGCGGTTAAGAGGGATGTTGCTGTTACGCATCCGCAGAGTGGGGGCCAGGCGGCTTATTATCAGGGTGATATCCACAGGAGCGAGAGCAATAGCAGTACCCTGGCTGGAGCGGCAAATGAGCCCGTCTCGTATAGCCAGTACCCCCAGCAGGGCGCAGCGGCAGGCGGGCACGCGGGGTACGGCAGTAATAACCCGTTCTCTGATGGACAGAGGTTTTAAGTCTACCTAGGTTAGGTCTCTAGGTATACAAAGAAGTTGAAGAAGGGGGGGTAATGCGCGATGAAATCGGTGGAACGGAACGAATGAATTCGATGTCTGACATTCTTACGCGATATTAGGGTTATTACACTGTCTAAGGAATGAAGGAAGGAAAGGAGAGAGGGAGAATGAATCTCAGGGATAGGTACCTATCTATCTAATTGCATGGCATTGGGGGTCTACGTTGCTGCGAGGAAAGGGATCTGATTATACCCCCTACATAAGATGAGCTAGCTAGAGCTCCACGTCTTTATTACGATGGATGTGTTGAGTTAATATCCATGAAATGATACAATGAAAAAGCTGCTTTGAAGCACTTGGGATGGCCCACCTCTAACCTCTAGGGCTGACTATGCATTTCTAGTAGGTGTGGATGACTATGCTCTTAGGTATTGCTTGAGAACCTGAAGGACTAGGAAAATGAACAGGCAAGGATAGTGACAATAGGAGGGATAGCTAGCTGGCTTGCTCGTCTATTTGGCAAAGGTGCCTTGTGTACCTAATCAATGCTAATTAATATACCTATGGCACGATACGACTGATGATCCTACATACCAGTCAAGCACGTAAATAGCTTCTTCCAACTGGGCCGTTGAATACCTACTGTAGGTACCTAGGTAGGTGGTGCGTACCTAAGTCCTAGCCCCCCTCCCCCCCTGACCTAGGTAGTAATCACTCTCTCTCATACCTACCTAGGTAATGTACATAGGTACGTGTAGCTTGAAATTTCCGAACGAAGAGTTTTTTTTTTTGCATGTAGGTAGGTACTCGCTGATTGATGTTTGTTTTCTCAGCTTGCTTTATTTTATTTAACAGGATCTTGCGTTGCGTTAACCGCCTTACCTTAGGTACCTTAGGTAGGTAAATAAATAAATAAATACTAGGCCTGCCTGACCTGATAGCTAGCCTAGGTAGGTAGGTAGGTAGGTATCTATCTTACAAAATACAGCTTATGAACGAGCTGAGTGTGGTGGTGATGGGGGTAGGGGTGGGTAGGTAGGTAGGTAGGTAGTAAGGGGGTTGAGAGGAGCGAAAGAAGGGGGCGGTGATGCTGCATACCTATCTAAAGAAAGAGCTTCGATATCTAGGTAACCTGCCCAACCTACCTACTCAATCTCACGATACCTACCTAGGTACCTAGGGACTTACTTATATAAAGTACGGCTTCTAAGCAAGTTGTTAAAGTCATGTACATACATACCTAGGGAAGTACTGTAGGGAAGTTGGTAGGCATCTACCTATTAGATCAGCCGAAAAAGTCTTCATATTACCTAGTTAATGGAGGCTAGTTACCTATCAAGCAAGTCACCTTGAGAGTGGTCGAAAATCGTACCTAGGATCAGTATATACCTACCTACCTATGCATACATAGTACCTAACCTAAGTAGATATGTGTGAACAATACTTACTTACCCCTGACCGAGAGAGGTCTGGGTGTGTACACGAGGTAGGTATGTAGGTAGGTAGGTAGTCACGCATTCACGCCTACTCACCTACAGTCACACTCACACTCAACAGTAGGCCCATCTACCAATCCATCCATGAATCCCCGAACCCATGAAAACTTAACGACTCTCCTCATCACTCATTGCTCTTCACGCATCGAATGTAAGTAAGTACCTAGGGTAAGTTAAGCATGCCATTCATGCATACGAACCGCCAACGCAGGCACATAATTATGGGCACAGCTAGTGAAAAGAAAAGAAAAAGAAGACTCATTATGCACAACCGGGTTTTCCATTCATAATAAATGTCCTTCCTGCTCTGCTCTGTTGGGCTCACAAATTAAATCGGGAACTATGACGAGTTTCAAAGAGAGAAGAAGAGAACAGTATGTTTTTTTCTCCTCTGCCTCTGAAAAAATGTCTCTTAAAAATGCACAAGGAGAATGAATTCCTATCATGCTTCGTTTTTTCACAACGATGAATTTGCCCAAAAACTGGGATATCTGCCGACGTACTGATTACAAAGGGCACCCGTGTTATGCTCACCCAGCCACGGTCTAAAAGGTACATGACAAGTTTTTTTTTCGAGTCGGACTCACCCCCGACTCTCCCCAGAAGAAAGAGAATCTTAGATACGACCTCTAATCTCCTTGGTGACTAGCCTTTTCCCCTCTAGTGGCAATAAAGCCGCTACCCCTTATAAATTCCTCATGCAATTGTCGTAGTCCTCCTAGGCCTTGGACACAAGATGGTCAGGCCGTGACCCGAATCCTTGGTATCCTACCTAAGCTCCCGAGAAGTGGCTAGGCGAGCCAGTTCCTACGACCGGACTGCCAATTTCTCCAGGAGCTCCCACACTTCGCGAGAAAGAAGCCGGAACCGATCCACCATCTGCTTCGAATCGAATAGAGACCTTGCTACTGTTCTCGTCACGTCGGATGTCGAAGCCTCCGCCACCATTCTGAGGATTTCCTTCGGTTTCGCACATCTCCAATAACTCCGCCTCTGACACAGGTTCATTTACTGAGAGGTTGATGGAGTCCACGTGCCCCTTGATAGCGGACAAGTCTATGTAACCTGTCGAGTCTGCAGCGTGGGCCTCGAGGTCCTTGCAGGCGCGGACTAGCATCTGGCGAACAGCAATGGGTCGAGGCTGCGAGGCTCGCATGCCAGGCGGCGTAGACCCGAACGCAGCATTTGGCGGCCATGCTGGGTTGGCGAACCCGGGCGGCGGGGAGAATACGTTCGGGTGGCCCCACGCGGTGTTCATGGGCGAGCCAAGGAATGGATCAATAAATGGAGCACTGGGGAACGGAGGGAGGGCTCCAGGAATAGCAGTGCCTTGCCTAGAAGGACCAATGCCTCCAAATTGCTCCTCTGAATCATCCAATAGAGCACTACTGCCCAAATGATTACTAACGTCATCGATGTCCGCCGACAGGTCATGGCTTTTTTGGCCGTGGACAACACTACCAGGTCTACCAATAGGTGCTGGTCTCCCAATGGGCTGAGACTTGCTACTTGAACCCTTCAAGTCCAGTGGGTTAGCATCAAAAGATGTGTGGCGCGAATGCGACGGTGGATGCCCTGATACACCCTCTGGGGAAAAGCCTTGATGGTGCATTGCGGGTAATGGTTGATCTGATGGTTGATGGAACCCGGGTGGCGCGTGCGGCATTGGGAATGGTCGACCGACCATTGGATTAGGGGCAGGGAAACCTGGCGGTACCGGCATGCCCATATGACGAAAGTTTGCGGGGGCCGGGAATATCGGATCGTGCATTCGGTTAAAGGCCGGTGCCATCTGTGGTGGTATTCCAGGAGGGAACTGCATCCCAATAGGAGGCATTCCCATGTTGAAAGATCCAGGATGTGAACTGGGCGGGCTCTTGATTCCCGCGTGAAGGGGAGAGGCCGGTTGAACCGGAGGTCCCGCACTAGTGGGTCCTGTTGATGATGGTTTTCTCGGTGGGCCGATGGGGCCAGGGCTGGTATGCAGCGGCGTGAGAGCATGCGGCGACACGTTTTGACTTGGACCGGAGGCTGAATGAGAAGCCTGCGAAACTGATCTCGTCACTTCTTGGGAAGCGGCCCGAGGTTTCATAGGCGTGGGAGCTTTAGGTAGAGCAGGAGTCGCAACGGCGACTTGAGGGGATGGATGATTCATCGTAGGTTGATGAGGAATGGCAGGAACGGAGATCAGGTGCTGTTTCTTTGCCGGCTGTATAGGAATGGGCGCTGCAGGTGTTATGACTTTGGCTGCCGCCTTGTCCTTTTCTTCCTGCTTCGTCTTTTCCTTGGCGTCGCGTTCCGCCTTGGCCTGAGCCGCTCTCAACTCCTTGTCTCTCTTGTCTTTCTCATGCTTTTCCCTTCGCTCTCGAGTCTCGCGCTCCTTAAGCTCGCGAGCTTCCTGCTCCTTTCGGCGTTGCTCTTCTTTTAACTTCTTTTCGCGCTCCTTCGCCTCGCGGATCTTTCGTTCCTGTTCCGCTTGCTTCTCCTTGAGTTCATGGGCGCGTCGTTGTCGTTCGAGCTCCTTTCTTTGCCGCTCCTCCTCCTCAGCCTTCTTCTGCGCATCCTTCTTCTTGCGCTTCTCCTCAGCCCTGAGCCTGGCTTCTTCTGTCCTTCGCGCATCCTCTGCTAAGCGGGCGGCCTCTTCGGCAGCCTTTGCAGCCTCTCGTTTTGCCTTTTCCTCAAGCTGGGCTTGCTTTTTCTGGGCAGCCTTGTCTTTTCGTTTCTGCGCCTCCTTTGCCTTCTTAGCCTGTCGCTGGCTCTCCTGTGACTTTTCCTCCTCGAGCTCTTCGATGAGTTTCTCTTGTCGCTCTCTCGCAACCTTCTCGCGATATGCGGTCAAGACTCTTTGCTCGAACATACGCGCAGCAAAGATCTGAAACATTCGCCGACCCTCTTCCATTCGTTGCTCCTCCGTCATTGTGTCCTATATAGAATATCAGCCAAAGGCACGTCCAGAGCAGGCTTATAATATACCTCTTCCTCTTCATAGTCTTCGTCTTGACTATCATACTCCTCTTCTTCCTCCTCGTCCTCGTCGAACTCTTCATCCTCTGGGGGCGGGTGGTTGTGAGGGGTAGGTAGGGACGCGCCGTTAACGGGGTGGCCATAGGCTCCTGCGTAGTGGTCCTTGGCATCTTCCTCGCGAGCCATTCGTCGCTCGGCTAGCTGTTCCATCATCTCAATAAACTTCTTGCCGTCGTTCTTGAGTAAGTCGTCTGCTACAGTAAGAATGCCGCCTAAGACATGTTATTCAAACACGTTGGACAAACGTATGAACCAAGGTTGTGGGTTACAACGTACCTTTGACAGTGAGACTCTGGCCAAAGTTGAAGAAATCGGTCGGATATAGGTCGCGGGGAATCTCCTCTGGCTCATCCTCGTCCTCATCCTCCTCTTCGTCTATTCCGTCTACGTCACTATACTCCTCGACATCCTCTTCTTCCTCCTCCTCATTGTCCACGTGTTCTACTATGCGGCCATGAGAGGGATGATGATTCGAATATCTAGACGGTAAGGCGCCGGGAGGATGTAGGCCACTGATAGGACCAAATCTCTTCGGAGAAAACATGGGCGGCGCATTCGGGTGGTTTTGAGGCTGATTCGCGAATGATTCTAACTCCTGGTAGTACGCGTCATACAAGCCTTCCAGCTCTTCCTCGATCGCGGTTCTTTTGCGCCCGCAAACAGAACAGCTACACGTGTGTTTCTGTTGCTCCTTCATCTTCTTGAGCACGGCATCCTTCTCGACCTTCACAAGCGACTTTCGCTCGTCTTCTCCTAACCCAAGCCAGAACTGCTTGATACGCTCTCTCTCTTCAGGCCCGGAGGTGTTCCATATCTTTTCCTTTGATATGCCAGAGGGGTGGTCGTTCACCGGCTCCTCGACTATTCCCTTCTGCTTCTTCTTTTTCTTAGACTTCTTGGACTTTCGCGCAGTCCCGTTGGTCGTTTGGCTAAAGGAATGGCCACCATCATCACTTTCGGTCTCGTCGCCCCAATCTTCGCCATTGTGGATGTGGGCGTGATGGTGGGATGGATGGCTTTCGTTAGACGCAATGTTGCGGGAATTGTGTAGGTCCTTCTTCTGCGACTCTATCGGGACGGGTAAAAGCGCACTGCTAGTGGATGCCGGACTAGGGAGACCATTCGCGGCTTGTTCAGCCTGCTCAGCCTGTTCGGCGGCAGCCTTAGCGGCAGCTTTCGCTCGACGTTTTTGCTTTTTGCGATTCACTGGTTGCGCGGGGGCTACGTCAGCGGTAGCTGGGATACTAGTCGGGGCACCACCTCTAGAGGACGAGGTGGTAGTCGGCGACGGTTGAGCGGGCGGAGTCGAGGCAGATGACTTGGGAACAGAGATGTATTTCGTTCCATCTTTGTTGGTATACTTTGCCGTTGCCTTCGAAGGTGCGGGGCCCTGCGATGCCGACTGTCGATTATTGTTCTTGGCCGGCATTCTGTAGGAAGTTGGAGGTGAATGAGGTGAATGGGTACGGGGGAGTCATGTGCGATCAGCTCCGTACTCGGGGTCCTAGTATGCCTAGAAGTTCCTAGGAGCAGATTAAAGAACACAACTGGAATGATGAATGTGATGAGTGGGTTAGATGAGTATGTAGCGTATGTAGCGTAAGTAACACTTGAAGATGCTGCTGTCTGCTTTGTTTGGCAAAGGCAGGTCACTATGTTGTTGCCCCTCTCCGACTGGGTAAGTGGTAGTTAGTGGTGTGGGAGATTGGCGACAGTGGAAACCCGAAGCAGCACGCACGCACGCACGCACGCCAGAAACGCAGACGCAAAGACACAGGCGCCCGCAATTTTATTATATGGGATTTGTCTTTTACCTCAGCCACATTAAAATGATAATGGTAATCATGGATAGATGGGGCAAGCGAAGCTACCTTAGTACCTACTAGGTAGCAGATAGGTACCTGGTTAGCTGGGTTTTGGATGAATAGTTTGAATGGATGGATTGGCTGGGCTTGTGTGGGCTGGATGGGGATGGCAAAGGGCAAGGTCAAGGTGAATGTGAAATTTTGTTTGTGTTGTGTTGTTACCTTGTAATGTAAGTAGCTTAGAATGTAATGGGTAATGATTGAAGGGCAATAATGGTTAATGGTTAATGGTTAATGGTTAATGGTTAATGTAAAATGTAAAAAGAGTAGTGGGTAGTGGGTAGCGGGTAATGGGCAATGGGCAATGGGCAATGGGTAATGGGTAATGGGTTATGGGTATGTTTAAAGAAAGGTGTGTAGTAAGTAAGTTGTTAGTATGACAATTTCACTGGTCGCCAAGGTGAAGAGAGAGGATTTGATGGATTTTTGGTGTTCGTCTTTAGTTTATTTGGGTCGATTGGGTCATTGGGTCATTGGGTCATTGGGTCACTGGTTCACTTGGTTATTTTGGCGTTGGCCTCTCTTACGTCTTGTCCTGTCCAGCTTTAATTGTTTTTCCACCAAAAATAAAAAATAAAAATAAAAAAGAGACGTTTCGAAATCTATGTACATATGTAAGCCTCGAGGTTAGGCAGGTACAATCTCTCTTGTACAAGTACTATGCCGTACTGTCACCTATGTACTGTAGCTTAACTTTTGGCTTGTGGTAATGTGCGGTAAATTGGTATGTAAATTGATAAATCATGGTCAATCCGAGTAGTACGGTACTCCTCAGGTACCTGATCGGTACCTGATAGTGCGTTTCAATTGATCTATTACCGCAAAATATCATGCATTATCTAAGCTTCAGGGCTATTATCATATTGATCTTAGCAGGTAACATGCAATCAAGTTAACTACATACATCACGATCCACATGGATATATATGTACTTGTACATACATAATGTTGATCTAGTACCTACATGTAGTAATTATACATAAATTGTGCATACATACTTCCAACTTTGAACATCATTGATGTTGCCTGTGCTGCTACTACTAGTAGTACTAGGTACTATGATAACTAGTCACTATGCAGTATCATATGCACAAGTGCAACCACTGGACAGACAGATAGGTCAATACATCCATGGACAGTACTACTACATAACATTGAAGGTGTCGACACTGAACCTTGAACATTCAATGATGTATGATGTATGGCCTTAGGCATTCCACTCTTACAGCCCATGTGCAGCCTCACCTCATCAGCCCCCAGTTTTACCGGTCGGACATCCAGGAAAGACGTAGCCGCGCAAACATTGGCAGCTGTCACATGATTGTTTAGGTATTAGGCATTATTATGCACTTAAGGTACGTTCATGTCAGTAGCTTGAGCTTCAATCATTAATGTTCTTTCTTTCCTTTTTTTTTTTTTTTGCAGTTAATAGTTAATTTTCAATGTTTGATTACCGTGCCAATTTCTCAGATCTCTTCTCTCTCAGCTGTCACTCCTTCATTATCATTCTCTTTAAAAATACCCTGATGGCTGGTGCTTGAATGCATCTTTAAATCATAGTAATCATAACCTTACCTTTCAATGTTAGTTTTCCCCTCATGGTTAACATTGATGTGCGCTTTGGATCGAATCGAATTTCCTAGTGGTCAGTTCATAAATGATTCAATCAAAACCCCAGCACATCTTCCCACACTTACCAGCCCACCTAGAACTAGTCTAGGTAGTAGTAAGGCTGGCGATGATCCAGAGTGGTTGGTGACCTCTCAACCAGCCTTATTCGTACATGTGTGTACTGCCTACTAGCCGGCATATCGTCTCCTTACCTATTAGATATCACACGCTTAGGTAGTAAAGGGAGGCAGGCAGGAATTCAAGAGTGAATGATGGCAAGAAAGGGACACGCCCATACACGCTTCTATCTTATGTAGGTAACAACCACCCAAAATTTAACTTGATTGTCGTTGCAGATCCGATCTGCGTCTAAACCTGCGTCTAAACCTTTACAAAACATTCCCTCCGTACTTTACCATATCTGCGTACTGCTACGCCCAAGGAAATCCGCATATTAGCGTCTCCCAAACAATTTGATCGTTTCAAGTGTTTCTCCACGCCCTGTAACAGAAAATCATTTGTCTGCTTGCGAGCTGGTCTTGTCTGTTGGGCATTGCTTAGGAGTCTAGATGCTCCAGGGCTCCAAGCCCCCCAGCTAGGGATCGGTGGCTAATACCATAAAGTGCCCTGTGTTGAATTGTTTCCATTGATCAACTCGCACCGGTAGAGAGATGGATAGTTCACACATCTTATATGGTACTGATAATCTCACGAAACAACTCTTTTCGCAGGCATCATATTCGTACGTACATCTGTGCCATGACTAATTAGTATATTAGTACGTAACATGCTACATTTTGTAGGTACCTTGGGATACTCTATTCAATGTATTGAAACATCACATCAGGGAGCACTGACGGTGTTAGTTGCAAACCAAATCGATGTTGTAAGTTTGGTATTTCCCCATGATCCCCCTCACCAAGCGTTGTGGTAGGACATGCATGTTGGTCATGACAGGCATCTCGCCATTATATGTAGGGAAGGTAGGGAAGAATTTGCAGTGAAGGGAGGGAAAGTAGGAAAAGTAGGAAAAAGTTCGCTGAGGTTACATATGTAGTAAAGTTATGCATCATCCAGTTTTTAATTCTGAAACCTGCGAAACCTGCGAAACTTGCAGCCCGCCGGGGCGATCTTAATCAGCCAAACGCGGCGACACGGAACCTTGGAGCGGTCAGCTCGGTCATGTCTAGTTGGTCTAGATGGTCTGGATGTCTCTGAATTTCCTATGCTTCCGTAATATAGATCGGAATAGGCTATCTCAAGTCTGAGAACTTACACCTAGTGACTGTGAGGAGAGACAACCCACCCTATTACTAGAGTCCACATCAGTCGTCAGATGGATCAGCTTCGCAATTCCGCAACACATGTTTGAGATACCTGGTTACTAACTACATGCTACATACATAGGTAAGCAACCTCGAATATGTAACTAGTAAGTAACTAGTATTAGGTATAGGTAGTACTGGGTAGGTATGTAGGCATGTAGGCATGTAGGCATGTAGGCATGTAGGCATGTAGGTTAGGTAACTTGTGAATTCCATATTATCTCAACGACGATGAGGCCTCTCGCTTCCACTCTTTCCATGACTCTGAATCCTACTGGCTCCCCTCCCATGGTATTGTATGCGATCTGGCGGCCTGACAAGACCAACTCACAGTCTTACACACTTATTAATCAATGTTTTATCAGGCCATATCGAGTTGTGCCAGGCCAATCGTATACTCACCAGTCAATTGCATCTGATAGTTCCTTGCTAACCAAATGATCTAAATGATGTTGTGGCACAGGCCTGACTGAACGCACCTAACCTTAGTCTGTTTGATCAAGTTGGCTCCTGTAACGTAGTGGTCCTCCGGGTTTGGCATGACTGCATCTTAGTGGCGGCATCTCGCAGCTACTTCTTTTCTTTCTGCCTTTTTTTTTTCTCTTATTCTTCTTCTAATCAGCTTAGCATGCTGTGTTCGAAAAAGACCATTGTGATCATTTTTGGTCAAGTTTGCTTGGCCATGACGGGGAGGAGGAATAGATGGATGGGGATTCGTAAGTATGTATGCCTACTACATATATGTGCACTTAGTTACATATATTGTAGGTGGTAAGTTAGGGAACATGTTAGTGCTAATGCAGTACTATCAACATTGAATAAAGTAACATGGAGTGACTGTATAGATGTACTGTATAGATGCATGTATTATTGTACAATACATATCATACATACTCAGCACATGCCTGGGCCCTGTATTATATATATATTGGACTGTAGTTCCTGCCTTATTCAAATGTGTAAAATCAACTTTTTCCTAACGGTTGGGAAACTGCTAATCTTCAATGTTCCCAGTCTAAACAGCTGGGCATTTTCGCGACTGATTAACCTTGTCCAAATTTGTCTGGGGTCAAGCTTGACCAATTATACGGCTCCATTTGTTGAAGCTGAGTTATAAGTTACAGGGGGTTACCGACACGGACTAATAAAAAGAACTGAGGGACATCAATCCTTTAACGGAGACTTTAAAATCTACCGCGAAACCCGGCTCCTGTCTAGGCCTGGCGCTGGTCGCTTCGTATTCGACAATTTTTCTAACAGTTATCTTTTATCCTCAACATCATTATATTATAACCGCGACGAAGAACGCGAAAAGGAGAATATTATATATATTTTTATATATTTTATATATATTTCCTTTTATGTTGTGAACAAGTGAGAAGCCAAGGGAAAAGATACATATCTATCTACCTACCTAGGTATCTATCTACATATCAAACAAGAAGGGATATCATCTACCTACATAGGTTAGGTAGGTATATTACAGTACCAATACTACCAATACTACCAGACCTACATAAGGTACTAGGTCCCATTGGCGAAATCTGGAACCCCCTACAATTTGCTATACAAGTTGTACTCGTTCTTTAATATATGCAACCCGACGCCGAACGCGAGTCCTGTACTCTCTCGAAGCTTCATCGAAAGTCAACTATATTCTAGCCACCCTTTTCATCTACCGTGGTTTACATACCTAAATCTACGCTTACACCTATACTTCAATTCACCAACGAGGTGACCCCCGAACCTGGGGATAGCGGAAAACGGCATTGAAACTCTCGATCCCTTTTTATTACTAGCACCGCGCGTCGTCCTAATCGTCTGAACCGTCTTAACCGTCTTAACCGTCCCTAATACACGAGTCGAATCCCTTACCTGATCTCGACGAGCAATAATAGTCGAGCAAGAACGAGCAAGCCTCCACCCCCTTTTTTTTCTTTATTAGAACTGGTATTTTTTCGCGTAAAGAAATGGCGAGTTCAACTCCGCAGAATGTTATTCGCAGGTAAGTTTTGTTCGATAGTCGATCTATTTTTGACGTCTTTGTCAATTAGTTATCTACACAGCCTCTGTTCCCTACATAGCCCCCACGACGTCACCCACCATCAATGAAGCTCATAATCATCCAAGCGAGCCTTGTCTCGCAGACACATAACTCTCCCCTCCTTTCTCAACTTATCCAAAAACTTCTCTACACCTGGCTACCGTTACGTTTGTTCGACTTGCGCCATGCCCGTTACTAACCCGATCAACAGGAAACTAGTCATTATTGGCGATGGAGCTTGCGGCAAGACCTCTTTATTGAGTGTCTTCACATTGGGATATTTCCCAACTGTAAGATCACCTTATCAATCTCCCCTCTTATCATACTTTTCGCTAACCAGCTCTACCATAGCACTACGTAAGCGCATCCCGCTCGATAACGGTCTATACCCTGAAGATAAATAGACAAACTGACCAGTTCTTTTCCTTTTTTGCAGATCCCGACCGTGTTTGAGAACTATGTCACAGATTGTAGGGTAGACGGCAAGTCGGTACAACTAGCATTATGGGATACAGCAGGCCAGGAAGACTACGAACGTTTGCGACCGCTCGCGTACTCGAAAGCGCATGTGCTACTAATAGGATTCTCGATTGAATCACCGGATTCGCTCGATAACGTGAAGCACAAGGTCAGACAACGCCATTCTTTTTTTTGTCTAGGAATCATTATTATGCAACGTGGACGCGAGAAGCAGATAAGAGGGACTGTAGCTAACAAGAGAGTAGTGGATAGAAGAAGCGACCGAGCGATGCCCCGATGTTCCCATCATCCTAGTAGGCCTGAAAAAAGATCTGCGGGATGACCCCGTCGCAGTCGAAGAGATGCGCAAGAAAAGCCTGAAATTTGTGACCGAGCGACAGGGGGACCAGGCCGCGCAAGAGATCGGCGCGCGCAAGTACCTCGAGTGCTCCAGTCTTAGCGGCGAGGGTGTCGACGATGTCTTCGAAGCTGCTACTCGTGCGGCCCTACTCATCTTCGAAAAGGGTGAAGGCGGCGGGTGCTGTGTCATATTATGAGCGTACCTAGACACGCGGATCGATCGGGCCGGCCACGATGGCGCCAAAGAAAAAGACCCCCCCAAACCGAGGGCAAACTGCATATAACTATAAAATGGGAACGAAACGAACGACTTTCTCCCCGGGGATAATCAAAAAATTGGGTGTAAATTTTGGGGGGGAGTTCGGCGGAATGACTTCTCAGAAATCTTCTTTCTCTTTCTTTTTTTGTTCTGTTGGGAGATATGTGAGAAGATAAGAAGGGTCGGGCGGGCAGAGAATGAGGAGAACGATATAAGAGAGAGCATGAAGAAGGGGAAGATGAACGAATTAAAGGGGGCCCTATCGGGAGGAGTGGTTTGCGTGTGTGTGTGTGTGCGTGTGCGTGCAAGGACGAGCCGTAATGGGGGAGGGGAGTTGGTTGGGCTGGATCCGGAGCACAGAAATTATACTACCACGATCGAGGAAGAGAGCGAAACGCGTGCGGTGTCGGTGTCGAGATTCACATATCTGCCTGCCTGCCTACCTAACTAAGCCATCATCATCATTATTACCATCTAACTAAGATACCTTTTTTACCCATAAGGTACTACCAATACTACTACTATTACTCTTCATATAACTTAACGTGGGCAACCTATCTATATCTATCTATCTAAGTCCATTTATCGAGAGAGAACTATATAATATGGATGAATAGGTTGAATGGATTGGGTCTGATACGCCGCCAACGAACCTATAGGTGAGAGTAGGTATTGGATGTGAACGCGTGAACGCTGAAAACCACGAATGGTAAAGGGGCTTTGTCTCCTGTCTCCTGTCTTTCTATCTATCTACCTGCCTTCCTATAGGTTACCTTGATAAGTTGATATAGCAATACGAAGTAGTGAAGCTTTGTTGAGAAAAAAAAAATTTAGAGAAGAAAATAGAGAAAAGGGGTGAAGTGATTCGAGTGACTTCTGGTTATTAGTGACAGTATGACTACATATTTAAATTTCACATAGGCACTCTCCTGACATAGTATCTAGCACTCAGGGACATCGTCGTAAAACGAACCTACACACAGTACCTAGCCCTGGTATCTACCTATAACGGTTTTGCTTGCTTGCTTGCTTGCTTGCTTAGGTACTTGTTTGCTTACTTTTTATTATTAGTCTTGCGTTTCTAGCGTCGAAAAATGGTTCCGTGGATAGGTACCTGGTAAATATGTAGGTAGATAGGTAGTTAAACTGCCTCGGCAGCTCGGCCGAGGGAACTAGGTATGTAATAAGGAGTCCCAACAAATTCACCCATTTGGTATGGTAGTAAGTAAGTAGGCTCCTTCCACCTTCCAGTTATTGCTAGGTGCGGATGTGTCTGTCAGGGTATATGCCTTCTTTTTTTTTTCTCTCTCTTTCTTTTCCTATCTGCCGTGGGGCTTAATCATTTATTTAGGCGTATGTGTAGGACCTGTAGGTAGCTTGATAATTCATCCTGCGCTAATAAGGATGGGTTGGATAGGTAGGTATGGATGGGACGGGATGAGATGGATGGACGGACGGATGATGCACTAGCAAGGCCGAGGGTAAGCAGTAGTTAGTAGATAACACTGGATCAGCTCACCTGACTACGCTACAGTATTTATGTACCTAAAACTAACCTAGGGTTAGTAGATATCAACGTCCTGCCGTACATGGTAGCTGCGTGGTGGTAGGGAATCGCATGATTTCTAGTCTGTCCATATCTTGAGATGCCAAGACGGGATTTTTATAATGTACGTACAACGGAGGTTGGGAGAGGGTGGGAGGGAGAGGGTGTTACATGTTATGTACGAATGGGGGTACAGATGGGATCATCCAGGAGAGGAGGGCATGTAAGTACCTAATGTAGGTAGGGACTTAGGTAGTGTCACGGCGCAAATATCATGATACCTATGTCGGTTACAAACTCTGCCTACCCAAAGTCAGGTAATTTCCACAACAACCTTTGAGAAAGTTGGCATGGGCGGCCAAGTAGGTTCAAGTCAGGTAGGCATATATCTTGGTACATATGTAGGTATGTATAGTATCTACATCACAGCCCCTAGCGCGTCCAGTCGTGGTTCCAGGGCTCACGAGCCGGCGTCTCGGTCTGGGCCCGCGCGTACTCGATCGGCACGACGCCGTGTCCGTACATGCCCTTCTTCTCCATCGCCACGCGATACAGGAACCCCTCGTCGCGCGTTCCCGGCCCACTCGTCTTGCGCAGCTCCTCGCAGGCGTTGTGCATCGACTGGTACATCCTGCAACCACCATTATTAGTCTTGAGAAAAAAAAAATCACGAAAAACCCCACACCCTGAGCTTTATGATGGTGGGATAATAGGACAAGATGAGTATGAGAGGGTGAGGAGGGGGGATACATACCGCTCCAACTCGTGCGCCTCGCGCTCGCGCTCCTTGCGCTGGTACAGCAGCCAGGCGCGGTGGATCGTCCAGTGGCGGAGCGCGCGGTTGCGGGCGAAGCGCAGCGGCGAGGGGACCGCGCGCGGCATCGACGACTTCAGGTTCAGGATTCGCGGGTCCGGCGCCTCCCCTTTTCCCTTCTTCTTCCGCTTTTTCCCGCCCGAACCGCCTTTGGATCCGCCTTTGATGCCGGCGCCGCCGGACTTGGCATTTTGGTTGGGGGTTGTGTGGAGGGAGCGGATGAGAGAGGAGGGGGAGGAGGAGGATGTGGCTGCTGCGATGGTGGTGGTGGTGGTGGTGGTGGAGGGGTGGGGCGTGAATCGGCAGAGAGGAGTGGTGGTCGAGGGCAACCTCATGAAGAGGCTGCGGAGCGTAGGGGCGAACATGATGTGAGAATATGTAGATTATCTATGCCGCTGTTTCTGTGTTCCTCAACACCCAAGGTCTCCAATGGCTGGGCTGCTTCGTGTCACTGTCGTTGTCCGCGATATTCGATAGCTCTTTGGCGCTTTTAATATAAATTGGTGGTTGGGTTTATGTAGATTGACAACTTTCGGTATCTCCAACACTTTGCGACTTCACACGATGGTGTTGTGCACCTTGTCTCTCATGCAAGAGGTGTGCTCGCATAGGTAGACTTGTCGAATTAGGATGGGTTATCGATGGTAATTCGCAAGGGCCTCTCAAGTTCGAAATAGTATAGCTTTACACCTGCACAATTGACAAAATCGCATTCAAAAAGTTGCAAAGAGTTCGGAAGATTTTGGTGGGCGGGCGCAAAAAAAAGGTGCTTCATTTTGATTGGCCGATATTTTATCAATCACATCAAAGTGGATCAATTATTCTCCAAACCCGCCTTTAATCCCTGTCCTCAGCACAGGCCTAGATAGAGCCTCTGACACCCCTGCCAGCCACAGCAAGCAATTTCATGTTCGTGACAAGTCACGTCATATGCAAGTACCCGACACAATAACGTCAAAAAAGGAGATGGTATGGGCACATAAGAAGATGACATTGAAGTCTTATGAAGAGATACTTCTCAGATCTTAGCCTGCCGTAGCTACCACGGACCATTCCGGTTTTCAGCTCAGGTGTGTGATTGACTACACACCACTATTCAGCAATAAAAAAAAAACAAAAAGAAAAAAACATGCATGAACGGGGAGTCGAACCCCGAGCTCAACCTTGCTCTAGAGAGAGTGGAAGGGTTGAATGTTACCGCTACACCATTCATGCTAAGCAGATTGTAGACTGTTGTCTGGATCCACATTTTAATTCTTTGCTAAAATTAACATATGTAAGAAACAGCTAAGGTGTTTGGGCTTTGTGGATTGTGGGTTAGTTATGGGTTGTGATGTTTGATGAGATGTTAGAATAATAAACTTTGTCGTGCATAGATATCGCCGGGTTGATTTATACAGCTTCACTTGATTAGTCTATTCACTGTTGACCTCTGCTTTCTACTATCTAACTTAGGTATTTTCATCCCATCAGACTTGTAGCAAAATTATTTGTTGTTCCACCCATCAAAAGCATACCTAGTACAATCAATGAGAATAGTACCTAAATTTAGCCTCACAAGTATAGCTTCAATGTTCATAGTTATGTGCGACTAGTCTTATGAGCTAAGAAGGTGTTATGCAGCAAGCAAGGTTTAGTTAGATGAATGATATCTCCGAAGTCTACCCGATCCAGCAATCGAACGTCGTTTCATTGCGCCTTCCCCAACACTACCTCACCTGTTCGTTTACTTAGGTACTTACTTAGGTACAGATTTAAACGATGGATCAGTCAATACAGAGAACCTCTTCGCAAGGACATGCGAGAACCAGATCAGGGGCCAGACGTGAGTTCTTTTATTCTCTATTCTTATTATTGTTATTATTCTTATAAATGGAATAAAATGGAATATAAATGGATTAAGAGATATTGAGATCCCGTGCGTTATGCGTCATGCAATAGGAAGGAACGATGGGCTAAACTGGCAGCTTCGGTTTGCAATCCAATGGACAGCTGCTACCGCTGCAACGACTGCAACATAAATGGCATCAGCGACATTTAAACGCAGTTGCCCTTTCCTTTGGCCTATTGGATTGGAGATGCCTGCCTACTATATTCAACCCCCACCTCCTGTCGATCCTCCCCTTTTTGCCTTCTATCTTCTACCATCTCCTTTACCATTTACATACTATGTACTTTGTCTACCATGTCCTTGCATTGTCCCCTCACTCGTCTCTTCAATGACATCGCAGAGGAAATAATTTAAGCACAATTATTCTATTCCACCTTCCGAAAAATGTCCTTTACTGATGTCTTTCGAAATATAGCTTCTCGCCCCAGGACCTCAACTAAAGGACCACTAGATGTAGATGAGTAAGCTTCATGTGACTTCCAACAAGTCATGACTAGTATAACAATAATGGCTCACGTGCCATCACAGCGCTCCTCGTGTAGCATCTCCGGTGCTATCACAAGCCAACCGATTTAGTACCGGCCAGTTCAGTACCAGTCAGCAGGCCAGTTCGCGGACAAGCTCGCCTCGGATTGGTTCACCCCGGATTGGCACGCCCCGGATGGGTACACCCCTGGCACGATCTCCCGCGCCTAGGTCTCCCGCTCCGTTTGCGGGGCCGTTGGCATCCAGGGACTTCTCCTTTCTCTTGAGGCCCGAGATCTTTCACCAGCTCTCTCCCCTCTCAGTACCGGCCCCCTTTCGCAACCCATCTAAGCAGCCCGCCCAAGAAACCCCCATATCAGAACTCTTGAACAAAGGCCACTTTCGCGCCGCCGCCATCGCTGCTGTGCAGGCCCTAACTAGTAGCCCGGTTTCTGCCACTGCTGCTGCTGCACATCCGCCCGTGGACCCCAATGACCATGCGCGTATCTTCGAATTACTGTACGTGCGACTCGCATGCCTATGTCTTATTGATGCCACCCCACTCGCTGCGCAGGAGGTCAAGGCTCTGGAGGACCTTAACTCGAACTTCTACCTAGACCCTGTTACCGGCGCGCATCTGGTACCCTGGGAGCTGCGCGTCCTTGGCGTCCGACTCCAGGCGATTGGTTTCGGCGATCCGCGTCGCGCCGTCATGAGCTATTATGAGCTAGCACGGGAGGCTCGCGCGCATATCACGAAGGCTACAGCGGCGCATGATCACTCTGCCGCCGAGAGTTGGAAGCGAAGGTTAGCGGAGATGGGTGTCAAGGTGGCCGGCGTGCTTATTGAAATGGATGATTTGGCTGGCGCTGCTGAGCACCTGGCTACGTTAGAGGATGGAGATCAGCCATATCAAATCGGCGGTGATTGGACGCTACCGATGAGTCGCGCTTTGCTATGGTTGCATCTAGGCGACGTCGAGGCAGCTCGACGGTCTGTGAGAGACGGAAAGGGCGGGGAAACAGGCGAGCAGATTGTTGATGCATTAGCGGATATGGCCGATGGTGAGTATGGATCTGCGCTGGAGAAGTGGAAGGCATTGAAAGCCGGTATGGACGAGAAAGGCGTACATGACGAGATGGTGGGGGTAAACTTGGCCGTGTGCCTCCTATACACGGGGAATATGACTGAGGTGAGTACATGCATCCTAAGCCTTCTATATCCCACACTAATCATAATGGCTATTAGGCGAGGGAATCGCTGGAAGGTCTTGTCGATGCTGGTCAATCGTCACATACGCTTCTATTCAACCTCACAACTATGTACGAGCTTTGCACCGACAGACACAAGAATCTCAAGGCTCAACTGGCGGAGCGGGTTTCTTCCAAGCCGCCAACGGCGCAGGGGTGGGAGAAGACGAATGCGGATTTTAAGTTGTAACAGTAACAATGCATGGCGCATTTTGTGTGATGCTGACAGGTTTTGGTTTGGTGCAACTCGTTGCGTGAATCGGGATTGGTTTTATTTTTAGAACCGCCTACTACATAGGTAGGTCCCTACCTGGGTATGTAGGCATGTTTACATCTTTCGGGCTGGTTATATTACTAGCGGTTCCTTCTTTTATCCTTCTGATATCATGTACTTCTATTATCGCTAGGTTAGAATGCTGCGTGCCTTGAATATTTAGATATCGATTCCCCTAGGTTAGGTATTGTCAAGTCGGCCTTGATGAAACTTGCATGATAGAACTTTTGATTTGAGAGAAAAATGCTACGGTAGGTATCAGGTAATTACAAATAGGAAATTCGTGATGTGGTATTTTCGCATGAAACAATAAAAAGCAAGATGATATACCTATACAGTCTGTGTGTCCGTTCCTCGCATGATATGTCAATATCCCTACGTGTGATGGCTCCCATCCAAACAAGATACCCATTCATAACAGCCTTGGAACTAACCAAAACGCCTACAGAAAACCCGCCGTAAAACCCACGATGATTATACACCCAGTTAGTCCCTAGCGACCTTCAACAACACCGACCCAATCCCATTCCCCGTCGCCCAGCCGCGATGCGCCTCCTGAACCTCCTCCATGTCCCAGACCTTCTTAATCGGCACCCTGATCGTGCCGCTCCGCAGCAAATCCAGCAGCTCCCGCGCGTTCGGCAGGTAACTTCCCGAGTCGCGCGTGATGCCGTAGAACGTGGTGCGCTTCGCGCAGAACACGTTGAGGTTGTGCGCCAGCAGCTTGGCCATCGCGGGCGCGGGCCTGCGCTCGGCCTCGCCGCCCCCGGCCCCGCTCGCCGCCAGGCTGCCCTTGTTGTTGCCGTACCCGACCAGGAACCCTCTGGGGGACAGGATGGCGAAGCTCTCGTCGAAGCTCTCGTACCCGAGCGGGTCGAAGACGACGTCCGCGCCGCCCAGGGCCCGCATCTCGGACTGCCACGCCTTGTCGCTGTACGCGAACGGGGTGCCGCCGCGCTCCCGCACCGCGGCGTGGTTGCGCGGGCTCGCGGTCCCGTAGACGGCCGCGCCCCGCAGCAGGCTGAGCGCCACGAGCCCGGCGCCCACGCCGCCGCTCATCCCGTGCACGAACACCTTCTGCCCCTTGCTGACCTGCGCCGTGTCCTTCACCATCCCGTACGCGGTGTTCCAGTCCAGGATCAGCGCCGTCGCCTGCGCGACGTCGACGCCGGCGGGAACCTTGACGCAGTACTTCTCCGGCTGGTTGACGACGGTCGCTTCGCTGTCGTACTTCGTCATCACGGCGACGGTGTCGCCCGCTTGGAAGCCCTGCGCGCACCCCTCGCCGACGGCGCGGACGGTCCCCGTCAGGCAGTAGCCGGGCGTCAGGGGCGCTTTGCGCTGGAAGGGGTAGGTGCCCTTGCGCATGCTGATGTCGGCGCCGCTGAAGCCGGAGTAGAGAGTGGTTATCTGGAGGTGCCCCTTTGGAGGAGGAGGGCAGACGTCGTCGACGACGCGGAGGACGGAGACGTCGCCGAAGGTGGGGATGAGGACTTTGCGGATGGCTGTCATGATGGCGGTTTTGGTGGGTTGGGCTGGGAGAATAGGTGGGAGATTAGGTGATGTGATGGTAGGGGTATGAAGATAGAAGGGAGATATCAGATTCAGAGAACCGAGTTGTGTAGTAGTATAATTATATAATAAGATAGAAGTAAATTGGGTTGGCCTTTTAGGCAGCAGGATAAGAAGCAGTAAGTATAAGTCGTAGTAGTATAGGCAGTAGGATTTGTACTTTGCTGTAAGCTTGCTTTTTCTTTCGTGTTTTTTTTTTGATACGAGGTAGTCCTGATGTTTTAAATAAAGTGATGCCGGGTACATTTCAAAAGCTTCACGATATGACCCTCCTTACGATGTGCAGCCGGCGCAATGGGAGGCGTAATCGCATGAGTTACAGCCATGATACTACCACCAACACGGCCTTGCACGGTTGGATTATGGCCCCGCCCCCATACTTTCTATCCAGTAGGCTCGGGGATGCCTAGGCGGCCGGATATAGACCAGGGGGGGGCTGATTCGGGGGAGTATTCGGGGCTGGGGGGTTTAGCAGAGAATGATAAGATGTCTATTATTTGGTTGTCCATCGTTGATAGGCACATAGGTACCAGGCCGACGGTGCAAAGTCAGCCCGTCTGTAACGTAATATGTAGGAGTGAAGCTGAACTAGCAGGAGGTATTTATCTTTAGACACCTACATGACCTAGTGTCAGCCCTAATATCGCTTCCGTCCTGGATATATGTACCTAACAGTTAACCTATGTAGCAGCTAACATTGAAGCCTTGAACATTAGCCAATACCAATTCTTAGATCCATGTATGTCAGCGTAACTGTCAACTCAAAACTGTAATTGTTGCATGGCTCCTGCATATGATCTTGGGGGCTGAGGGCATCCTGCATTCGGGATATTTCAGTTAGGGGAGGTGGGGCCAAACGGGCTACCGGTACCCAAGCTCCATTCATTGCCATCGGGACGGGGTCGACTATCTTTCTTTCCCTCCCTTGCTTCTACCGGGACCCTCTAAAGCCCGGCGCAATTCTGTCATCTCGGTCCACAGAAGAAAAACATCACTCATTCCGGATACTTGCCTAACCTAAGTACTTAGGTCTTTGATGTTGAATTGACAGCTCATATACAATGGAGCTTCACAGGGAAATGAAAAGGCGGCCACGTGTCTTGCCTTACATATTTCGTATTGTCTCAGATCAAACGGGGCAACCCGCTATACATCTACGGCAACACAACCCCGCGCGAATCTACATATCCGGTCTCGTTCATGTGATAGGCAGCGCCGCACATGCGACGACGCCCCGACACAATTCCGGCGGTGCGATGTCCGACGAGACTTAGGAAGAATTTCTTGACAAGGTGAGAATTTCCTGTATATTGAATTTTAACAGTATGGCGCATCGCGATGAGGTGGTGTAGTTGATGGATAGGAAGTTGAAGGAGTCAGATGCTATTTGCTACATGATCTCGACGCCTCTTCAATCGCGGCTCGTCTGTCTTGTAAACGATAGCTACCTCGCCTATCTACGATCCTTGCTCGACAACTGCAGGTTCAGCTCGGAGCTTGCTGGATTGATTGGCTTTACTTGATTGTGACTCTGAGATGTAGGTGCAGTATCAATACCTATATATCCCCAGAAGCCCTCCAGATTGCAAGTAGCCTACTAGAACTACCTACCGGTAGCGGTCTGTTCGCATTAGCGCTGCTACTCCACTATTCGCCATTGGCCGCGTCCGATGTCGTCAACCCAAAGGGCGTGTGGGAACATCTTAGCAATGCATTTTGATTGGACCCTCCCCTTGCTTTCCCTGCAGCGGTATCTACTATTTAGATGCTGGTTTTTTCGTATCTCTTCTCTTCTCGACTCGAAAACCGCTGGGTTTTCGTCTATAGTCCATTATTGTCAAAAAGAAGTAGAAAAAGTAATATGGACGAGACGCAGCCCCTTCTGCAAGACGCCCATCTGGTGTATACCGACGAAATACAGGATGACGGCTTGAATAAGGATATCGTGGATTTCAATCCTGATGGCGACGCGGAAAACCCCATGGAGTGGCCGTCCGCTTACAAATGGGGAATCGTGTCACTCCTCGCCTTCATGTCCTTCACTGTGTAGGTTAATTAATTGATTGCACTTCCTAACACATTCAACTCGAACGGACTAAATCTTACTTACTTTCGCCGTAGAACCTTCACCTGCATATCCGTCGTTCCCATCGCCTCCCGCATCGTGTCGGACCTGGACCACGGGCGCTCGAGCAAGTCCGCCAGCGTGCTCCTCGTGACCATCTGGGAGCTCGGCGAGGCCGCCGGTCCACTACTAATCGCCCCCTTATCCGAGGTGTTCGGGCGGTACCCCGTGATGAACGTAGCCAACGGCCTCTTCATCGCCGCGACCGTGCTCGCCGCGCTGTCACAGAGCACGACGCTTTTTATTGTGGCGCGCACGCTCACCGGCCTCGCCGTCGCGGGCAACGTCCTCAACCCCGCCATCGTCGGCGACATGTTCGTCTCCGAGCAGCGCGGCTCCGCCATGAGCCTCATCCAGCTCGCCCCCTTGATCGGCGGCGCCATTGGTCCCGCCATTGCCGGTGCGGTCGCCGAGACGATGGGCTGGCGCCAGGCGATGTGGATGAGCGTTATCCTGGCCACGGCGTGCGAGCTCGTGTTTTTGACGCTGTTCAGGGAGACGTACAAGGTTGCGGTTCTGCGGCGCAGGGCTGCGAGGTTGAGGCGCGAGACGGGGAACACGGCGTTGAGGACGGTGTTTGATATGGACGATACGTCGAAGAAGAGGAAGGTGTGGGAGGCGATGGTGAGGCCGTTCACGGTGCTGGCGGGGTCCGGCGTCCTGCAGTTATTGTCGGTGTTTGGATCGGTGCTGTTCACGTATTACTATATCATGGCGACGACGCTCCCGGATATCCTGCAGTCCCAGTACGGGCTTTCGGCGGCGGCGTCGGGGTCGACGCTTATTTTCTTTAGTAAGCCCCTCCCCCCTCCCCCCCTTTCCTTTTCTTTCTTTCTTCTGATAGATGCGCCACTATGTTGAGATACATACTTCTACATTTATTTAATATTGATTTGATATGCTAATATTCTCACAGGCATCGGCTCAACTGTGAGCGTCATGATCTGCAACTCCACGCTCGACCGGATCTACATCAAGCTCCGCGACGCCAACAAAGGGAACGGCCAGCCGGAGTACCGGCTCCCCCTCGTCATCATCGGCGGTTTCACGCTGCCCCTCGTCGTGGCCTGGTACGGGTGGGCGGCGCAGTGCCACGCGTCGATCGCGTGGCTGCTCCTCTCCGTCTCCGTCATCGGATTCTGCCTCATGCTCGGGTTCCTGCCGCTGTACGCCTACGTCGTGGATGCGTTTGGATTGTATGCCGCGTCGGCCATGACGGCGGTGATTGTCATGAGGTGTCTGGCGGGCACGTTCCTCCCGCTGGCTACGGGGTTGCTCGTTGATAGGTTTGGTCATGGCATAGGGCTGTCTGCGATAGGAGTTGCGAGTCTACTGCTTGCTCCGATCCCGGTGTTGGTGCTGAGGTATGGAGCGAAGTGGCGCCAGGGGTCGAAGTATACGAGGGATGAATAGATTAGAAGTATAATCGGTTAAGGCAATTTACCCAGATCTATCATCAACACTCATCAACACTCATATAACCAACCTGCTCTTACCTACCAAGTACCTAGGTAGGTTAGATGCCTGGGTAGGTACAAAAATAGATGCCATGTGCAAACATTGGATGGAGGAAGGAGGTAACTAAGTGTTAACTAACCCCTGAGGTTTGGTCTGGACACACCCCTTTTGGCTCTTGCCAAGACTAAAAAAGGTGAACATGGTCCGTGCGTATTAGACCGGCCTACTCACATCGGCGCCGCTTCACTTTTTATCACAATCATTAGTATCGAGGCAGGTACGACTATGCAGTCAGCCTTAGTAAAAAATGACGATGTTTCCACCTAAGTTGCCTCTACCGTACCTGCCAACTCTCTGTCAGTCCCTTAGTTCCTTCCGTACTGTTGTCAGCGCTCCGTGCCCCGTGATGCCGCTGCCCTCCCGCGGGTTGAGATTTACTAGCCTAAGGTTAGGTATATATGTACATCCCTCTTCTTACAATACCTAGTATTGTGCAGTGCTATAAGTACAATACCATACGTGCCTGAGGCATCTGGGCGGTTTTTCTTGAATGCTTAATACCTATTACTTAACGTTCACGCTCTTTCACTTATTCCATTTCATTTTATCGCATTCATCTCCTTAGCTGCGATTTTTCTTTTTTCTCTCTTTTCAAATAAATCATTAACATTAATTCATTTTCACGACGCCACCACCACTCATTCTCTAGATACCTACCTAGATACCCAAGAGATAATTCATCAAACACTTACAACTTATCCTCCACCGAAGCCCATCACCTTCACCATGGGCGGCCAGGCTTTTGCATCGGCACTCTATACACCACGAATGCCTCCTGCGGTATGTACTTCATTCCCCATCAACTAAACTTCACTAACATGTTTAATACAAGGTTTATGAGCATGTGATTAAGTATTGTCATGCCAAGCTCAGGGAGATATACGTTGTGGTTGCCTCTCCTATTCCTGTGCCCGCCAAAAAAGACTATGGCGACATTGATGTCTTTGTCGCATGGGAGAAAAATAGTACATTTCCCACTCCGCGCCGACCTAATGGCTACCCACGTCGACTGTCTATGCCAGTTGAAAATTCACTTGATGTTGCTGCCCGTCTTCTCAAGTCTGAGAAAACGATTAAACAGCTGAACACGAATGCCATGTTGGCTATCCCATGGCCAAAAGACGTACCGGGCCAGACGCCAACACATGAAGCCCCAGATAATCAAACTCCAAAGCATATCCAGGTTGACCTTCACTTATGCGAGTCCCTAGAGAAGGTTCACTGGATGCTGTTCAAGCAATGCCATGGAGACATCTGGAATATTCTCGGAAGTGTAATCCGCCCATTCGGCCTCACCATGGATGAAGTTGGCCTACATATACGCATTCCCGAAATAGAACACCTCGACCGCAAGAAAGCCAAGATCTTGCTCACCTCGGACGCTTCCGAGATCCTGAACTTTCTGGGCCTAGAGTACACCACAGGTTCATGGGAAAAGCCATTTGCTTCGGTCGCAGAACTATACGAGTATATAGCCACTTGCCGACTCTTCTGGGTGCACCCTCCCAAGGATGCTAGTGACGATTTCGAAACCGTCCCTATGAACGAGAACGGCGACGTTGACACTAGTAAGATGAAGTCCAAGGAGCGCCAGCGGATGAACTCACGACCGCTTGTCCGCAACTTTTTCACAGAGTTCATCCCAGCATGCCGGGCGACAGGCCGATTCTTGATACCGAAGACGACTAGGGACTCAGTGCGCGAGGAGGCATTCCAGACATTCATCGGCGTGCAAGTTGCTTACGAGAAGCGCATCATTGAATTTCGCAAGGAGTGCCAACAAAAGGACTTCAATCGCCTCGTTATCAAGACCACCATCCCCGAAGGATGGGGCGACGAGAAGAAAAAAGGAGCGCGATCCGTTGCCGCAACTGCGTTCAAGAAAATCATCATGTCGAATGACTACAGCTTGGGTGTCCGGCCATCTGTCCCCCTGCGCGATCGCCATGGTATCATTGACGAGGACCGAGCCAAGCAATTCATCCTGGACACTTATGAAGAGGTTGCCGACAAGGCTATGCGTGCGAGCCAGAAGGCCTACAATGAGCATGTGGCGAAGAAGCGAGCTGAAAAGCTGCTAGCTGAGCAGAAACTTGTAGCTGAGCAGAAGGAGGCGGTTGATGACGAAGCAGAAAAGGATTCAGTTAATACTCCTACCCAGAAGAATGCAGCTACCCAGACGGAAGCGACTGATACTCCTGCCCAGGAGAACTAGGATACTATTCCAAAAGAACTATAGTTCTCTACTTCGCGCCCGACTACCTAGGGATTCAAACATCTGTCTCCCTGCACTACAGTTGCCTCGGATAAAATCGACTCTTTAAGAAAGAACATCGTTGACTGAACAACGTTAATGAGAACGAAGATACTTCTATATATAGAAGGTTGGGGTATATCCTCATAAACGATGAAGAGGAATACATCCGCTGGAAGCTCAGGTTATATAGGCGTGAGGGATAAGGATATCGGATTGGGCTGGCGTACTTATACGTATAAAGGTTCTTGCGGATGGGTGGTTTCCCGCTACGGTAGGCATATAGTACCTACCTACCTACTATATAGTAGGTGCGTTTCTAATGTTGAAACGGAGAGTGGTCCTTGCCATAAAGGCAGGGCTCTTAGGTTAAGGAGTCGGTGGGCTAAAATATGGCCCGTGAAGGAAGGATGAACTTCCGAATGATACCCTCTACGAAAATACTAGGAAATAGTCGGTTAGAATATGATCGACGAAGGAGATACAAACTCCTGATGGATACCCTCTAAGGAAAGACTTAGGTTAATACAAGGCATAAGATGCCGTGTTTTCACTTATCGGTGTGCATGTCGTTTGTGTGCTGGTGCTTCTAGACTGCGTATGATGCGTTGAAGGTGAACCTATCATGTTGACATCTAATACTAGGCGTAAATGATGTGGAAATGATGCATTTTCATTGCCTTGCCGCTTTTTCGACAGCTCACTTCAGATTGCTCTTGTTAGCACTTAAGAGAATAAATATGAGAGCAAAGTGGTACGATTCAAAGTATACCGTCTCTATCTGCCTTGCCAACGAAATCCTGTATGATGAGATAAAACCAAACCAAACAACCTTTTCAGTACCGACAAACATAGGACTGTGGCCGTTGTACATACTGTAACTCTGCAAACGACAAACTCCCAGATCAAACCATCTGTGATGAGGTAATCACCCGCCTTGCCGTAGGAAAAGAAAATAAATAAGGACCCCTGGTGTTCGCCTAACTCCTCAGATAGCATCCTACACATTCGCCTCTCTTATATAATACGTGTACAAGTGCCTCCCTAATCTATCGTATCTCGTCTCCCCCGTCCCCCCCTTCCTCCACTACCCTCTCCACTCCTATCCATCTCTCTCGGCACGGTGCATCAAGTGGCCCATATTAAAAAGCATCGCCTCCTCAAAGAAATCCGGATCCAAATCCAAGTCGATCTCCCGCTCCCTCTCCCTCGCCAAATGAACGCGGACATTGGGGTCAAACGGGTTGCGGTGCATATTCCTTCTCTGCAGAAACCGCTGGAACAGCGCGGCGCCGTCGCCGCCTTCGACAGGGCCGGGGGCTGCGGGTCGGTTATTATTGTCGGCGCCGGCTGCCGCTCTTTCTCGCGGCCGGAAGGGGAATACGATGTTGCCATTACCACCACCACCGCCGTTGTTGTTATTGTTGTTGCCGCCGCCGATGTTTAGAAAGGGCATAAATGCCCGCCCGCCCTCGTAGTTGGGCGGGTTGTCGTGGTAGCGGCATTCGAGTGTGTGGTGGCACTGCAGGAAGTCTTGCTGGTCGCGGTAGTAGTCGCCGAAGCAGAGCCAGCACCATTCGTGGCCGCAGATGCCTAGAGTTTAGTAGGTTTCGTTAGTAACCCGCAAGGCAAATAACCCATATAGGTTGTGGGTTAGGGGGGAAGACCAAGCAAAAGGGAAAAAGAAGAGGAAGAGAGGACAAAACTTACATGTGACGTGGTCGCATCCGACATATTTATTGATATTCCTATTGCACCCCGGACACGGCTTCGTGATCTCCTTAACATGCTTCTCACTCGCCTGATCATTCCTCCGCTGCCTCCTCGTCCTGCGATCATACTCCTCGCACGTCTCGCCACTGTGCCAGGGTACTTTATGCCGAACACACAGATAATGCTTACAAGCACTACACTTCGCCCTCGCACACCCCGGCGGGTATATCTGTCCCGACTCGCACGCCGGATTAAGACACCACGCAAAGTCCTCCATGCCCCCGAGCACCGCCTTGACAGCCAGCGCATCGTACCGGTCGAAGACATCCCGCGGCGCGAACGCCCGCACGTGCTCGTAGGACAGCAGCTGCGGGCACTCGGGACACCGCAGCCGGTCCCAGGTGGCCGTGTCGAGGCTGGCGCGGATCCACTGCCCGACGCACTCGCGGCACATGCCGGAGTCGTGCTCGCAAGCCGCCGTGACGCGCCGCCGCGCCGGCATCTCCGACACGCGCTTGTCGTCGCCGCACGCGACGCACGTCTCGCTCAGCGGCAGCAGCCACGCCTCCGCGCGCACAAAGCCGTCCTCCACCGCGCGCGGGACCTCGAAGTCGAGCGTCTCGCCGGGGCGGACGTGGCTGTGCTTCCGCACCGTCTTCCCGCGGCACGACAGGCGGATGTCATCGGCGTCGATGCCGCGGCGGCGGATCCCCCGCGCGTGCACCTGCGCCAGCACCTCGTTCTTCAGCCACTGCCTCAGCATCGGCACGTCCACGTACCCGCGCGGGTTGCGGTAGGGCCGGTGCCAGACGTACTCCTCGTTGACGCCGCGGAGCACGACGAAGTCCCCGACGGGCCGGAGGTCCAGCGTCAGGTGCCGGCACAGCCAGGTGCGCACCTTGCGCGCCTCCCACGCGTTCCCCTGCAGCGCGCCCGGGCGCAGCCCCCCCGCCGCCTCGACGACGACCTGCTGCGCGCTCTGCACGAGGTCCGCCTTCCCCGGGTTCGCGGCGCGTAGGAGCGCGGCGGCGCTCTCCCGCAGGCTGCCGATCGACGTCCCCGCGGCGCCGGCCTCGCGCGCCAGCGTCTCGAGCTGCGTGCGCCGGAGCTTGAGGGTGGGGCACCGCCAGGTGATGCGCAGGGCGCTGGCGTCGTCGCCGGCGGGGAGCACGCGGTAGAAGAGCGAGGAGGTGCGTCTGGGGATCTCGTCGGAGCAGGTCAGCAGGCGGTCCACCTGGTACAGCTCCACGGTGGCGTCTTCGGGGATCCGGTGGCTTTTGCTGTGGTGGTGGTGGTGGTGGTGGTGGCTTGTGGTGGCTTTGCCGTCGGTTGAGTATTTCTTCTTGAGGCCGTCGGTCACGTGGCTCAGGGGGGAGTTCTCTTTGATGCTGATTTTGACGTTGTGCCGGCCGGTGATGGGGAAGTCGAGGTCGATGAGCTCGATCTTTCTACGTTCTTCGGTTACTGCTGCGGATGCTGATGAAGAGGAAGGGTGGTTGTGGTGGTGCTTGGGGCGGTGAGCAGAGCGCCCGCCGCCGTCCTTGGACGGGTTGTTGTTTGAGGAGGATAACGCCGCCGGCGGAGGGCGGGTTTTGGAAGAAAGCGACCATCGCCGCTGTACCGGCCACATTGTTTCATTCAAGGTTGTAGATTGGTAATTATTATGTAGCCGGATTACGATGGCTGGGTCTATAAGATACATATAGATGCAGGGGTGGTGTGCGTTTGTGTCTATGCGTGTGGTTGATGTGGTTGATATGTGGCGGAACGAGAGTGGTTAGAAGGCGGCGGGAAGAAAAGAACAAATAATATTAATACCAGGTAAGTAGGTAGGTAAGGAGATGGAACCGCACGATCGTTTAATTCATTTTTCAGGGCAATTTCTTAGTGTGGATTTCGCTTCTCCAGAATCGTTGCAAATGCAAATAGTGAGGCTCTGAATGCACAGGTTAGCTGGAGAGCAGATCAGAATTACCTATCGCCGACTTCTTCTCTCGGGCACCTGTGGGGCTGTCTAGGACGGGGAGACCTATTGGTGTGAGTGAGGATGGAAATTCCCAGGTCTGTCTTAGTGCGTGCATTATATTTCTGCAAAGGTATTATCATTTTTGCTTCCTTCCTAATTTCCCCTTCATTTGTGACCAACGGTTGCCCTCTTGGTACCTAATTGGGTGGCAACCTACCACATCTCTTCGCCCGCCTATATGTGCATGCGTAAGTAGCGAAGTGCGGTGGCACCAAACAGTGTTGGAAGCCACGTGAGACAATGCAACACAGACTCGAAGCGCTGCAGCTAATAGGATGTCGTGCGAACCATCCGGACCAAATCTTATTCGAGGGACCAGATATTTATGATAAAAGGTCCTAAAAAAGTAAAGGCAGAAGAAGAAAATGGTCAAAAGGTACAGCTGTCTGTGACGGCATGACATACCCTAGGTAGCATCGGTACCGATTTCTCGAATATCGATCGTTCCTAGGTTATGTATCTTACCTGCCTGACAGCCTTTCGGTACTACCTAGAATGGTACCTAGAATGGTACCTAGAATGGTAGACAGGTAGGTGGGTGGGTGTCGTGTTCATCCTTCATCAGCAGTGGGATGGATGACTCAGGTGATGATGCACATGCATTTTCCTTTCTTGTCGGAAGGTGTTCTATAGGTGGCCGATATCTCCGGGTTAGGAAGCTTTATGTGGTTTGTACAATACAAACTACTAGGTACTGTGTGTGTCATCCAAACGGAGTCGATACTCGCGATACACAAGTATGTCGGTAACGTAAGTACTTTATCTAGGGCGTGCATTGCACATACAATGCACACCTACAAGGGTAGCTAGCATTCAAGAGGGATTCGTGATATAGCGGTGTATTGTAGAAGTACTACTAGTATTGTACAATACAATACATACATTCATTGGATAACTGCACGGTAGCGCTGTTCGAATGCTCAGGGAGTCAGGGACACGCCATAGTGCAGAATGTCCGTGCTGATCAGATCAGGGGCTTTCAACCCTGGTTCAAATCACAATAGAATTGGTCAAAAGAACGTTTCGAAGATGAAGTTCCTTTGGTTCAAAGATCAAAGATCAAAGATCACAAAGGATTCAAGAATACACAATAATAATCTATTTTGGACACAAAGCACAAAGGCATTGTGTTATGCTGGGAGAATGCAGACCCGACATCAGGTATAAAAACCTATACTACCCAAGTACTACTAGTACCTCGACTATGATGGTTAAAGTAGAGTCTACATCTTGTAGCGAAATATGAAATCTCAACACTGAATCTATTCTCTCGGCTGGATGATTCAGGGCACATATATGTGCATAGGCGCCTACAGTAGGTCCAATTATGTACCTAAGTATCTCGATATGTACATAATACGGCTTAGATTCACTTCACACGGAGAATAGGGGTAAGGAAAGGGGTAAGACATTCATTTGTATTTCCATTACATGTGCAAGAAGAGGGGGTTAAACAATCTCTATTCCCATCTACTTTACTATATCTATTACGCATTAAACCATTTGTACAGTCATTCTTTCTTTAGGATTCATCTCATTACCAACATGAAATTCGCATTCCCGATCAAAACATAAACTCTCCGTTGCTACAACTACGCCAAGAGTAGAACTAGGTCAAACTATCAACGAGAACAAGCTTGCCTCCCGGCCGAACAGCAGGCATAAACACCTTGATCCAGTTCGGCTCGTCATCTATCTCATCCACCTCCTCTATCTGCCCCGCCGTGTATACCTCGTTGCTCGCTTGGAAGCTATAGCTCTGCAAGCCGGCGATGACCAGCAAGTCCAGCTGCAGCCAGCGACCCATTTCCTCCGCCCGGCGAACAATGTCGTATTTACTGATACACTCACGTTCAGTATTCAGATCATGGCTGTAGATGCGCAAGTCGAGCAGCACACTCTTCAGCATCGGCATCTGCGACCACGAGAGCCACAGGTGCGCGGCGCGGTCCAAGTCAATGGCATCATCGAGCGCCTTGAGGTTCTTCTCGCTGATCCCGGTGCCGGGACCCACCATGCTACGCGCATTGACATCCATGAGTGCCAGGGGTGAGTTCACTACGATGTGTCTTAGCAGCTTGAACAGGCACGGTCCGCCACTTGACATTTCTCTCTTAGGCGTCCCGTCTACTTCATCGTCGAACGGCAGAATCAAGCGCGAGCGCTCGCCGCGGAGGGGGAAGCTGTCCCGCCACCACTTTAGAAACGACGCTTCCGCGACGTCGGGAGGAGGATAGTTGGCGGTAAGTTGGAACACTTGCGTCCCCTCTTGGAAGAAAGACCGGATGTTTTCGTCAAGGAACGCCTCGTTGACGCTCATGAGGTCGGTGTCGAGGGTTTGCATGGGGAGGAATATGTGGCTGTGGTCCGCAGATCCAGCTGCCGATGACAGGGTGCCAACGCCACCGTCGATGCCGCGCGTGTAAGTGACAACCCTCCTGGAATCTAACATGTCCCGCTGTAGTTTGTCGTTGTTACCATTGCATATGTTCCAGTCGGGCACCAGCAGGTCCAACGCACACTTGGGCGTCGAGTCTGTAGCGGCCGTTATGATCATCGACACGATCTCTAGAGGAAGCTGAGGCGGAGGACTGTCACTTAACCTACGCTTCTTCTTCTTCGGGGAATCGGCTTCAGGTACGTCAAGCTTACGCTTCGGGGATTGCTGACCCATGTTGAAGGGCTCAAGGTTGAGACTTGTGGGGGGTGTGTTAGCTTCAGACGGTTTATCCTTGGGGCTTGACAAGAGTTCTGGGTATGGCTTACCGTCTGAGCCTGCTTCTTTTGTAGGGCCATCAGTCATGGCAATGTCGCCGTTCTCGGCCATATATAGCAAGAGCTGGGCGGCGTTAAGCCCTTCTTGGATACCTTCCTCCTCAACTTGTTGTGCAGTCACGTTCCGCCCTGCCCATATCTCTCGGCACATAGGGCAGACATATTGACTGCCTTTGCTCACCTTTCGGCCTAGGCTTAGGCTTAGGCCAGTCTTTGGGTGAAAGCGTGAGGAGCATATCACATCACGCGGTAGCTTAGGTGACTTGTCTGGTATTACGGAGCTGCCATTAGATGGTTTGTATGGGGGTGGAGGCTCGGCATACCGCAACAGGTCAGGGTTTCGACTGATCAGTCCCAAGGATATCTTTGCTAAAGTATCCATACCTTAACTCTAAGAATGATATCTGATAATAAAGGAGCTTGCACACAGAGGGTAGGCGAGTGAGTATTATAATTGGCTCACGCGGGAAAAACAGCTTTGTTTATTCATTTATATATTCCGTCACAAATGACGACAATTCCGATTGTTTAGAATCAGATTGGCTTTGCGCAAACAACAACTTCATTTACATACAGGGTGGTCTGTAAGACACTGGCGCCTCGCTTTGTGCTTCGTATTTTCATTGCTCAGAGGGACTTCCACCTTGTCAGATTTTAGGTACCACTACACCAAATAGTGAAAAGATGTGAAATGATTGATCGCTCATTAAATATATTTCGTTTATATCAGTATATCTGATACATCTTCAGTCGTTCAACACTTCACCCATGAAACTATCTTAATCATGCATACCTAGCATCTTTATACTACCTATGTAGGTAGGTAGCACTCATCGAACATGTGATTTGTCAGCCATACTTATACCCATCATCAACGTTCCATTTACATTTCTTCTAGAAGTAAGTAATCTAATCCGCGCCCTGCGTAGGATCATGTTCCTCTGTGTGTAAGATCCAGCTACCGGGGTGGACGGGAGGGACCGAGGTGATCACCACATGGTACGGCATAGGCTGATTTTACGATAACCTTGGAAGTCTTACAAATCTGCCCATAAACACTGTAAAACAGCTGCCTGTGAGAATATGTACATAGCATCCTGTGCAATCCTTCCGCCCATGATTGCAAAGCGGCTGAGGTCAAAGGGGGCTTATTACCTACCGGGTATTTGGTACGATGAGCTGTCAACAGAGCGATGAGAGCATGCTATGTTGGGCACCAGAGGGTAAGGTGAGTACGGGTAAAGGTTAAGGTATGTTAAATATAAGGGCGAGAGACGTTGCATGAAAGAAGAGTATAGAATAGATTAAATATGTTGACAACCTTGGAAGACAAGAACAACATCTTAGACCAAGCGTACACTCCGTACTATTACCTTCTAACCTAACCTAGAAGGTAAGCCTTATAAGGTATCGGCCCCCAAATCCGTGTCGCTGGGAACTGGGAATAAACCCCACTGGTTCTTCGAGGACCTTGTCCCGACTACAAAACTAGGGTAAATAGTACAGGTTCACAAAGTCGGTTTGTTTAAGCAATTACCCAGCTAGCGTGGCTGCGTAGGGCTTCGCTGCTGCGGTAGTGATTCCTACCGGCAATCTTAGTACCAGTACCACAAGCTCGGGACTGGAATCGAACAACCAAGATTTGGGGGGTAGGGTGCCGAGGTAGGTATGGCGCTTACGTAGTGGCGTGTGGGATCTGCTATGGCATGTTATACGTATTATGCATCGTGGATGTTCACCTGGGCATTTGCTCAGCATAAACAAGCCCCTGGTTTACGGGGCGAGTCTAGAATGTAGCAGGGCATAGGTACCTACATATCCTAATATAAGCATAGTCTAGGTAGTATTATACGATACCGAGAGGGGTACCCATGAGAGGCACCCATGAGATCACTAGATGAAGTCGCGGGGAATTTCTCTCACAAAGGAATAGTGGCAGACCTAAGCCCTTGAGACTTCTACCGTATATAGTGCTGCCACTGTGCTGGTCTCACGATTGGAACTTGGAAGAGTAGGCACCGACATTTACCATGTAGCCATGTAACAACATGCGCTGGCTTACCCGCACCATGCCGCACCCATGGGGACCGAATAAACGTCTTTGAACTAGACTATCTCATGTTTGGTTGAAGATTCCACTTTGGACTTTGGCCAAGCAAAGACGTACATAGTAAAGGACTCAAGAGGATCTTTGATCAATTGCTGTGCTTCAGGCACACGATATACCCTGGCAGATCATTGGCCTATTCGGGGGGGAGCAGACCCTAACCAAATGGACTAACCAAGAGCTTCATTAGTGGTACCAATGGAGGCCAGTGCAGCAAGGATATAATACTTGGCCATCGAGACTTTGGGGATGTGGCCTATCTTAATAAGGGCCGTATCTTCTCCGCGTTCTTCGGGACTAATGTTCGCCATCAACTAACATATCACATTTCACGGAGAGAGAGAGAGAGAGAGAGAAGGAGAAAAAGACAGGAAGCAATTACATACCTAGTCCTACTCCTCAGTGGATCACTAGGACTTTCGAATCTTCTAATTACATTCCTATCACATATCACATCTATCTAACTATTAAATAAACGCGCGTCTCTCGCTTATCAATATTCCCTACCACCATCCATGCCTCGAAAGGGAAGTCGGAAGGTCAGGACAGGGTGCCTGACTTGCAAGTACGTCTTATTATGCCCAAGCCTGATGGCCAGCTAGCTATCCAGTCAGCCAGCCAATAGGTAACGATCAGCAAGTATTGTGTTTCTTTTTTTTAACCTTCTTGCAGGGCCCGAAAAGTGAAATGTGATGAAGCCAAGCCACACTGCAATCGCTGTCTCAACACCGGCCGCAAATGTGACGGCTACGTTTCCAAGCCGACCCCAGGATTACTGTGGCACCGGCCTCGCCAGATGTTCACGAGCATCGACAGCGCCAGCGAAGCCCGGGCGCTTCAGTTTTTCTGCGAGCGGACGGCGCGGTTCCTCTCCGGCGCCACGGATCCCTATTTCTGGACCCACCTCGTCATGCAGTTCAGCAACTTCGAGCCCGCCGTCAGACACTCCGTCGTCGCCATCAGCGCCCTGTACGAGGAGCTGCAGTCCGACTCCGGGCCCAAGTCGGCCGCCATACTGAAGCAGAACAGGCTCGCGCTGCAGCACTACAACGCCGCGATCCGCGAGCTCAAGTCCACCGACAACCAGCCCCTGGTCCTGCTCGTCTGCATCCTCTTCATCTGCATCGAGTTCCTGCAGGCGGACAAGAAGGCCGCCATCCAGCACTGCAAGTACGGCATTGCGCTCGTCGAGCACGTCAACTACTCCTGGGCGCGCGAGCATCTGGTGCCCGTGTTTCGACGACTGAGCGCCTTCCCGTTCTACTTCGGGGAGAAGGACGATTTCCCCGACATAGCTCCCCTGGACGACCCCCTCCCCGCATGCTTCAGCTCCTTTGTGGACGCGGAGTCGGCGATGGACGGCCTTACGGCCCGGACGTTAAGGCTGGTGCGGCATGGTGACGGACACCGCTTCGGGAACTCGAGGTACTCGACGATTCCGTACGAGCAGCTCGCCGAGCAGGAGAAGCTGGAGGCTGCGCTGGCCCAGTGGCAGGTTTTGTTCAAAGCCTTGGATGGCGGCAGCCCGGTGTCGCCACCCACGCCGCCGTCAGAGGATGGGGAGGCGGAAGAGGACTCGGCTCAGTTGACGTTGAAGACTATCCTGCTAGTGCGCCACGAGGTCTGTCAGATATGGCTCGACATCGCCTTCGAGGCCGACGAGATGTGCTACGACTGCCACACCGCCGCGTTCCGGCGTATCGTCGACGCTGCTACGGTTCTCAAATCCGCCAATGCCAATGCCAGCACCACAACCCCCTCCGACGACAAAAACAATCCCACTTTCGTTTTCGAGACGGGTCTCACGCCGATGCTCCATTTTGTCGCTACGAAGTGTCGGCACTTAGACATGCGGCTTGAGGCCTTGCGCCTGATCAAGGCCGTTGGGAAGCCGAGAGAGAATCTGTGGGAGGCGAATCAGATGTATGCGTTGGCCCGCCGGGTGATTGAGCTAGAGCACGGCGTCCGACTGGATGGATCAGGGTACCCTGTTGCGCCGGCATCGCACCCCGGCTTGCCGGCTGATGAGAAGAGGATACGGTTTACGTCGACGGACATCAAGCCATCGGCACATATCGATATCAATGGGAAGGAGAAGTGTGGGTGGCCGGTTGGGTTTATCATGCGCAGCCCGCAGAACTCGATGTATCTTCACACCGAGTTCATCGACCAATCGTATCAGTCATGAAGGCTGATCTCATCTCATCTCATCTCACCTCACCCCTTCTCGTCTTGTCTATATTCAACTCATTTCATATCATATTATTGAGGGAGGGTTGATTGCTTTCCTACTTCTATCTTGATACCCCAGCATGGCCTTTTGGAGTTCGGGCACCAGCTTTGTCTTACAGATTTACCCACCTGCTTTAAGCATAGGTACATATTGAAACAAATTACAATGAAATTAGCTACAAAGCCTTCGTGTGTATGACATGTACTTCGTGTTCTGAACAAGCCGCAGTGAAGCTCCGTCACAGTTTATGAAAATGCCAAAGTCACTGTTCAGCCGCAATACATCTATTAAGACGCCTACCTAATCATGTATAGATACCCTATGAGTTACCTCAAGAGGCAAGTTTCAAACGACGTTCACACTCCGTCTTGGTCTCTTCCACCATCTTATCCACGTCGAAGTCCCAGGCTACCCTTGAGCGATAGTCAAATTCGGCCCTGATTTTCTCGGCGTCCCTTCCGGTTGGAGCGTACCTCCACTACACGAACAGTTACTCAGTAGGTATCAGTATCCTCTTAAGCGCCCCCCAAGTACAGTTTTGGACCTGTCATGTTGACGAGAGGAATATGTAATAGAGAAAGAAAAACATACCTGATAAATCTCTCCCATCTCCCTCAAACTCTGCGTCATCCACTGCGTCCTTCCCAAGCGCACCTTACTAGCCGCCTGCAACGCCTCCGTCACCGCCCTCCCTATCCCTATCCCTACCCCCCCACCACCCACCTCCCCCCACGCAACCTCCAACGCCGTTGCAATCGCCAACGCATCCTCAACCCCCATGCACGCGCCCAACCCATGGAACGGACAGCTCGCATGCGCCGCATCCCCCGCAATCACGACGCGGCCCCGCGCGTAGGTCGGCGCCGGGTGGTCCGCCATGTCGAAGATGGCCCACTTGGACAGGCGCTCGGGGAGCAGGGCGACGAGGGCGCGGACGGAGGGGCTCCAGGAGGCGAGGGCCTGTTGGATTTCGGTGCGGGTGCCGGGGGTGGTGAGCTTCGGGGAGGAGGATGAGGAGGAAGGGAGGGAGGGGGAGGGCCAGGGGGTGGGGTCGTGCAGGAAGGCGACGATGTTGGAGTGCGTGGAGTTGTTGACCTGTGTTTTGGTTAGCAGATATATATAAGTAGGTACGGTATATGTTATTGGCTTTGGTGAGTGATTAAGATGGGCGCGTTCTTACAGGACTAGAATAACGGGAGTTAGTAGTTCTCTAAGAGTCTAAGTTGAGGGAGGCATCAGGGGTAGAAGCTGGTGTGACATACTACGACACCACATGCCCATTGGGCCCCATGTGCGAGCATTGATTATCCGCCTTGTCCTCGCCCAGCGCCGCTATAACCCCCTCGATCGGGACTACACCACGGTACGCCACCTTATGCGTGAAGCCAGCGTACGCTTCCGGCTTATCCTCACCCAGCAAGATCTGCCGCGTGCGCGAGTGTATCCCATCACAGCCAACAACCACATCCGCCTCTGCCTCCGTGCCGTCCGCAAAGCTCAGCACTACCTTACCGCTCCCCTCCTCATCGACATAACTCACGAGCTGCTTCCCATACCTGAGCACGCCCTCGGGCAAGCGATCGAGCATCCCGCGGAGAAACTGCGAGCGCACACAGCTGCAGTAGTCGAGCTCACGACTTGGCATCCTGAACATCAGCGCGGCCTCCTTGGTGTCGGGGGTGTGGCCGTCCCAGTACCGATAATACTCGTGGTGCGGCCAGTCGTTGACGCGGCGGAGGGCGTCGACGATGTGCGGGCTGAGGCGCTGCATACACTGGCGCGCGATGCCGGTGAAGGCGAACCCGGTGCTGAAGTCGTTGAAGGCGGGGGCCCGCTCGTAGATGGTCACGCGCATGTTGCGGTGCAGGAGCCCCAAGGATATCATGAGCCCGACGATGCCGCCGCCTATGACGGCGATGTCGAGTTGGGTGTCGGAGCCGTTGTTTGCGTTTTCAGCTCCATGGGGGCCCGGGGGCGGCTGCGTCGGGCTCGTAGACATTTGTGGAAGAAGAATGAGAGAGGAATGGAAACTTATTATGATTATGATGGTCTACCTAGTTACTTCCTTATTATGTAGTGATAGTACACCGACATGTAGGTATGCATCTATATATACCCACTGACTCGGCTCAGGATATGTAGTACCTAGTACCCACGGACTTTGATTAACTCCAAGCCACCTCCACCATATCAACGCGCCATTTTCTTTAGCGAATGAGACAGTCATCTATGTCTCACGCCTCTCGAGGATCTCTTTTGGTTTAACGTCATCTAAGTCCCTACCTAGATGTCTATCCTGACGTCCTTTCAGACGACACAAGCATCTCGTTTACATCAAGCAACCAAAAGTCATCAGGGAAAACTATTGTGCCTACCTTGGATCGTTTTCTAGCTATATAACGCCCGATAGCTCCATGGCTGGCCGAACCACGATTATTCCAGGCTAAGGAATGCAACAGCAGCGATATATATAAATTCAAGGCTACTTTATCCTTTACCAAGCTTACCCGGATTAGGTAGACTACTACGGTTTCATGAACAGACTGTATTTATATGTCTAGGTAGGTATGTTCACGTCATTATACCTATCTACCCTATACCAAACACCTCTTTGCCAACAGTAACCCTCGTACGGTAATAACTACTTGGTACATTCTTGATAATCTACGACGTAAAGTCCAAGTGAATCAGGGCGTAGTACAGCCTTCGAAACGCAACAAAGGTAGAAACAATCATATGGACGCAAGGAATATTCAACAAAGATAAGAGATAATAACTTGTCTTGAGAAAGACTTTCGTAGGCACCTACCAAGTAAACAAGCCCTTTATGTTAAGCATCTGTGAATAACTAGAACATATAATAGGTACGCATCAGTACTACGGCGGAGGTCCCAAATCTCCACAATCGTTGACACATAAATCCTCGAAGACGAGATATTGTACTCACTCAAGTGTTCCCTAGGTCGCATAGGCAAGCGTAAACAATGGCCCACCACCAAAAACAACCCAAAACCACAGACAATTCACCCAAAACCACAGACAATACACCCAAAACTACAGATACTAGGGATACTGACGTCGTAGACTACGATGACCCTCCCATAGACGGCGCGACTGATTGGCAGGCACCTCCAAGCCCTGGCCATTTCACATACGGCGTTGAATTGCAGTTCTTGGTCCCCTTTATACTGAAAGATAGCAATGACCCGCATCCAGGAGATCCTAGACCGGTTCTCGTAGTAGACATAGAAAGAGATGGGTACGAGGGAGCCGGTTCACAGGTTGAGGCAATCGTTTTAGACACCATACGCAGATTGGGCCATGTGCCAACATGGACGCATACAGGTCCTCCCTACCCGGATTATACAGAGGTGATAAGTCACATGGACAGTGAATCGCAGGCGGTAGCTTATAAGCCCCCGTACTCCCAGTGGGTAGTCGAGATCGACAATAGCCTTCTTTATGATGAGGACACACTAGGGGGAAAATACTATTGGATCGGTGTCAGGGTGAAGTCCAGCAAGAGGAACTGGTCTTGGGACAACCACTTCGATCAAATTGGCAATGTGGTGACGGCCTTGCGCCAGGAAATTCGCATGCGTGTCGCCCCTACGACATTTCTCAACGTACACGTTGGCTACAGTCGGCACTGGGAGGACTCCAACGACACCGCGTTGCGAAGACTTTGCACGATGTGGTGGTTTATTGAACACCATATTTGGTCTCTCACGCATCCGTCTCGTCGCGAAGAACTTGAGTCTAATTCCTTGAGGGCGTTCTCGCTGCTAGGTGCTCTGCCGATGGAAGACTTACTAGAAACCTATAACAATGATGGCAAGCGAAGGGCTGATTTCATACAAGGGTACAGGGCCATGCATGCCATCATCCCAAGGCAGCGAATGCTTCGGCGAGAAAGGGCGGAGATAGAAGTCATGTGGCGCGCAGACGATGCCAAAATCCTCTGTCAAATGATGACGGTGATGAAGATCGAACCAGTCCGAATGAGGCAAGGAATGCTAACAAAGCCATTTCCCACCTTTGGCAGAGGCAATCTCGGATTCCAGGGCTTTTGCAAGGACGCCCTTCCGGTGAAAGTCCCCCAGAACAACAACGGGGACACGGGCACGGTCGAGTTTAGGACCATGGAAGGTACCCTAGACCCCGAGCTTATCATTCACTGGGTGACGGTGGTGATAAGGCTGTATGCCTTTGCTTGGATGGGAAACTCGAATGACATCAAGGTCATCCTTGCGCGTGCGGGCGCCTCGAGCTATGATGGCCCTACCCTCCTGGAAGACATTGACCTCCCTATCCAAGCTGAGTATTTTCGGCAGAAGGCAAAGGATGACGAAGAGAACGTCAGACGGGGTTCGGTCGATGAATCCTTTGTTCCACCTTACCAAAATAATTGAATTGGCTATAATTAGGAGTAAAGCATTTTAGGTAACTATCTGTATTTAGCATCTCATAGACTATCAAGGAATCTTCGAATGGCGTTCGCATATGATACTCAATGATATGGTAGATGTATGGGTTAAATACCCCTTGATAATATGGTAAGATGAATAACCTCATTAGGTAGTTATATGTAACTAATCAATCATCGTGATATCGATCTGAGATTACGCCAATGTAGCATCCCGCCAAATCTAACCGTAGATGGTATAGCGTGGTCACCCCTGGTGATTAGTATTACAGTACAATAAAAACAAATGATCCCGATTAACGTTACGCTTCGTCCTCTTATCTTCTTCACCTTCACACCTACATACACAACAACTGAAACCAAAAGGCGTGAGAAACATGGCGCTCACACCACGATGGTCTCACACTCTATTGCTTGCAGTGCTGGGAACTGCAGCTGCATCTGAGCTTCAGATGCCTCTAATACCGTCTCAACAGAAACCCCTGGGAGCTAATCACGCACTTGTTAAGCCGGTGGTCGACACCGATGATCTGCAGGACAGCATCAAGGTCGACAACCTTTTCAGCCGTGCTAAGGACCTCTATGCCATCGCAGAGCTATCCGAGCCAGAATATGGCCATCCGACTCGAGTTATCGGGAGTGAGGGTATGTGATGAGATAAATTTCCTATAAACAGCTAGCTAGGTATAAGCATTATCTCATGCTCATTCATCTCATCTCTTATAGGCCACAGCGCGACGTTGGATTATATTTATTCAGCGATAGAGGACCTTGGTGATTATTACACCCTCTCGAGCCAGCCATTTCCCGCCAACATAGGGCACATTTACGAGTCTCGCCTCATTATTGGCCATCACTTAACCAAGTCCTCCTCACCCATGTCTATGACTCCGCCAACAGCTGGTAAAGAGCCTGTTCATGGTGATCTGGTTCTCGTAGCAAACGAAGGATGCGACGCGTCTGATTATCCTGCTAACCTCACTGGCAACATCGCGTTCATCCTTCGCGGCACGTGCCCCTTTGGCACTAAATCACTGAATGCGGGCAAGGCCGGTGCAGTTGCTGCCATTGTGTTCAACTACGAGTCAGGACAAGTCTCCGGTACCCTGGAGAGCCCCAGCCCGGACCATGTCGCCACTTTTGGCTTATCGGGCAAAGAAGCGGGTCCCATCCTTCAACGTTTGAAGGATGGCGAGGTCATTAATTCGATCGCGTATATCAACTCGGATGTCAACCAGATCCAGACCACCAACATCATCGCACAGACCATCGAAGGCGACCCGGACAACTGCGTCATGCTCGGTGCCCACTCTGACAGCGTCGCCGAAGGACCGGGCATCAACGACGACGGCTCGGGCAGCATCACGCTTCTCGAAGTCGCGACGCAGCTGACCAACTTCAGCGTCAAGAACTGCGTGCGCTTCGCGTGGTGGGCCGGCGAAGAGGAGGGCCTCCTCGGCTCAGACTACTACGTCGAAGTGTTGCCGGAAGAGGAAAACAAGAAGATCCGCCTCTTCATGGACTACGACATGATGGGCAGCCCGAACTTCGCCTACCAGGTGTACAACGCGACCAACGCCGCGAATCCAACCGGCTCGGAGCAGTTGAGGGACTTGTATATTGACTGGTACACGGCGCAGGGCTTGAACTATACGTTTATTCCGTTCGATGGCCGCAGCGACTACGACGCTTTCATCCGCAACGGTATTCCCGGCGGAGGTATCGCGACGGGTGCTGAGGGCGTGAAGACGAAGGAAGAGGAGATCATGTTTGGCGGAAAAGCAGGTGATTGGTATGACCCTTGTTATCACCAGCTGTGCGATGACATTGGGAATGTCAATGCGACGGCGTGGTTGATCAACACTAAGGTTTGTCCCCTTCTCCTCTCCTTGGGCTCATTTTCCTCCCAATTTGTTCAGAGCCATTTTTGCTAACTTTTCATTCCCAGCTCGTCGCGCACTCGGTCGCCACCTATGCCCTCTCGTTCAAGGGCTTCCCTGAGCGAACAACAACCACTACCCCGATGAATGTCTATGGTCGGTCGGCCAAATACCATGGACATCGCCTCGTTTTGTAAGATCGTTTTGGAATATATTTATGAATCGTGTATATGACTGTTAATTAAATTGAAATATAATTCATATTCACTGCATGTTGGAATAGCTATCACATAAGCAGTTCTTAGGTATATAAGGCATTTCTGTTGAATACCTAGTAGCCTTATCCATCTTGAACTTGGAGAATACACATACAGAGTTTTACAATTACCTTCTGATTAAATTTGATTTCAGTTGCCTTTTGCATATGCAAACCTATCCCATCTATCGATGGACCTTGTCCACCGACACTGCTTATAAACTTGATTGGAATGAAAGCAGTTGTCAACATGCCCCGTATATGGCTCTTTGCTTCGGGGTAGTAGGGCTGGAGCATGGACCCTTCTGCTCTGACAACATCTCGATTACGCGTGAACTGATATCAATTAAAGGGGCATCTTCCGCCCTCCAATTGAGCAGTTTGATTAAAAATCAATCAAGATACATAATGGGTGCGGGACTACCTACATAGAATCCCCAACACTAACTTTGCCTAAATCTACGCCACATCGCGAGTGAGGTGTAATCGTAACGCCAACCGCACAGATCAAAAAATAATGAGTATAGCTTCATTGTATGAATAAGTGTATCTGTGCGCCTGATCAGATACGCGGATATAGGCCGTGTTACACTATAGCTTTGAGGAATATGACTAGTCTCAAAGAATTCTTTGCGCATGGTTGCAATAAGAAGCAGAACTTCATTTGAATCGACTCGTACCCACAAGCTCGTGATACTTGGCTACCTACCTAGACATGATGTCCTTCAAGAGCCTCGTCAGGGGGAGGTGATGGCAACACGGAGTGTTTGCTCTTACGTGGCACAACTTCTAAGGTTCTTTTGACTTCGACGTATGGTTATTATATTCAGAGGAAAACACCACTCTCGTGTCCTACGGTGCATCTCAATGCAAACTTCCCCCCTTTCTCCTTTCATGACGGCTCCTTGCTTACCTAAGGCGCCCAGGTAGTATAGTAGTATAGCAATCATGTCACATCTGTGGACAACAACAGTTGTCCGAGCTTCTAGTGGGTGAGCTATGAGGTATGATGAATGTAGATGATTCAAGACTAGCCCGTTACTCCCGAGTCGCTCTGCCCGTTATGAGTAAGGTCTGCCAGTTGTCCGTTTCCCCGTTTTCTATAAATTGACCGTTGGTTTCTAACGGCTGCTTAGGTATCTTTGCATCTTTCATTCCCCAAACCAGATTTCTCGACTATTACTACCTGGTACTTTTGAATATACCCACCAACAACCAAAACTTGAACCGCCTCACTCTACCCAAGATGAGACTCTTCTGTCTTCAACATATCCTAGGCCTCCCGGCCCCTTTGGCATTGATGCTCTTGATGGCCAACGCAGCAGCTACACAAAACATCACTGCAAATATCTCGTCCCCGGGAGTTGCTCCCCAAACCACAACGGCGAGTAGCCACCCAGTTCCGAGCGGCGACTACGTGTTCACCATAGTCAACTCTCACACCGCGCCCGTGTCAACCAAGCACGCCCAAGGGGCAGGAAGCCCTACCGCGATCCGGAACACCAACGAAAGCAGCATCATTGCCCCCTCCCAAACCGTCACATTCGCCGTCCCCACCGGGGTGAGTAGAGCTCTTGCGCAAAGACGTCATCATTCAGGAGCCCCCACGATGAAGAAATCGCTATCGTAAAACCCAAAATTGTACTTGCTACCAAGTAACTAACTGTAAGCCGTAGTGGTCCGGACGAATGGCGATGTGGGAAGACGGCTACGTCGTCGCCGACCGAGCGTCCTTGCTAGAGGGATCGTTCATGCCAAACCCAGCCGAGCCCGCGATCCTAGCGTTGGATGTTAGCTACGTGTAAGCCAGCTTTCTTTCCAGAGGCATATAGTTACCTGCAACTCACAAATGACGGTTGGCTTGTTGGTTTGTGCTAACCAGAATCTTCTAGGGATGGTTTCACAGTACCGATGGTTTGCGAGTGCAATCATGCGGTGGTGGCGGGCTGCAACCTGAACCTGCACGACGTTTGTCCGGTTTGTGATCCCTATTCATACCTTTGAAGTCATGTATCTACCTCCTAGGGAGATAGGTACGTACATAAGGATGGTATGGTGCTGATGGACTTTGTGCAGGAAGAACTACGACCAAACAACAAAACGTGCGCGAATCCGTACCGAGACACCCCTCCACCCCGAGATGAAGAAAATATATTCGTAAGCTGCAAGGGCATGGCGTACACATACCCCATCGACGATCTAGCGACCAAAGTCAATATCGCTGGGTGCGAGCGCAACATCACATGTTGCATCGGGACGGCCTGCAGGTCGAATCCGGGACAGTTGTTATGTCCCGCGACAAACGGAACCGCCAGGGGGTGCGGTGAAATGGGTATAGATAGATAAAATCTAGGAATCGTTGTCGATGGCTTGATATGCGGGAGCCCCTAGATATCTATGAGGACTGGAGATATATTCATAGTTCGACATATCTACAAGATACATTATTATGGCGCGGGATTTCGTGAAGACTTTATAGATAACATGCTTGCATGATGAACTCTATACCTATCTAGCAAATACAACAACAACAACAACAACAACAGCCAGCCTAACTACCTAGTATGCGAGGCGTCCTGCAACTCGCTCGGAGAGTCCACAGAAGACACCTCACCGTCGCGCCGCCTAGGCTGCTTGATCACACGACAGCAGACCACGAAGCTCCACGTCATGAGCAAAACCCTCAAGCCACTACCCTCAGTTTACAGTTAGCAGTTAACACAGCACATAAACCACGACCTCCCCTCTTCCAAAAAGCCATCCCAAAAACCGCCACGGAAGTTTGCGAACAACTCACCATATGGCAAACGTGACAGACAGCGACAGAAAGTCGGTACTTGCCCAGGGCCCCGGGTCCGGATCAGGGGGCGGATCGCTGTCGGGGGCATCATTGTTACTATTGCTGAGCATGATGAGGAAAATGGAGGGGATGGCCAGACACAGGACGAGGAGGTCGCCGCAGACGACGCAGGCGGGCGAGACGCGGGAGATGGTGCGCGTGGAGTCCAGCAGGCCCATGAGCTCGGAGCCGTCGACGACGAGCGCGATTACGGCCTGTGAGCTGTGTTTTAGTGCCCTGCGTACCTAGAATAATAACAATAATCACTTTTTTTTTCTGAAAAAAACAAAGTGTTCTCCCCTTCGCTCACTCTTTCACTCCTCGCTCACCAACTCGCCTTCATCTTTATCATCGTCTTCATCCATAAAAAGACAAAATAAATGGAAAAAAATAAATAAAATAAAATGCCTTACCACAGTGACGGACAGCGCCAGCGTCTTGCCCCAATTGACGCTCTCGTAGATAAGGTTGGCCAGTAAGACGACGGAAGCTCCCATGCCAAGAACGCGTGCGATTGCGCCGGCGATAGCGCTGGCCCTGGGTACGCGCGGTCGCGTCATTTTACGCCAAGGGGCATTTATACACGAAGTAATATTCCAAGGTTAGCTTTTTATGAGGCTCGGCAGGGCTGTTTTTTAGTTTTGTGAATCCTGCCAGGGACAAGTATGGAAACAGGCAAGCATCAATCAATACGGCAGCCTAAAAGGGGGGGACGAGATATAACTAATGGGTAAGAGTGAGTGTATAAGGCGGATTCGGTAGCATCCCGAGTATATACATACACACATACATACACATACATATGCCGCGAACCCAAAGTATATGGATATATGTATGCGAGTAAGTAAGTATGTACATACGTGTACGCCCTCGGCTAGAAACTAGAAAGAGAAGCTCATTGTGCTAAAAGGTTCCTTCCCCCAGACCCAGACCCAGACACAGACACAGACACGGGGGAAAACGAGCTGGGGTTCAGGGCCGTTGCATGCATTATTACCCGTCCATTCGGATGCAGAGGTTCGTCTTGGCGGCTGTGAAAGGGCAATGTCAGCATGACAGAATCTGTTTTTTGCCTACTTGAGCGTAGTAAGGGTATATGTGTGCCTTTTATTCGAGGGTTCTTTCGGGATATATTTTTCGAGTGAATATCAAGTTGGTGGAATATATATATATATATATATATATATGTGTGTGTGTGTGTGTGTGTGTAGCTGGGGATTATGAAGAGTTTCTATAATAACCTGGAAGCCGTTATAAGGGGACCTTGCTATACTATTAACTTACGAAGTACGCTTCACGCAATAAGTTCCATTAGAACTTGTAGGAATCACACAAAGTCACTCAAAAAATGGGTTTTGTGTGTTGAAAATGATTTTGTACAAAGGCATGAATCAAAAATATATTGATCTGGCGACCATGTAGACCTCGACATTATGTACTAACCTAGGTAAGTATGCTATTTGGAAGCAAGATGATACATCGTATCTATAACGTTAATGTGAGAGAAGCCCCAGATGATACATACCTCGGCATTGTCTAAGTCGGAAATATGCATTTGTCAGGTAATTTAGTATTCAGAGTTAGTGTGGGCTAGATAACGATAACGGTGTAAGACACTGTATCCGGGCAGTTATACCTACTCCACCATCTCGGTATAACATACATACATAGTTCACTTGCACATACATCATCAATATCACTCATCAGACAAATAAGTGACAAAAGAAAGCCCCATGATTGATTTGGGGGATTTTGATTCCGAAAGTATCCTCTTCTTCAAAGTTGTTTAAAGGCGCAGTACTTCGTACGTCTCAACAGTATTACTCATCAGATTATGGCATAGTATTCATTCCAAATCTGTAATCGTCGCAGATAATTTTTTCGCGATGGCTTCTTCGCCCCTCCAAACACCTCTTCCCGAGGAAGTAAATGAAGATTCCGCAGCACCCGCTCCCCAAATTCCTGATAACCGTGAGCATACCGAAATACCCCCCGCAAATCCATCATCCGACCCTCCAGCCGATACTCATCGATGTTTTGTCTGCCTTGTCGACGAGCCCGAAGCTAGCTTGCCAGAAGACTGGTCAACACCATGTACTTGCGCGCTAGAAGGTCACCAAGAATGTCTCATGTGTTGGATTACCGACCTCGAGTCCCAAGGCAAGGATATCAAGTGTCCACTCTGCAAGTCGCCCATCACAGTTACCGAGCTTAGCGACTTTGCTATTCAACTCAGCAACTACATGCACAGAAAGTTCTCAAAGTGGTCGCCTAGAATTCTATTTGGCTTTCTTGCCTCCGGCACCCTTGTAAGCAGCTCCATATACGGTGCAAAGGCCATCGATTGGTTTGCTGGTCCTGGAACGACACTTGACTTCCTGCTCACTGCAGGCGGTACGACTATAACCGACATGTTGCGCGACCCAAAAGGTGTTCGAGCTGCGAATCAACCGCTTACGATTAATTTTTTACATTTCGCCGTCCTCCCTCTTATTGCGCCAGGTCTCATACTTAACAGATTGCGCCAGGGCGAGGTGATTTTGATTCCAGTCTCGTTCCTGGTAAGTAGTTCCCATGAATCACATACCTACCTAGCATAAATTATGGGTTAGTTCAATGTCTAACACAAATGTGCACACCTTTTAGTACGCAACGCTCATCGACGAAACCCACGAATACTTCACCTGGCCTCCGTCGCCCCAACGAGCTCTCGCCATTTACCCCACCATAAAAGCGACCTACTTCCACTTACACCACATTCTTTCCAAACGCTTGGAGAAACGATGGAAGGCCAAAGCAGCGGAACTGCTTCCCAACGATGGTGGCGAGAACCACGAGCGCCAGCCCGCGCTACAGAACGACCCCGAACCGCAACCGGAAGCGGGTAACAACTTGCTTGATTTCGAGATAGATATACAGATCAACCTCGAGGACGGCGACGAAAACGTGGACGTGCGCGGGAACAGGGGCCTCGATGGCGGCAGGTCGCCAGTCAATTTCATAGCCGGCGCGCTAATCTGGCCCGGCGTGTGCTACAGCATGGGCCAGCTCCTGCGGCTCGCCCTCCCATGGCGCTACACCACGCGCCCTGCCTCCGGGCCCATCACCGGGATCCTCCAGGAACGCTGGGGGCGCAGCCTGGTCGGTGGCTGTCTCTTCGTCGTGCTCAAGGATGCGTTCTTCTTGTGGGTCAAGTATCGACGGACGATAACGCGTGCTTCGAGACGGATAAAGAATGCGGAGAATCGACAGGTCCGTCGTTGAGTGTTTCGTTAATCGTGTGTGATAAGTACTTGGGAATGGGAAAATTGGCCGGCGTTACGAAGCATTCGATTTGTGATATTAGGTGGACTATGGGCAAGAAAGAGATAGGATTCTGGCATGGATGGAACTTGCGAGGCAAGCACAGCACAGCACAGCGCAGCGTATCGTAGTGTATGCGTATCGTAGTGAGATAGGTCGAAGATTCATCTTCTAGATCATTTCTTTTGTATAATGCGGATAGTGATACTGGGTAATTTTATTACTAGGTGTCTCGCCTAGGTACTGGGTATTAATGCGTCTCGTTGAGGAGACGGGTGGCATACGGTCTTTGAAAACGGGCTTGGAATATAGCGACCTACCTAAGGTTACCTACCTCTACATGGTAACTAGGTGATCATGCTTCAAGATCTGTTTGTTTAAGAAGCCCGAGTTACTAGGCAGTAGATGTCATTCCACTCAGCGCAAGAATAGTCCCAACTATCTAGTTAGGTACCTACCTACTTACCAACTCAGCGATGTATTAGGAGTGACATTATTAGTCTTGCTAACCTTAAGCCTGTGCTAACTTTTTGATTCAAATCCATGTTGGAATGGAACCAGATACCAGATAGATAGTTAGACGAGAAGAGCTGACCAGATTATGAGAGCGCTTATACGGCAACGTGTTCTGTTGGAAAATCAGCACCAAAAGACGACTTGTAAGGAATAGCTCCGTCTGTATGTACCTAAGAACAGTTGGATTTGTCATACACTTATCATTATATATCATGGATACAAGGTGCGTATCAAGAATGAAATATTTATATAAGAGTAAATCTTGAAATACACGTTGTTATTGTCAGTTTAGTAATATCTACAAATAGGGATTTATATCTATCTCCACCCCTCTCTCTAACGTCCACTTACCTAGGTAGTACTCTCTATACTCCAACCCCTTATCCTGGGGAGACTACATTTTCTACCTGCTGCAACTTTCAGCCATCCCCATCCCCATCCCCATCGCTTCGAAACATCCAAATCCCACCAACCCCTTTCGACCAAACCAGCTCCTTTTCCTCCTCCTCCTCCCTTTCCCCTTTATTTTTTTTTTCATTCTTAAAGAAGACCCTATAAAAATGTCAGCAAACGACACCCCCGAACAACAAAACCAGAATCTCCTCACCCGCCCCTTTCCCGAAGCCGTGGCCTACGACCTCTCCGCCAAGGACCACACCGCGCTCATCCGCGTCCCGCCCCACTCTTCCTGGTCGTCGGGCCTGCACTGGCATGATGCGCACACGGAGTTCTTGCAGGTGCTGCGGGGGCGGGCTAGGGTGGTTGTTGGGGGGGAGGAGTTTGTCGTCGGCGCTGATGCTGGGGGAGGTGGTGGTGTTGGTATTGGTGTTGGTATTGGTGGTGGGGATGGGGATGGGGGTGATGTGATCACGGTGCCACGCGGCGTTGTGCATGAGTGGCGGAGAGCAGATGAGGATGGTGAGGGGTTGGTGGTTAGGGAGTGGACGGAGCCGAGGGATGGTGGGAAAGAGGTCTTCTTTCGGAATCTGAATGCGTTGGTATTGGGGAGTGGTGGTGGTGGTGGTGGTGGTGTTTGGGGTGGGATGAAACTACAGGTTGAGCTGTGGAATCTGTTTTGGCGCGCGGATAACTATCCGGTGGTTTGGGGATCGGGGATCTTTGGGGGCGTGGCGACGAGGGCGGTGATGGGGATTGCGGTTGTGGTGGGCTGGGTGTTGGGGTGTAAGGGGGTTTATTTATGAGGGGGGAGGTGATGGTTTGTTTGGCTGTTAAGAGAGGGGAAAGGGGTGTTGGAAGCGAGTTTTGAGAATTTGGAACGAGAAATAAATAGGTCATTATTTCATAAACATCTTACAACTGCGTGAGACGTGATATCTGGCATGTCCATTGTTCATAAATTGTATCATCCCCGGAAGGAAGGCCACATTATGTAGTTAGGTACTCGTCTTCCACTCCCTAGTCTGCGGATTATATTCCAAAAAGTACAGCGTTTTCGTATCGTCACCGCTATACTCATGGCTGATCTTTAGATCCGGTTCACAGTAGTTCCCCATAAACTCCAGCTGAAGAACCAGCTCCGTCCCCGGCTCAACATCACCACGGAAGTTAATGACAAAAGGCTCGGACCGGGCCACCCGCCTATTATACTCCAGCTTCACCGACCTGAGAAACGAGACCGGCGTGCCATCCACATCTACGCCGCAAACCCTCAGCTGCCGCCTATCGTCCCCCGTCGTCTCCATCTGCACCGTCAGCCGGCGCCGGAGGATGAACGTCGGGATCGGGATATCCAGCTTCTCCATCACGCAGAGCATCAGGTCGTCGGACTTCGAATAGACGCGCAAGTCCGCGAGCCCGTCCAGCGGCGTGTCCTGCAGGTTGCAGATGACGAGCTTGGCGCCGCGGTTCCGGCCCGCTACCTCGGGGATCTCGTTCGCGGGCGTCACCGTGATCGAGGAGCCGAGGACGAGGAAGAGGTCTGCTCTCGCGCCGTGGTCGCGGGCGAGCTGCAGGGGAGCCTCGGGCAGAGACTCGCCGAAGTTGATGATGCTGTCGAGGAGGGCGCCGTCGCAGAGCGTGCATTTCCGTCCCGTGCGGTGGTCGTGCACGGTCTTTTCGTATGAGGCGACGGCTCGGAAGTCTGGGCGTTGTTAGTAAAGGCGTATGGTTTTGTTTATGGGGTTTGGTATGCACCGCGGATAAACTCCTTTCCGCAGTCTTTGCAGGACTCGCGGGTATTGTTTCCGTGAAGCTCGGATAAGTTGTTCTAATACGATAGGAGGATTAGTCGACTCTGCATAGAGCCTCTCACGAGTTAGACCGACTCACTGGCAAGATCCCGCTCCTCCTATGCAAGCCATCGCAGTTCTGGCTGATCAAATACTTCAGCATCCCCCGGTTCTGCAGCTCCACGAGCGCCATGTGTGTAAGCGTCGGCACCGCTTGCAGCGTGTTAACCGCACCCGCGCGCTGCTTTCCCTGCGCTCTCAGCGTCCATATCCCGTCCGGACCACGAAAATCGGGGATTCCTGTTCGCAAGATTTAGACCCGGCGACTAGCCAGCTACGCAGTAGGTACTCATCAGGTTGGAGAGAAAGGCTGACCAGCAGACGTGGAGACACCTGCCCCCGTGAAGACCACCATGTGCTTGCTCTTCCGTATCAGCTTCGCCAGCGCTTCCGCCTTTCTGTCAACGACCTCCGGCGCCTCTTGACGTTCCTCTGCAGGGACTTTGGGCGCGGTGTTGGCCATTTTGGATGGATATCTGTGCAGAGAAATTTCGAGTTAATACCTAGGTATAAATCAGATGTTTTGCTTTGATATGATATATGAGATTTCGAGTAGGCAGCAGCATTTGTTCAGCTGGGGTTATGATACGAGTCTTGCCGGACAAAATCACCACGTGACTTCGCCTCAGGCTTCTAAAAAGGGGAATTGTTGTGCTTGGTGTTTACTTAGTATTGTTTACCTAGGTAGTTGTTGTCACAGCAGCCGTAGGACGCGTCAGACTGTTGTGATAGGGTCATAAGTTCAAGGTGGTAGCATGATAGGTATGTTTTCAAGGATCGCGTCTGATTACGAGTACAAAGAATTTCGCTTTCACTGCCATCTCATTGACTTGCAGCTAATTCCTTAACTGCGCTCATATCTTTCCCCTCCTTACTTTCCTCTTCAGTGACAATATCCATCAACATGCGTCGTTCAAGCCCATACTCGAGGAATATTCTTAGTACCCCTAGATGACCTTTCCGCACCGCATAATGAACAGCAGACTCGGGACTTCCAACTTTCGAGGTGTCGGTCTCTGGTCTAGCGCCGCGCTCCATCAGGTACCGCACCACAGCCTCATGACCACGCGACGCTGCTACCCCGAGTGCCCCTGAGCCCTCTAACTTAGCGCCATATTTCAACAAAACCCCGATAGCGCCAATATCCTGGTGGAAAGCCGCCCCGGCCAGCGGCAACGGGGTGACATCCGGATCCAAGTTCGGGTCCGCGCCGGCTCGGAGTAGAAACTCAACGAACTCGACGGGTTGTTTACTCACGCACGCGAGCGCGATGGGCGTGCCGCGTCTGTCGAACTGCCAGTTGATTATGGAAGGATCTTTGGCAAGTAGAGCCGAGACCAGATCGGTGGAGCTGGAGTAGATGGCCGCACGGACGGTTTCTTCGTTGAGGGGCACAGAAGGATATCTGGAGACAAGAAACTCAACGACCGGTAGTTGGGACTCCCATGCCGCTTTTGCCAGAAGGCTTTGGATGGTCTCTGCTGAAGGCTCCTCTTTCGTCGCGAGGAATTGTTCTAGCTCGGCAACTCTCCCTGCAGCAACCGCTTCCATGAGTGGATTTTGTTGGTCAGTAGCCATTTCCTCCGGTCTCGCTTACTTGGGAATGGTAGACTGTGGAGATGAAATTAAGTCGCAATAAGAATTGGAGGATTGGTACTGGAGATAATGGCTCCCCTTTCCCCACCAATCTCATACATCAGGCCTACCTACCGCCTAGAGAGGATCTTCCTAGTGCTGCCTTGCCACCTAGGTGCGTCTGTAATGAAAATCACAAAAATCACGAAACATGGACCTGGGGTAGGTACCTGCCTAGCTGTGGCGCGAGTTATTACCGGGGCGATGGGAATCAAAAAATAAGCTTATACCTGGGTATCTTCTCATGACCAGGGTTTGGTCCGAATAGCCTATAGCCTTCAGAATTGACCTACCGTGCAATAGCCTTACCTCCAGGCTATACCCGCAGATCTACCTTGCCCCGTAAACAAGCTGAATATAAGCTACTTGAATATCGGCATAACCATCTGGATGTTTACTAGGTATGTAGATCATAGTGAGTAAATTTTATGTGGCTGGAGGGAGATACCTTCGCCATTTCAGATTGTTGGTCAACATGAATATACGAGATCGATTGTAGGACTCCCTACTATGTAGTAGGAGGTAGTGAGGCATAACACTAGGCGTGATCATGTATAACTTATGCCGGCAGTTATATAACATGCTTGATATGACTGATGTGCTAACAATTACCCCAACCTTGGAAACATGAATGTCCGAGCCGGTAATATCCCGCAAGGCTCCGGAGGGTGCGGAACACCGTAGGACATGGCTGTTGGTCTGAATGAATTCCTGGAGTGTGAGATTACTAGGATCAGTTGACACCATGAGCAGCAACAGCATTTACATGTTATTTATCTTGTAGAAAATCAGATGATGCTGACACAATAGCAATCCGATGTTGGCCAGAAGGAGGCTCAAGTGAGCCGCACTGCTTATTACTTCAGCCGTTGGAAGTTTCGTACAATCATCTGCATGTCGGACGAAAGTGGGAGGGTGGTCAGCAAGTATAGAGCTACAACAGCTGCGCCGCGCATACGTTTTGAGTCATTGGACCGGGTGGCGCAATGTGGTTTTTTTTTTCAACGCTCATGTCCAATACGGCTCTGATGAGGTAGCTCTAAGCTGTACAATCGACTCTTCTCACCATGTACATACATACCTACACTCATAGTACGCATCACCATTAGTATACGTAGATAATGACGACAATGGAAACTCGAATACGCGCATCTGAAGAAGAATGTTAGTATGCGCCTTCGTTTTCGCTTCCGAGCTTGGTAACGCTGAGTTTTACACCGCCGGTTGATGGTATCGGATCTGGAGTACCTACATGTAGTTTCATGTGCTGGGTGCATGAGATCACAAACTGCATATGCAGCAGCAGAGTGTCTCTAAGGTTTGCTTAACCGGTGTGCCCGAGGAAAGGTATGAGTGACGGGCAGATCAATGGATAGAAGATCGATTGTTGTCGCGCATATAAAAAGCACGGAGGAACCGACATACCATACCTATCTACATACATACATGTAGTACATGTAGGTTGGTTGATATGCAAAGACGCGATGTTCGTCAACGGTTCGTTACCAATACTGTGATACGACGGGATTTCCCTGTACATGTGTACACCTCAAAGCTACTGGTATGCATCAATGATGTACGTCCGTACGTACGTACATACATACGTACGTACCTACCTACATATCGACGGGCTGTTTGTGATATTTGATGCTTCAATGTTGTGTAATTACACCTACATGTATGTAGGTCACTGGTATGTATGTAGGTACAAGTTGTAGCCCCGGAGGTAAAAGGTAACTTGAACTTTGAAATACCCATGGATTAGTTATTCATGGATGTATGCACCTATGCTACATGTACCTAGTAAATGAATAAACTGATAGATCACACTCAACAGATCACTGAACAGATGAGATGTGCTGATCGGGGAAATAATAAGGTTAAGACTACAGTAGTTCAACCCACACTAAACCATCTGGGGAAAATGCTAGGTAGGAATTGGAATAGTATTAGGGGAAAGAGAGTTTGACAGTTGCATATGAACCTTGAAAAGTTTATCTATGGTAGTTACTTAGAATCAACTGGCAGTTACTATGTATGTAAGTACTAATGCTAGTGCAGAGTCGCTACACGTGTAGTACCTAGCTTGCTAACGGTAACGGCATCACGTTCCAGGCCTAAAAGATTCTGGATTTAACTTGAATTGATTGATTGATCACTCCAGGGCTACCTACACTATTCCTCCCCCCACCCTCCATCTTTCAAGGGCTAGCTAGGTAGCTATCAGCTAAGTACCGGCTCCTTGGCTCTTTCTTTATTGGCAACCTTGGGAACCTTAACCCACCCGCTCGGGTCGCAAATCATTTACTTCTTTTGGATTTTCACTTTGTAAAAGCTCGGTCCGGAACTCCTCACCGCAAATTTCAACATCTTCACTGGTTACTGCAAATTGCCAATTGGGTAGTATCAGTTTACATTGCCCACCTAAGGTTAGATGATTTACATATTGATGTTACCATGCTACCATGCTACCTACCTAGTACTAGGTAGTAGGTAGTAGGTAATGTGAGTATACTGCATATACTGCATACCTATCACCAACTCCATGTTACCTACCTAACCTAACCACTACCTATAAATCCCCCCCTTTTTTACTTTGCGGAACTATTGACATCCCTATACTACATACATACTACATGCCTATGTACCTACCTACATACTGTCATACTAACCAACTTGCTGTTAGTTGTCTCACTATAGACACGTGTTCTAACATCTTTGTAAGACCTTTCTAACTGGAGCCAGCCTACCTAGTACCCTGCCAGCCAGACAGTCTGCCTGCCTAGTACCAACTTGAAGCAACTAGGTAATGGAATGCTTCGAGCGGGAGATGCGGTTGTACCCTCAACGGCCAGGTTGTGTCACCATCTTCGAGCTAAGCTTCTCAGCTACCTAGATCATGAGATGCACCAAAAACTCCGAACTTTCGATAGATGCCATCTATGTATGTTAATTGCATACCGAGATGATAAGCTCAAGAAACCAGTCAAGTTGGGGGCCGCCTCGGTCAAGACCTTACTAGGGTAGGTATCTTCGAACCTACCCAAACCTACCCAGGCAGGAAATCCTACATTTCCACCAAAAGGTCAGCTCATCAGCTCATGTCGTCTCGATCGGGATACGAATGTGGGCTTGCTTATGTATGGACACGGGCCGTGAACGGTTCGCGCACTGATCCCTGCTCCTGTTTTTCCCTTGTCACTGCTTATGTACTAGGTATGCACCTGCGAGTTGAGTTCCGATTAGGTCGACGTGTCACCACGCGACGAGCTCCTGCACCCGGCCAGGTAATCACATCCGATTGTAAAATTGTTGGATAACAGCAAAGAAGCACCACAGAGGATACTGTCCCACCGGGAATACTGGCAACTTTCCTAACGGATAACAGTTTGTTTTTTCGTTTCCATTCGAGGCCTAGGGATAAATATACCATTCCTATCATTCCCTTCCTACCATTTAAACCAAGTCTCGCGAGTCGACGAGCCGGCAGAACTGGTCGTGGCGTCAAATGGCTCGCGTTAGCGTGAACCACGTTATTCCAGAGGCTGGGCTACTGGGTCGAATGAAATCAATTTGGAAAGGAAAGACCCAGGTGTCAGCCCAAATGCAAATTTTCTTGGCTCGCGAACAGGGCAAATAGGGCATCCCGTCTGGGGGGTTTTGGCACTAGTCCATTGCTAACCTTGCACCTTGTTGGTCGATTTTGCGATGATGGTTTCTTCCAGTTCCTTTTCTTCCTATGCTGGCCTTTTTTTTCTCTTGTTTCCTTTCTCCCTTATCCATCTACCCATCAGTCTAAATGTTGGTGAAATCGAAGTTTGCAGTATGCACGTTGCCAACTGCAAACAATTCTGTAATGATGGATGGATGGATGAGAGATATTATGGTGGGATGGTGGTAGATTCCAACTGGAACGGCGTAGTCTTTTCCGTCATTTTATGCGGCTCCTCAGGATGGCCACATTCTTTTTTGGATTGCTACCCCCTGAATTCCAATCCCAGCCCTTATCTACATACATACATAGTAGTACCTAGTACCATGCATTGGCACACACGATCACGGGTTCTGCTAGCCGGTAGACCCGAGACGAGTCTAGTCTCGCTTCTAGACTCTAGCAGAGTTATCCCACTTCATTTGGGGATCCGCGTGATGTGTATTTGGGTAGTGGTGCTGCAGGCTTGCGAAATTAGACAAATGTCGATCTCGGAGCGGAACAAAAAAACCACCCCCTTACTATGTACAATTTGGACTCTGAATATGCTATCATCCGTGACTTCTAAGTCCAGTCACGGCTCTTACACCACGTCTCGTTCCACATTAAGTTATGTCTCGTCTCACCTCCAAACATTGTACACGTCCGACCTTCGTTGTGCCGGGTGTTTAAGTTGACTACTGCAGATACAACAAGACGTACCGAGCTAACGAAGAGTTACATCTGGACTCTTGGGTGCTGTTTGCTTGTCTTACCCCGTGACCTACATGCCAACTTCTGGCTCTCTACGTAAGTTGGTTTTGGTTTTTGCAGTCCTCCGACCAAGGTAATTAACTTGGCTCCTCTTTCCCTGTCTGGGCCTGAACTCACCCACTGTCTGCAGTTCTTAAACTGTAGCCCGAGCGTGCATCACCCATAGGGCTGATCCAAAGACCTGTTCGCTTTCCACGTGGCCGGCAGAATTCGATAAAGGCAGCGACGGAACCTGACCGATAGCAAACGGAGATCTTTACCGGGGCTAGGACATTGCGGCGCGCACCCGCCTACTTCAAGGGCCATAATCGGGACTGCTGTATGGTTAGCGACTTGCTTTTTGAAGTTACCACTTTAGGCTCGAGCCTCATCGACTTTATATACAGAGAAGGAACAGTACCCGTATCAGTACCAGCGCCAATAGGTACTATCCGAAGCATCCTTTGATCTACTCGAGGGATTATGCCCTGGTCAGGTAAGTTACTGCATGCCCAATGTTAAATTCAACCACCCCCCAACACCCCAAAACGCTACCTTCCTGCATTACATGGAGGTGTGGTAAAAGGAAAGATGTTAGATGCAAGATTGGATGACTTCCATTCTCGGCTTCCTGTTTGCTTGCATTTAGGAAGTCGGTAATGAAAAGACTCGAGATATGTTATTCACATCAATCCCTCCCCTCACCCCATTCCGCTGTTCATCTAACCCACCTACTCATCTACTCATCTACCCATCTACCCATCTATTCATCTATCCGTCTATCCATCTCAACCCAGACAAGCTCCCAGACAGGTTCACAGACTGCGGGTTCCCATATCTCTCGTCATTGGTCCAATCTGAGTGGTGTTCATCTATATCTATATCTATATATATCTATGTATGTCAAGGTATATATATATATATACATATATAGTGCCTATCGGAGCATTCGTCAGATACTGTGATGGATTATTATTCCAGAGCTTGGTGTTTGGCGGTTTTAGCTGGCTGAAGCCTTGAAATGCTGAAGAAAAGGGGGCCTGTAAATGGTTCATGATGATTCTCGTCGTCGTTACTTACCTGAGAAGGAGAGAGCGAGCGAGGAAGGGACTAGTCACATCCATTTTAGGATCTTTTATCTTTTTTTAAAAGAGAAAGAGCAGAACGAAGAGTCAGGATAGAAAAGGCAAAGGCTATTGCTTCCAACAGCAGCGTCCACTGTTCTTTCCTGCTTAGTGACTCTGAGTTTCTTCCTGAATGATCCAACCCAGAACTCAATAAACCTTCAATACCCTTGCCTTCCATCTCATCTTCATTCTCATCTCTACATACCTCATACCTCATACCTCATCTCTCATCTCCCATCTCCCATCTCCCATCTCCCATCTCTCAAACTACCACTACCCTACCTACCACCACACCAAACCTCCTCTTTACCCTCACACTTCTTCTCTATTCTACCTACACACACACACATGCGCACACATATAACACACCAACCAGAAAATCTGTGGATGAAACGAAAATATCCATTGTTGGGACTACACCAACACATGCTGTCTAGGACTCTTGCTTTTCCTGTTCCGGTTCCTCTTCTTCCCCTTCCATCCACCCCCTCCAAAAAGAAATCACCTCCATAAACTGATCCTTTGAATTCGTATCATCCAAAGGTATCGAAAACTAACACCGAAGGTTTAGGAACAAGCTATTCCTTCACTACTTCACTTCAGCTAGATCTCATTATAATCTTACCGGTCCTTTTCAGCACCCGAGGACCTCTTCTCTGTTTCTCGAATTTTGAAACCTCGGTTGCATAACCACTGAGAGAATGGGAGGCGAAGACCTGCAGGGGCTGCAGGCTACGCTGCACTATGTTTATCCGCTCGTAGTTTTCCTGTACTTCGCCATTACCTCAGCCGTCGCCGTCTGCACACTTCAGACATCGGACTCGGATAAATCCGTACACGTGCGACGCAAGGCTATACTCTACCTGCTTTTCTTATTCATAGCCCTTTTCCTGGCGCAGGTCATTCTCAAAGTCGTTGAGATTGCTGTATGGTCACGATGGCCATCCCAGGACACGGTTATCGGTCTGCTGTCTTGCATCCTGTCCTTCGGAATCCAGCAAAATAGTCTTACAAACTATCCTAGCACCGTCTGGTACCCGTTCTATGGATCGTGGTTAATTGCACTTGCGTTCGAGCCAGTAATTGCTACACTCCTGTTTATCACTGCTCATGAATCGGCAGCCAACCACACCCATTCGTCTGATAAATCACTGTTTCTGGAACTCGATGCCTCGATCGGCGTCGTCCGCTGCATAGTCATTCTAATCACCCTCTTAGCATACTTTATTTGGCGGGATGGTAAAATCGATGTCGAAGATGACGAGGAACGAGCGCCACTTATACCTAAACCAGGCCAGCGATTGAATGGTATTGACACATCAGCGGACAGTGGCTACGGTACTAATTCGGACGCCACGAACACGGAAGCAACCAACACCGAGACAGCTAACTCTCCGAGTGATCCCGAATCTCCTTGGGAACGTCAAGAGCGCATATCCCGCGAGAAAATAGAAAAACGGCTCAAGAACGAGGGTAGCTGGATTGCGTACGTCAAGGGATTTCTAATCTTCTTCCCATATATCTGGCCTGTCAACAATCGCCGCCTCCAATTATACGCTGCGCTCGTGGGACTTTGCCTTTTGGCCGGAAACGCCCTCAACTTTTTGATTCCCCGTCAGTATGGTGCCGTTATGGACTCTTTGAGTGGAGTTTCTGGAAAGAATCCGTGGGTACAGGTCGCAATATTTGCTGGTCTTCGACTCCTAGCATCCGAGGCTGGAATTAATCTTCTGAGGCAAATGCTATGGTTGCCTATTGAGTATTACTCTGAGGAAGCACTGACGGTTGCGGCATACTCCCATATCATGAATCTCTCTTCCGAGTTCCACGATTCCAAGAGTTCCTCCGACCTCATTGTCGCCATTTCGAACGGAACCTCCATCTCCAACATGCTCGAGTCGATATGTTTTCAAGCACTGCCAATGATGATTGACTTGGTCATTGCATTTACGTATCTGTCTACCAAGTTTGGCCCATACGAAGGTTTCATTTCGATTGCCACTGGTGCTGCATTCATTCAAGCCGCTACCCATATCATTGCTAGCTTCAAGGAGAAGAGGAAGAAGATGGTGAGAACGTAAGTAACCTGTTAAGAAAACCTCTGAACTATATCCAATATCCCTTCATATCTATGATCCACAATTCATGGTCAAATATTGACAGGCCACTTATCAGGTATTTTGAAGAGCATTATATCCGACAGGCCGGTATTCAGGGCTGGCAGACTGTCAGTGCCTTTAATCAAGTTCCATATGAAGAAAATCGATACGGGGTGGCCGTTAAATCCCACATATCCGCTGCAAAGTCGCTCTACTCCGGCTATTTTGTTGGACATGCCTTTCAGTATCTAATCCTCCTTGCGGGGTTGCTCGCTGGAGCTTTCTTAGCCGTGTATCAAATCACACACGGCGAGGCGACTGCTGGAGATTTTGTCATGCTCCTGACCTACTGGGGTCAACTCACCTCACCTTTGCGCTTCTTCTCGCAGCTCGGTAAGAGTATCAGCCAGGACCTGGTACATGCCGAAAGGCTGCTTGACGTGATGACGACAAAGCCGACTGTGGTTGAGAAACCCGATGCTCGACCCTTAAGTCTCAAGGGCGGTAAGGTGGAGTTCCGGAACGTCAGTTTCAGCTACGACAAGAAGAAGGACATCTTGAAGGGCGTGAAAGTGTCAGTTCCGTCTGGTACTACCGTTGCGTTTGTTGGCGCCACTGGAGCTGGAAAGTCAACAATACTGAAGCTTCTTGATCGTTTCTATGATGTGACTGGCGGCTCAATTCTCATTGATGGCCAAGACATCCGAGACGTGACCATTTCAAGGTACGTTCCATTGTTCTTTACTCATGAGACTATTATTATGTAGATGAATCTCGTGAGACATGTCCTTCGTTTAGGGCAGATCATGTCTTCCATTCCGTTACAAAACTTCTTACTAATAACCCGGGTCATAGCTTGCGACAATCTATCGGTATAGTTCCTCAATCGCCAATTCTTTTTGATGATACCGTCATAAACAACATTCGATACGCTCGACTGTCAGCGACAGATGAAGAAGTATACAGCGCGTGCAAAGCAGCAGCAATCCACGAGCATATTATGGGCTTTACCGAGGGCTACAAAACCCGTGTTGGCGAGCGTGGCGTGTAAGTGATTCTCGGCTTCAAGGTGTTGAACGTGTTTACTGACAGTATTAGTAAACTATCCGGCGGCGAATTGCAACGTATTGCAATCGCACGTGCTATCCTTAAGCAGCCTGAGATCGTGCTCCTCGATGAGGCCACGAGCTCTGTTGATACTGATACGGAGCAGAAAATTCAAGAAGGTCTTCGCGCCCTATGTCAAGGTCGTACTACATTTATCGTGGCGTGAGTATATAAGCTAACCAACTTTGTGTCTCCGTGCTAAGAGTGAATATAGACATCGCCTTTCGACTGTTATGAATGCTGACACCATCTTTGTTGTTGCGAATGGAGAGATTGCTGAGCAAGGTAATCATGAGGACTTAATCTCCAAGCAGGGTAAATACGCCGAGCTGTGGTCTAAGCAAATATTCGTCAAGCCTAAGGAATCAAAAGAAGACAAGCAAAATGGAGAGGCTCTCGGTGTGATACCTCCGGCTACCACACAAACCGATGGATCTGTTGACGAGCGGACAAATGGCGATAAGTCGAAGGCCACCGAGGCCATTCCAGAAACACCAACTGTCGCGACTCCCGTTGCGACGGCAAAGGCTAATGGACGGGCTGTGAAAACTCCGAATGGGCATAAGAAAGAGGTAGTAGATCCATCGAAAAATCATTCGTGATTTTCCGATTGATGCTAACCTCTGGCTTTACAGGGTTCAAAGTTGAATCCTGGCGCTCCGGAATTTACACCACGTTCCACAGCTGCTGCGCCAAACCCGATTCCTTCGTCCCCCGTACGAAACAGCTGGGCTGAAGAAGCTGAAGAAGAGGCTGGTTCTCATCATGCGGCAGCATTTATGGACTTGGAATCTGCTTCTATATCTACCACAATACATGAGGCGACCCCTTCGAGTAGACATGGTGCTACTGCTGCTGCTGCTGCTTCGCCAGTCATTCCCCCGGAGCCAGTTACTAAGCCAGTCACCGAACCAAACCCATTCGAAGAGGTATCGGACCCCAAACCTCGTCGAAACACTCTCCAGTCTGTTTCTTGTCCCGAGCATCCGTCGCTTAGCTACAGTCCGGCACGCTCCGTTAGCCAGCCGGTGCCGAATCCACCTAATGTTCCCGGGAAAGACATGAAACCCACACAAGAACAAAGTGATGCAAAGCCTGTTCCAGCTGAAGAGAAGCCATCACAAGGGGCAGACAGGGGGAGGGGTGGGTTTCGCGGCCGGAATCGAGGCCGTTACCGTGGCGGGAAGGGCCGACGACGCAACCCGTCCAACCCTCGACTAAACGTGAAGGGGGCTACAGGATCCTCACAAGGACGCGGTGGCTCAACATCCAACGCGCGATGATTTCTTTTCTAATCTTTGGCTGAGACTCCAAGGATATTCGGCATTTCTATATCACTTAGGTATTTTTCTTCGTTTGCAAGACACGACCCAATTTTTGGATCCGACCTTTTAACCGTTTTACTTCTTCTGCATATTGCTACAACATTTCTACGGAGTGTCTTCCGCATTGGAGCCATTAGACAAGGGTTGTCAATTATCGATGTATTCTCTGTATCATGGGCTATTCGGTTATGATTTATTTTTTTCTGATAATGAGGGACTCTGCCGATCGGCTAGCTTCTAGGGTTGGTCATGCATACAGATGATGAAAGGGTGGTGGGCTAAACAGGAGCAAAGAAAAAAAAGTGTTCTTGATATTTATCTATTCCTGCGTTTGTTTTTTTATCTTTCCCTTTCGATTCTTACTGGCTGTTTTAGCATTCAAGGGCAAGCAGGAGAGAGGCTTATTTATTTGTGTTTGTGCTGTTTTTTGGTAATTTCTTCTTTTATCAAGGAGCCCGAGGCGTATGAGAGAGCTTGGTAGAGAAAAGAAAACGAAGGAAAACTATGGCATTGGTATGGAGTCGAGGTGTTGAATTGTTGTACGATGGAAAAGTAAAAAGAATTAGAGCATGTTTTGATTTTACCCCCTTTCTGCTTCGTCTTCTTCTGTGAGAGGGGTCATAATACCTTACCTCTTTACTTTTTAAACCATCCCCCTTTTTTACCAATCTTGTTTCTGGCTTTCAGTTCCTTAAATGTTCTTTTTGGGCCCCTTTTCGGTTCTTGTCTTAACTACTACAGAAAACAGGGTAGATGAACCAAAAACTTTACTTTTTTATCATGATAATTACTGGGTTACCTGAAGGCATTGTGGTTATGTTACTCATCACGATGTATGTTATTTACCTAGGTAGATACTAAAACGGACGTGATCAACTTTTGATACTTTATTGATCGAATTGAGTCTTGGTCATTCATATTACCTAGTACCCTAGCGTACCCTACTATGTAGTCTAGCCTTGGAGTCCCTCGTGATAGTCGTGATGATGTCTTCCTTCCCTCCTCCCTTCATACCATCGTGTAGTGAAAAGATAACGCAGAACGGAGACTTGGTCACCCAGTAACGAAAAAAGAAAGGGGGGGGGGGGGGGGGGGGGAAGAGACAAGAATTGGGCCTATGATTATAATAGCATTTGGATCAAAAACTCAAAACCGTGATGATCTCTCTTTCTTCTTCTTCATCTATGTCTTTGTCTTTTGTCTTTTGTCTTCCCAAACACATCGACACATCGACACATTCGTGACCCATTCCAATTCCAATTGCCGCCGTCCACCTCCCGCAGAATCATATTTCCGGTTGGCTTTCCTGGAAAACCTCTGGCTGTCTTGGGTAACGGCCACGGTAGTTTCGGTACTTGGAAGTAAGCAGGCACTCCGTAGCCTTCGGTGAGTTGGATTAACCTCCTCTTCATCGTCCAGCGCCCCGTCCAGCACCGTCATTATTTCCATTTCCGCCAGCACCTCCGCCACCCATCATGTTCTTGGCCATATCAGCAATGTTGGGGTCGCTCATGAGGGAGCCGAGGTCGGGCATGCCGCCGCCGGAGCTGAAGCGGTCGGCCATCTCGCGCAGGCGTGGGTTGCTCATCAGATTCTGCATCATATCCGGGTTCGACATGAGGCTCTGCGCCATGTTGGCGAACATGGGGTTGTTCATGATGGAGCTGAAGTCGGGCATGCCACCGCCACCACCGCCACCTTCTCGGTTTCCGCCGGCGCCAGCGCCACCACCGCCGCCGAAGAGACCGGCTAGGCTGCTTAGGTCAGGCATGCCGCCGGCTCCACCACCGCCAACGCCGCGGGGAGTGGCCTCGACGGCGTCGGACTCGAGTTCTTCGACACGTCGCTTGGCTGTCTCAAAGCCCTTCTTCATCGCTTCGCTGCCGCCGTTGCCTTCATGTTCGATACCCTGGCGATACGCTTCCATGCTGCCCTTAGCGTCACCGAGGGCGAAGCGGGCGAGGCCTAGGCGCGACCAGGCTTTGGTATAGTTAGGGTCAAGGCTGACGGCTGCCTCGGCGTCGGTGCGAGCACTAGCGTGATCGCGGGCAGCGCTGTAGGCGGCGGCGCGGTTGGATAGGTAGATGGCGTTGCCGGGGTACAGGGCCAGCGCCTGGGTGTACATATCGATGGCGGTGGGGTAGTCCTTGGACGCCATGGCGCGGTTTCCCTTCGCCTTCAGCTCATCAGCTCGGGCCTTCTCGTCGGCGGTGGGCTCCTTCGCGCCGGCGGGTGGGGAGGCTGCTGCCGGGGTGGATTTCGAAGCGGCGGCGGCGGCGGAGGTAGTGGACTTTAGCTTCTCGTAAACGCCATAGACCTGGAGCAGGTTCTGGGTGCCAGTGGCGGCGGTCACGGCGGAAGGGTCGGTGGGGTCGACTTTGAACGACTCCGCAATGCAATTGATGGCTACATCGATGCTATCCTTCTCCTCCGACGGTAGGGTTCCATCGGTCAAGGAAGTGGACAAAAAGTCGCAAATGGCAAGCGCCAAGCGCTGTTTGGTAGTTGACGCCTTTGGATTGAGCTGTTAGCATATGTAGATCTACATAGATTTACCCTTTAGCCGGCATGGCTAGCTGGCCATAGAAATAGTAAAAGAGGGGGTAGGCATATCATACCATGTTATCGAGCTGGTGTGCGATTTAATCGGACCTTGAAACTCGAATGAGCGAATGAAGGAAACTTGTTCTCAAAATGAGAACGGGTGGGTTGAGGTAGAGAATAAAAGACAGTGAGCGACGAATGGTTGCAGGTGAGGAATGTAATGTAAAGTAAGGTTAGGTAGGTAAGGTCTAAGGTTAGGTAAGTAGATGGAGTTGGAATGTATGTAATGTCAAGGTACGTTGTCAAGGTACGTTGTCAAGGTACGTAGTTGTAACTTCCTGTCTTGACTGTTCTCGAAATTTCGGCCTGATTGATTTGATTGATGAGAAACGTGGGACCAAAAATCTAAGAATTGCCTAGGTACCTTACTACATTGGGAAAGTGGGGGTCTCAAAAGATGGAGGATGGAGGGGAGACGGAGGGGGATTGTCTTAGAATGTCCGCCCTCAACCTGCCGCTCTAGACCCCAAACCCCTCTGCTACTGTGTACATAGTTATTAGTTAGTAACTTAGTAGTTAGTTAGTACCAGTATGTAACCTTAGGCGGTGTGTAATAAGGTTTAGCTTGGGGCTGAAAATTGGCCAGGGGTGCTGAAGATGTGTCGTGTTACTAAGCAGCCGCCGCACTAACTACATTTCAACTTTGGAAGTTGCGAAGAGTCGTTGATAGCCTTGTCATCTTTTACTCTTTTTCATCTGCACTTTACATCCTTCAATTTACAACCTCAAAATTGAATTTCACACCATCTTGTATGAGTTCTGTTCCATGTTTCGCTTTCACTTCGGCTTGAAAATTCAAGAAAAAAAAATAATAATAATAAGGAAAAGAAAAGAAAAAGAAAAAGGAAAGAGGCATCTAACTTGAACGAAATATTCGAAATAAAAGGGCCCGAGTACTACTCTTCTTTTCACTCATTCAAAGTTGTTTAACAACTCATCCCCTCAGTCTGAATTGGTCTTGCGAGAAACGGAGCCTGTTAATCCTCAAGTCCCATAAAAGGGAGCACAGCAAAAAAAGGAGCAAAAAGCAAAAAGCAAAAAGCAAAGAACTATATGTGGATATGCTATCATCTCTTGACATGATACGCGCCTGTCACACAAAGGAAAATCACCTCTTAGCTATGTACCAGCTACCTAAGGTCACCTACGAACGTGCTTATCAAGGATGGCAAGTTTTAGCCGTGTTCCAGGTTGTTAACTCTGGAGAACAGCCCTGGTTGCATGCATCTCGCTTAAGTGCCCAGGTAATATGCTAGGTAAGCCAGGTATCCCAGGTATATCAGGTGTGCTAGGTATGTATAATATAATATCATAAGATCCCCTCCAATTAACTCCACATAATGTTGGTTGCTATCTCACAAGTCCCATGCTTGATAGGTTGAGCTATCCTAATGTCCTAATGTATCATGCAAAAAACAGTCTTTCATCTGAATTATCATTGGTCACTCTGCTCATTCATCCCAAAACAAGACCAACCAATGTGCCGTTCGGGAACGGCGCGTTCCCGTGCGGCATATAACACCAGCATAGCTGGATACCAACCAGGTATGGATTACATACCTAGTCCATGCAGGACAGGACGGACCCTGGACTGCAAGCCAACGACCACCGACCGTCGACCATCGACCACTCTCCTGACCACTCTCCTGACCACTCTCCTCGATGTACCATCAAAAAGATCAACCTGGTAAGATGAGGACCTTTGTGTCACGCAAATCCCCATCCTCAGTTGTTAGATATCGTGCTGTTTTGTGACTATTACCAGCTCATTATTAGCAAATCTGCCCACAAAACCATATCCATGACTCATTTTTCTTCAACTTACCTCCAGTATAAATTTCCCAAAGCAACGTTACGGCACACTTCCATAAATCGGAGCACCATCCCATCAATCTCCTCTCCCCACTGGGGCAGGTTTGCATGAGCCGTGTACCAACGTTTATAGCAGTCTGTAAACATGTTGCCAACCTGATCAACAGCCTGCTGTATCGATAATCCCTGATCCATGAGAAGCATAATGATATTCTGATCACCTCCTAACATCTAATCGAAAATTATTAGTCACTATGGCCTCCGAGCAAGATTCATGGCCTCTGATTCTAACTTACCAGGTCTTTTTTATATGATATAACATCATTAACGCTATGAGATTGTTAGTATTAAAACCCATGCTATAGTCGTCAAGATTTCACTTACAGTGCCACAAGATCCGCTGAGACGCACATGCATTCCTGGAGGGATGGGTGATCGAGGACTGCCAGAGGGAGCCTGACGCCTTCGCAATACCTAAATCCACAAAATTAGTTGGACTTGTTCTTTCATCCCGTATGTTTTCCAGGGGTAGTGCTGTATCATACTCTACCAGGGCAATGGCTGGGTATACACCAATGTTTCCTCTTCGCATAGCCATAAACTCGTTCACATCGCGGGTAAAGGTGCGTTTACCCTCCACAACTTTTACCTGCTCGAGAATCCCGTCGAAATATCTTTGATGCATTTCTTTCCAGTGCTGTTTGAATTCTGATATGAAGTTAGCCTATCTGCTTCAAGTGACTCTCACTGTGGGAGTTCCCGTCGAAAGCCTCCCCTGGGAGCTATATGCGTACCTGGTGATGCGGTCTGATGGCATGATATTAGTTTAAATCTCCACCCTTATGAGAAGAAATATGAGGCGGACGAGACATACCTTGTTTACACGATCCATTACAGTCTGGTATACGTATCTAAGCGGATGTTCTACTCCGGGTTCTGTTGGGTCAGCCCGCGGTTGTGTCCCCTCCATTATGCCGACCATGACATTAATCTCAGCCTGTGCAGCGGCGAGGCTCTGGCTACAATGACCTTCATCGAACACTAAGAGTAATATGAGATTAGCGGGGGAGTATAACAGGTCTTTGCCGACCACACGTACTATCATCAAAACTGAATACCTGTGTAACGCATGTTAGCATACCCCTTAATCATCTAGGAATAGGTAAGAATGGCTGGTTAGACATACCCAGTGATTCCAGTCTAACACTATTCGAAGGTTCTCGGCGTCGCAGTTTGGTGCCCAGAGAGAGCTCAAATAAGCATAATCTACAGACTTGTCCTTTTCTGTCCATTTTTTATCTGCCTTGACAGTTCTATACCAAAATGTTAGTAATCCACAATGTACTCGATCAGTGAGCGAGCTGAGTCTCTAAAATGGGGGGGTTATTCAACGAGGTTTAGCGTAAATGTCATGCTTACTTGGAAAACCATGCGTCGCCCTTGGACTTGACCTTAAAGTAGTTCGGGTTCACGGCAGCGTCTACCGACATGATGGACGAGAACATATCCGGTAGGTAGATTCGCTGCTCTGGTTGGCTATTCGGTGGAGATGGTCGCACGGTCTTAGATCGACCGGGAGTAGAGGGTGGCGTCACAGGTGCTTCGACGCCTGTCAGAGGCATCTTTTCTACTGACTCCGCCATGGTTTATCAAGTATATTAGTAATAAAACTACAATGTAGCAGGTAAGTTAGGTGAGAAACTAATAGTTACTGTTTACTCTTCGTTTGGAACGATAATGATGAGGTGAGGAGAAGAACCTGCCCTCGAACGTTAGCCACATATATAGTCACGTATGCTAACAAAAACTAGGACGTTATACCCCTGTCTCTCCCATATCAGCGAGGTATCAAACCGTTGCAAAGCGTCACGGATTTTCATATGCCTATAGTGGCATTTCCTTTTCACATATACATATATCCACATGCTTGTAGTCGCAGTTTTGCTTATCCCATGTCCTAGATTCCTAGTCTCGTGTGTGCCGTGAGTGCAGACAGTCTCGTCGTACCACGAACTGGTGCCAATTGGATGGGATACGGACCCCGGTCAACGCTGAAAACGCTTCGTCGGATACCGATCGTTAGCACTGGTATATAATGGAGCGACGCCCTTTTCAGCTAGGGCTCCTACCGAGAAACTGGGCTCAGGTCCACTCTTTGCCGCCCTTGTTACCTGTTCGGACCATATCCCAGTGCTATGATTCCCAACCTAGCTTAGCATCGAGGGAATCCTGGGTTATAGCACTATATAGTACACCATCTTAGACTTCACAACATATAGGAACAAAAACGCCTCACTAAACCACCCACCCACCCACCTAAACAACCCCCCGTCCTAATATTTCTTCCCCCCCCTCCCTCCTAGACCGTCGCTAGCGCTACATGCTAGCACTATAGGAGATGGGATTTACCCGCTTCACGTTGCCTTTGGCTAAGACGTAAACGGGGGAAAGGGGGCGGCCAGTGATGATTTACAGATGATATTACACAGTCTACGGGTAATACGGGCTCCCGTGCCTTTGCCTGCCTACCTACCTTACCAAACATAACCTACATAATCTAGGGTTGTTGTTTTGTGCCCTCATCATATAACGCACGTGTGATCACACGGCGACCCATGGAACAGCTTTGCTTGTCCTACGCTGTGACCGACAAGCCTTGCGTAGGAGGGGGTCTCCATCCATTCCTAGCCTTTACTTTTTATAGCCGCGAAAACAGGTCACTTGAGGAGCTGGATGTGTCCTTTTTTTCCTTTTCCTGGTAGAACATTCGTGAAAGGCCTACCCGGGACGACCACTTAAAAAAATAAGGGCCGATTAATAAAGAGGAGTGAGGTTGTATAAACCTTCAATACCTTACCTTTACTTACTTGATAGAGACAAAGAGAAATGTGATATGATGGTCGATGGTCGATGGTTGATGGTTGATGGTTGATGAGGATTTTTTTTCTGTCGTTCCCTTCCGACATGGAAAAAGACCACATAAAAAGGGGGCAAGAGTTTATCATCCATGGCCTACCTACCTACCTATGCCTATTCCACTTTTAGCCTCGAACTTGGTGTGGTGTGTGTGGTGTGCCGAGTTTGACGAACTAAAATACAATACTAATCCGGAGTACTTCCCGGACGTTATACCTAGGCCCCCCCAAGCTATCACGATAGGCCTGGTGAAAATCATGGCAGATGGGTGCGGTGGGTTACCCTATCGGAATTATTGTCGAGGAAATCCTACGAGGCACACCACATACTGATCATCGCCAGAATGAAACTACACCACACTACTCTAGGTAAGGCAGGGGACCCTTTTTGACGTTGAATGATGCTAATCAGCTAGCTGCATTTTTTTTAATTCCTAGGACTACTACTACTACCCAGGGCTTTTTATTCCGCTGGAAGGGAGTAGTAGTTTCGACATACTACCAATGAGCCCTCCTAACCCTCTGTCCACGCTTATCAGGTAGCTAGCCATCTACCGAATGCTTAATAAGTTCCGAACATTGAACGCACATCATCACGCACCCACCCACAACGGATGCCTAGACAAAATACTTCGGCTAACCACAGCCTCGCCAAGCACCAATCGTTCGATATTCCTCATCCTGCGTGACATACTTTCGCCATCCCATCCGTCATCCGTCATCCGTCATCCGCCAGCTGAGCGTTTGCCTGCCTGCCTGCCCTGCCCTGCCCTGCCCTTCCCACTCCCGCCAACCAGCCAGCGCTATCTATCTATCTATCTATCTCTTTCTTTCTTTTTCTTGCCCAACCCATGAACTATCCATGGATCCTTTGAGCCAGCCGACCCTACACTACACCACCTTCCTAGTATATAGATAGACAGTCTTACCCTCCAACACCTCGGGCGAACACCGAACGACGTGCAGCAACCCTCATCCTTATTGTCCTCCTCCTTGGTACCAGCATCGGCTCGTGATTGGACGCTGGGAGGGGGGGGGGGGGGGGGCGGGTCAAGGCTGGGCGGGCGCCACCGCGCTGATCTTTCTGGCATCAGGCTGGCTGGCTGACTGACTGAACGCGGGACCCGGTGTCGGAATACGCACGCACCAACAGTGCACATGGCACGCGACTACCCTGTCTGTCTGCCTGCCGCCACCGGCAAAATCCACGTGCTCGGCTAGTGGCGGGCTCGGTCTGCGGCCTTACCCCGCCGTCCCGTCCTGTCCTGGAAGATACATATTAAGATGAATGTTGATGGCTGCCGTAGTTAGTCGCGGCCAGTGTGCGCCGCGCCACGCCACGCCCGCTATTTCTCGCTCGTCGGGGGAGCTGTGACCGGCGTGCAGGTGTTCGGTTAGTTACTAGGTAGTCACACAGCAGCCGGAAGTTTGAGCTCGCGGCTGTGGCTGCGGCTGCGGTGCGGCGGGGTGGCGCTGAGCACAGACATCAAGGGTCGAGATGCGTGGTTGTCAGCTCGGAGAGGCGAATAAGTCCAGGATGAGCTGAGGCGGTGCCGGGAAAGCAACGAGGCGGGGGTGCACAGGACAGCCGGTGTCGATGGTGAGCTTCTGGTCCGCGATGCCGTTCTAGAAGCGCAGCGGTCCTGAAGACGCCGTGGGTGGGGCAGCTGGCGTTGAGAGAGGCTGGTGCTGCTTATGGGTTCGTGGGGAGGTGGTCGAAGAGCTTCCTGATGCTGCTTTCTAGGAGCACGATGTCGGTCTCTCCTGGGTGAGGAGCCGCTGCATCTACTGAGCTAATGTGAGTGAGGACATCGTCAACTGCCGCAGTAGGTGGTGGCGGGGCGAGTGCTGATGACTGCCATCTTGCCGAATCAAGATCTGTAAGAGATAATAGGTACTAGGTAGGTACTAGGTAGGTACTAGACGTAGACCCCTGATGATGATAAGAAATGGTGAGAGGGGGTAGAGTGAAGTGAGTGGCTACGGGCACTTTAAATTCAAAAGAACTGCCCTGCCCTTGAAGGCTCACCCCCTCCCCAGTTCTTGGTCCTTTGGACCGGTTTGGACCCCAAACATCTTCCAAACGAAGCAAGTCACCTCGGTAAACTCAATACACTTAGGCTTCATGACTTCGCCTTCTTGTGTGTATAAGCCCTTCCGCTTACCAAATGCTGCCCCGCTCGCATCTACACTTATCTCGTGAGTGCCTGTTGATCGACCAACGTGCGATAATACGGAGCTGTGGATACCTCTGTTTTATGTCTAGCGGGCGTTCACACACGAGAGATAGCGAGCCGGAAGCTTTGAGAGAAAACGTTATGTTGAGGTGGGAAGAGGGAGGAGGAGGTGAAGTTTAGGGGGTAGGATTTTGGGGTTGGAAGTTTAGGGGTCATGCTATGATGTACCTACGTAGACCTCAGACTGGCACTTCAGACACATGGAGATTATCTGACATGCTTTGAGGTCGTATGGGAGACCATAATAGGTACCTATAGACTTACCCCTGGCTTAAGTAGCATTAAGGATGATGTGTGCGTATTTGGAATGGGTGATAGTACATGATGCATTGATACCTGATTCACATGCAAGCAACTACACTCAAATCCTCAAGTGGGACTTTCCCGGCTCCCTCGACTTGACATCCACTTTAACAAAAGGACACCGCCCACAGTGGATTTGGCAAAAGAACTTTGAAAGAAACCTTGGAAGTGCTCTACCATTTACTACCGAATACCCGGTTAACGACTCGAGATGTATTGAAGCCCTATTATGAGATTATGCTGTTGCAGGGCCTTGGAGAGTCCCTTTTGGAGGATATCGTGAGAATTAGCTGCCGTTTCAAGCTATGAAAGCTTGAAGATTCATACTGGCAGGTAAAATTCGGCATATTGATCTAGAAGAGTTTAGAATCATCAAAACAAACAATCAAGCCCTGCTCGGTGATAACGTACTTGTAGTCTTCACACACATACCCAACTGCCTACTAGGTAGGTAGATAGGTAGGTACATAACACCATGATGATTTGATTACGATACTTTGAGGACTTCATGTCTAGGTATGTGCAAGTTCAATGGCATGCCGAGGAATGTAGTAATCATATGGGACATTCTCAATGCGAGTCTTTCGCTACTTAGCCCTTAGGAGATGAATCCCTCGTGGCATTTTCAACAACCTGTGTACTGAATGTGATCTTGTTTCCTAAAAGTCGTGTAGATAGAGGCCAAAAAAGAGCAAAAAAGAAAAAAGATCAAAAGGAAAGGGCCCAGCCGGGATTTGAACCCGGGACCTGTCACATTCTCCCGTTTTCCAGGATGGGGAAATTCCCGAAGCGACAATCATACGACTAGACCACTGGGCCGTTTGGATGGCAGATTCAAAAGACTAAACGCCTAATATCCTTTGGTAGTTACGCGTAGCTACGCATTGGCCTGAGTAAAATAAGGGGTAGGGCTGAGGCTGGGGGTTAGGGTTAGCGCGGCTGCCACGTGGTGAGTATCCTTCAGACATCCGATATTTACAGTCATCATGCACGTCACACGTATAACTGGCAAATAGAAAAGAGCGGAATGCTGATAGGTGTGGGGTGGACTGTAGTCATAACGTAAGTCTATTGATTGATTCACTGAACTGTGTGGATAATAGGGGCTAATCCACAGGGTGGAGGTCGTCCAACATGTGTCCCACATCAACAAACCAAGTTACCACAACAGGCCCTGAGGTACATATATATACCACAATAACACAACATTCTAGCACATACGGCCATAGGATCCGGAAAACTCGGGATCCCGTCCGCTCTCCCATAGATAAGCCGGATACCGCCGGATCAGTAGTTGGGTCGGTGACGACCAGCGAATCCCCGGTGTTGTATGTTTTTTATGTTTTTTTCCTTTTTCTTTTTTACATTTTCCGTTTTTGCTGTTTTTCTTTTTTTCTTTGCTGTGGTATATCTTGCTACGGTTTTACTTGCTTAAGCACCTACTTATTAATGTGAATTGGTCCAATTGGATCCATAGCAACGGAGGTACCGCTCCTACACGTGTATGTAGGTCGTGATATATCGGATATGGATATAATACTGATAAACCAGTATACTTGCTACATGCATTCTCCAATATTCATTATGTATTTATAACAAACAACACTCATCTGGCCGTAACAACTGTCCGCCTCTCCTAGACCGGGCACCATCAAACAACCGGGCGCGCTGGAATGGTTAGACTGCTCCGGAGTTCAAGAGGGCGCTTGGTAAGGCTAAATACTACTACTCTTTAAACATAAGTCGGTAATATTTCATGCTGACCATGAGCCTAGGCTCAATTTATCCCTCGCAGAGACACAAAGCCACGAAACTTCCCAATCTTCGAAGTTGGTTCAAGCCAAGATGCATCCGATCGTCAGCGTAAGTACGCCGGCAACGATGGTGCCGGCGAAAGCGCCTGGAAGAGTTCCCTGTCCAAGATGCTAGAGGGTGCCGCAACCGCCCTCGGTTCCATTGGAATCCTTGGGCTAGCGGGCTATTCCTACCACTGGTATTACAAGTCGCTTGTCTTGAGCAAGATGGAAAACGCCTTCGCTCCTGGGTTCTCATCTCTCGAGCGGGCTGCCCTGAGCCGACAGGATGCCGACAGCCCGACTCAGGACGATGACTGGATACCGAGGGCGGAGCAGGTCACCATCAACGGCATTGTCGATGGGACTATCCAAGGCCACTACTACTTGGTGACTGGCGAGAAGGGGACCGGAAAGACGTCCATGATACTCAAAGCCATGAGCCGGATTGAGGGGGAGGGCATCGCCATGCTAGAGGCGCATAGCAACCTGGAGATCTTCCGCATACGGTTGGGGAAGGCACTTGACTATGAATTTCACGAAGACTACATCGGTGGATTATTCAGTTTCAAGGGCCCTCGAGATACGACGCCCCTCCTCGATATCGAACGCGCATTCAACCAGATGGAGAAGATTGCACTAAAACGCCAAGAAGAGTCCGGAAGACCCCTAGTTCTGATCATCAACGGCACCCATTTCCTCCGCGACGACGAAGACGGGCAGCATCTCCTCGAACTACTTCAGCAGCGGGCTGAGCTCTGGGCCACTAGCCGACTCGTCACCGTCATCCTCAACAGCGACGAACACTGGACTACCGAACGCCTGCTAAGACAGGCGACTCGCTTGCAAGTGATTCCCGTGCGCGACATCGAAAAGAAGATCGCCATCGAGTCAGTCAAGAACTTCCGCGCCAAAGCCTTCCACGAAGCCGTCCCTACCTCGGTCCTCGAAGAGGTCTATAGTAAGATCGGCGGGCGCCTCCGCTTCCTCAGCCACGTCGCCAAGTCGCGCGACATGCTGAGCGCGTGCGAGACGATCTGCGAAAAAGAAAGACTCTGGCTGCTGGACCAGTGCTGGATCCTCGGCGCCGAGATGGACCCCGGCGCCGAGAACCAGCAGGACATCTGCGCGTCGGCGATGATCATGGCCAAGGCGCTCATCGCGAAGGAGAAGGAGCTCATGAGGGATAAGGACTACGACGGCCGGCTGCCGCAGATCCCGCTGCACGAGGCGCGGGAGCTCGTCACGAACAACGAGTTTCTGAAAGCGCTCGACCACATCAACATCGTCACCATCGACTCCCGCTCCATGGTCCAGGCGGACTCCGTCGCGATGCAGAACGCCTTCCGCGTTGTGTCGTCGCAGCCCGGGTTCGACGAGCATCTCCAGGAGACGCTGGATCGGCTGGATGAGCTGGAGAGCTTGGCGAGGACGAGGGAGCTTACGGTGAAGGACGTGTGGGGGGGTAAGGGATTGAGGGCGGTGGTGGAGAGTAAGAGTAAGAAGGGTGGGCAGGAGGACGTGGTGGTTACGATTAAGGGGTTCTCGTCTGAGGGTGGGGGATGATTGAAAGAAGAAGGAAATAGGTACCTATGTTTGAATGATGTGTGGGTACATGGCATAGAAGCCTTTGGATAGGACTGGAGGCTTGAGGGTCGCAAAATGACATCTCCTATGCCACATGCAATCTATAAAATAGGCCAGTCTTGTGCCTTACTCAGTCTCATGGCCTCTTTGACCTCCGGCTTTGCAGCTTCTAGCGCCCCCTATGATGCGAGGTAAGTATTTCAAAGATGCCTAGCCTAAAGGCCCTTCTTCGACACTTTAGACAATGAATACTGATTCAAGTCAGACGTTTGCCTTCTGCAGCCACGACTAAGTCCGATTACGATCTTTATGTTAAGGTCCACGAACAATTCTTGTCGATAACACAGTCGTCTAGCTTTTCATCTCCTGCAAATCTGTCGTATACTATCGGGCCTGTGTCGTCCGCAATGGTGCAAAAGGGGGAAGACCTTGGAGGAAACCCGTGCGGCCTACCAAAAGTCGCACAAACATGGAAGTATACATTTTACCTACCTCAGGGAGGTATGAGCCACGTGCAGCTTACCTACTAATCCCGGGGGGTTAGGGTGGGCTTTAGTCGCAGAGTGGAAAGATGTAGCAGACGACGTCGTTGTACAGAGCATAATCGAGGCTCTTCAGGATAGCATAGACGGGCTGTCTCGGGACTGGGATCTCCGCCTGGACTGCCAATTCATGAACCACGGCGGGCCAACGCAGAAGATTCTCCAAAGCTACGGCGACGCGAATTTTGATTAGCTCAAGTCAGTTAGCAACTGACACTGGAAATCTAGTTTAGGATAGCCCGCGCGGCAATAACCATTCTGTACCTATAGCCCGATCGATGCGTAAACACACCTGGGCACATTCGCATTCATCCCCCAACTCAACGCCCTGTCGTCTCCTTTCCTTCAAACGTACATCATCGCAGCAAGAATCCCGCATGCTGGAGCCTCTGAAAAGTCCCAGTCTTGTCGTACGTGCCCGCCACTTTCCGGAGGGCCGTCAAATTCGTCTCCCCATAGCTCCGCAGCACCTCCTGTCGCGCGCCTGCGTCGTTCATGAACTGGAACGGGAGCAGCAGATTGCCTTCTCTCCCACTAGCAGCCAACGACGCGATGTTGTCGCCGAAGAGTCCGACGTTCGTGTGTGACGTCGCCGTGTCGGCCTCGTTGTACCACTCGATAAGGCATGCCCACCCTTCGCTGTTAGTGCCCTGATATTGCAAAGGTGGCGCGGGCATAGTTACATGTTTGTGCGATCTCGTCGAGTCCCATCGCGTTGCCGCCTCGCTCTCGACCTGCGCGCACCATGTAGGACGAGACGGGCTGGATCGTATACGACAGTGTTGCAGATGGTGTTGCCAGACGGCTGTCCCGGAGCCTCTCCGTGTACTGTCTGTGGACGTCGAGGTATAGTTCGTAATCTACCCTTGTTGATTGTGCAGACAGCGCACGGCTGCGGCTAGTCAGTAAAATCTCCCGGCATGTTCACGTATGATTATTACTAGGTACGTCAAAGGAAAGCACGGGAACTCCAGATAGGTACCTACCTAGCGGGTCCCGCATCTTGGCCAACAGTGTCCAGCTCAGGTACCAGGGTTCGGATGGTCCCGTTCGTGGTTGGCACGACGGCAGCGATGAGGCTGTCCGCCTTGAAGAACTCGGTAAATACTTCAGGCGGCTGCGCCGTGTGTTCCGCATATAATAAGCCCGCTACGATAGCAGTAGGCTGGACGTTCAAGAAGAACCCGATTTTGCTGTCGTACTCCATGGCCTTTTGCACGTTGACCGTTGCGTTGAGGAGATACTCATAGTCGGCCGCGTAGTATGCGTATACTGCGTATTGGGCTTGAATCAGGGGGTGCGTTTCTATGTCAAAGCGTGTTACGATTCCTTATTGAGACGCATTGGGTTGTGTAAGAGGTACCTAAGCATTCGTTGTCTGAGATCAAATTGACTTACCGAAATTGGCACCGCCGCCCTTGAGGGCTCGGAACAAGTCTTGGTGCTCGCTGGGATTGGCATTTACGATTCTCGAATCCGACGTAACGATCTTCCCAACTCGGACCCAGTTAGCTTCGTTCAGTAAACGAGGGGGAAATGTCCGATTGCGAATGGATACAAGACAGGTACAAGCCCACCTGAAAATTCTTCACATTGTCGGCTGCCAGTCCGTATAGCCCTCCAAAAAAGGGCATCCCTCCTACGAAGCTCCTTGATTAGTATCTGCTTTCAAGGGCGGCTGCCTATGCCTGGGTACCTAGATAGGGAAGTGCACAAACCTCCAAGCAGAAAGCCTCCTACCCCGACTGTTCCGTGACGCCCTCCAATTACTGATTTTCCATCACGCTCAATGAAGTCATATACGCTCTCCCACGTCTGTCCAGCGCCGACTTGTAGACTCCGATCACCCTCGACCTTCAAGGTACCAAAACCCTTCATGTCAACTAGGACACCGGAGCTATCGACACTGCCAAAACCTGGGTTTGGGTTGTGTCCTCCGCCTCTGATAGCAAATCTCGATGCTGTGAGTTTTATGACCTTTTGGAAAACAGCCACTTCGACAGCGTCGCTGGGCCGAAAGATACACGCCGGACGTAGCCAGCATGTTTTAGACCTTAGGGGGGTTATATCAGTGGGACGTATAACGGTGTCAGGCTCTTGGGTGCTAGGATTTAGTTACCAGTTGAACTGAAACTCGTCTTCGTAGTCCGGGTCGTCATCGGCCAGAACCTTTCCAGGGAACACAGTGCTTACGATATAGCACGCAGCCTGGGCACGCTGAGTACCAGTTGACGCGGACTCCAAGGCGCCTACGGTCTCGTCAATGGTGACTTCATGGTGTGTAACGCGCTCAAGTAAACGCGATACGGCGATTTCAGCGTAGGCATGGCGCTGTAGGATGGCTATTAAGTCTTGGCTGAGCAGGGATGGGAGATATGCCGGCAGACCCAGTACTAGCAAGTAAAGTGCTAGAGATAGGCGAGCCATAGGTAGGTATGTGGGAGAATCTACAGCAGACACGAATAGATGCACATAAAAGTCAGTCAACAGTGAAAGCTCCGAATAATACTAACCCTACCTAGTATCTTCAGGCCTTCGAAAGTAGTGTATGAAAAGTCATCATCCATAGGTAGGTACGGAACAATCTAACCTAAAAGGGGCTCTCCGCATGTATCTAACCTCAATCAGCACTACTCTTGTGCTCCTCGGGAGGTTGCAGAGCAGCAATTAGCTACTCCCCAGGGGATAAAGAACAGCAATAATCAAATTAGTGGTAGACATGGTAGACATGGTACCTAGACACGAATTCACATCTGGTGAGATTCTCACTGATGGCAAAAGGCAGGTCAGGTATTTAAGGTATTACGATAATACTATTGGCAGTCTGCCTGCCTACCTAGGTATCTAGGTTAGGTAGTTACCTAACGTTACTCTCTTAGAACCCTTGAAGTCTCATCCCGGCAGTTCGATTACCCCCTCCGTCTTACCCTCACCATAACCTCCCCCCCGGATCCGGAAACACATTCTCATCCGCATACAAGTTCTTTGGCCTCGCCTTGCCCTCCGGGAACTTGAACGCGAACTGCTCGACCAGCCGGGCGAGGATGCGTTTGATCTCGCCCACGGAAAACGCCCGCCCCGGGCACGCTAGCTTCCCGCGGCCAAACGAGAGGTTGTCGGTGCTGGTCTGCCCCGCGAGGTGCTTGTTCATGTTGTCGGGGGACGCGTGGCGCTTCCGGTAGCTGCGCAGAGGGTCGAAGCGCGCCGGTTCGGGGGTCACGGTTGGGTCGTTCCGGTGGTGGTGCGCGGCCCAGGAGATGCGGGAGCCGGCGGGGATGTGCGTACCATCTTTTAGTGTGATAGGCGCGAGCGCGACTCTTTGGGGCGCAGCTAGGTATTTACGACATAGCGTTAGTTGGAATGTCAGAACAGCATCCCGTCTCAAAGGTACTTGGTAGTGGATGACGTACGGAAGATAGGCGGGTTGAACCTCTGGAAGATCCACGCTTCCCTGACAGAAGCTTTGCTTTTCCGGCAGAAGCTCGACCGTCTCCGACTACAAATCTTTTCCCGGGAGAATATGGCGACAGATAAATACTTTGCTCTCATCCCCTTCACCTGGACGGCGTGCAACAACCGCCCACTTACGTTCGCTTCGACATCGCTCCTTTTCAAGACGATGATTATCTCCTTCCTCAACTACCAAGCCGACGAATACATGGAAGGCGTCGTCACGCCCAACCTCGGCGGCTCTGTGGCGAACGCGCGAAAGCAGATAGGCGATCTATTCATCCGCGATGTCCCTGATGATTTGGACAAGCCCGTGTACGGAAGACTAGCACAGTTTATCAAGCATGTCCTAGCGGACGAAGACGTTGCGAGTGCCAGCTTCTGGGACCGCAAGCATCTCGAGCAAAAACTGCGCGCATTCCTCCTCGCGCACGTCGATCAAATCGAGGGCAACTTCTCTTTCGAGGCCCAGTCGGACAAGGACATGTTCAGCTCGGCGTCCCGCACATTCCACAACTGGGTGCACACCACATCGGCATACCACACGCCATGCCCCCTACTATTCCCTCGCTTACCTATCATGCTTGATTTCCTGGACTTCAGCGCCACGACCATGCCCACACCTGCATGCAGCAGCAGCAGCATCGACGACAGGAAGCACGTGCTGTTTGAGCTGGCGGAGTACGAGCAAGCCGCGCTGGAAGAAGCGCTCAGGCGCCTGCGCAAAGAGGCGGAAGGGCCGGGGATCACGCCGGCGGTGGCGAGGGCGGAGAGGAGGAAGATGGCGGTCTGGGATATGTTTGTGGATGTGACGAATTTGTACGGCCAGATTTAACTACGTGGTTCGTGACATGTCGAGTCGGATTAAGCAGAAGTAGATATAATGTAGATGCTAGGTAGATACTAGGAACAGTACCTAACCGCGACTGTTGCCTGGGTGGGCCTTAGATGCACTGCGCTTCTACTTTTCTCATCTCTCGTACTTACCTTTAATGTTAATATTTTTGAAATTACATTCTAGTATATGATTTAACAGTTTATAAAATTTGACAGTAATTTCCACATGCACGTAAGAGAAGATGTTATTATTCAGGGACCGAGCATAGTTGAATATAAGGTGGTTACCCCTTTTAAGCCCCTATCATTCCAGCCTCGATGATGAGGATGATGCAACTTCGTTTGAACACCAAAACTCTGCGACTGCGTCGACATGGACACCTCGGCTTAGAATTTATGCGACATACTTATCTCTGCAGTTTATATAAGTTGCGAGACATCGTCTTGTATAACACGCCAGATCGCGCGATATCACCGCTCGCGGCAAATATCTTACGACACTGTCAGTCTATCAATCACCTCAGGAATATGACTAGACGAGAATAGGTGGAACATTTGCTCAGGGCCGTTCGTTTAGCCTTTCAAAGGACGGCTCTTGTAACACCCTTGAAAGCAACATCTTACCGTTCCCGTAACATCCTTTGTTGGTCGGCTCAGAGAAGTCGATGGGTACCTCCCATTTGAGACAGCCCCCTTTTTCTCTTGGCACGCTCCTCACCTAAATCTTCCTAATAACTGTGGATGTTTAAGGCACGGCGGACTGGTGACTAAGCGGCGCAGTTTCAAAGGTAATTATATTGATAGATTTTGTTGTTTAAACCACTCTGTATCATATGTGGTAGGTACCGTACCCAGGTATTAGCTTGCTTCCAAGAATTTGATCTCGGCGTCATCATCTTCTTTGTCGGCAGTTTTCCGGCTTGCAATCAACACTCTTGAGGATATCGGTAATGGGACGGGCGCTACCCGGGCTCAATTACAACAGAACGCGCCGCCGAATTCCCTGCGGAAGATGTGCGGCTGTTCATACTATGTATGGTGTATTATGCCAGTAGAATAGCGGTGTCATTCTCAACTATTGATCTTCGTTGTTCCTTACGCCCAACTCATCTTATCTATTCGGATTGCCAATATTCTTTCTCCGCGATTCTTATCATCCATTGACCATACCTCTACATGATCACCAGCAATGGCTCCCGTAAACGAGAACCCAGAATATTCCTTAGGAAAATGGTCCGACGGACCAGCATCTCCACCTCCCGACGATATCATTTCCAATTTTAGCAACCCGCCGAATAAAAATGCTCTTGTTCGAGCCGTGCTCATTCTTGTCCTTATTATAACGTCAATATGCGTCCTTGTACGAGTGTACTCCGGGTTGCTACTGAAGAAACTAACCGTTCCTGATGGTAAGTTATCATGAACATGTATCTGTATGTCTTTGGGTCTAACAAATCGCAGTACTTGGGATTCTGGCATTTGTATGTTTAGGTACCCACAACTTTTACACATGACGCTTTTCTTTCTAATCAGAAAACTTGGCTAGGCCTTATACGTGACATTTGTCAACCTCTTCTTCGAGCTTGTGAATTCTTATGGCTGGTTTATTCACATGTGGGACCTACAACTGAAGGACTTCCCTGCTGTTAACCAGGTAAGTTCTCCTAAATCTAGGCAACCTACTTCGGTTACGTACGGATCTAATAAGAGAAAGGTTTACTTCGAAGGACTACTTATCTACTTCGGCCTTCTTATTCTTATTAAGTCGGCTATTTTGTTGGAGTGGATCTCCATATTCGTCCCAGCCGGAACTCACAATTTCTTCTTTTGGATCAGCTGGTCAATCATGGCCATCCACGCCTTGTTCTATATATCCATGATCATTCTTGAACTAACAGCCTGTTCTCCGTTCGAAAAAACCTGGAACCCCTTGGTCTCGGGAAAATGCCTTGACACAATGAGCATAGCTGTTATAATGTCCACCGTTAACCTCATATTCGACGTGTTGATTTTTCTGCTCCCACAGAAGGTGATATGGGGTCTGCAAATGCGTAGCAAAAAGAAGATAGGCTTATCTATTCTGTTTGCCGTTGGAATTCTGTAGGTCAACTGCCCTTAGCTCGTCTGTCGGATATGGTGCTAATTTGCCCGACCCAGTGCATGCGTCGCAGCAGCCTTTCGACTTGCTGCTTCTCTCGAATTCTATAACTCTCGAGACACAAGTTACACATTCTCCGGGCTGGCACTCTGGTGCTTGGCTGAAGTGACGTGCGGCTTCATCGTTTTATGCGGACCCTCTGCGCTGAATACAATTCGGCATCTTCAAATCCAACAGTTAGCTACAAGAATGAGATTCTGGGCAGGCTCTCCTGTTCGAAAATTTACATCTCCGGGAGGCTCAAGTAGAAACTCCATATCTAGTATAACTCGCAAGCAGTCCAATTCGAGCCTATCTCAAAAGAGTCTCGATCACGAAGAATATGACACTATTGCTATGGTTCCCTGGATACCAGTCTCTCACGACTCCAATCCTCCGTATACACAACCTGAGTATGCCCTCAAGACCGACGAATTGGCGATGTTTTAAACTACTCAATTTACCACTGCCAAGAGCCAATTGTCCAACAACGTCCCCTAAGATTAGAACAACCGTCAACATCCCTAGAACTCGAAGCTGCCCACCTAAGGTTAGAGGGTTAGGGTTAGGGGCAGTACCTACGTTATCTTCATGGAAACCTTGGAAGTGTTGAAAGGATGCGGATTAGCTCATGATTGGAATTCTAGCAATTAACTATGAAGTTACATTGACAAGAAACATTTCCTACCTTCTACCCCCCTCCCTTGCTTTTTTTATCATAGTTCTTGGGCAACAACTTCTCAGAGCATTCGCCAATAACTACAACTGGAAGGTAACTCATAAAAGCGGGTAAGCCTAACTACATGTAGCTAGCGACGATCGCCCGGCCAATCGCGTTGAATTTAAGATGCTTTGATAATCGAAAATGGCAATTCTTCTTTATGGAGTGCCCCCTTCCTTTCTTTTTATAGAATAAGGGGTGCTTTATTTGCCCTTTCTTTACGATCAACTTTTCGACCGTATAAATTTCATAAACTCCAACTAGGTATCATGAATTACCTAAACCTGCGTAGTATCGTAGGGTATTGGATATTATCTACCTAACCTAGGCAGGTACCCACCTCGTAGGTGCCCAGTGCCTAAGCTCCGTGAGGAGCACGCCTTAGACATGCATGACATGACAGCTTGGAGGCGTAGTCATACGTATCCATAGATGTCCACGGAGGTAAGGGGTATATAAAATGAAATCTGTGCCGCCGCGATCGCCGACTCGTCATTGCAGTATTTGACATTCCAATTGTACTCCCAACACCAACATTGAAATGCAGGCCTTCATGCATTAAAAAAAGCTACCACCCTTTGGACGGTGGTCCATACATATGACAAACCAACAAAGACAGCTGATGAATGCACATCGCTGATTGGCTTCGATGCGAAGACGATCGTCGTGTTCACTACATAAGGTAATCATGTCACATCCATCAATCAACTCATCCTTCAAGTGCCGCTAATATTTGGCTACTTGCGCTACCTAGTCGTTTCATTCACAGTGTTTTGTTCCTTTTCCACCCAGGAACTACTCAATATGATGAGTTTGCTTAATCTATCGACGTCAACTGGGGTTGCTACATATGTCCTCTACGGCCTCTTATCTACAGTAATTATCCCATGGACTCCGTTCTTTACATACATAGGTAAAGTACTAGGTTAAGTAATTGCTAATTATAATTCAAGGTCGTTCTAGCTCTCAGCTACCAGCTACTCTTACACCCATTGCGAAACTACCCAGGGCCGCTGATCGCCAAGTTCACCAACGCATATGCGGGCTACTTCGCAGTGAAGCGAAACATTCACTTAGAGATATGGAGAAATCATCAGAAATACGGTTAGTTCGTACATTCATCCATATTTGCTAAGCTTCCTAGGCGGATTCCTAACCTATGTACGATAGGGCCTGTTTTCCGGCTGGGACCAGATAGGCTCGTGTTCAGCACTGCCCCGGCTTTGCGAGGTACCTAACTCAAAGCTGAAGAAATTTCATTTTATGAACGTCTACTGATGGGATAAAAGACATATATCAAAATGAGAGAGTCACGAAACCGCCAATCTACCTGGCCACGCAGTCGCAGTCTAACGCGCACAGCACATGGAACTCACTAGACAGGGACATGCATCGGCGCAAGCGCAAGCTCGTCGGGCGAGCCACCACCGAAGCCTCCATGCGCTCCTTCGAGCCGACCATGGTAGAGCAGGTCGACATATTCATCCAAGGCCTCGCTCGCGACCACCAGAAACAGCAGCCCATCAACGTGAAGGACCGATGCAGCTACCTAAGCTTCGACATCGTCGGCCTCCTCTCGTTCGGGTACGCCCTGAACCTGCAGCGCGACGAGCAGAACCAGTTCCTCGCCGAGCAGCTCGCGCACGGAAACCACCGCATGAACGTGTACATGCAGTTCCCCTTCATCGTGCGCCACAAGCTGCAGACCTGGATCAACCTGCTCTTCCGCCAGGGGCGGGAGAAGACGGCGCGGCTCATCGAAACTATGATTCGAAGCCGTATGGCGGACGACACGAAGGCGAGGCGCGATTTGTTCTCCTTCGTCGCGGACGCGGTCAACGCTAAAGACGACGAGGGCCTCCGCCTTGGCGATCTCTGGTACGAGGCTTTCTTCTTCATCGTTGCAGGTATGTCAGCTTAGTGAGCCTCTCTTACGTTCCCCTACATATCCATATGGGTCCTAAGTCGACCATGCTAGGCGGCGACACCACGGCCACAGCGCTAAGCGCCACGTTATTCTACCTGTCGCGGAACTCGGAGTGCTACACCAAGCTCGCGACTGAAATCCGTACGGCATTCCGGAAAGGGGCAGAGATTTCCGGGAAAGGGCTTGCGGGCTGCCAGTACCTCCGTGCTTGCATTGACGAGTCGTTGAGGATGTCTCCGCCGACGCCTGGCACGCTTTGGCGACATTTAGCGCCAGAGGAGGAGGGGCGCGGGCCCTTCGTGGTCGACGGCCATGTCATTCCTAAGGGCACAAAGGTTGGCGTGAACACTTATTCGCTACATCACAATGAGGTCAGTACCACTCCTCGCTCTACTATTCGGTTGCTCTTTAATGGGTGTATATGGACTCTTGGATTTGAATTTCGAAAATCGTGATTAACGAGTATCGTGACATAGGAGTACTTCCCCAACCCCTTCAAGTACGACCCGGGCCGGTGGCTGATCGCCGGGGACTCGGACGAAAAGGCCGCAAAAAAGAAGGCAATGCACGATGCCTTTGCCGCCTTCTCTGTCGGGTCCCGGGGCTGCGCCGGGAAGCCCACGGCATACCTGGAGCTCAGCTTGTCCCTTGCCAAGATCCTTTGGTATCTCGACTTTGAGACCGCGCCTGGAGAGCTTGGTCAGGTCGGTGTTAGCCAGGAAGGCGACTTCCGCCTGTACGACATCTTCACGTCCACTCACGATGGGCCGTACTTGGTTTTCAAGCCCCGCGATACATTTGTGGAGGACTTTGGCAATGCCCCGGTGAATGGGTGATGCTATCTTCGACACTCTCGTATCAGATCATGACATCAAGTTTGGGGTTAGGATATACCTACCTAGGGTAGGAATCTGTTGACATGCGGGGTATCTAGTAGGTATCAGTGATACTCCTAAGTATGTAATATATAGATCTCTTCAGCTGGAGCTTGGGGATATAAGACACGGCTCGCTCAGATCTCGATTGAAAGCCAACTATCGCTCTAAAGAAGGTCAAGATAGCTAGCAAGACGTTTTGCATACAAGTGATGTCTAGATACATGGCATAAAACCCCCAGGACTACGCCCAAATGTCCGTGATAACATAGTTTACATCTAAGTGTTGTGTAAAGATGTATGAAACAAGTTAGCTCCTGTACTTGGAGCAGGTACTTTCACTCAGGTAATAAAAGGAAGAAAATAAATCAGGAGGGTTGAGGAGGTACATGTATCTGCTCTAGGTAGGTAGTAATTTTGCCTTGTCCGTTTCCAACCAACCATCTCCTCATGATGGGCCTCCTCACCTTTCAGGGCCAAGTTGTCGACGGTGAGATAGAGGGGCAGCTCAGGATCGTCGATAAGACGAGGTTCTCGCCACAAGAAAAGGTGGCCAACCTCGCAAGCTGCCATGGCTTGAGCACACACAGGTACCGCATGCTGATGAATGCGTTGGCGTTGGCATCGAGCTCGACCCCGAGTCTAGTAGAATGGATACGTGCGAGAGAGAGCCATGCCGCATAGTCTGGCTTCTCCCAGCTCGAAGTAACGATAGTTGCCCAGGTGCACAACCGAGCTGACAAGAGAGCATTGAGGTCCAGTGAAATCCCTATTCTTTTAAAACGAGATTAAAATATTCGTGGTTGAACTCTCGTCGGCCGATGCTAAGTGTGAAGTGGTCAAGTAAATAGAAGATCAAGGACAGCAGAAGCAGTATCTTCCACGAGCACACAAAGATCTCGTAAATAAACCGTATGATCAAAACGATGGTGCAGATCTTAGAGACGCACCGGAATAGAAACGGGTCAGATCGTGAGAGCGGCATGGCGTTGGTGGTGTCAGGAAGCAGAGGAGTGTGTAGTTCTAGGTATGAGAGTAAGGACCTTCGAGAGGTGGAGGACAAGCTGAGGACAGTTTATATGAAGAGTTACCCTATTTCGTGGTCGTTTGAAGAAGGAATATTCATCTAGGGGGGAACCTAGCAGGCGACGGCCACCCGCGTGGTATACCGGGAAGCCGTTTGTAGGCCATGTATCTTAGGTACCAGCTGATGGACAATATGCATGCATGTGTGCATACCTACAATGTATGTAGTCTCGACATTGAATATCCAATATATGCACCTCACATGTACCTACATAGAAACATACATATCGTTTAGGTGGTATTTCTCTAACATCGATAGGTACCTATATATGTGAGCAAGGATATAATTGTGGCGACATGGGCGTAGTTAGTACTTGGTGAAGGTCAACTGCGAATACCTTCAACATAGCACTAAACATACAAATCACCAGCCACACAACTCGGTACGCATATTTTGCTATCATTGCACATCTACTTTTATTCATACGCTGCTTCTCGCTACATAATCCCTCGGTAGGTAGATACTTAACTTCTATAACTTCATCACGAGACGCATCACATTTCGATCATCCCGTCGTCGTGCTAAACGGAACTCCTATTGAGTCAGTATACAGCATACCGGCGATACTGGCCGATGTCAGAGTTGAGATGATGCCTGAAACAAGAGCCGAGATCGCGACTTTCGACACGTCTCCACCTCTGCCAGGGGCAATCTGGGACAGGACACCGATTTGGGTACCGAGAGAACCGATGTTACCGAAGCCCTATATAAGTGTCAAAATCATCATCATCAAATACAGGCACGGGGAAAGGTGGAATCTTATAACTTACGCAGCAGGCATAGGTAGCAATGAGCTGAGCCCGTTCGGACATAGACTGATAGCGGGCTTCGGACTTGAGGGCGTTGAAAGCATCGTATTCGTTGATGATGACCTTCCTCGCAATGAGTTCTCCCACCTGCAGAAGGTCGTCGTTGGGCACGCCGAGGAGCCAGGCAATAGGGTAGAAGCAGTAGCTGAGGACGAACTGGATGGTCAAAGGAGGATCGTTGATGCCCCAGTAGCCACCCCACCACGTGAGTAGTCCGTTAATCAGACCGACGAAGGCGATGATGCAGAGAAGAGTGGCGATAATCATAGCGCCAATCTTCAAGCCGAGCCAAGCACCGTTGGCAAAAGCATGCAGTGCGTTGGCTGATTTCTGTTCCTCGTCCTCGGGAATTACGACGCGGCCAGATGTCAGGGTCTCCTCCGTCTCAGGATATCGCATCTTGGAAATAGCCAGGGATGCCGGGATCGACATGATACAAGAAGAGACAAGAGCCTGGGGATTCAATCCGAGCGCAGTATAAGCCACCAAGACGGAGCCAGCAATGGTGGCAAAACCACACGTCATGATTTGATGGATTTCAGCCAGGGTCATGTGTGGTACGAACGGGCGCACCAACATAGCTGATTCACCTTGTCCGATGAAAGGCGTCGCAGCAGCAACCACGGCTTCGGCGCCGGATACTCGTAAACTCCAGAAGAAGAAGACGGCGATTTTGCCGATGAACCACTGAATGAGACCAACATGGAACAAAAGGGCCACAAAGGCGACGAAGAAGATGATTGGCGGCACGACAACAGCCAAGAACCAAGTTGAGCTGTTCACCGACGCATCGGTCAAGAACTGGACACCTTGGCCGGCAAACCCAAGCAAATCGCGAGCCAACGAAGAGATGAAGTTGAAGATGTCAAATCCAGCTTGAGTTCGTAGAACAAAGACAGCAACGACAAACTGCGAGAGCATTCCCACTGAGGAAAAATAATGAATTAGCTCGAGCCAAAATTGGTTGGTCGGACAGATATGCGAAAACCCTCGTAAGGACGTGGTAGGCGGTGCACAACAAGAAGTGTAGGTCACTTACCAATAACTGTGTGCCAGGGAATCTTCCTCCAATCTCTAGACGTTACGGTCATGGCGCCGATCATGACCAAAAGCCCGAACAAAGCTTGGGCGCGACGAGCACGAGTGTTATCAGTAGACTCCGCGGGAACCATGGAGCCAATCAAGAAAACGGCGAGGGCAACCAGGGCGCCAAGAGGCTGGTGGAGTCGCTTGGGGATCATCTCATAGACTCGGAAGGCAGTATGGCGCCAGACGAATTTGACGGGCATCATGGCATATTTGACGGGAATCCAGAGGAAGATGAGACGAAGAGTGATGCCCAGATACAACAGGAACGGGATCAGCCAGTTCTTCTCATGCCGAAAACGAACGAGCCCAAAAATCCACCATCTGGATAAGAGAGTGTTAGCATTGCGACTTTGCGCACGACTTTTCTATTCCATCTAGATGCTAAGATCCATGGATGGACTTACGCCGTGAATACAGCCCAGATGAATATGTGGACGTAGGCTCTATATCTTCGGTAGTAATAAGCAGTCGGCCCCCTTCTCTCCTCGGACTCGTCGGCAGTAATGCGGCCAATCTTCCCACTTTCTTCATCCGTGACCATTTTCTCAGCAGCGGCGTAGTCATGTGGTTTGTCGAAGCTCTTTTCCGGCGAAGCATTAGAATATACTACCTCATCCGGGTGTTTGGTGGTGTTTGACGTTAGTGCCCCGTGGTGTAGATGGCTATGATGATGCTCATTTGCGAGATCGAGGGCAGGATCGGGGTTTTGAGCTACGCCTTCTTGGGGTGAAGAATTATGGCCGGTGAGGCCTTTAACCTCAGGTGAGCTCATCGCCACGATTGGTTTTCCCTTTCGAATTTTTCCTTTTCCTTTTCCCTTCCACTCTTTCGCGTCAATTTAGGACGTGCCGCGGTGGGATTTAGTCCCTATTTGGCCAACACCAAATGTGGGGTGGTGGAAAGTTAATAAACCCACGATATGTTCAGATGAGCTTGACGGGCAAGTAAGACATAGAGGGAAGTTGGGGAAGGTCAAAAAGGCCAGGGAAGAAAGAGGGATTATATTGTCAATGGGACCACATGTGGTCTACAACCACCAGTTGATCGAATCTAGATCTAGGTAGCTTCACCAGGTACGAGGGCAATGTTACAACAGATTAGAGGGAGGCAAAGGATTTAATACTTTTCCAAGATGAGAACTCGGTGGGCAAATCGTCTCGAGACGGGTGATCGCAGGGTCCAGCTAGTCTAAATGGTACCTAGTCGAGACTAGAGCTACATACCTAGTACGTATGGATATGTATGGATGGATATTTAGAGGCCTTCTAGAAGGGGAAGGCCGACTTATCTAGGGACCAAGTTACCTATTTAACATAGCCCTACTGGAGATAGTAGATACAGTGATACACATAAGTACTACGTAAGTAAGTACATATGTATCGTGAGCAGACAAAGAGTATGATACACAGAAAATCTTGGTTTGGCAGGTTGTGAGTGGTCAATCAAAGATCGGACGAGCAGCCCAGTCCAGTAGTTATCAGTTGCCACAATTCACGGGTAGCTGACGAGAGCGGACAAGAGCGGGAAAGTGTCCGAGGTTTTTGGAGATAAGAAGTGAAAGTGATCAAGGACTAGTATTTCAAGCTAACTACCGGATTTAGCCATGGAAGTTCAAATACATAATAATAATATCCTTGTGTGTACGAATAAGAATACAGAAGAGAGACTGGAGTTGAAAGATGAAAGATGAGAGTCCAGAGTCTTGGAAAGAATAGGAATAGGTTCAGAGGGTACTACTAGTACGGATAACTAGTAGTAGATGATTAGATAGTAATAGATACTGCATGGTATGTATTTATCGGGACCGGGTATTCCCAGGATCAATGGCGGCACAGAAGAGCCTTTTGGTGTTAGTGCATGCTAAGAATCGAAAGCCATTTTTCTGATTGGACAATCTAACATGATAACAGAAATCCTGATGTAACCTTCTTGTTAGCATGATGCCGACACCCTTCAGTCCCCTGTCGGTTTTCCCGCTAAGTGGCCAGGATACTTGAAGTTACATACATCCATGGGTACTACTACCTAGTAGTACGTAGTACAATACATGATTATACATCAATACAAACAACTTGGAACATCATTGATTAAAATACCTTCAAGTACCGAGGTACCTAGTACGTACTGATAGGAGCAGCCGGCGACGACCTTACTTCGGTCTATTATCTATATATGCCATGTACTCCGTTGATAATCATCCGGGCAATGCACCGAGGCAGCACTTGAGTACTTGTCCTTGTCCTTGATATACTTCAGTAACCTTAGTTGCTTGCTTGCTCTTATCATTTCGTCTTTCATCGCACTTGGTCTGGCCAAGAGTGAATCGTCTCTTATAACTCCAAATATCTCCTCTGCGCATTTATTCCCAAGACCACACGATCACAACAAGATCGACTACTATACACCAAGCTCGATAAGTAGCTGTAGGTACCCACGATACGGCTTCTACCTATCAGCAAATCATGTGGATGTTCTTATGATATCTCACATACATACACATACATACTCATATCATGCGTAGGTACAAACTATGTTGAAGGAAGTAATCAAATGTGCGTACTTATTACATAAATGCCTACAAGTAGGCAGTCTTCATCTTCATCCAAGGCTACACACAACAATGGTACACAAATGTAGAGGAACCATACAGCTGGTGCCCTTCACGAATTACCATTGGCCACTCCTTCAGGTGAGGCCTGTAGGTTGATGAGTACCTGGGGTAACGTACTCACAAGATACGACCCAAGGTACGCGGAGCTGAACGAGCAACGGTAGCAACGGTGGTCCCGACTGTGATCTAGGTACCCGAAACGGAAAATGGGAATGTGTGTCGGCCCCGCCAGCCAACCCCATATCTTCTCTTCTGCTTTCCCCTTCAATCCTAGGTGCTGATCATAGGTGCTAATCCGATTGGAGAGCTACATTGCGCCCAGAGCTTTCTCAGTGTGGCGTTTAACTATTGAGCTGTATCATGACAATCTACCGGCAATTTTACTACGTATGTTTCACAGTCCCAAGGGTATCTTATCCCTTCGTGAAACCACTCCAAGATTCGCACTTGAGTGGCCAGTCTCAAATTGCAAAGGAGCCGACGCTAGAAGGCCGATCAATCCGGCCTGGATATATTACCCCCTCATTCACATTCCCTATCTAACGAGGCGGAATAGATCTACCTCTCCTGGTTAGTTACCTATAACTATACGCGGGTTCGAATCTTTCAGCTCTGGAACCCAACAGCCTTATCTCTACTATGCACTTGGTTCAACCCCAGGATTCCTTGCATTTACCAGACATTTACCAACCAGAAAAGTCGCCGACATCCGTCTTTAACGTGTGTCCAGGTGTAACATGGAGGTAGGCTAACCTAGGTACCTAACATTAGGCAGCTAGGGGTCTGTCTTGTCACCTTCCAGAATAGGCCGTTCACATGCGCGCCCACGTGAAGCTATATTGTCTACATATCAGTCTGAATTAAAATAATTTAAAAGCTGCACATGTCAACAAAGTCTAGGCCCGCGATCTGAAGAAGATGTGGAAGCTAAACACCACAGGATGTCATTATCAGACGAAAGCACGGTATCTACAAGCTACTCCCTCCAAGAACTTGTACGATGTACCTAGGCGCATAATATTAGGAGTAGATTCACGATCATACTTCTCTTGCTCATTCACATGCCCACTAACTGTTCAGTCTCGTGTGAAACTTGTAATGTCCATGATATCGCTTCTCCATCATACTCATAAGGATCGATCAGTTAACAAACCGCCAAATACTACTATACACACCATAAAACTGTTGCAGGTGCCTGAAGCTCATGGCCCCACTAGGCCTGTCAGCCATACATTGGCACTCCGCCAGTGTAGTCTAGAATAAAGCAAGCTTTCTTCCTTTCATCTTTCTTCTTCTTGGTTGCAGTTGTACAGCAACAAAAACATATCATGAGACCAGACCAAAAGGCATAACTAGAAACAACTTTGTCACAATAGCTATCTATGACCTTCTACGCCCCCTTTTCGAAACTAGCAAGGAATTGGAATGGTCTCCCACCATAATAGGGGCTTTAAAAAGGCTGTTATTTTCATACCTTACGTACACTTGGGCTAGATTCTAAGAGTGAAATATAAAGCCAAAGACCATACCACTACCTCTAAGAGAGGCAGACTCGGACCCCACGGCCGCAAGCATACGTCCGTGTCAGGTGCTTAGGAAGGTAGGTGTTCCTAAGCGAAAGCTCATATGTATGCCATCTACGATGATGTTGTCGCGTTGGGGGCGGTAGGGCTCATAACTGTTTGGGTGTAGATGAACGCAGGGTCAACGCCAACGTGCCAATGGTTTCAGCTCCGTGTCTTGCAACTATTCAAATAGCACTGCCTTCTCGGTCTTTAGTATGCAGCACGAACCGTTTACCTTTTCTACCTACTCTTGTGTTCTCTTCCTCGTGTTCTGGGTAGCTTGAGACGGAGTGTAACCTACATATCGTTCACGGATGCGATCTTTTCACTATAATAATACCTATATCCATGATAGTACCCAGACCTAACACGTGATGGCGAACTTGGGGCCCCTGACCACGACGTTTATGCCATTGCCCGAGTGCACCACCGTCTTCTCCGGTATCGTCTACACCCAAAGCCTTGACGATGGAAACGCCTTGACCCATCATTGCTGCCCCGGTGCCTAGAAGCTCTGACACATGTTCTACCTACTAACTAGTGGTGTTTTTATCTCCACGCAGAGGATACACACACCAGAACGTTTGGGTAACCCGAACCTGGTCAACGGTTACGTCGATAGCCCCATCTATAAGTTCGACGTCTGTTCCCAGCCAGACGCTTGAGAACATCAGCGCCAATATAACACCGCCATTTCCAGAGAGCGCAAAGATCGGTATTGGTATAGGGGCCGGGGCCTTGGCGATGACCTGCATCGCTGTCGGCCTGTGGCTGTGGAGTATAAGTGGCATACGGGATAGGGGTAGGGAGCCAGCGAAACAGACTGGCCTGGTCGTTCAAATCAGGAGTCCCGTCTCTGCCGTCTTTCCCGTCATCCCTAATACGCCACAGGAGATGTACGGGCACTTCCAGCTGAACGAGCAGGAGTTAAGCGGCGTTGCGGAGCTGGTTGGGTTGCCTTCGGGGAGCGATAAGGAGGCGTTTTTTTAAGGGTCGATGGATGGATGTTGAAAATGGAAAGCCTTAATGAAAGAAAATAGGGGACTTGATGTCAAGGGAGAGTCTCATTCTTGTACAGTCTTAATAGTTGATGATAGTTGATACCGGAGTTTGGGAGGAGTTGTTATTGTAGGTATTTGAGGTTTGTCGTGGACACAAATCTACCTAGGTAATCTCAACCGTTCCCATGCCTAAGTCTCTACACCAAATATCATCCAAGTACGGGCATGAGCGTAACTCAAAGCCGTTACTTTGTAGTATTCCCAGTAGGTCTTAATTTTCATGACAGTAGCATGTCCAGGTAGCCATGCTGCTTTGGCGACAAATGCCGTTCTGGGGACAGTATTTCACACAAGCCCGATGCGTGCCATAAGTACTGCCGCAGTCGCTGTACACTAGGTTATCAGCTTCAATATTCTCGTAGCGTATTTCATATAGTGGAAGGGTTGTGGTAGGTTAAGAATGTGAACGCAGATGCATCAGTAAACCAGGAAACTCACATACCCAGAAGCTGGAAGGGTCAAAGCCAATGTACCAAGTGCAGCAGCTAGATGAATGATTCCAAACCAAACAACCTTATCGAGTTTCATGCTGAATGTACGTAGCAGTGGGAATACTTCGAGTTATAATAGTTTGTGCTTATGTGCTAAGCAGTAAAAATGTTGCCCAAAATGTGCGTGAGCATATTTTCACCAATGGAGGTTTCGTAAGTATGGAGGAGCGAAATGGAAAGGAATAAATATAAGAGAATTGCAAAAAAGCTTGGTACTGGGTTCGAACCCAGTACCTGCGAAAACCTCCTCTGAAAAGGTCATACTATCAAGTTGGCATTTTAGTAAAGTGACGCATCCAGCATACGACCTCCTGGTGGTGGCTTTCTCTCGCCTCTTGTCACCCAACATGTGGGGTCGGTTGAAAATTCTACTGCAATTATAATCTATAACCTGTAGGAGGATACGTGGGTAGACTGTTGACCAGGTGTTAGCATTTACCGTATAAATTTCAGCCTAGTTTTTCGGGTGTCGAGGTTGTCAGGCTGCCAAGGCACGTACAGATACTGGCCAGCACGAAGAAAAGGGGCACACCCTCCCTTAGTCGTCACTTGTTAACTGTTGACGCACCCACACGGATCATAACTAGGCATTTCCTCATAAACATGCCTAGGCTCCCTATCGGCTTCGTGGCTAACCTTCTCACTCAAAAGTCATGACTCATTGCAAGTTCGAGTTACGGTCACCAATAATCTTAAATGTTTTGACATGAGTATGAACGTCAAGCATGATGTCAACCACGTATGTAGGGAATGGGCCTAAATTACATTCTATATCTGTCATACATGAGCTACTTTCAACTCATCCTCCCTTGACGAATCTATATCATCCAAGGTACTATCTGGTACGCGTGATAAATGTGAGCAGAACCCCGGAATCCCAAGCCCCACGGCAACAGCAACAGCCGCCGCCAAAAGCAACTCGGCCAACAATAAGAAGACCGTCTGTCTATGTTCCGCTGTGTCAAGTTCTATTAGTCCACTTCCCTCTCCTAGAGCAAGAAAGATGGCCGTGCTTACCTCTATCACCGCTAGTAGTAGTAGCCAACGCAACAATAACAAAGATAAATAGGGGTATATTCATCAACCCATACACCAAAGCCCGGCTAGAATCTTTGACGATCATGCTCCGGTGATACGCCATACTCGGGACGTAGACGCCATTGCAAGCCTCGAGGAGTAAGAACGAGAGAAACAAACGAAGTTCTGCCTTGGAGAACGCGGCAATGAGGAAGCTGAACGCGCTGATGAGAAGTGCCATCCCAAGAAGGAGTGTTGGCGCCATGACTCCGAGGGTCTGAGTCAGTTTGATTCCAGGAGATCTGGGGTTATGTGTCAAGAGGCCGAACAGTATTGCGCCGAGGACCATGGACGCCATGAAGGTGGCGAAGACCACGCCGTAGGGGGTCGCATCGTGATCGACCGGGTGCTCCCTATCATGTGCTTCTTGTAGTGTCCCGGGCCAGAAGAACGTGAAGATGAATATTGCTCCTTCGAAACAGCATGAGGCAAAGCTGAGCACCCATATCCTCATGTCCTTCAATGATCCAATCGCCCCTTTATTATCATCGCCAGTCGTGTCATCGTGTAAGCTGCTGTTATAAGCATACGCGTCAGGGGTAACACCAATTCCAGTATTTTCATTCCACGTCCAGATCATCAGCGCCGCAGCACAAGCATCTAAACCCTATGTAAAAGTCAGCACAGACAGCCATGGACTTCACCAGCAGGTCAAGTATTACCACCCCAAGAACGAACGGATCGCACTTCGATCCCAAAGCCAGGACCACGCAATGCCCCAAAACCCCCGCAACTATCGCCGTGATACAATTATACTTCGTCATCGCCCCAAACATCGCGCTCAGCGATACCCCGCTCCTATCCAGCCCGCGCGCGTTATACTCCGTAACCATCCAGCTCTCGAACGCCGTCCAGAGCAGATTCAGCGCCACGCCCGCCAGCACTCTGCCAGCTACCAAAACCGCCATCGCGTCGAACGTGACGGAGATGGAGGCGAGAGCGTGGATCGCGCAGAAGGCCAGACACGCCGCGCGTCTGCCGAACACGTCGGCCAGGTACCCCGTGACGAGCGCGGAGATGGCCGCGGAGACGTACGTCGTGATGTACAGGGCGGCGACGGTGCGTTCGTCGAGGCGTTTCTCGTCGCGGAAGAGGGAGTACATGTACGGGCCCTAGGTTAAGCAGCGAAACCGTGAGCTGGATTCATTGAACAATACCTTAGTAGGCAACCCCCCCCCCCCCCCCCCCTTTTTTTTTTTCTTTACCCCACAAAAACATACCTGCAACCACTCCGACCCCATAACCACCAAGTAGACGCGCAGAAACGTCTTGCGCAGCTCATCCGCGTCCGCGTCGTGCTTCGGAGTTACTAGCTTCTCTGGCTTCGGGGCGTGGCGGAATGGTCGCAGGATGGCTTGGTGGCCGGCGGCGAGAGCCACGATGGGCATGAGGGCGATGAGGCCAAGCCAGTAGATGTCCACGGTCATGTCGGTATATGCATATGAGCTTTTTACTAAAGTGAGGGAGTATACTAGGTTAAGTAACTGTTCGCGATTGGAAAATTGGGTTGGGGGGGGGGGGGTGGGTATTCATTTTGATCATGGCTCCCTAGTTGAGTATTTAGTAGCACATTCCAGTAGAGCGCGTAAGTAGCCCCTAGAATATAATAGTGAAGGGACTTCGCGTTGTTATTAATGTATGTCTTAAATATACGCGCATGAACCTTCAAAAGCTATCGCATTCCTCTAAATGCCATCGAACTGTAGAGCGGACGGCTATGTAGTCTAAGGGGTGAGTATCCCTGGAGAGGGGCTATTAAGAAGATGCAAGTGGGACAGATTCTACGCCCTCAGCACCCATAATACAGAGCGAAAAACAAGCTCCTTTCGATATAGTTTCACATCCTGATAATACATCAAGGTATTGTATTCTACTCGTCAGCATGCACATGTACATGTAGGTGGCTTGATCGTCAACAGACCTCATATTACAATGCATTGATGCAATACGCCAGACACCGCACTTTCTAAACAGGTATCAAGTATGGAATCCCATCGAAATGAACAAGATGGATGGTTTGGCTAACCCGCGATTTCTTCCCTTTCGTCTTCCCACTCCTCATCGCCCATAAGCGCATTGAGAGCTTCTTCCGCATCCCCAGCCAAACCCTCACTATCCATCTCATTATCGTCATCCTCCATCATGTCCTCGAACAGGTCACTGTTGTTCCCGTTCATCTCAATATCATCATCATCCTCTTCTTCACCAGCAGCATCGTCCTTTTTGTTCTTGGCACCACTAGCCGCGCGCTCTTTCTGTTTCTTCTCGACGTTGGCCTTCTGCTCTTTTCTCCTCGCATCCTTCTCCTGTTTACGTTGTTCCCATCGGTTTTCGAGATCCTTTATCTCTTGCTTCGACTTGTGAATATGCTCGTGCCACATTGTCTTTCCGGAACATAACCCCTCTTCTACTTTGGTCATGCGTAGTTTCATGCGAGGTCCTAGTTCGACAAGCTTGACGCGCCGTCGCTCTACCCTCTCTTCAACCTCAATACCCTTATCCCCGCTCTCAAGCTTAGCCGCGCGTGCTTTGCTAGAGAGTACTCTGCGCGGCGCATCCTCTAGAACTTCAACTTCGGCATCTGTATCTGCTTCGCTTCCGCTGGTGCCGTCGGTTACGTAGCCCTCGCCATTCTCGCCGCCGATCATGTACTCGGAAATATCTTCCAGCTTTCCAAGATTGGGGACGCCTCCTTTTCGGTTCTTGGCACTGAACAGTTTCTCGGCGGCATCGAGTCTACGGAGTTGTTTTGATACTCCAGCAGCCTTGGTGACAATAGCATAATGTCGGAAATTAAGGACAAACGAGCCATCATCCTCTTCTGTTGCAGGCTCTCGATTTAGGAGCAAGACTCTGCGTATGGATTTCAAGGGTGTAGTCTGTGGGTTGATACGAGGGAATAGTGACTGAAATATGGTAGTAGTGAGGGATTCGAGGTGCTTGGGAACCTTGGAGTTGGCGTCTGCGCCCGGTGTGGAGATGTTGTTCATGATTAACAATGGTGGTGTGGTATACTCCTTGCCTCCGCCCAAAGGATGTCTTTGCGCTCTTCGTATATCTTTGCAAAGTGAGTATTTCTCGACTCTGAAGTGTAATGTAGGACCGCGAGGAGTGGTAGCTATGCGCAGGTTCGTATTGCCAGAGTCGGATCTTGAGAATAGCAAGAGATGGGTAACGCCCAGAGGACCAGTCATAGTGACATAGTCTCTTAGACGATTCGCGCGACGTTCTTTCAGACGACTGGCGGTTCCAGGTTCCATAACTTGACGGACATCTTTTGCCAATTGACTAACACTAGATCCAACTTCACCGGCGCCGATGCGAATAACCATGCTCTTGGGATCTTGTACAGCTGAGCGGCCAGCTGGAGGAGCTTTGAACTTGGGGTTACTGGCACCCACATGGGTGCGCTTCTTCGTGCGACTTTTGGCCATTGCGAAACAATTCTGTGATTTTCAAGGTATTGTTTATGTTGAAGAAATTGGTAGTAGTCTAAGGTCTTGGTCTTTTTTTTGCGATGAAAAGGTAACTAACTATCTTCAATTCTTTTCTTTTTTTTCTTTTTTTCTTGGTTGTATCCGGCAGAAAAAAAAGTATGCATCCATAAATCACAGCTCAGTTAAAGTACTCAGTACTAGGTAGTTACTTGGGAAATAGTGGAACGAATCAGCGTCTATAAGTACTCAGTACTACATGTGGGGCTGATCTACGGATAAGATAAGCTAAAAGTAGAAAGCGGTCAATTTATTCCAGCAGCGCAAGTGTGGGATGCATCCTAGATGCATGTAACCTTTAAACTTTCCAATTAGATATTATTATTTCAATTTTTTTCCTCCCTCCAACAAATCTTCAGATTAATACGTTGCCAACTTCTAAACTTGATTCTCAACTGTGATTTATATACAACACATTTCTATCCAATCTTAAACACACTTAAAGCCTACGAAAATGTCTTCAGTGAAGCGAAGAAAGTTATCTCCTTCCGAGGACCACGACGAGAGCCATGACGATGAACATAACGAATCTCCCGAGTCCGAAACCGTAGAAGAGTCTGTTGCCGAAGCCGCCCCGAAGACATTTAAGGAACTGGTGTGTGAGAATCATATCTTTCTTTCTCTTTGATTCTAATTCTAATGCGATTGTGCTTTATAGGGTATCGTCGACCCTCTAGTTGAAGCATGCCTTGCGCTCGGATACAAAAATCCTACACCCATTCAGGCGCAATCCATCCCTCTTGCCCTCCAGAATAGGGATCTTATAGGCCTTGCCGAAACTGGTAGTGGAAAGACAGCCGCTTTCGTATTACCAATCCTTCAAGCACTTCTCGAGAAGCCCTCGCCCTTCTTTGGCCTTATACTAGCTCCAACCCGTGAGCTGGCATCACAAATCGGTCAAGCAGTAGATGCCCTAGGAGCCTCCATATCAGTACGATCTACTGTCATTGTCGGTGGCTTGGACATGATCCCTCAATCCATCGCTCTATCCAAGAAACCACATATCGTCGTAGCCACCCCCGGTCGCCTGCTAGATCATCTCGAGAAGACAAAAGGCTTCAAACTGTCAAATACCAAATACTTGGTCATTGATGAGGCTGATCGACTACTGGATATGGACTTCGGCCCTATCCTTGATAAACTACTTAAATTCCTACCAAGAGAGAGGCGAACGTTCCTCTTCAGCGCAACCATGTCCTCAAAAGTCGAGAGTCTGCAGAGAGCTAGTCTACGAGATCCCTTGCGCGTTAGCATCAGCAGCAACAAGTACCAAACCGTCTCAACTCTACAACAGTACTATCTCTTTATTCCCCATATGCACAAGGATGTATACTTGATTTTCCTTGTAGCAAGTGAGTTCGCGGGGAGGTCTGCTATCATATTCACGCGGACGGTTTACGAAACTCAGAGAGTCGCAATTCTACTTCGATACCTAGGCTTTGGGGCAATCCCTCTTCATGGTCAGTTTCACACTCTTTATAGGCGTTATCCGTAAATCCCTTCGACTTGCGCTTCAGCTTATGTTCTTTATAAATGCTAACTTGCATTTGCATAGGTCAATTATCTCAGTCTGCACGTTTAGGTGCTCTGAACAAGTTCAAGTCAGGATCTCGGGATATCCTAGTTGCAACTGATGTTGCTGCGCGAGGTCTAGATATACCCAAAGTTGACGTTGTGCTCAACCTAGATTTACCTCAAGATAGTAAGTTCTTTGATTTCAAATGTCACCTAATAGCGATGAATTATACTAATCAAAACATCAGGCAAGACTTATATTCACAGAGTCGGCAGAACAGCCCGTGCGGGAAATGCCGGTCAAGCAGTGAGCCTAGTAACGCAGTACGATCTTGAGATCTACCAGCGGATAGAGGCAGCCTTAGGTAAAAAGTTGACCGAATATGAGACGAATAAGGAGGAAGTCATGGTATTCAAACCACGTCTCGAGGAAGCCCAACGTCATGCGCGGAATGAGATGAAAACCCTAATGGATGACCGTGGCAAGAAGGGCTCGGTGTTGAAAGGACGTCACACTGCTAGAGCTGCTGGAGGGAAAAGGCGGCACGATGGCATGGACGCCGAGGAAGGCTAGAATACTCAAGCACATGTTGTGAAGGGAAGCCCAGAGGACTTGTGGAAAAGGGGTTATGATGTTCCTGACTAGATTTGATACCCGGCGATTTGAAAGCTACTGCTACATTACCATCCCAAATACTAAGTAATGATGGTGATATGATGCATCGCCTAAAAGGGGGAAACGAAGGCCTGAACATCTTCATCACTAAATTTTCTAGGTAAATAGCTGCTGTCGAAGGATTCAGAGGCTCAAAGATAAATGTCGCTGTACCATGTGCAGTACATCGCCTTCTGAGAGATCCCAAACTCGACGTCTACCTAGGTTAAACAAACACGAGATCAAATTACCCCTTACCTTTTCAATCAGGCCACTGCAATAACTACATATAGGTATGGAGCCACATATAAAATCGATAGCATTCTGCTTGCCAAGTTATCAGATGTCGTTTGTAACACGGTAATAGATTTTGTCTTAGCGACCTGTCTAGTACCTACCTAACCTAGGTAATCACATCATCCTCGCACGATGACCGACGAGAACAGTTGTGGGCTGAGGCTTCAAGGTTACCTACCTAGGAAAGACGAGGCTAGCTAGGTCAGGCAATCTACCTATCTAGTGATTATTTTTTCGGAACTAATTCACAATCGGTCGGTCGGTCGTGTGTAGCCGGCGATCATGCACATGAAAGGAAGAAGCCTTACTTACAGTATGTACGTAGCTCGCGAGATCTTATGGATACCGAGGCTTACTTGCCTAGGTATGTATGTAAGGAGGAGGAGGAGGTAAAGGGGGGGGGAGAGAGGAACAAGGCCGATCAATCATACGAGACAGACAGACAGACAGACAGACATAACCCCGTCTCTCTGGCTTTGCTGCAAGCCACTCACCTCTTAGTTTTGCGACGGTCCCACTTCAGATTTAGTGTTTACTATACAATATAATGTTACCTAGGTTAGGTAGGTCTTTGTCAGGAATTAGGTAGGTAGGTAGGTAGGTAGGTAGACGGACGAACTTTGCAATAAGGTTGAATCGGGAGGCTGGCGTGGAAACTTGAGGGTTGACTGTTTATCTAGCGCAAGCCAATTCCATGATGCGAATTATCTGGTGGCTCTTGGTGCGGGTGAGATTATAGCTGAGTACCGCCGAGGGAGGTAGGCAGACAGGCAGGTAGGTACAGTCTTCCGTGATACCGTGCATACCGTGCAACGCGCTGTGTTATATCGTCTACTCAATGATTGGTAAATACCTACATAGCCAGAGCCTTGAGTAAAAAAAAAAAAAAAAAAAAAAAAGAAGTAGAGGCAGGCAAGGGGATTCAACCGCCTTACATGGCAGAAAGCCTCTCAAAGCAGAAAACTAAAGGAATAATAAAGTAAGGGAATTCAAAGTCATCGGGGATTAGATACTCGGTGCTTGAGACATGCCTACCTAAGGTAGTAAGTTGGTAGTTATCCATAAGAGCGCAGCAGATTCAAGACCAAACAGTGAGTGAGGGAGGGACTAGTTTTCTGAAATCTCAAATGGATGAATTTTGAGCTCTCGTCCAGTAAAACCTACTGAGATCCTATAACTACATCTGAACTAGTAATATCGTCGCTAAAGACAGCATGTAAGCCTACCTAACCTAGGCAAGTATGTAGGTACATGAAGATCCGACGCCTTTTCATTTCGAGACGTTTCTAATGTTGATAACTTGGATGATACACACATTTTCGTGTATTTACCACGACCATACACCTTGGCTGCTTGGCTACGTACCTAAGGTTAGTTACTAGGTAGTCGCCATTCTCACATCAAGCACGCACCCATCAATCAATCACCATTTCTCATTTCTCATATCCTCTCCCCATCACACAGCGAAAATAGACGAGCATCCAAAGTGGAGTCTCCCCCCAAATAACTAGACCTAGACCTAGCAAATCCCATTCCGCTCATCTGATCTCTCCTCTCTCTCTCTCTCTCTCTTCCAATCTCGTATCCTTACCTGCCCCAGGCCGCATCCACTGGCCGGGCCCGCCCCGGGTCCGACCAACCGGAGAGGGACGGACAACTGTCAGAGCTTTTGAAAACGGTGAATGACCCCTTTTGGTCGAGGGTAGCGTGGGGATGTGGGGTAAGTAAAGAAAGAGATGGCAGAACGTGTCTATTTAAAAAGATCATTGTAACCCGGCCGGTCGGTCCACGATGGGGTTTTGTCTTCTTCTTCTTGTCTGGTTTTGGTTTCCGATACATCATATTGTGACATGTATCAACCTACCTAATACATATGTATACTTCCATCGCAAGGATTGTAGTATTACGTTTATTGCATTACCTGCTCTATGTAATATTATCAATATTATATATACCATTACGCGAGGTTTACAATGTGATTTATAGCAGGCATTGTATTACTGAAACGACACAGGGCAGGTTGGGGTCAAGTGTCATTCAAATTAAGAAGCAACGCGACTTGCAAAGTTTGAATTTTTATCAAGAATTAATTAACGAAAGCAGGGCCTCCTGTGAGATTATCCATGGGATGTGCTTTGGACTTCACACACAGGGATCCTTCTATGTCGTTGCCGAGGAGATGAACAAATAGGAAAGAAAAGGTCTGAGCCACCAAGGCAAGCAATATCGAACAACATATTCCGGAACAGGGCTACCGAAATATTCCACAGTCGCTGCAGGTTTAAACCCAGAGGAGATGGCGTAAAGAGTTTAATCCTCAGCTTCCTCGCCATTAGTAGCGACTTCTGTGGCGGCCTGGGTCTTGCCTTTTGCAGGCAAATCAATGTCGATACCGAGCTTCTTTGGTTCATCGACCAGATCGTCTTCTTCATCCTCAGGTTCGACTTCACCCTCGACTTCCTCGTCATATGCATCTTCCTCCTCTTCCTCCACATCGTCATCATCCTCAGGGCCATCCTCAATTTCAAACTCATCTTCGAGTGGTTCCTCACCATTGCTAGCAACGGGAATGGGAACAGGCTCGGTCGGAGGGTTAGCCGTCTTCAGCTTTTTTGTTGGGGGAGCATCAGCCGTAATCGAATCTGTATTGGTTAGCTGAGGCTAAAGGAGAAGAGCTGCGTCAAAGCGACGAGGAAATGTAGCATACGCTTCACTCCGTTGCCATTCTTCTTCTCTTCTTTCTCGGGCTCAAGCTCAGGCTCGTCAACCTCGTCATATTCTTCTTCTTCGTCATCCTCAACATCATCCTGTTCGTCGTCGTCATCACCTTCAGAGATGCTAATGAAGAAAGGAGTTAGCAGATGCTTTGGATTAATGCTTAATGCCCAGGTTTCAGCAATGTTAGATGATTAAGCAATGGAGACACGATATTCGCGACAATGCGCTACAATGCGCGACGATACCAATTGTCAATGCGACGTCGTCACAACTTTTGCGACAAGAACCATTGGATTGCGATCGTCTCGTTATCGCGCAACTAGGGACAATCCTAACTAAAGTAGGATAATGGGTGGGAGCTCACTTACTATTCCTCTTCCTCTTCGCTCTCGTCACTGGGAAGTGCAACGAGCTCTTCCTCCTCGTCCTGCTTCCTCTTTCGTGAAGTCATGTTTTAAGCTTTGAATAGGGTGTAAGTGGGATTTTGGGTACGATGTCAAGAATTAGGACCGTATATTGGTAGGCCGAAGAAAGAATTGGATGGGACTTCGATGGAAAAGATGGGAAGGGGAAGAAAGGAAAAGAGAGAAGAGAAGGTAGGGAAAGGGGAAAGCTGGGGGGTGGCAGAGGGAAACGCTGGTCGTTGTGCTTGGGGAAAGGCTGCTTAGGAACGGAAGGGGGGTACAGAACGTAGGCTGTGAGAGGGAGGGGACTGGTAAGCTGGGGGGGGGAGCTGGGGGAGCTTTGGAGGAATGCAGAGAGAGAGGGGGCTAGGAGACGGGGGAGCTCTGAGAGCTTTTGCTGCTTGTTACCTATGTAACTACCTACCACCCATTTTGCCCACCTTGTCCTGGTGCCTTTTTCTGGTGCCCTTTTCCTTTTCCTCTTCCCTACTAATACACACACATCCATACATAACCTTGGAACATTACATATGTATCTGCCTTAGTAACCTACCTAACCTAGGTACATATTTGGCTAGGTACTGCATATGTATGTAGGTAACGCGTAGGAAGGGCTAAATAATGAGTGTCCGTCATTGTGGTCTAGGTTACATATATGTAGCCTGAGTAGTGCGCACTCAAGAAGGCACCAAAGTCACTAAAGGCTCTGTAAGTGATGGTGTGTTACTCGGATCATCCCCTGGCTAGGACTCAATCGGGCCCGGGGAAGCTCAAAATAGGTAGAAAGATACCTAACCTAGGTACTAAGTAGATAGTAGGCCAATTCAAGCATTGAATGTTTGGACCGACTGGACTGATTGCCCAGTCATGACGATTGCGCCAGAGGAGTTCCGACTCAAGAACTCCCCAGCCACACTTCGTACTTCTCTCGCTCCCCCTCTTTCCATGAGCCACTTGGTTTATCCGTGAAGCCCAGATTCGTAATCTTGCCGCGTGTGGACTGTCATTGAATTGTCCTGGCGAGGGAGTTTCCACCATCAATAGTCAAAAAGTTCCAGTAAAAGGAAAAGCAAAAAAAAAAAAAAAAAAAAAAAAAAAAAATCCACATGCATCTAGCAAATGGATAGTAGGTATGTATTGTACCTAACGGTATCATTGATAATTGCTTTGTTTTTCAAACTCTGCAAATGCAATTGTTAGATTGAGACTTAACTTACCTCTCAATTCACCTTGAATTGATTTTGCAACTATTAACCAAGATGAGAATTGCTGATAAAAACGCATGGAACAATTCGCCCCGAAGTGTGTGCGCGCAATTTGCTTCGTAAGATTGAAGAATCAAATAGAACTCCCACGGTCGCAACAGATAATAGACAATCCCCATAAGTGGAGATGGGATACCATGAGGAATATGTCAAGGGATTGTGATATTGATGGATATGCATCATGATAGGTTCTTCGAACGGATAAGAGCCAAGAGACCAGGGGGACGCGTAGAACACGCGTCGAATATTCCATTTGGACAAGCTTGAATTGTGTTGTATCCTAGGATTGTTCTTCTTATGTTCATCCGGAGTCATCGAATGAAAGCACGGCAATTCAATATAAAGGCAGAATCGCAGAATCGCATGTGAATACAAGAAAATAATGATAGAAAATTGAAAGCATCATGTCTGTAATGGTTGTCAAAGCAGTGATGTCTGATAATTACTATAGTACTAATAGTAGCAATCAGTATAGGAGGTATGTATGTTGAATATCATCAAGGAAAATTGCTTATTGTTGATAACTAAAGGTTAGAATGTGTTGAAATATGTGAAATGTGTGAGATGAAATGGGTAAAATGAAGATCCGTCACATTCATCACTGATAAAAACGAATTAATCGAATTTCCGGGGTTTAGTCGAGTCTCGCGATTTCCCGTACAAATCCAGCGATTTCATTGGAATTAAACCTTAGCACCCTGCATTTTGTTTTACCATTACCGCAGGGCTAGTGCATCAGTGCCTAATAAGTGGACAGTGCCCCTGATCCATAGCCTCGGAACTTCCTAACCAAGTCTTCTCTAGGTCTTCTCTAGGTCTTCTCTAGGTACATATCTATAAGCCAAATTCTGGTGCCCTGCCTTGAAATCTCGAACAAAGGTGCTTTAGTATAATAAGTGAGAGACTAAACTGACTGGTACATAGGTGAAGCTGTGTTATACAACTATTATACTCGTATACTACAATACGTGCATGAGTAAGTAGGTACATACTATGTATGAAAGAAAGCCCTAATGCATGACGACACATTATAGTATGCAACAAATTCGTACATGAAGATGAATTCAGGAATTCAGGAATTCAATATTATATCATATTTAAATAGCTGTCTTACCTTACTATATAAGATACCATCAGCGTTAACAGGATTGTTAGCAAAGTGGAGAGAACACTAAATTTCATACCTACCTCTAGGTACATAATAACATTGAACTATCTATGTAGTATGTAGCCCTAGCTGGAATGTGTGCTAATTGATGAGTGTGCTATTGACGAGTGTGCTAAGAAATCCTTGACATGTGCTAGCAAAAATAAACTTTTGGGGAAATTGCAATATTATTAGAAGGAAGGGAAGATGATGTCAGCCTAATCAGCTCTCTTTCAATGTTCTATTTCCTTACCCTTTCTGTGGTTTTCGAGGCCAATCTGACCAATAGGGTTGGCCGGCCCAGGTGCCCGCTAAGCAATCCTTGTGCCAAAGGACGGGCCAGAGGCCGTTCCGCGTGCGCGGGAGGTAATTTCATTACAGGTGTTGCCGTTGGTTAAATGGTGCGGTACCCACGGCTTGAGCGGAGGGTGAGCTTACCTACCTAGGGTAGCTGGTTAGGTAATACTACTAGAACAATTCGACAATGTTTGACAATTTTGACGATTCGACCAATTTCTTCATTTCTTTTCTTAATCTCAGTGTGTGTGATTCCTACCTACCTACCTAGCCTAGCTGATTTGGCTTTGTTCTCTTTCTTCTTTTATGGTTCAACGTTGTATTGTATTTGGATATAGTCAAGGTGCTGCACTGCTGCACTGCTGCTTCTTGTATTGTACAAGTACAATACATTGAACTGATTGGCAACTGGATTGACTTGCACTGCAACCTTGCAACCTTGATATACCTATCTACTATGCAATCGTGCAGCTAGCTTGCATCTTTAGCTCAGGTACCTTGCTGGTGTCCCAGGAGTCCCAGACCAAACTGCCGTTCACTTGTGCATAGAGGTTCAAGTTGGAGGTGCTATTACTGTATGTACAATCCTGTACCTGCATATCGATCATACCAATATACCAATATCTTCCCCTTTGGTAGGTAGGACTGGAGGTACAGACTGACTGTACAGTGCAGTGCAGTCGGTGGAAGTTGCAACTTGCTCAAAATTAATTGCGACACCTACCTACATAGTACCTACCTGCCTATCTACTTGCTTACCTGTCTTGCCTTCCTGAGTATTTGGATATTTGGATGGTCTGACGTATCTTCCATCTCCAATAATTTAGCGTCGTCCACTTGTACCTCACACCACACTTCGACGAAGACCGATTACCTATCACAAACGCTCATACCATCCACCTTACTACGTACTTTACGTACTTTGCGTACTTTGCGTACTTTTCACAACTTGAATTAAATCAACTTGAACTTGTCTCATCCTGCTGAGACATCGACGATTCTGAATGCAAACCGTTGCCTTAGCCGCCTTCCTGGCTTAGACAACATTATTTTAAAACCTTCAATTCGACAATCGATAGGCCTTACCTATCTCTTCAATTGACCCGAGGTCAAGATTATCAGGTTCAGCTTCAGGTTCTAATTCTACGACTCTGTATTGTACATAGTAGTCTCTGTCACCTTTAATAGGTACCTATTTACCCCAGGATTGCCATCCATACATTCTGGATTACTACACCAACACGCGGGAACACGCATATTCGAAAAAGCCAGCCGCCTCTTTCGTTTGTACAACCAGACGCCGATAAGCTACCGCCGTCGACGGTATGGAAGGAACCTAAGTGCAAAGCTCTATATTCGTTCGACCATCAACTGGATGTTGAGAGGATCCCATTCACCTTCACCTTCACCACACTCATTCTTCTCCCTTGGCCAACCGTACATTCGTTCGTTTCAACCGATTGCCATTACCTACCGTCATTGTCTTGAATCTCAACATTGGACTATTTACAACCACGCCCCTACGTGCATATACAGCTCCAACGCTCCAACGCTCGCTCGCTCACTATCGGATGCCTTCTTTCGTCACTGGACTTTCAATACATTCAAAATTCACAATTGGCAGAGTTTACATTTGGGTAAACTGTTGGATTCATCTTTTTTTTCTCTATTTTCTTTTTGTCCATTAAGCAAGGTTTACATACGACGTACTTCACTTTGCATTGGACTAGGCTTGTTAATCCCCAGTCTTTCAGCTCCCGGCCAAGGAGCGAAGGCGCACTAACCTAAGGAAGGGGGGAAGGTTTTCGTACTAGACAGCCACCGGGTTCTGGGTTCTAGGTACTAGGTTCTAGATCACTTGCCCCTGTATAGTAAATATACAATGGCGCGAACATTAATCGAATCCGAAAACTCGCTCGAGGAAGAGCATGCCCTGGCCGATTCCCCAGTAATTGGACGACGACAAAGACGACCTCTTCCTATAGATGGGAAATGTATGACACAATCAGGTCTGAGATCCAGCCCAGGGTTAGATGCATTACAAGATCAAATTGGCGCGATATCTGACCGCGGCATGGAATTCCGAGGGTATGGACGCCACGCTGCTTCGGGTTCCCAGGATTCGAAACATACCCCGGTTCGTCCAATTTTCCCAAACGCCAACAACAACAACTACAGCTTTTACAGTCAATACTTCAACTATTACAACGATCTGGACGAAGACGGCTATGACGCCGATGAGGATCATGAATACCAGGGCGATACAACAACAACAACAACAACTCTTGCTACAGATACAAACAACAATTCTACTACTTGGATTACCCCTTCCACTTTTAATTCTACACCCTCGGGCAATTTCGTCTCTTACTCACATTCCAGCCCAACAATAGACAGGTCACATCACATACCAAACCTTCCAAATTCACCGTTGTCTCCCCGGTGGGACTCTCTGGGCTACAGTCGTCCAGGTGTTGCCTTAAGCCCTACTTCACCCGCTGTTAGAAGTTTTCACAGTAGATCTTCCGACGCGACTGATGAACTGCAGGCCGGCATCAACTCCTTTGCTTCAGAATCCAGAGATGCATTTCCCGAGCTACCGATTACTAAGAAGCTGAACACTTCCGAGCCGGTGCGCGTTGATAACTTCTCGAGACCAAGGAACGCAAGCATAAAACAATCCTACCAAGAATCGCCTCAATTCCGACCCCTAAATCACCATCCGACCGACCCGAGTCTTCTCGAGTTGTCACCCAACAACTCCATGGCTTGGTCTCGAGATCGCGGCCAGTCTGTGTCTTCGAACATGTCTGCTGCCACATTTTCCTCTGTTCCCGGTCGACCGCCTCCCGACATGTATAGCCGAGAACACCTTCGAAGTCGCGGTCGTCACCCAAACTTTCAAACTTCTCGACCGCCTATATCATATCATCGCATGGAAAGCAGTGTGCCACCTCTTGGTAGGGAACCTTTAGCTCGCATGTCATCCATGCCAAGCGAAGAGCTCAGATCCAGTTACCGATCTCAATTATCGGTATCCACGGGACCGGGGACTACGGGGACTGAGAGAAGTAGTGTCGCAACCAAGAATAGCTCAGTTACTTCGGTATATGGCGCAGCCGATGATAGTTTCAGTCTTGATGATATAATGGGCATGTACGAGAAGGGATTTTACGACGATTCGGCCCCGGAAGACAACGAGATGCCAGGATCGAGACCGCCGACCGCAAAGTCAGAGCTCAGTAGGAGGAGAACTGCTATGCTGGATGCAATGACCGATCTTTTACCAACCCCAGAATCACCAACTACGCCTTCTACTCCTGGTTCGGTCCAGCGCCATTCGGCTACCACGTCAAATGATTTAGATACACATGAGTTTTCACATGAGTTTTCACAAGAATATTCGCAAGAATATTCACTAGAGTTTTCACCTGAGGAAATGGCTGAGGAGGCCTCCGAGTCTACTCGTGTGGGACCAGATATCGATCCTTGGGCTGATCCCATAGCCGACCCTAAGACTGATGTCGATTTCGACGTCGACACCGATGTTGCCCAAGCTCACGTTGATACTAACATCGACGCCAACATTGAAGCCAGCATCGAAGCCCAAGCAGAAGCCCAAGGAGAAGCCCAAGGAGAAGTGGAAGCTGAAGTAGAGGCCGAAGCCAAAGCCCCGGCCGATATTGAAACCGATGATGATGACGACGATTTCAAACCTTCACCACCCACACGTGAGCCGACCGGCTTGACTATTGCGGAAGACAACGACGAGCGGGACCGTTACGGCTTTAGGAAGAGCAATCAATACGTAACCCGAGAGCAATATGATGAATGGAACCAAGGATATAAAGAGTACTTGGACAGAAGGCGAAAAAAATGGGTTGTCTTCCTCAGGGAACATGGACTCATGACTGATCAGCCTAACCGGTTCCCTCCTCGATCTAACAAGACGAAGCGATTTGTACGCAAAGGAATACCCCCTGATTGGAGAGGTTCTGCTTGGTTCTATTACGCTGGTGGCCCAGCCGTTGTTGCAAAGCATGCGGGCACATATGAAAGTCTTTTAAAACAAAAAGCTAAGGACGTAGATATTGAAGCAATCGAGCGCGATCTACACCGCACCTTTCCCGACAATGTCAAGTTTCGCTCTGCCCAAATGCCGAGCATGACCGGCAAGCAGTCTACAAAAAGGGAAAGCGAGATGAGGACTGACGAAAAACCCATGATTTTGGCTCTCCGCCGTGTCCTTCGCGCCTTTGCCATATACAATCCGAAAATTGGCTATTGCCAGTCTCTTAACTTTCTAGCCGGACTACTCCTGCTTTTCGTCGAAACCGAAGAGCACGCTTTCTGGCTACTCAATATAATAACCCGAGTATACCTTCCCGGAACGCACGAAACTAGTCTTGAGGGCGCGAACGTCGATCTGGGGGTGCTGATGTCCTCACTCAGAGAATCCATGCCGCAAGTTTGGGGCAAGATTGGAGGCGAGCTGGATGGAACAGATGTGGTATGGCCGAAGACTTGGAAGCATAGACACATGAAGTCGGAAACAACTCGGCTGCCGCCCATTACTCTATGTATGACTGCCTGGTTTATGAGTTGCTACATTGGAACCTTGCCCATCGAGAGCACTCTACGCGTGTGGGACGTCTTTTTCTACGAAGGTTCCAAGACTTTATTCCGAATCGCTCTGGCTATCTTCAAAATCGGGGAGAACGAGATTAAGGCCGTTGGAGATCCTATGGAGATCTTCCAGGTAGTGCAAACGATACCTCGCCGGCTTGTAGATGCCAACGGACTAATAGAAGCATGTTTCCGGCGACGCAACGGCTTTGGCCACCTTAGTCAAGACACAGTGGAGCAAAAGAGACAAGAAAGAAGAACGCAAGTCAAGGCCGAGCGAGAGAAGCTAGCAGCCAACATGGATGGACCCGGCGCCGACATGGGAATAAGGAAGAAGGGCACTTTATTTGGCCGGCACTAGTAGTAGGCCTTGCGCCCACCAAAATAATGGAACCAGATGCAATCGAATACTGATGCTTATATCATATCTCCTTTGTACAACCTCTACTTTGTCTGGACGACGGTCTTGGGACATATCTCGACAATGCGACAACAAAGCTCATTTGACTGACACTCAGCCGGCATCTGCAGTGTTGTATCTTGACTCCATTACGACGACTCATTTTTGTTTTCGAGCATGTTTAGGCATTGACGACATCTCACGACGGTGTTATTTTTCTTTTTTTGTCGGCACGGGTATACCATTGAGAGCAAAGGGTGGAACCATTTTTCGGTCAGTTGTGTTACGATCTGACCCGGAGGACAAAATAATTCATTTCTGCGAGGGAAGCATATCATTTTTTTTTTTTTGAAGAGGCCAGCAAGAGCCTTTGAATTTCACATTTGCCCGGCAGGACAGAGCTTACTGTAAGGACAAGCAGAAGATCATGCATGTAAACCAGAAAGAGTTTGTGGTTTGGTGTGGACCATCATCAATCATCATCATAATGAGCAACAGATCAAAGAGAGAAGGGCCTGTCCTTGTGCTAAAGGGGTATTGCATGGCCCAAAAAGGTTCGGTAAAATAAAAAAGCACTAGAGTGGCATTCACTGCATATACATACTTTGCATTAGAAAAAGGGGGGAGGGAGGGAAGGCACCTGGTTCGGAATAACATAACATCATCATATAGCATTGTCTGGCGTCGTCATCATAGTAGCATGCATTCTTCAAATGCGTAAATTCAAGCAAGCAATGGCATGGAAGCAATTTTTTTTCTTTCTGGTCAGCTGATCAAATATTGAAAGATTCAAATACAATACAAGGGACCGACCGATGTTGCGTTGTTGTTAAGCTGGCTGGCTGGCTGGCTGGCTGGCTGGCTGTTTGTGTCTGTATAATTAGGTACCTACCGCTTGCTTCCTACGACTGACTGTGCTGTACGAAGTATGTAAGGTTAGGTATGTATGCTGTGTTTGTGAGGTGCATACATGTATGTAATGCACGTACATAGGTACCTAGTAGGTATGCAGTTGGAGTGTACAACGTTCAAGTTCATTCTTATGAATTTATCCTTCCTCATTTACCTATACACTCAATGTACGTGGCATACTGAGTGGGTGGTATGGTATGTATTAGTTTGTAATAGTAGTTAATAGTGGTGGTGGTGGTGGTAGCAGTTGTGCCTAATATTCCGTCTCAACCCAACTGCCTTTAAATGCATGAGAAAGTTAAACGCCAGTGATATCATCGTGATGAGTCCTCTGCTTGCTCTCTTGCCTTGCCCTCGTCAAGAACCTATCTACTACTAACCTAATATAGTCGTCTTCCACCCTAGCCATGTACCCAGATAGGTACCTACCTCTGTTATGATTATGTACTTGAAAAATAACACGATAGTAGGCAGCTATCTCAATGAGGTAGGCTGGTTGGTTGGTTGGTTGCGTGTGATTGTTCTTTTCTTAGTATTAACTCCGTTTCCTACAAAAGACAAACTGCGCAACGCCGGCAACCCTGTAAACCAGACCATGGGTGATGGATGTAAACCCTAGAGCGAGGAAAGGAGAACATAGCATAGGTGTGTAAGACGTATCTTCCTCTCGATTCTTTAAGAGGAGACAAACATGCCCCGCTCCCCCTCCCAAGGCTTTGCTTTGCTCTGCTTTAGGTGCCTTACTTAGACGAGGCATACCGGGCAACGTAACTACGAGCGTTCTTCTCGAACTCAGCGGTGTTGTTCTTGTACTCATCAGCGATGCGGGCCTCGAGGGGGTCGTCGGGGTTGGGCTCGACGAGGAGCTGGCGGACGGCGTCGAGGACGGCGCGGACGCGGCTGGCGGGCTTCCAGTTCTCCGACTTGAGCATGCCGAGGCAGATGGACCCCACGTTGTCGTTGGTCACGTTGGGGTGGTAGATGCGCGTCGCGAACGTCACCTGCGGCGCCTTGAACGGGTAGTCCGGCGGCAGCACGATCGAGAGCTCGAAGCGCCCGCCCGCGTACACGGTTTGCGGGGGCCCGAGGAGAGTCGCGGTCCAGTTGTGCAGGTCGGCTTCTGAGGGGATCGAGACGGTCATGCCGGTTGGTGGGGAGGTCATGCATTCTTGCAGTTCCTGGAGCAGTGGGAGTGTACGGTTAGAATTTTATTTGCGCTTGGGATGTTGGAGATGTGCTTCGACGATGGGGGGGGGGGTTAGATGTTATATAAAATGAAATATGTACCTTGCTAATGCGCTTTTGCGACGAAGCCATCTTTACGAAGTGTTTTGCGTGGTTGTTTAGGACCTCAGGTATCTTGAAGAGTAGTGTCTCTTGGTAGGAAGTACCTGGTTTATGTGATGTGATTCTGGCTGTTTATGTTCTTGGTTAAGAAATAGAGGTATAAGTTGTATTAAATAGCTTTGTCAAGTTGAGATACAGCGTGCATGTAATAACCAGGGATTGCCCTTAGGTAATCAAAGTCAGTTCAATGTTCAATGTTGTACTTCGTAATTTGCCCTCAAGGTTACAAGTTTGCAGCAATGATCTCATATTGTTGGCACTGGGCAGTGGGCAGGCAACTGCGCAGCTACTGTGTACCTTTTATTAGACCTCCAACCTTAGGCACCTCACTTCCGAGGCTGTCAAGCTATGTGACTTCCAGTCACACACCACACAAAGCTGAAGCGGGGCATTTAAAATGGGCTGATGCCCCTCATTGATCCCTGTCTCCAAGCTAACAGGGATACCTGGTAGAAGAGTGGGTACGTCCAGAGTTGTACTATGTAGCATTCTGATAGATTAACGCCTTGATCCCACCGTGACATCTGCATGCCTACCTATCGCTCCCTTGAAACATCTGAAGGCAAGAACTCGAAGTCGCAGCCTGACTCGGATTTTACTGTACGATACTGTTAGTTCCGCCTGATCCCTAAGAACACCAACAGTATTTCAGTCTTCATTAGGTGTAACGACAGGTCTGCAGGTGTAGCCATCCTTTTCTTCAACAACCATGAATTCGTGCGCTACATAGGTATGTAGGTATGTAGGTATGTAGTTATGATAGACAGGCATCTAAGCACTTGGACAGCCTTGTCTGCCAACACCGTGATAGATGCCTCATCCGTCAGACAGCACCCTGGTCCAGTCAAACTTCCTCCATCTCTTCTTGAATCCTTCAATCCTCCTATCCGATTTGTGCCACCGTCCTTGCCTCTTGATCACATCCGGTTCCGCGTCTATCATCCCGCCAATAATCTCTCTGGCGAACAAATCACCCCTGGGCCACCGATTGGAATCTTCAACCACATGTCCTAGGCCTCCGTCCAAGGTAAACCATGCATGGAAATAAGGCATCTCCTTGGCGATAGACCGTCTGAATGCCAGCTTCCCTAGTCCATCACGTGCCCTCGCTCCTGTGTCAATAATCTTCTTGTGTTGCGTCCATTCCTCGTCTGTCGTGAGCATCGCTTCTTTGAAGAACGCTGGAGCAGTGTCGCCGAGATCGTACGGGATCGGTACCGCTTGCATAGCTGCGTGCATATGTCTATGAGGTGTCGCTGCATTTTCGTAGAATATCACTTCTCGCCCTTGGTCGTGATACATTCTGGTCAAGCACTTCATGAAGTTGCGGATCTCCTCCCATTCGTCGTCATCGCACTCTAAAAGATTCGTTCGGTGCTGGATAGGAACGATAACGGCCCCACCCTCACTTAGTTCGGGCTCGGTTGGTAGCGTGATGTAGACACGCGTCGCTAACGAGACTATAGGCGCGATGGGTGGCTGATTACGATCCTCGTGATGGCAGAGTTGACATTTATCCAGAATACTATTGATCTTTTGAAACTCGCCGACAGCCTGGTTCTTGAGGTTGATTTCCGACTTCTGAACGCGCTTGGCCAACTTCTCGGCATTCTCATCCATATAGTCGAGATCATCGGTGAACTTGGCGTCCTTGGTGATCCGCTCAGCTAGTCGTAGTCCATCACCTCCTGCTTGTCCTTTCGTTCGTCGCTCCTCTCGAATCATGTCTTCGATAGACATGTCATCATTCTGTTCGACATTCCCTCTTTCGCGGCCGCGCTTCGTCTCGACGGCCTTGGCCTCCCCGCGCGTTCCTGCGAGCATGCGATTCTCCATCACATTAAGAACAACCGCCTCGGGACCCCTTGATGCAAAAGCTGCGGCAGCTTGATTGTATTCTGCTTCCAACTTGGCAGCATCAGGGGCTTTCTTCAGCTTTGCCTTCATCATTTGCGCCTTCAGCCGATTTAAAACGGTCTGGTCGATCTGGGTTGGCATGTGTGCGGACGCATCGTCGGGGATGATAGTGCCTTGATCTAGGCTTGTTGTGGCCGGCGAAGATTGCCGATTCTCGCGAGCGGCTTGACTAAGTTTCCTCTCCTCATATAACTCCCCAGTAGGCTTTTCTTTGCCAATGTAACCTTGGCCATACACCTTACGCCGATCAACCTCGATCTTCTCCTCGCGCGCCTCGTCGAACTCTCGGAGACTACCAAAACGTTCCAATGCTACCTCGTCCACAGATCGTCCGGTCTGTTCAGCCGTATGGTAAACACCATGGAGTTTGGTCATCCTCCACTGTGACCCACTATCACCGAACGTGTAATCGACTTCGTTATGCACGGGTAGCTCTAATTCATCAAGAGACTTGCCGTTGTTTAGTTCCTGCAGTTGCGTCGCATTTATTTCTCGTTTGTGAATTTCTCTGTGAGCTGGCTCGGTCGGCTGTGGTGGAGGTTTGGAGGACTTGGAGCCTTTCTGCGTATAGTCAATCTCAAGCGCGGACGGGGCCGTCATCCAGGAATCTCGAACTAGGCTAGCTTTGCCATCATCGGTAGGCAGTTCGTCATCGGGCAATGGGAGATCCTCCTTGCTATCAGAAGTCTTCACATGAGAGCTTCTTTTCTCTGATTTCTGACGATCATCTCTATGGCGTTCGTGTCTATGTGGGCGTTCATCATCTTTAAAGTGACGCGATCGCTTACGTCGATGTCCATCGTCGTCTTCGTCTTCGTGGCGATCGCGCGACTTATGATGGGTATGCCGGTCACTACCACGATTTCGTTCCGTTGATCGATCGCGTCGGTGGTGATGCCTGCGTTTTTGATGTCTTTTTTGTTCTGCCTGCTCCCTTTCGGATTTCTCTGCAGCGAGTGATTTCTCAAATTCGTCAAGACCATCCATGATGGAAGGTGTACCTATTTCGGACTTGGGTTGAATATTATGTACTGGGTAGTGTTTGGGGTGACATGACGACAATCTGGAATGATTGAACTTGAAGTTATGTACCTACCTGGTATGTATTTATGTAACTACACAGTAAAGCACAATAAAGGAAAATTGAATTTAAGAGGACTCGGTATAGTAGTTATATGCACATTATTCACTTATACGTATTATCCATTTAATGCACCACCTTGTAGCAGCAAGTTGCCATTTCGAAGTTTAGTTATTGAAAAAAACACAAAGTAATATTTTGACTGTTATTTCTGCAGAACTATCCCTTTCATCTCTTGAAAATCTATTCAATACACATAAAAATCAAAGGTTAAAATGTGTACTATTGGCCATTCGAACCCAAGCCTTGCTCTTACTTGATTACGCCGAAATCGATTGATGAGTTAGTTAGAGTCTTAGCGAGATTGCTCAAACGGATTTAGCGTCATCCCATTCAAGTATTCAAAGCAACCTGGACATCTCGACCAAACAACCCCAACCAAACTTAAACTTAACCATTTACACTTTGCGACCCACAGAATTTCTACTCTGGTTTTTTTTTCAGACTACATCCCCCCCCCCCCCCCCCCCCATGCTTCACATGCTTTCTCACTTATACATGTTCAAGCCAATTTCATAACAGGATAACTACATACGTATTGGTATTGATTCATCAGCAAACAGATTGACTTCAAGTTGTTTGAATATTCTAATTCAATACACCATTACACTTCAATTAAAATATCTCAAAAAATCTTCAAGCTCGACAGTCTGATACACCAAGTTGCTTCCCCACTGGGGGGTTGCGTACTTGGATGAATCTGACATATCAGCTTGATGCTCTATCCACTACTTACAATACCCTCATCCACTCACAGACTTGTACCGTATTTACTTTCACTTCACCAATCACCAATCATTCACCATGTCTTCGTTCTTGAAACCCCACAAGGGGTCCGCCCTGAAAGGACTGAAGAAAAGTAGCGTTCAATTCAAACCACGTGGTGTCGCAGCTGGTGATCGAATCAAGGAGGTTCTAAATCGAAATCGCATGGAGGCTATGGGTCTGAGTCCCAGTGGCGCAAGTCGTAATTCCACGCCAGCACCAAGCCCTGCACCTACCTCTGGCTCTGCCTCGAAGAATGCCTCCTCTTCAGAACGAACTCCTTGTCCTACCCCTGGTTGTCCTAACCCCTTGGCACCCATCACCGATGGCTACTGTTCTGCCTGTGGTCGTGAAATCGACTCATCCAATATTGTTGCTGAAGTCCAATTTGGCGAATCTTCTTCTGGTGCTGCTGTTGTCCATGGAAGCTTTGTTGGAGCTGATCAAGGCACTGCCACCAGATCTCTGGCACCACAATATCGAAGACTTGGTGGTGGTCTTACTGATGCACGAGAGAAGACTATTCGTGAAGGTATACTACATCCCCGATCTATAGATATGGATATATATGTGACTAACTTAAGCATGTAGCCAAGAATATGATGACTGGCTTTGCTCACCAGCTTAGGGAAATTCCCCCACACGCTGTGGATGCTGGCATCCAGATATTTAAACTCGTAATGGAAGAGAATTGGCTTCAGGGTCGAGGTATGGACAAGGTTGTTCCTGTATGCCTCTATACAGCCTGCCGCAGAGAGGATGGATGTAAAGTCATGCTCATCGATTTTGCAGAACTTGTTCACGTAGGTTCCTTTACTCCAAATTTCATTACTGCTATCACCTACTGATATCATCTAGATTAACGTGTATGAGCTTGGCCATGTCTTCAAGGATCTCAACAATATCTACTCCTTCCAGAGCCACAACGTGAAATCCATAATTCCGGAGGACCTCATCTATCGCTTCTGTTCGAAGCTTGACTTTGGCGATTTCACTAACAAAGTCGCAGCAGATGCAACCAGGCTTTGCCAGAGAATGGGTCGTGACTGGATGGTTATGGGCCGACGACCTTCCGGTATTTGTGGAGCTTGCATACTCATGGCGGCGCGTATGTGGAATTTCCGACGTACTGTGGCCGAAGTTGTCTATATTGTTAAAGTTACGACTCATACGATTGAGCAACGTCTTGACGAATTCACAGTCACTGAGAGCAGTGAGTTGTCTATTGAAGATTTCTTGAACAAGGAGTTCCTTGAATCTCGTCATGATCCCCCTGCATTCTACAAAGGAACCACCAACTGGCAAGAGAAGCTGGAGAAGGATGGGAAAGTTAGAAAGCGGAAGCGCGTTATAACAGACATTGATGGTGATGAGCATGAGCTGCGCTCAGAGTCCGGAACACCTGCACCAGACGGCTCAGCAACCCCCAGGGCTTCCCCTGGCACCACAAATATGCCTCCTCCGCCTATACCTCGACCACCCCCCGATACTTCACATATGCGTCAAGTGGCAGAATTCTTGCCAAGGGCCCTTGATCGTGACGAAGGACGAGAACTGGTCGTCCCTTTCGATCCCAATGCAATACCTAAGCGACCTCCGCGGAAAAATGCAATTGGTGATAGAAACGTCACTGATGGCAAAAACTCAGAGGATCCATTAGCTGATGAAGCAGTGGATGAGTTGGCAGCGGCATATGGCACCCCAGAAGAAGACTTGGACAATGAACAGGACCAGGAAGAAGTTCCTGTAGAACCAGAACCTCAACGACGTAGTCGTAAAAAAGGATCAGCCGAGCCCGTGCTCACCTTTAATGATGAGTGGGAGCGTGATGAGGCTGAGTTGGAGCAACAAATTACCGAAGTTATCAACGATCCGCACAGCGATATACACAGCAAAGCACTAGCTACAGCTGCACACGTGGCGCACATCAAAGGCGAATGGGCACGTTCGCTACTTCCCCAGCGCGAGCTCAAGATGGACGAGATCATTGGCGAGGATGAGTTCGCTGATGACCCGGAGGTTCAGTTTTGCTTGCTTGCACCGCATGAAGTAAAGTTGAAAGAGAGCATATGGATTAATGCCAACAAAGATTGGCTGCGCAAGAGGCAAGAGAAGATTTATCGTAAGCAAATGGAAGAGCTCGGCCCTCCCAAGCGCAAACGCAGTCGAATGAAGAAACCGAGAATTGGGGAAGGTCAGCTGACACCAGCCTCCTCGGCAAGTGAAGCAGCTATTGAGGCACTCAAGAAGCGAAGCACCTATTCCAAGCGTATCAATTATGATGCTATTGAGAGTTTATTTACGACCAAGAAAGACAGAGGGCCGGGATCTGTAGTATCACGAAATGACAACGACAGCGAGACAGCGAGCGTTACTGATGGGGGCACTCCAGCACCGGCCCGGCTCCAGCTGGTTCCTGTCAAACCATCGCTGGTCGCGACTGATAATGGTGAAGGTGGAGATGAAGAAGAAGGGCCGCCAGAGGAAGTATATGACGACTATTACTCTGAAGACCCTCCCAACTATGATGAGCAGCCAGGTTATGACGAAGACGGATATGGTGGGGACGGGTACGAGGAAGAGGAATTCTATTAGGACTTGGACTTGGACTTGGTCTCGCCATCTTTATATCCTTTGCTAAAATGTTAGCTACAACAAATAACTAGGTTACCTTGATGGAGAATTACCAAGCAAAAACTTGTAAACTTGATACTATTATTCGTGATCTAGACTCTGAATGGAGAGTGAGGTGCATGCAAGCCTTGCATAATTTGCACATGACCTCTGTGACAGCTGTCCCTGAAGCTAGGTAATTGCAGCATATAACTATCGGCTTGGAAGGCTTGAAAAGTAACTATATCCAGGTCCATTGCTCGGCTGGCATACCATTCACTCATAATCAACCCCTTACATGTCTACCTAAGGTTAGGTAGGTAGTAAGAAGAACACGAATGCTGATGCGATGATGTTCAAGATGACAGCGTTTTATTCTCTTTAGTCGAATAATCTAATTAATTTCGTTTTATTTTGGCCAAACATGACTACAAACCACCCACTACCATTTTTTTTTTCTCTGTTTGTAGCCTTATATAGGTATATATAGGTTTCTCCTCTGCCCAATCTACTCCCGCTGCATAACGACCATCAACCCCATGATCCCCAGCATCACCGTCTTGAGCCACGGGTGCTCGCTGAGCATGATGGTCACGTACCCCACGAAGGGTATGTAGCCCACGACGGAGCCGATGATGTCCCTGCGCTCGAGGTAGTCCTGGCCGCGGGCGTAGAGCTCGGTGTCGTCGGCGGCGTTGTTGTCACCCTTGGTGAGCAGCTGGGCGTCGGGGCCGGAGCCGAACTTGCGGACGACGCGGTGCACGATGGGTATGTCCTTGTCCCGCACGTTGTAGACGACGACCTCGCCGACGGCGGTCTCGGCGGCGAGGTTCCGGTTCCAGAGGAAGAGGAGGTCGCCCCGCTGGAAGGCGGGTTCCATGGAGCCCGAGAGGACGACGACGATGGGGGAGGGGGAGTCGGAGATCACGGAGAGGCCTTTCCACATCTGTTGAGGGGTGGTGGTGGTTAGCGAGTTGGTTGGCTGGCTGGCTGGCTTGAGGGAGAGGTGAGGAGAGGAGAGGAGAGGAGAGGAGAGGGTTGGGAGTTACCATGAACGCGGTGGAGAGGATGAGGCCGAAGTTGAGCAGTTGCGCGGCTGCTTGCCGGGGGTTTTGGAGACCGGACAACATTGTTTCTTTTTCTTTTCTTTTGTTAGGATGTAGGGCTGTTTATAGTAGGAGGAGTAGTAATAGGTATTGGTAGGCGCTTAGGTTGCTGGCCTCGGGCGATCGATCTTGAGGCCAGCGTAAGCGATGTGGTTAGATGCGATAACGAGGGTAACTATGTAGGTATGTAAGTAACTAACTAAGCAAAGCGCAATTGAAAGTGGCCTTAACTTTTTTGTGACTGGAGGTGCTATCGATAAGAATAGTTATCTGTAGACTGTCAGTTTTCTTTAGCTATGGGCGGAAGCTAGTGGTGGTCTGTGCTGGGATTCTGCCAATCAGAGGAGAGGGTCACGCTAGTTTGGCTTGTTTAGGCAGGAAGCGGTGGGGTCTGTGCAGGAAGTTGGGGACTCTTGGTAAGTATTTAAGTACATCAGGGTCCCCTTATTATTTTGGTATTCAATGTTTTCTGTAACATTTTCTTTAACAACCTTATCGATCATATCACACACGTTCCGGCGCATAAAGTACATGTATTGCACAGCGTTGACCTTGGTATAGGTAATAGCGGAGCTTACGATGTTTGTCCTAGGAACCTCTCTAACCTAGTAGGATACGTCCCTATACGTGGTGACACCCGATGGAGAGAGCATCGATGTGGTGGATCCGCTTGACGCTGCCTGGCCTGTTTCCGCGCAGTTTATGCGTGGTGATAGATAGATACGTGTGTACTATGTACTGTATAAGTAGTGGTTGGTCAACTTTCTATGACTCTACACGCCTAAATTGTCTTGGGGGCATCATTCTGCAAGCCGAATTCCGCAAGCCTCGAGCATGATTCTGCAATGTTAACCAATTATTCCTATCCGATCCAAGTTCAAAACTTTCTACCTCTATTTAGTTGTCTTATTGCATATTTTGGACCCCACAGAGCCTGCTTCAAGTCGCTACATACGTGCTAGGCACCTAGGTTAGTACATCCCATCATCCAAAGTCGCCTCAGCACTGCCCTCGTTAGGGTAGAGCTGTGGTGATCGGGTCTCATGCGCCGTAGTTGTTCTGAGAAAATTTTTATTACAAACATGCCACGCTCAAGAGCATCATAGTACCTACGGTCACACATCCCACAATGCTTATTCCGTTGGCGGCTGTGGTAGCAATATGCCCAGTAATAACCCCGTGGTTGTTGGAGATTGCCTGGTGGTAGTGGATGTCGCCCATTTGGGTAGTGTAATACTAATTCTTGTCAGACGTCTGTCCTCATAATACATAATATCATGATGAAAAAGGATATTGAATATTCAAACCTTCTCGAGTGTGTCAACGTCGGTGCCGGTGCCGGCGTCAGCGTCGGGGCTGGCGTCGGGGCTGGTGTCCGGGCTGGCGTCCAGGTTGAGGTCCAGTGCGTTAATCCAGGAGTTTAGCTTGTTAGTGATGCTGATGAACCCGCTGCGGTGTTCATCTTGGAATTTGCCCATGTGTGAATGTTCTTCTTCAATGGATAATGGATCGACACCACTAAGTATCGCCGAGGATTTATCCACAACAAAGGTGCCTTTCGTGGGATATTCCTCGTAATAGCAGGCGATCTCAACCGAAGGGGGGTCGCGGTCTCGGCTTTTGATGTACCGCGCGAATTCATGATTGATATCAGCCAATATCTTCGAGCCCTCTTGTAGGTCCTTGAGCTTCATTTTATTTGTCTCGGAGAAGAGAGAAATGAATCTCAGCCCAGACTCTGCCCAAAGTGCTATCTTAGAGCCCGCAAATGGGGTGCCCAGAAAGATCATTCCGCGAACCTGCTTCGCAAGATTCTCTCGTTTTTTATCGGATCTACATACCCTGGAGACGGCATTGGCACATACCAAACCCCCTAGACTATGGGCAATGAAAAAGAGAGGTCGGTCACTCTAGATTCGTGTGCAATTATAAGCGGTAAGCATTCAACTGCTAGATTAAGAACTTAGATAACCGCTCACCGTTCCCGTGCTTTCTCGGAAGCCTACAAGACTATCGAGTAGAGCAATGGAGTGGTTGTCGACTGTTGTCTCAGGGGGAACGCGCTTCGGTCCGTACAAAGGGTAGAAATGCGCCACAGAAGCATTATACCCGAATGAGAGGACACGAGCGGTCTTGCATTTCCTAGGAAGAAGCTCTTGGGGCCAGAAAACGGGGTTTGGGTGATCCTTGGTAGGCAGCTTAGTCCAGGTCTTCTTTCGATCTCCGTGAAGACCATGAACAAAAATGATGCTAGAAACATGTAAATTCCAATGTGCGCAATATCGTGATGTTTTAGAGGGACTGACTCGACATTCGCATCTGGTGAATCATAGAGTGGCTCGGTTGATCCAAGAGAAGCAGCCATATTTGTATTTGTCGGGTTTCTTTGGCACTCAAGTATTAGCACCTAACTACTTCTTGAATTCTAATTCTAACACATCCCCTTTCACATTTGGCTTGAATAGGTTTTTATAAAAAACCCAGAGGTGATTCATATTTTTATATAAAACTGAAACTACCTTCTCTGCCGCCATGCCTATCAAATACCATGGTCGGTAAGGTATGTAGCATAGGATGTGGGTAAGCTATAGGCTATGGCTACTTGCAACCATGTGGCCTGCATTGCGTATGATCTTGGATGAGATATAGCATGGAATATTGCATATTGCATATTATTTATCGTTTTATTAAAAACACGCCTTCATACGGATATCCAGCCTGGCTCAGTCTACTCGCCATTTTGTTGTATTTTCATTCTCACGCCTCTACATACTCATCAGACCAAGACTTTGGAGAAACTTGCCCAGCTATGAGTGGAAAGAAAGCATCTCCCTCTCCGTCCATAATCAACGATCGACTCAACCCCCCTAGTATCAATTGTGGCGGGATTATCGAGGGTACCTAGTAACCATGGATCCATTGTGGGTTCAGTTACCAACGGCTCTGTCATTGGTATGATGGACTTTCCTCCGAGTAAGCTCTATCATCATGTGTCTCCAAAGGCTGATTGTAGATATAGGAACTCAGCACGATAATTGTTAGTCTCCGAGTCATTTTCATACGGACGATATGATCAACGCTTGTTGTCAGAGCACTCTAGATCTAATCTGCAGTTCAGATTATTCAGGAACCAACAGCCAAGATCCCCGGAACCGTAAGTAAGGTGTATGAAACATAAATGGAAAGTTTTAACGGAGTCAAGCTCTCCAATAACGCCACTTTATGGTCCCGTTCGGGCGCAATGAGAATTTTGTCGGACGCGAGCCCATCATGCAGCAGCTTCTTGAACGAATCCCCCCGAGCGCTAACAAGGATTACTGCCAGAAGATGGCCGTCGAGGGCCTAGGAGGCATCGGAAAGACCCAGATTGCCCTTGAGGTCGCCTATTATGTTCACGATCAATATCCTGACTGTTCTGTTTTTTTTTGGGTTCCGGCTGTTAACGCTGTCAGTTTCAATGACGCGTATCATCAGATTGGGGACCGACTTCTTCTTCAGGGGCTAGATGATGGCAAGGAAAACATCAATAAGATGATTCAGAGTGCTCTTAATCGTGAGAGTACCGGAAATTTGCTTCTGATGATCGATGATGCCGATGATCTGAAGTTGCTATTCAACGACAATGCGCCTTCCGGCTATATTCCGTTCAGTCAGAAGGGGTCTGTCTATCTTTATTACCACCCGGAATCATGAGACTGTTGTCAAACTTAATATCTCGCCGAAGAGGACGATTCGCATGGCTGAGATGAACACTGACGAGGGGATGGATATGTTACGAACAGGATTGACAGAAATCCAGATGAAAGACACAGAGAGCACGAGATGCCTACTGGAATATTATCTTTCTAATCTTCCCTTAGCTATCAAACAAGCGTCTACGTATATGGCTAAAACAAGTATATCCACCTCCCGGTATCTCGAGCATTGCGCATCGAGCAGCGAAACCATGATTAAGTTGCTCAGCAAAGATTTCGTAGACCAGGTCCGGTACAGAGCGATTCCCAACCCAATAGCTACGACATGGCTGATCTCCTTTGACCATATTTCCCGAGATTACCCACTTGCTGCACTATATTCTCAAAGTCGTGTTATCCATGGCATTACTCCATTTCAAAGCAATGAAAAAAAGAAGAATAAGAAACAAAAAAATGTCGAGATAGTCGAAAAAACGACCCCCCTTCGACTTCGGTCCTGGAGGAGTAACATGGGCGGACGTTGATGCTTAATAGTACGATTAGTCACCTGGGCATTTAATGATGTCTAGCCCCTGAGTCCCTGTGCCACTGAAATCCAAACCAACACAAATCGATTATAATTCTCCTATTTACTATGAAATAGGAAGGTAAGTTGGATGTCATTAAATTATATTCCTATTCTTATTCAAATAGGTAGGCAGGTTAAGTTAGTGGCCCACCAGCTACTGCTCTGAGTTGACATCTATAGGGGATATACCTTCCAATCGGCCACATGTATAACAGGAATATCTTCGTCGCTCCTAACGTTCATATTTTTCAAGATTAGGGTATTGCAATTTTCAAATTTTCTAGGTTACTTTATTTCCATTTTCTGTTTACCTTAGTTAAACTTGACTTCTTACTCTTTTCTTGCCCCTCGATGCTCAGACCTCTTCTGTCTGTCAACCATCTTCACATCATACCTTAGATTCCATCTCCGATATAAATCCTATTAACATTATCCTGTATATTATTAAAAAAGAAGAAATTACCGAGTGTCTCAATATCTGAGCCTGTATAGTTTCACGCACCCACCGCTACCATGTCAGAGACGACAGACAGAACACCTCTGCTCCCACATCCCGTTACTTCTCGGTGTCCTTCGAGCCATCCAAGTTACCCATCTGAGCCTTGTCCTCCGACTCATCCAAGTCACCCGAGTCATCCTCCTCACCCAGGACACCCGTGTCATCCAAGCCATCCCAATCACTCAGACAGCCATGTAAATATCTCTCCTTGTTGATTAGGTATTTTTGAAGGTTAAGCAGATAATGGTCTAACGTGGAACAGCCGATATACCTACGAGTATGCCACTCTCCATGGTACTTTATCAACCAGAAGTTTCTCTTGTTACTTCGTTTTATCTTCGCCGGGTACCTTTCGGCGGTATTTGGGGTCTCGCTCAAGTACAAACTTGAGTTTGAGGATAAACATACGCCATGGCGCATCCCATTTCAGTTCTCGACGATTGCCTTTTGTACACAGTAGGCATGGCACTTACAGGTGACCGTCAGTTTTGACCACTAACTAGCATCATTTTCACAAGTTTCAAGAAAGCTAACGCGGGTGATAAAATCAGGTCTGGACGGCGATGCATCTCATCTTCCCTAAGGCGATTGAAATTGACCCCCATGAATGTCATGGCCATAAGCTGAGAGCTCACATCCTCCGCTTTCTGTCTCCACCCAACAGGGCTGACTGTCCCATTCGGCGGTTTTTATTCAGCATGTTCTACACTATGGCCCACGTCTTCCCATTTATGAACACGCTGATTTATTGGTGCTGTCTTGTCCCGACTGGACACGGCGGTTTCAAGGCCCCAAATCTGCCGCATCGTCATTTCACCGAACCGGGTAATAACGTGACTGCCAGGTACAGCCCAGATAAGGGGATGTTCGAAGAAGACCCAATCAAGGCGTTTAGCCTCATCAACGTCTGGAGTATCACGACGTGTATTGCAATTGTGGAGATCATCTTCCTCAACAGCATCCGACGACAAACCGTAAGTGCTCGCCCTGATGATCACTAGCTATCTAGGTATCTACCTACCTAAGGTGGTCTAGATAGTATTTGATTTTCATGACTAATACCTGATAACAAACAGCCTGTTATAGGGCACACGATCGGAGTCATGTTCTGTAGCGGCGCGTACCTCGCCTAGGCGGCAATTGGCAAGCTCTGCACGGGACATTCTGGGCTCTTCTTCCTCGACCCTGAGCTTATGAAATCGAGTCCAGAAGCCATCATTGCATCATGCGTTATTTTCATTGCTGCATCACCCGGAGGTAAGATATTGAGTGGGGAAAAGGTGTGGCCATAGAACGTGCTAACTGCCATCATAGTTCTTGCGTACATGTACGGGTTGACGGCAATGCGCGAGACAATCGTGGCGGTGCGTCATGAATGATCTTCACCGCATTAAATGATGAAGCGCTATTTCAGTGGGATCGTAGCATAGCTGCATCATCCCGATAGTTTGAGATTGTTATGGCCTTTCCTAATGTGATGTTCATGCAGGGGGTGTGGATATTAGAGGAACGGGTGGTAACAGGCGATGGAGAGATCGAAGATAGTATATTGTAGTCGGAAATTGACTAGACTACTGGGTAGTAACCAAGAGCAATGGGTGTGCTGATTACAGGGCAGATAGCTTCACTGGACAAGAATGAGAATACCGTCATACCTAGGTATCCTAGACGAAGCAGAGCAAGCGGTCAAGCAGTGAAGTAAGTGCCTCGGTAATTTTATTACTGAGAATGGAGTCATCACCACCTGGATAAGGTCCGATCTAATCCAGATGTCAATGGATCAAGCTTCTACGTTAGAAATGTCATGCTGGTTGTGTCAGCATGTCGTCTTATCCGATAACCTGGGCCAACTCCCGCTAAACAGCTGACTGAAGATACTATCCAGATTAGGTACTAGGCGTGTTGTGTGCCTCTAGAGCTTTAGAGGGGTAGGTAGTCCAGACTGTCCAGTGCCAACTCACACCAGAGGACTATATCCATAATAGGTTAGAGTTATACTTGCTGTCATTGTAGCCAAGTCGGAATATCGTCAATGAGATTATTATTATCATCCCTCGGATCGGACTTAATCTTCCTTGCCTTTTAGTCAGGTACCACGTATTATTAGTGTTAGTCACGATGCTGCGAACAATACATGTATGTAGTACTGTATGTAGGTACGTAGGAACTTTACCCCCACGTGGTAAGCTGTCCAATTGTGCCCTGGTTGTCCTGGCCGCCCTGTTTATTCTTCCCGATCCTGTTAGAGTCATGGACATGGATGCTGGATAGGTCGCATCCATGTTGAGGCGGGGACAGGCAGATGTCGTGTTGTCTCTTTGATTATCTAACCTACCATCTACCACCTCTGGCACCTCTGGCACCTCTACATGTAGGCTCTGGCACCTCCTTGTAGAAAGGTATTGTACCTTAGTATCTAACCGCCCTAGTAAGAAAATTGCATCCACAAGCTAGAGGCAGCCAACCTCCTGCATACATACTTGGTAGTGTGTGTATGTATGTATGTATGTATGTATGTATGTATGTAGTACCATACTTGTCTGAAGAATCAAGTAGCAAAGTAGGTACTAGGTAGTCATGTATCTTTATTACATACACAATCAACCTGCAGAAGGGCGGTACAATACCAAAAACGTAGATTAACTTGATGATCTGACACCCAACATAAACGTAGCGAATCAATACCTAGATTACCTATGTAGGCCAAGACCTAGGGTCTCGCTTCTGTCAAAGATGATAGGCAAGCTGGCATGGTAGGTAGGATACCAACCGGGCCTACCAGAGCTACTAGCAAGTCCGGGGAAGACTACTATAAAGTAAGCAGTAAGAATACCTGATTACAGTAACCTAGCTGATTACAGATAGATAGACGTATTGGATGGTATGCGGCTAAAATATAAATATCGCCAGTACCCCCCCTCACCTCTCACTTCGTCCCCCCCTTTTCTTTCCTTTGGTTCTTCCTCCCCTCACCAGAATTCATAAGGGTCGCAAAGCTTTTCCCAAGGATATCTCCAGATACATTCGTTCATCCCCCGAATAGACTCTGGGATAGCCCGCCCGGACCCCTGTCAATCCCTTTTTTTTCTTTTTCAAACTCCTCACACCAATTCCTTCCTTTGACTCTATCGTCAACGGAAACCCGAAATTCACCTCTTACACGCTCTTTTTATTTTCGTCGCTCTCTAGTCAATTACCTATCACTCATCCCGAACCTAAATCTACGCTGTCTCGCTTTCTTTCGCTACTTCAAACAACCACCGCCATCATGTTCAAACGCTCGTTCCGGTCCGCGGACCGAGTCGACAAGTCGGCGAGGCTGAAGAAATCTAGCCACAGCAACAATAACAACAACAACAACACCCACACGGTTCGGGATCCTCAGAAGCTGTCGAAACTACAGCGGTCGCTCGAGGACACTCTTCCCGTAAAGAAGACCCTCAACTCTCCCATCGTCACCCTAACCGTCGGTGGAGAAGCGCGGCTGTTTGCGGCCCACGAGGAGGTTCTGGCGCAGTCACCCTTTTTCGAACGGGCGTGCCGGGACCAGTACCTCGGGGCGCAGGGCAAGAGAATTTCACTTCCGGACGAAGAACCCGAGATCTTCTCGGCCATACTCGAATACCTCTACAAGGGCGACTACTACCCCCGCTTGATGCACAACAAGCACAGAAACTCTTGGGAGCTCGAGGATGCCGTGAGATCCCCCGACCCCTCAGAAAACAACCGAGCTGGTCGCGGAGCTGTCGAGGCCACCATGCACGTCTCCAGCGTGGGACAATATCTCCTGCGGGACACCGTCGTGTACTGCGCCGCCGATAGGTACGGACTCGAGGAGCTCAAGCGCCTAGCACTTCGGAAGCAAGGGCTGCAGAGCGGAATCGACGTCGGGACCATTCTTCGGTCAGCGCAGTACGCCTACGACCACACGCCGGACTCAGACTCGCGACTCCGCGCTCACTATCTCGCCCTGATCATTCGATGCCGTAAGACGTTCAAGCGGAGCGGAACCATGCAAGCGGAGATGGAACGGGGCGGCAAACTATTCTTCGACCTATTCGTGGCCATGTGCAACCACCTTGACGACGTCGTGGAGATGAGCAATGCTCGGACCCCTAAGACGATCTGAAGACTACCGACTTGCTGCAACCACATGTGATCACTGAATCATAAACATGGTCGCCCTGGGAAACAAATACGGCGTTTTTTTGGTTTGTATCAACTTTTTTGGCGAGGAACGGTCCCCCAGTCACGAAAGAGGTTTATGATGATTTTTTTGGACTTTTACCTTGTCTTTGGCTTCTTCCCTCAATCACAACCTCTCCCAGATACCTACATATGCATCATCAGATTGGAACACCATTTGGGAGAAAACAAAAAAAGCAAAGAAAAGAAAAGAAGAAAAAAAAAGCAACTCCACTTCTCGTTGAGGTTGGCCGACCAATTTTTGATGATACATTTTCAAATATCGGGGAGGGTATAAGGGGGTATGAACGTACACGGTTTACGCATACTATCATCATTTTTCCCCTTGGCTCTCCTGTTTCTGATGACCCACGAAGGAATACATACATACCTACCCAACTCTGCTGTATTCACCCAAAAAAAGATACCCCTCCATCCCAGTGGCTTTTACTGGCTTTTAGACTACCTAGGCGTTCTGGAATCTTTCTTTTTCGCTATTTTTTGCCATCAACAGGAGAGATTGGCTTTTGCTAGCTTGTTTCGCTGGGCGAAGGAGATGTTGAAGAAAAGAAACACAAAACACCACACGGTTTAGAAAGCTAGGAAAGGGGGAAAACACGTTTGCGGCTATATCCTTTTTGCAGAACTTTGTCTTTTTTTGCTGGGTTGCTTTTTCACTTTGATTTTATTCATGACGAGTACTCAACATCACGGGGCGCAATTGTTACTACCCATCAGATTGTCAAACAAACACTTTGGGAATTATACTCGCAAAAGGGCAACCAGGAGGAGGAGGACAAGGAACAACAGAAACGCACCACAGGCTTGGGCGCACCTCTTCGCCACCCGTATTCCATTTCTCCTATGTCTTTTTTTCGACGAAGGAAAGCCAAAAAAAAGTTCAAAAAACCCTAGGACGCCCGTAGAGTACCCCTTCTGTAAAGCTAACAGAGAGGGGAAATACGGCGTCCAAAGAATTAACGAACGACCAAACTGACGAAAGAAACGGGACAAGGAACAACAACAGATTGCACACCACCAGACTTGCTTTGCAATGTTTTTTTTCTGCTACGCAAACGCAGAAAAGGGAAAAGATTGAAACGCCGGCATCACGAGAACACACAATCATGACAATCTCATACCAACATCTAAGTCTTGACGACTAGCCAAAAGGTATACACGAGAAAAAAAACAAAACAAAAACCCCATACTCCCGTCCCTAGTGGATTGGTTGAGATCAGGCTTCAAGCCCCTTAATTGGGAGCGAGATAATGAGAGATTCGGCCGCCTCAAAAAATGAGTTTTCTTGCTAAGTGTGATGTGATATGTGAGATGTGCGATGTGCTGATATTGTAGATGCTTCATGGTGCTAGATGTCAACAGCCCCTTTATTAGATACATAGATACGTGATCTGTGACATGAAGGTAAGAGACATATAGGTACATAGTAGATACATACCTACAACAGTACCTTTGTGATTCCCTTTATGCACATGGCGAGATGTTTAATACATAAAACAAAAAGTATGATGAAATACCAGTGACGTTAGGTACCCTACTGTAGGTACCTTAATCCTAGCGCTAATCTGTTCCATCTGCCCCGCTACCCCGCAAAACTGTCAAGTGGGATGTGAATTTATTAGCAGCTGAATATTTTTATCATGTCAAGGTTGTGTCTGAATAGTTAAGTCCTTGAACTTAAACATCACAATTTTATATACTCATACCTACCTGTTATTTCCAAATCCAACTTGAAGCACGACAAAATAAAATTCAATAAATTAACGGAACAGGTGTGCAATCAAAATGGCATCTACGTCCGAGCCTGAGTCCAGCACTGCTGGCCCCTCAGTCGCACCGGAGACCTCAAAACCGAGCTCTGCCTCTGAACCCGTCGCTATCGTATGTGTTGGCATGGCCGGCTCGGGCAAGACGACCTTCATGCAGCGCATCAACGCGCATCTACATGGCCAACGCGATCCTCCCTATGTCATCAATCTCGACCCCGCTGTGCTTAATGTGCCCTTTGAGAGTAACATCGATATTCGCGACTCGGTCAACTACAAGGAGGTCATGAAGCAGTACAACCTTGGCCCCAACGGTGGAATCCTGACTTCGCTCAACCTGTTCTCCACGAAAGTTGACCAGATCCTGAAGCTTCTCGAGAAGCGCACTGGTCCTGATGAGGCAAACCCGAACAAGAAGCCTATCAAGAATATTCTTGTCGACACTCGTAGGCATTCCCTTGCTTTCATACATAGCTACCCTATCTACCTACCTACCTACCAAAACAGAATGGCTAACTAACTACCCCATTCTATAGCTGGCCAGATTGAAGTCTTCGTGTGGTCTGCCTCCGGCCAGATTCTCCTCGAGTCCCTCGCTTCGACGTTTCCCACCGTCATCGCCTACATCATCGATACGCCCCGAACAGCCTCCACTAGTACCTTTATGAGCAACATGCTATACGCCTGCTCGATCCTCTACAAGACCAAGCTACCTATGATCTTAGTCTTCAACAAGACCGACGTCAAGGATGCCAGCTTCGCCAAAGAATGGATGACCGATTACGACGCCTTCCAAGCTGCGCTTACCGCGGACGAAGAATCCAACGCATTCGGCGGTGTCGAAGGCGAAGGTTCGGGTAGCGGCTACATGAGCAGTCTCCTAAACTCGATGAGCATGATGCTGGAGGAGTTTTACACGCACCTGAGCGTAGTGGGCGTGTCGTCCATGACCGGCGCCGGCGTCGACGACTTCTTCGCCGCCGTCGCGGAGAAGGCCGAGGAGTTCAAGGCCGACTACCGCCCGGAGCTGGAGCGCAAGCGGGAGGAGAGAGAAGAAAACAAGCGCGCGGTGCGCGAAAAGGAGCTCGATAAGATGATGAAGGGCATGTCTATGGGCGCGAGCGGTAGCAGTCGGAATATTGTCGATAACCTGCGCAAGGCTGACGACGACGACGATGTGGATATGAGTGATGATGAGGACGATGACAACTATGCCGATGTTGACGACGAGTACGACCGAGAAGGATTGCAGGCGCGATACGAGGCTGCCTCGGTGGCGGAAGCAGACTCGACGATGGATCAAGCTAGCTTTGCCAAGTATCTGCACACGCAGAGAAAGGGTTAGGCTGGATGGGCGAACGTCATGCAGTTTGCGGTGGCTTCACTACGATAGGGTAGGATATGATAGGTATACAAGGCGCACACACACACACACGAGGCATAGGTTAGGGAGTTATGTAATGGCATAGAACGGGCATAATGATACCAAATTCTGATTTGCTGAAACCTTTCTCAGAGAGTGTCTAATGTTTTCTCAAGGCTCGGTAAACTCGTAAACTCCCAAACTCCAAGTTCCTTTTATGCGAAATTGTGAGGATTCTAGGACATGCTCGGGATATTCCTAAGCCCCTATGCAGACTTTCCACACATGTCTGACCTCCAGGTACATAGTCCCTTGGTCAAAGTATCATATCATCTCCCGCTAAGATGTGCAGGCTACCCAGCATCGCATTACTCATATCGAGTACCCCCCCTCAACAGACATGTGGGTTGCATCTCCATAGATTTCCCATCCTGCTTCCACCGTCTGATTCGTCAATTTATTTATCCATACGATTTTGGTTGTTTTCTTCATCGCGCCTCGAACTGGACCATTCTATAAACATCACCATCGTCATTAGCACAGGCACACAACATACTCCCTTCCCCCCCCCTCTAACACCAAAAAACGTAGCACAAATAAAAGAAATAGAAGAACAAAGAAGAAAGTGGTGGTGGGGGGGTAGTGGTAAAACATACCTCTTGGTGCGCTCCTTATACAGAACACGGCAGCCGCACTCCTTGCAGCGGATGGGGTCGTTGCGCTTGAGGGGGAACTTCGTGCCGCAGTCGCCGCAGATGTAGTGCATGCTCGCGCCGCCGCCCGAGGACGCGCTGGTGTCGACGACGTCGACGCCGCCTGGTCGCGCGCCGGCGCCGCCTTGCGAGGTCGGGATCTGGTAGCTTTCGGCGCGGGAGGAGGACATTGTTGCGGTGGTTTTTTTTGGTTTTGTTTTGTTTGTTTGTTTGGGGGTTGGGAGCTGGTGGGTGGTTTGATGGATGGGATGGTCGGTTTGGGTTGTTTGTTTATTTGTTGGTTGGTTTAAGTTGGGGATTAGATTTATAGTTCGGTGGGTGATAGTTACAGTAAATGGTAGTAGAGTTAAACGATGGGAATTGATTCATCGGAATGGCAGATCAAAGACAAAAAAAAAGGCGGTCAAAAGGTGACAGGCGGCAGAATTCAAAGTTACAGTGCCTATCACAGCTGCCGAGGTGTTCTAGAAGGAGCACGCCATGAAAGCTTCCACTAGGGAAGTACTACTAGTAGTAGCCCAACTATATTATTATGTATTTTATTTCCAGGTACAATACCGTCGACAGTTGTATCATTGATGTCTCGTGTTGGAACCCCATTTAATCTTTATTTTATCAATTATTGATTATTGATTATTGATGATTCACATTACTTTTATGTATCGTACATTACTTGCAATCAAGTCAATTGCATTTATTTACGCCTTACTTGCCAATGGCCTCGAGCATATAGATAGCAGCTGTCTGAGTACCCAACCTTATCTTCCTACCTCCTATCCTACTTGCCACATCTACGCTCACTCGCACACGAATACAACCATGGGCGACCCCAAATACATTCAACCCTTCGACTCAGGCGTCATCCCCTCCCCCGACAGTGCCTGCCCCTTTTGCAACATCGCTTCATCCTACGCCCCCTATCCCCCAGCTCACCCACCCCCATCTTCCTCTCCCGCCCTCGACCCCTCGAAAGTCGCGCCCTCAACTTTCATCGTCCTCTCCACGCCCTCCCTCGTCGCGTTCCTCGACATCCTCCCGCTCTCCCACGGCCACCTGCTGCTCTGCCCGCGCACCCACCGCCCGAAACTAACCGACGTATCGCCGCAAGAGGCCGCCGACCTGGGCATGTATCTTCGGCTCTTGTCTGCTGCGCTCGTCCGGGCTACGGGTGTGCCAGATTGGAATGTAGTCCAGAACAATGGCGCGGCGGCGGCGCAGGTCGTCAATCACGTCCACTACCACTTGATCCCGCGCCCTGAGATACGCGCCAGCGGGCGGTTCAGCGAGAGCTTTACCATGTTTGGGCGCGGCGTGCGCAGGGAACTGGACGACGACGAGGCGGCTGCACTAGCGGAGAAATTGAGGGAGAGTGTGTCCTCTGTGCTGGAAGATGAAGCTATGAAGGGCAAGTTATGATCTTTGCTTTAGTACATGCATGTCTATCTCTACGGATGATCGGATGATCAATTACTCAGCGAGAATAAGATGAACAAAATCATATGGTCATGATGGTTTTTACTCATTAAAGGTCTAATCTATCTAAATGCGAAGCATGGTGGTCTACATCTAGCCCGTATCTATTTACGTGGCACTACATTTACTCGTCATCGCCGAAGAAGACCTTGACAGGTAGCCAGTCATCTCCGCAGACCTTGAAGCGGTCCGGAAGGTTGTTGAGCTTGTTGATCTCGTCTTGCGTCAGCTCCCATCCGTCTACCGCGAAGTTGCTCTCGATTCGCGCAGGGGTGATGGATTTAGGAATGACGTCCCAGCCGTTCTGGATGCCCCATTGGAGCAGCACCTGCTGTGGCGTCTTGCCCTTGCTCTCGGCAATGGACAACAGGGTAGGGTCCTTGTAAAGGGGTGAGTTGGTGCTGCCCAGGCAGGAGTAGCCTGTGCAGTGGATTCCCTTCTCCTTGCAGTACGCGACTAGCTTCGGCGAGGGGTTGTTGGGGTGAAGCTCGATCTGGTTGACGGCTGGGGTTATCTAATGTGATAAACTGGTTAGCAACGGTGCCTTTTCAACAGTCCAAGGCAGATTTGGGATAGATACACGTACCTTGCAGGAGGGGTCGTTCAGCAACTTCTCGAGGTTTTGGATGCCGAAGTTGGAAACGCCAATGTTGCGAACCTTGCCGGTGCCGACAAGTTTTTGCATCTCGCGCCAGGTGTCGATGAAGTTCCAGTCGTCGTAGTGCTTCTTGAGGTCATCGGGCCGCGTGGAGCTGGGCCAATGCATCAGGTACAGGTCGACGTAGTCCATACCCAGGTTCTTGAGGGAAGCATCGAGACCCTCGGCGGCGCGCTTGTGCCAGGGGTTGTCGAGCTTGGTGGTGATCCACAGCTCCTCGCGGGGCACACCTGAGGCGCGAACGCCCTCGCCCACCTCGGACTCGTTGCCGTAGGCGAAAGCGGTGTCGATGTAGCGGTAGCCGACCGAGATGGCATGTTTGACTGCCTTGGCGGTCTCGTTCTTGGGTGACTGCCATGTGCCTAGGCCGATGGCGTGCATCTTGTCGCCCGAGGCGAGGGTGTAGGTTTTGCTGGTTGGAACTGGTCAGATCGTGGTGCTCTCGGGTCCAAAGAGAGCAAGGGACGGTACTTACCTTGTGTTCTTGATGTCTGCCATTTTGTCTGGTGTGTATAGGTACTTGGAATATGGGTTATAGGTTACGGGTTATGAAGACGAGTAAAGCAGCGAACAGAACTAGACAACTCTACGTGGGATATTTATACGATCAAGTTTGCCAAACTAGGCCGGTGCGGGGACGGATTGTGTATAGAGAAGTTATAATACTACTACGTATAGATTTGGCATAGGTAGTATTTGTTTCTAAGCACTTCCAACCAACTAACACACACACTATCCTAACTAACTGGGTAGTCTAAACATACTAGGAAGTTCAACGTGCAAATATCCCGTATTTTCCTTCTGGTACCTGGTAAGGCGAACGCGGGATATCTGGACATGACGCAGGACACATCCACTTCCATATCGTCATTTTTATGTACGTGAGGTCCATATTAACGTCCATATACTCCGTAAATGTCTCCCTCGTTGGATGATTCAACCCAATGCTCTGTTGCAATTGTTTGCATAGCTGTCGTTTCCCATCATCAATGGCATATATAAGTCCCCAATGGCTTGTCTAAGAACCCTTATGAAGATCTAACCTAGGCAGTTTTGCATAACTTCTGGCAGGGATCCTTTTCTTTTTCCCTACTTCCAACAATTTTCCGCCGCAAAATCATGTACGTATGTACATACAACAGCTCTAAGACTTGCCTAATTCGCTTTAAAGGCTTTGCGCTGATCTGCGAATCAGCTTGTCTCCGCAGTAATATGCGCGCCAATAAGACGAGTGGAATGGGGAAGTTGACAGTTGAAAGTTTTAACGTTGAAGGTGTTTGGTGCGGTACAACGGTTCATGTTGTAGCGAACGGGATTTAATGCTGATGTTATGTGTGAGGAAGTTGGAAAACTCTATGTTGGGGTTTGCTCGTATCTGTATTGAAAGGGGATTTGCTAAACTGTGATAACTTGAGTGATAGCTAGGTAGTTACTTGCCTGTAGTTAACTGTTACCTAACTTGATGTCATATGTGCCTGTAGATTTAACAGCAGTGGGTTCATCGTTGGCGCAATATGATTGGCATAAAACTCTGCTAGCTACATACATACCTACCTACTACATCTGCATGCTACCCAGGAAGGTGCTAGACACATGGATATATATACAAACTTTAGCGACGAACTTTCAACTGACCAACCAGCTTCGTTTGTGTCAACAAGTAGCATCAGTGGTTTAGTGGTAAAATCCATCGTTGCCATCGATGGGCCCCGCGTTCGATTCGCGGCTGATGCATTTCTTTTTCTACTTTTTTTCCCCCCTCCTTCTTTACTTCTCTGTAGAACATGTAATTCAATTGTTTTACTCCTGGTGAAGAAGACTGAAGTTTATGTCTCACATCTGAGCACTAAGCCATGTCTTAAGAGACCTACCTACTGTAGCAATAAGACTAGGTTAACCTAGGTATATTACAGGTGACTCGGGAGCTTGACAACGACATCGAACTAGCACACGTCCTATACATCGAGGGGTTCTCCTTTTTTTGCTGTTTCTACCGGGCTGATATTGAGCATAGCAAGAACATCAACTTCCCCAAAATTCATAGCATTGAATAAAACAAGGCAACGGAAAGTAACTTTAACAGAGATGTATTTCTACTGGCCGTAGCCTGATAGGTAGGTAAGAGGCAATGTATAGGTAAGCTACCCATGCCGGCGGCATGTATATTATACCGTACCGGCCTCAAAGCTGAGTGAGGCGAGTTCACTCCCCCCCTCCTCTCCGAGTAGTAACGCCTAAACCCAATGCACTCATTCACTACCCATACTTTCATTTAGGTAATGCTTCTTCTCACCATCCCTCTCCGCCCACGTTTTCATGTTTGTTACCTATCCGAAACTCCAGCGCACAAAACCCCGAGATGAGACAGCCCGCCCGCCATCCATCCATCCAGCCACCCAGCCAGCCATAAACGCCTGCTCGCAGTACCCACGAGAAAAAGGACCATTAATCAACCAACAGAAACCCAGAAGCATTTCTGTAGTGGCGCAAGAAAAACCACCTCGACAGGTAGCCTACCTAGGCAACCAAGCTACCTCAATTCTTGCGCTCCCTCTCATAGGCCGCCACCGCCGCCTCCAGCTCCGCGAGGCTCGTGCGGTCGCCATACGCGTCCTCGACGGCCTCGTTCGCCGCTCGGCTGTTCCCATTGCTAGTAGTACTGGCCACCGTCACGACCGCCATCGCCGGTGCCCCGACCATGTCTGCGCTGCGGAAGGTCTGGTGCTGGGCTGCTTGCTGCTGTTTCTGCCACTGCTCGGACTGCAGGGCCTTGTACCGCGCGAGGCCGTAGCCGATGCCTACTGCTGCTATGGTTGCTGTGGCACTGTGGGGGGTTGGTTAGTTTTGTGGGTGGTGGTGGTGGTGGATACTTTTGAGGGTGACGATGAGGTTTGGTACCTAGTGGTAGGAGGGGTGAATAAACTTACATTCCTCTCTCGATGCGGCCTGATTTGTGGAGAGCGGGGAGGTAGCTTGGGTGGACGGGCGACGTGGCCGTGAAGGGCCGTGGTGCATTGAGGTTCATCGGCATTTTGGCTCTTTGGTGGGTTTTGATGTGTATTGTATGAGTAAGAGGGCGCCGAAGGATGAGTGAGGTGAGTAGTTGATAGCTTCGGCAGAGAACTGGTACTATATACTACTAGGTAGGTAGGTATATATATGTAGGTAGGATGTTTCAAGTTGGTTTCTTATATACACTAGGTAGGTAGGTAGGTATATCTCGACGAGGAAGATTCGATGTTATTATTCTGACGAGCAGACCGAAGGAGCAGCCAGGTTACTACACAAGTCGAAGTAATTCGGTAGTTACTAACTTAACCTTGAACAGGTAGTAGTTTCGATATTTTATTCAATGTTTATACAAGTAAGTCGTAGGATGGTCAATATCAAAAGAACAAAGGAAAGCTAACCCGTGTCCCTTGGCAGGCACCGCCAGCTTATATACATTTCCTAGGTTAGGTATAATATAGGGGAACATCAAGAGTTGGAGTACACAACATTCAACTCCCCTCCAAAAACAAAAAAATCATAGCCAAGATACACGCGCTACATCTGATTACGACTGCTATGTATGCCATCATATGGTGAGTGGGACGGGGGTGAGCCGAGATGGAACGATACGACGAGGCGATGCGACGACACATTTGCGAGAAAAGGGTTTAGTCCCAGTCTGCTAAGGTGCTTGCTAAGTTAATTAGCTGCCCACCATATGATCCGCCTACCTACCGCTCCAGGGCTGCTATGGGGGTTTTAGCTGGCAGGATGGAAGCGGGGATGGACAGATCAACCGAGCCTGCATATGCAATGTCGTGTGATCGTGGGGTCACTGCTTACCTACAGTGCTCTTAGCCCTGGGGTAAATACCAGACATTCATTAACTTCCCTACACACACACACACACACACACACACGGTAAAGAAACACTACAACTAAATATGTGTATACATGTAAGTCAAGGGGGCTACCTACCGCCCTACCGGGACAACCCGAGGTATAAAATCTGTCTTACTCCCGAGTTCTAAAAGCAATAAATCCCGGTAGTTAGTTCATGTGATACTGATACTTCGTACTCTTAGTCGAAACAAACCGAAACAACAAAAGATGCTCTTATATAGGTCTTATCAAGTACACACACACACACACACACACAGATTCTAATTATCTAGATCAACTTGCCGGCAAACACAACGCAAGGCTTGTTTTAGGATGAGATAGGTGCATGGACTAAACCTCCCACACCCGCATTCATGCCTGACTTACTATAACTAATAGCCGGCACCATATCTCATTCATTCATTCTCTACTTACCTACCTATAGGTAGCAACCATAACAGAAATCATGGATGATAAATAGCTCCAAGTAAGCCAGCAAGCCACCTGCAAGGTGATAGGCAATCATAGCTCATCTAGGTGCTTGTTTGTCCACCCTACCCTTTCATGCAAATAAATGCCGAAGGGATGGCTGGACTGAGCGAATATAATGCCCTTGTGTAGGACCTAGGTAGGTAGGTATCATACCTACAGACACTTGGATGCCTCTGCTTCGTCAGCCAAGCACCAAGTATGTCAGCTCAAGATGGACACAACTTTCTTCCCGATCCGGTCAATCCAAGCGCGTTAAATACCTACCTCCTTACCTATTACATGCCAATATACCTCACTACGACTTCGCAATCTATCAGCGAAACCTGGGGAGATGATCGCTGCGGGCTTGAGACATAAAGTACATCCCCTACCTACCTACCTACCTACCTAAAGTCCCTGGGTAGATGCTAGCCCAGCTGCATAGCGAACTTCAAGCAACCGCCATCTTGAGCCCTTAGCCACTATTCACGTTCCACGCTCCAACGTTCTAGGCTATGCCACGCCAAGCCGAATGCCGTTTTATCTCTCTATGGTGGTCGCTGGGCTTGGCTGTCGTGTAAGCATACAGAGGTATGTCTTACGCCGTGCGATTGTTAGATTCACATGTGATACCTATCAACATTCACCATCTCCATTAACATAGCAAAGTCCTTCAAAGACGAATGGGATTCTATTCCACTCATTTCTATTAACATAATTACCATGAGTTAATTGTAGCTTGGCATAGTCAAATAACAAGTTCCTTTCGTCGTAAATAGTCGCATTGCTTAATCATACCTACATACCAAAGGTACTCCAGCACCATTTTTGGGATCCATGCTACCTCGACTCAAAAATCTTCGCCTGGTATACCTAGTATCCTCATCCTCATCCTCATCCTCGTCAGAATCGCACCTCTTCTACCACCTCTTAAACCACCCTTGGTCTCCTGTAAGCCCACACACCCTTCCGGCCAACTTATAAAAGAGATACGTCACCCCTGCTAGGGATGTAGATACCGCGGCCATCTCTGGATCGATCATTATCTAATTATAGATCACCTCTTCTCCCCAGATTAAGCTGCCGCAGTACCAATCTTGTTCAACCCTTTGAGAGAACCTAGGCTGAGAGCCAAACCTTGCGACCTGCTTCTTATGCGGACGAAGCCTGTGATCGGCCCATCTTCTCCTTCCTTCTCGATGCTCAGGTTGGCTAGAGCATCCTCGCCTACGAATCGTTAGTATGTGTAAAAAGGCAAGAAGCAAGAAGCAAGAAGCAAAATGGCTGAGATGGAAAACTTACCAAAGACACTTCTGGCGTACAAGTTGGCGCTTAAGAATTGGCAGTCACCCTTCATACTAGCTTCTGGCGTGAGGCAGTTCATATTTGTGCAGGCCATCAGCTGCTCCAGGAACTCGCGAAGGCTCTTGGCCTTGCTGTTGATGTTGACCTTGTTCTCCCACTCGAATTCCGTCCACATGGTGCGGAATTGCGTTTCCGTGCAAGTGGCCGGCTGGATGTAGTCCATAATGTCCACATGAAGGTCATTTAGAATCACAACATTGGTGTCAGTACTGTGGGCGCCGTCGTACACAACATTGCCAAAGATCACACCCGTATCCGTAGACGAAACCTTGATCGTGCATTGCACATTGTGGAAATCGTGGGGGCCAAGGTTCTGCGTAGTAGGTCGCTCAACCACCTTGAGGTCACCCAGGGTAGCAAATTCAACCGACAGGTTTTGCAGCGTCTCGGTCGTCTGGTTGACCAAGAGAACGTCTAGGACGATGTCGAATTGGTGAACCTTGACATAGGCTTCGGCGTATACAGGGTCGGAAAATCCGGTCAGCTGGACAACACGGCTCAGCTTCGACGAAAGATCCTCTGCGACAGATTCCCCACCAGTGGCCTTCTCTAGATCCAGCTCAATCTCGTCGGTCCCGTCTCCCACGTTCTTCTTGGAAAGCTGTCGAATTTGCACCACGTCGTCAACTTGGATAGCGGTCTTGGCCTTCTCAAACGCAACCTTGGCTTCTCGCTTCTTCTCTTCCACTTGCACCATAGCCCGGAACGCTTTTCTCGTATCATCAAGATACACTGTTTCTAACTCCTTCCGATCCGAGAATTCAGCGAGAGATCGGATGCAGGACATTATTCTATCGACCGAATCCTCGTCGATGGGAGCCTTGACAAATTGCGACTGGCCAACACGGATGATGGAAATCATAATCAACATAGCCTCGGCTTTGAGCGCGTTCGTTCGTGCCTTATCTTGAGAGATCTCAGAATGGCGCATAACCAACTTAGTCAGAGTGGCAGAAAGCACGGTAGCCAAGTAGTAGTCGCCCTCGAGGATAAGCTGTCGCAACGGCGGCTTCTGGGCAGCCTTGACGGCCTCGAGTTTCGCAGCAGCTGCCGAGCTGCTAGTCAATGCGGTTTCAGTAGCGTACGTGCCATCGGCAAGAACTCTTCTGGATCCTGACGGTGCTGTCGATTTAGAGTGACCATTAGTCTGCTCTTTTTCTTTGTCGTCGCCGTCCACATGGTCCAATAACCGTTGTTCGGAGGCAAGGATCGGGATCTCTCCCAAGCTAGCGCGTATCCTCTTCCAAGCATCACGGATGTCGCTCTCCTCGAGGGAATACTCTCCAATAATCCAGATAATTCCGCGATACACCTTGCCTGCTCTAACCTCACTGAGAGTCTCTACTAGTCGCGCAACAATAGATGGCCTAAGCTTAGGGAACTTCTCGACGACCTCCTTGACAAACGTGATGACGTCGACTGCGGAATTATTACTGAAGTCGGCAATAAAGTCCATAAGGAGATCCACTACACTTGCAGCAACTTCCGAGAACTTGATAGCACATTGGTGAATGGAGTGGATGAGGAGTTGGCGATACTCGGCGTTCTTCTCGTATTCTTGGTCGACCGTCTTGGAAAGCTCTTTCTTAAGGAGGAGGATGACCTCTTCGACATTCTTGCTAGATACCATCTCCAAGGCGATACTGAGGGCCTTTCGCCGGACATCGATGTCAGGGCTGGTTAATGCCCTTAGAATCTCCATTACCAAATCGTCAAGTATACCCTCATTCTTTTGTCGCAACTGGTCAACTCGGTCAAGAACAATAAGTTTTACGTTGTTATCGGCTTCCTTAATACTAAGCTCAATGAATTTGGCCGCCGCCGCTTTTACTGCGACTGGGTTGCTAGTGAGGGCGGTTAGTGACGAAGCAGCTTCGTAGACGACAGTAGAGGCCCCAGCCTCGAGCAGGTCAAAAATAAGTCTCAGATATCGGGCCTGGTCATTTGTTAGCTGCCGATACATCAAAATAGCTACAGCCACAGCTAGTTTACCTTGTGCTGGGTATTCTGGACGGCATCCTTTCGGATAAACTCGAGTTCGACCAGCTGTAATAATTCCTCGGCGTTCGGGATGCCCTCAAAGACGGAGCTTAGGTAGACAAGGGCCTTTTCATGATCAATGCTAGCGAGAGCAGCAAATGCGTTGCGCTTGCAAGTGGCGTCGCTCTCTCCTTCCAAGAAAGTGGCGATTAGGTCGGCGGCATCCGGGATGAGAGACTGTGAATGTTGGAAGATGGAGGCAATGGCAAATACAGCATTCTTTCGAACGTATGCGTGACGATGCTCAAGGCAGGCCCGGGCCGAGGATAGTAAGGGTTCGATCAGCTCGGCTTCTCGTAGCTTGCATAGGAAGCGCAATGTATTTCCCCGAATATACTCGTTAGGGTGTTGAAGGTCGTTTCGAATACCATTACTAGAACCAAAGCTATTAGTGAGCCAGTCCCTAACATATGGGATCAAGCTGGTGTTGTACTCACCAGACAAGGATCATCTCCTGCTTCAGCTTGCCAGTCGCATCGAGTTTGGGGCAGATCTCGTAGTAGAAATATAGCAGCTTCTTTAGTGGTTTATATCTCGAAGGCATGACGAATCGGATGATGTGCATGAGAAGCTGCGGCATGGGATCGCCGTTTAACATGACGGTTAGAATGCGCTTCATGGTTTCGACCTTGGTTTCGTCTGTGCCCTTCTCCAGCTGCATGCGCAGATCCGACATAGAAGGCACATCAGCAGTATTGTCCTGGTGGACTAAGCTGTATGCATTTTCAAGGAAGGTCGCCATGCTGGGCAATTGTTGCGGCTCCCTACCGCGTTGGGAAATTTAAGTCTATTCGTTCGTATAGCAGAGGATAGGTGAAGACACAAAAAAGCTCACGGAGCTTTTAAAACAGTTGTCGGTTACTAGACGTAGGTTCACAAGTTCGCGGGATATTTATCGTATTTGTCGAAGCAAAGAGTAGGATTGAATAAATGGGTTTAAAGGGGAATGCCGTATTAGCGCTAGAGAGGTGGTTTAAAGAGAGCAATTTGATTATGCATCCCACGAAAAGGTGAAGTGGGTTTGCGTGGGTTGTGTAGGTGGAATGACGGCGGTGTCTGTGGTGGTGAGGTTGAAACCTTGAATAATTCAAAGGTGTTCAATGCTCAAAAAAGTTGAAAGTTTGGTGATAATGAATCGTCCAGCTGGCCCAATATCATACCTGGTACTAACGGGTCGGCCACAAGAATGTTCAAATGCCACAATCTGTCCCTCCTGAATGCATAAACAAATATGATTGGCTGAACTAAGTTCGTTACATTAAATAATCCGTTTCCGAAGATTCCCCGATGGATTGACTTTTCTACTAACCTAGTAACTAACTACCTAGTAACTAGTAACTAAACTATTGTTGAAACATTGAAGCTGACAGCATTGCATGTGAGTGTCAACTATATGCAAGTACCCAGTACACCATCTACGCAGTACTACCTAGTAGGTACCTAACCTAGTACAATCAATTGATCTGACCGCCTAGTACATACCCCTGTTCCCCATGTCCATTAAAGTGCTATGCCCCGCTAAACTTTTCGAGCTACCCAGTGCCTTGTCGCAATTGTTGCGAGGCTGAATGATTTAATCATTTAATCAACTGAAGACAAGACAACATTGAAGCCAAAATAAGACGAAACCTACTACATAATACATACACCTTCAACGGTGTAGGTTTTACTTCCAAACAGTACTCGGTCGTCTTTTAATCTTTGATAGCAAACCCGTTTATCGCAAGCATGGGTTCGACCGCCGAACCTTTTTATATACGTTACTAGTACGTACAACCACCAAACAGTATCTATACTTATGTAAGTATATCACGGAGCTTTTGGCAGCTAACTCATTGATCTCTACAGCTCAGGTCATTCCGGCCGATTTGGTCATGAATTCCTCGGTACGTTCTTTCATAGCCCACCCACACATATCTTATAGAAACATATATAAGCTCCATATCAAGTAGGATGATGTCTAACAGCAGTACGCAGAATTCGACATCCGAGTCGTAGGAGACGGCCGCAGTGCCGTGGCCCGCTACGCCAACAACTCGAACTACCGAAACGACAGTCTCATCCGCAAAGAAAGTACGCCGCATCACATCTCCCATCCACCATTCATCACCACAAGACCTACCTGGGCAAGAAGAACAAATAGCAAGCAGGGCTAATTATGTGTTGTGGTACAGTGTGCGTCAGTTCGTTGGTAGTAGACGAGATCAAGCGGATCGTCAAGACGAGCGAGATCATGAAGGAAGACGATGCCAAATGGCCGCAGAAGAACAAGGACGGTCGTCAGGAGCTGGAGATCCGTGTGGGTAATGATCACATATCATTCGAGGCAAGTCTCTTCACTTTTCCCCTTTGCCTACGTCTTACACATGCTACGTCTATAAAAAGCCAACAAATCCTAACCTTCGTTCGAATCTATAGACAGCAAAGATCGGTTCTTTAATCGATGTTACGGAGTCGGCAGATCCCGAGGGACTCCGAGTGTTCTACTACCTAGTGCAAGATCTGAAGGCGCTCGTCTTCAGTTTGACTTCGCTTCATTTCAAGATAAAGCCCATCTCGTGACGGTGATGGTAATGAGATAAGCAAAGCAAAATATACAAGAGAGAGAGATGAGAGGACAGGGAGATGGTGGCTCGATGGTGGAAGCCGTATAATTCGTCATTATGTACACGGAGTACTAGCTGTATCTCCTACTCGCCAGAAATATACCCCCAACCCCCCCTGTTTGCTCGCTAGCCGCAATGTCCGTGAAATGCTATAATAACGTCTAGGTCATGAACATAACCTTGTGTCTCTCTGGTTGGAGCCAATAAAAAGAAACACCAAGACCAGAAGACCAAAACCCCGGCTGTCCCTCTTTCTGTATAGTGGCCCCAACACCGCTTAAGTTCGTCGCGTCCGTTGCTCTTTATGTCTTTGCGATACCAAAACTGACACGCCAGTTTATCGATACGATTCATTGCCTACTTCAATGTTCCATCGTCCTGCCCCTAAAATTACTCTTGATCGAGTGAGTGATCCCGTAAACGTTGCCATCTTGAACGTCCCACCTGTGCCGACTAATCATCTCACTGGATTGATCTATCCATCCAAAGTACCTAGGAAGTTGTGTGCTTTACGCTGTATACAGCTAAGATTCATGTCTTACCGAAACTCGAGAGCAGGGAAACAGCCCCTATTCTCGACATGCTTAAGTTCGAGTTGTTGAAACCTATATGATATTAGCAAATAAGCACCCCATCACTAAAGTTATGTTGGGCGTAATGAATCTGGAGCGTAAGGTATCCATAGTACAACAAGGGCTCGTGTTGAGAACTCAAGGATAACACTGAAATCCAATTGTAATAATATAAAGGCGCATGAAATGGGAGATAACTCACTTCTCGCTCTTGGAGTGGAAATATATTCCACTAACGCTACCTTCCTTCTGATTGAAGCAAATGTAATAAAAGCCTTCAAAAGAGGCACCATTGATGGTACGAACACGATGGTCGGGTACGAGAAAGTGTTCCTTCCAGCGCATAAAGATGTTCTCGCGTTGCGCCAAGTTCGGGATCGTCACGACACCCTTGCGCACTTGCTTGCTGTACTGTCGGAAAGCGGTAAACTTGCTCCAATGATTTAGGTCGATTTTCTCTGTTGCGCCCCAGGTTGCATGCTTGGTCATGAACCCATACTTGCTACCAATAATCTCGCCCTCGAAGTAGGTTGTAAGGGTGGGGTTGTCTTCAGTTAGGCCTGCAGGGGGGGGAGAGGTTCGTTAAGTTAGCGGAGCCTGCATAGTTTACAAAAGATAGGAGTAGGAAATCAGGTGGCAAACTGACCTTGAATCTTGAGAAACCCGCATAGAAACGACTCTCTTAGGTCAACATATTTAATTTCCACTTGTACATCATACACCTGTCGTTCAGACTGTTGTGTGCCGTGGAATTTACTGCCCGGTCGTAGGAAGGATGAGGGAGACGTAGGTATTATCTTAAGCCAAGGTTAGCAACGACTTTGTTGGAACGTGGTATGACAGAACAGAAGGGATTCTTTGCGAAACGTACCCGAACATTAGATTCAAATCCCATTGACGGCGCATAGGTATATTCCTGCAACCTACCAGGTGCTACGCCATATTCCAGCTTCTCGCCATCTGCGCCGAGGGAAGCGACATCATAACCGCCACGTGGTCGCGTTCCTGCTAGTCCGTCGACGTCGCTTCTGACCAGGGTGTCGTCATCAGCATCCATCGGCTTGTATGCAGTTTGAGAAAGACCGTCGCTTTGATCAGAAGAGAGAGCAGGTTCATTGCTGTTTCTCGATTCGGGCCTAGGTGACTCAGTGGTTGATCGCGAATGTGTTGCGCCTTGGGCCATGGCAGGTGAGAGTGCGCTATCAGGTTCGGGGGATGAGGATGACTCTTGACTGTCAACATTCATTTCTAGTCCATCTTGGTCGGGTCGCCAACTACTACTGGTGGATCGAAGTAATACTTCATCTGGGTCGGGGCACGAGGAGCTATGTGTTCGGGGAGGGAGGTCGGGAGGCGGATTTCGAGAGGGGGTAGGCATGACTACCTAAGGCACTATAGCTCTATAGGTAGGTTGGTAGGTAGGTAGGTAGGATGGATGGACGTATGGACGTATGGACGTATGGACGTATATCGATAGGAAAAGAGTTCAATGTTGTTTATGGTCCCCTAACTTGTAAGTAGTATGTATATCAGGGCTCTTTGTCTCTCGACAAATTTGACAGAATTGTTCAGTATCTGTATCTGTCTTCCGAACTTTCATTCGATGGGCTGCATGTGCCTGTCTGAATAAACAATAAAGCGGTATGTAATTGTTGTCGCCTCGTGGAAATATACAAGTAGATTAATGCAAAAGACAAGAAGAGAACATTGGGGAAAATAAAAAAAGAGAAAGCTAAACGGGAAAAAGAAAAGAAAGCGATTTGTCTCGTGATAATCAATGTGGAAGAACAGAAAGCTTTAATCGCCAGAGCGTTCGGGCAATATAGTACCTAGTGGTAAATAAGTACACGACTTTTTAATTATCGTAGGGATTAAAGAATGCCGACTTTCACAAGTTTCAATGTTGGGTGGGCTTGACCTGTTGCAGGATTGTAGTGTGTAGTGTGAGTTCTGTAAGTCTGGGCGAGGGGTGTTGAGTTTCTGGGGGTGGAGAGTGGAGAGGCGGTCCCAAGAGTTGTCTTAACTGGTTATGGCTTGGAACAGGGATATAAAAGGGGGGGGAGTTTTTATAGCCGTCAGTCTAAGAATAACATTTCAAGTACCTAATGTACTATGCCGTATGTACTATTTATTATAGGTACTTTAGTAGGCATGGATATACATACTTTAGATGCTGAATACACCACGTTATTAATATGCCTTAAAGTTATTTACTATTTAATGTCCGTGGTATTGGTAGGAAAACACTTATCTATATCAAGTAGTAATAGAATAAAGATCTTGTTGATATCTTTGAAGATGATCCTTTAGACACGTTAAATTTGATGTACCTGTGTGCATATGCAGATACCTACTACGTGCAAAAGCCAAGGCCTTTTATTCAATCACATGAGTTAGTTGAATCCTTGACCGCTAGAAACGGAAGAAGTATAGGGGAATCTCTTCAATGCTGACGAGTTCAGACTCTTTGGGGGTTCGATGATATCACACAAGGGACCCGAGGAATAATAAGAATGCATAACACCATTCTCTACCCTTCCGTTCATCTCACATACTTTCGAGAATATCTACATATATAGCAGAATTACTTTTGATAGGAATGTTTTTGAGGTTCCCAAATTCCACACCCTCATGCTATGTACTTATTCAAGTATTTGACGGAGGCGTTTTTTGGTGACTGAGACAATGTGCCATGTGTTGTACATACATAATGTATATTGACGCCGCTAGTGGGACATATGTATGTACATCTGGAAAGCTGCATACGGTGTAACAAGAGAAAATTTGAAGTGATCAACATACGCGACAACATTGACGATGAATATTAACTGAATAATCTTTCTGTAAATCTGTAAGCGTTGACTAAAAGTATATATACCTAGACAAAACAGCAGTGAAGCGACAATGAGGATTGATACCTAGTATAACACTATCTACATGTACATGTAGGTGTCTACATATGTACCTCGGTAACCGTTGCTAGGATGAGATCAATTGATAATATTCAAGCAGTAATAGAGTTCATTCGGGGCAAACTCAAATGTTCAAGGTTGGATTCAGATGGACGTGACGGCCCGCTGACGTTAACTTTGGAAATGGAGCAATTGCACGAACCCTAGATACATCCTAGTGCATGCCTACATGGTCCACGGCATTAAGGACCAGAGAGTGGGCAACACATAAACTCTATTATGAGCACTTGAGTAGTCGTCAGGCCAGAGGCAATGTGAACTTTTTAACCACATGCAACTAATTTTGCTGATTAGATTGAAGCACTCGACAGCAGTTGTGACATCGGAATGTGTAGAAAGCCATGATATCTCTTGCACCTCATCCAGAAATGAAGATATCTTACGAAATATGACTTTGTATCTTATTATTAGTTCACAACGTCTGGGTTCGCTTTTTCTGATTTGAATCCCTTAAAGTAAGCACGGCGGAACGCGTTCAGGTCGTCTGCGGTATGGCCATTCTGTTGTTCCTCCTGCTTCCTCTGCGAAAGGGCAGACATATCTACTTCGGCCTCTGGTAGGCGACGGTAGGTGATGAGCCTTCTTGACCCTAACATACTATAAGCTCAGTCTATAACGGAAAATATATGTAATAAACTTACATTTGTTAAATACTTGAGTGCAGACAACCACGAGTTCCAGGCATGGATGTGCTGGTATGGGGATTTCTTGCTCTTCGTCATTGGCCGTGGGCATCCAGAATGATAGACGGCCATTATCCACCAATGTATCGGCAGCAAAGTTAAGTATGTCATCTAACATGGCCATAAAACTATATGGTTTCTTGGGAGGTACGAAGCGCGGATTCCTGTTCGAGTTAGCAATCCCTATTCAGGGGTTCGTCACGGATATCTTACCGGTACAGCTGCTTCCCCTTTTCTACGAGCCAGGCATCCTTCTGCTCCGGATCTTTACAGCCCAGAACTCTCAATCCTTCCCTTACCCCGTATGGTGGATCACAGACGATGCCGTCAAATGTTCTTGCTCTCCGCACAGGACTGTTCGTCAAATCGCAAACGAAAACATCACCTAGCAATTTCTCCAATCCATACTGTTGGAAGTTGCCCTTCAGACTTTTCTTTCCGCCTTCACCCCGGACACTGCGGCCGTCAATATCACTTCCGAAGCCAAGAGCTCCAAAATGTGCACAGGCAATCGGGAAGCTGCCGGTTCCCACGAAAGGGTCGTAGAAAATCTTTCCTGGCGCAGCAAGCGCAATATTCGCTGTAACCAAAGCCAACTCAGAATCCATAGAGGTCGTGCTAATGTATCCTCTCTTCTTGAGATCATAGGTCTTGATCACTTCCCTTACGCTACGACCTACAAGACGGCCAAAATAGATCCGTAAGGGGTCAGGGAGGTTCCGCGGCACGGCATCAAAGTCCCATTGCTCGAAGATGGTGAATTCTTGATCGGGGGACTTTAGCAGAATTAAGCCTTCGAAGGCTAAGTAGGCGAATGAATTTATGAGCTCTATTTTCCGCTTATCCGGTCGAGAGCCCTGATAGGTGTCTATATTGATCTTAAATGAGACATCTTTGTATTGTGGCCACAGATGAGCAGTATCACGCTTGATGATGGCGTGAAGCTCATCGTAGTTTTCGGCTGTACCCCAGTGCTCATGGATAGTTTGCGCCAATACAGAGCGCTTTAAAAGAGCCTTCGCAGCATCTTCGGACGGCAATCTTACTACGCAGAAAGGTGACTATGTAAGGGTAAGCACAAAGAGTCATGAGTGGTATTGATGGTGTACAGGATTTACCTCTTCACTATAAGAAATGACGTTGAGGTCTATACCTTCGACGATAGCGAGCGACTGAATCTCCGCTAAGCGGAAGGTCTCATGCGACTGTGAAAAACGAATGAGATACTCCATCATGGGCTATGTCCCTTGCGCCGTGTTGTGTCTATCCAGAGCAAAACAAATTAGATGCTTGTGCTATATCTCTATCTATAAGCCGCTCCATCTGAGATTGATAGTATAATATGGTTGCTATCACCAAAGTCGTTGGCATTGTAGAAAAGAAGAGAAAGTTAGGGTGAGAATAAAATGGTGATGTCTGCGATGGCGCTATGACCGATGTATGCATAAGATCTTTTATTGAAATTTAAAAAATCAAATTACGCCTTTTAGTGAGATTAGTCGTATATCGGAGCAGTACTATGCTAGTTTGTAAAATAAAATCACAGTAGGCTTGTATACCTAGTAGGTACATATTATGTACATCAAATTCAAATTACAGAGTATCGTGACTATCGTCTTCCATATTCATGTCCTTTATTGTATTCAAACCTGGTCTTCGGCGCCAACTACTCTTTTTGCACATATAAAAGGGTCTTCATAGCGAATATGTTTTCGTTCGCCACCCCAAGCGTCTATCAATCTGCCAAATGCTTCGTCACGTACGGCGTAATGGGTCACCCCAATCCTCAACACTTGCCGAGTAAAGGGAAGCCATGGACTGCATTGTTGGCCCAGGACTTCGTTCATGATGTTCGTGTTCCCTCATTTCCGTACAGATATTGTATAACAGTGTCTAATCTTTCGATAGGTGGAACTCATACTTCCTCAAGAGGTCATGCAGCTCGTCAAGGATAGGATCACCGGTGACCCAGGTCGGGCGCCTGAGTTTTATAGGGTTATCATGACACTCGGAAATATCCTCGATGCTGATTTCTTCACCCAGTACATAAAAATAGGTAAATATTTTCTATGTCTCCTACGACCAAAATAGCATTGCTTGCGCTGACAATGGATGATGGAAGGAAATATTATCATGCTTTCAGAGGGAAGATCGGATTCTGATAATGTGGTTTCACTAAAAGAAGGCAAGTGGCCCCTTGTGATTTATTTCAACGTAACCTACATAAAGAAAAACCATGTGATTGACAGTGGTTTTGTCATTTTAGGTGTGCTCACGATGTATCTTGAAAAGGAGACATACGAACGAGCCGGGCTAGTTGGGAAGACACATGGAGTAAAAGGTAAACGAGGCCTAAAGCCGAGATGGAGTAAGTTCAGTCCCATCAAAGTATCTTCTCGCTAGTACTTACTATGCTTGCAGTTGTACAAGTCGATCTTAGGAGCCCTTCTATGCTTCATGGCAAGAAGGGCTTCGATAGGCTGGCGTATGCATGCAAAAACGTGTTCAACACACCAGTCACATGGCTTTTCCACAGACTCACAAAGAGTAAGTAATATATACCTAATCAAGGACATCGTATCTGACATCTATAACGCATAGCCCCTACCCCAGATCCTCTCTTACGGCACTATCCTACCAAATACACCTCACGTCCTGAAATTTCCGAGGATCTCTTCATGAATATTCCACTGTTAAAGCCTTCACCTGCCATCCTTGAACCTCAGAATCGCTTAGATCTCGATGATTTTGCGCTAGATATCTATGAATGGCTCTCTCTAGTCCGGCTCAATAGTCCGCGACTAAGAGTAGGTGACAAGATCGACCCTTATTTGTCTGATTACTCAGTTCCTGGTCAAGCTGAAGAAATCCAAGAGGGCAAGCTATGTCGAATCAGTTGGCAAGGCTTCATCTCGCCCAAGTGGACTCAAAAGCTACTGGCGGATGTAATACTCGCACTGCCATCTAAGTCGTGGTTTTCGCTGAGCGTAACATCGTTCGCAAAAGGTATCGTTGGGGATACCGCTGACTGTACCATTCTCCGGCCGCCAGACTCGCCCAAGGAGTATTTCCTCTGGGATATTAAGAGTCATGACTACAAAGCATTATCGCGATGATTTGTTCGGCTGCCGGAATTAGTCTGATGACTCTCGCCTTTGCCGAACGTTACGACTGATGGGATCTTCTGCCAGCATCATCTCTTCAATTACTTGTCTGAGTGCGTGCTGGCCGGTTGGATCTCGGTAGTCCGGACGTGCAATTATTTCTTCTATCCTCCGTCGAAATATAGGGTCGATTTCAACATCATCCTCTTCGGATGCTGGTGCCCAGCCGCTGAGGTATAAGTTGAGCTCGTCGTGCGGTAACTCTCCGTTGGTGCCATTCGACAGAGCTGGGGCGCTATTTCCATCTTCTTTACTTTCTAGGTATTCAGCAACTTCGGGAAAATCCCCCTCTTCGTCTATTTTCTCGCGCGCGGTAAAGCCCTCTGAACCTCGGATTGTTATATCAGCGCCCAACTCTTCGACCAGCAATCTAGCCGCATCCACAGTTTCGACCACGAAGAGAGCCGTTTCTTCGTCTTCGTCGCGTAGGTTGACATCGACGTTGAACTCGAGGACCAAAGCTCGCAGAAGCTCTAGATGGTTATAGCTTGCTGCTGCATGCAGTAGAGAGTAGCCGTGAGAATCCTGTCCCGCAGCTAATTCTGAATTTTGGCGGAGGAGAGGTAGCAGTTCTGGGCTGTTATCCGCGGCCAACAGGAACGGGTTGGCGGACATTGTGTAGGTAGGCAGGAAGGTATGTAGGTACCTGGGAAGCTAGGTACGTAGTAGATAGCTTGGAACTTGATTTAATAATTGAGAGTCGCAATATTTCTCAGATGGTCAATTCTTCGTAGAAAAAAGTTTGCAAAATTCTGAACTATCGCGATTGCTGTCGTCCTAAAGAAGATGTGGGAGAATCAGTGCATATCGGTGTAGATACCTCTTAAGTATAAATGCGACAACTTGAGCTCCTCGGAAGAGCCCCGCCGTTTTTTTTTTTACTGCTAGGCTCACTAAATTGTGCCCCTCATTAGTAATTCAATTTCTACTAGAGTTGAGGACTGTAATTAATTACATGCCTGTACCATGTAGTAAATCACAATACTAAGGTTAGGTAGGTATTGTGCACTGCGAATGACATCATTTCACACTTTCTCGTACACGAACTCGTTTGTATCAATAAATGATTATACAGTATGTACCTAGGGTGAGATATATGTTCTTGTCTTCCTAAACGTATACAAATTGCATACGAGCCTTGAGCTTCGTTTCAAACACAGGGTTTTAGAATAAACAGTTTTACATCTCAAGTTTCCTCTCATCGTATACCATTGGGAAATATTGGTTTGTATGCGCCAAAGGGTGTCACATGACTCCATCGTACTCGAAAAAATAATTGTGGCTCTGCAAGTTTTCATTTTCAATGTTGGACGCCTGGGCTGTGTCATATTATACCGAAAAAACCCTTCTGAAGGTGGGGCAAACCGCTAATTTTTGAAACTTATATGCCATGTGCCTAGCTACTGCCGGCTACCTACAAATGTAATGTAGTACAAAAAAAAACGTTAACATCAAATCTATTGGATTGATACATACCTAAGTTTATGTATTTGCCTTATTAACTCAACTGTCAACTATTCACACATAGTACTCGCGAACCGTTAAGGCAAGTACGTGTAAATTCATACTTTTCTCCGCGTCTGGCAGTTTCGAACGTCTAACAAGGGTAACATTATTACATTGCAGCACAAGTACCTTACCTCCAGGGCCACCTACCACTGCTACCAGCCAACCAACATTGAACATTGAACATTGAACCTACATATATGTAGTATCTTCTAACTACCTATCTCATTTCTCGGCCAGTGAAACCACTTCTTTCACCTTAACCAATTCTTTGAGGCACCCGGTGACTCATGCCGACCGTTAAACGATCCTCTTACCTGAGGTTGGGCCAAATTCGTACCCGCCTCAGTTCTTCCACCGTCTATAATAATCTTTCACTGCGCAAGTCGTAGGTTATATGAAACTACACAATTTACCAACTTCCTTCCCCCCTTCACTTTCTCTCCATACTTTCTCGCCACACATTCACACTTTCACCCTATTCACCTCTGCCTAGCAGTAAGGAGCTTTTATAGTTCTTTGCCTAGATCTATCGGTGCTTTGTGTTGCACATCAGGAATCAACTAGAAGTCAATGAGAAGTGAGGCTAACTGACCAAATACCTTGCAGAGGTATTCGTATACCATTTATTGGTGGCTTTCACCAACTTTCCGCCAGTTTCACGCGTCACTCGTCAACCTCACTGCCATATCTTAGTTGTCCTAGGCTACAGACACTTCTTGCTACTGCCCCGCCCAGGGTTCAGCTAGGCAAGGTTCGACAAACAAAATTATCATCTTTCATTCAACAAGGCCATCATCGCCAGTTGACCATGGAGGCTTCTGGAGAGACTTCGGCAGCACCGTACCCATATCAGGACCAAGATCCAGAGGATATCTCTAAACTAATCACCAGATTGAACCGAGGGTCCAGGAACAAGGCCCTAGCTAGGAAGACCACCTATGCTGTTAAGGGGTCCCCTGACAACATTTCCGTTAATTCCTGGCGTCTTCAAGATTGGGATTACAAAAAGGCTGGATTGCCTACTTATGCTCGAGGTCTGTTTACAGCAAAGAACCGCCGTGGCCAGCAGGAGATCGTTGTTAGGGGATATGATAAATTCTTCAACATTGACGAAGTGCAGGCTACCAAATGGGCAAAAATAATGACCAATACCCAAGGCCCATATGAACTAACCTTGAAGGAGAACGGATGCATCATCTTCATCAGTGGCCTTGAGGACGGTACTCTCCTTGTGTGCAGCAAGCATTCTACTGGAGATCGTAGCGATGTTGAAGTCAGCCATGCTAGCGCTGGCGAGAGATGGGTCGATAAACAGCTGGCTACGATTGGAAAGACAAGAGAAGAGTTTGCCCGAGAGTTGAGACGAAGAAATGCGACTGCTGTAGCCGAGCTTTGCGATGATGAATTTGAAGAGCATATCTTAGCATATGGTCCCGAAAAAGCCGGCCTTTATCTCCATGGCGTTAACGTCAACATTCCCGAGTTCCTGACGTATTCAAGCGATCTGGTCCACCAGTTTGCCGATGATTGGGGATTCCGCAAGATTGCAGTCAAAAAGATGGACGATGCCGCCTCTGTGAAGACCTTCTTGGAGGGCGTCGCTCAATCAGGAGCACATGAAGGTCGAGATGTTGAAGGCTTTGTCATCCGCTGCAAGATGTCTCGTTATCCGGAAAGGGCACCACATACCGACTGGTTTTTCAAATTCAAGTTTGAGGAGCCATACTTACTATATCGACAATGGCGAGAGTGTACCAAGTCTTTAATCGCCGGAAAGCCCCCTAAATACAAGAAGCATCTTAAGATTACCAATGAGTACCTCCAGTATGCTCGCAAAAGGTTAGCCTCGGACCCCGATTTGGCGAAGGCCTATAACGAGAATCATGGCATTATCGGCCTTCGCGATGACTTCCTAGCATACAAGCATATGAAGGGTTCAGATGCAGCCAACATCGAGAATGAGAATGGAAATGAGGTCCTAGATTCTGTCACTCGGGATGTTGTCCTTGTTCCCATTGCTACTATTGGATGCGGAAAGACTACAGTCGGTATCGCTCTTACTCATCTTTTCGGCTGGGGTATTATCCAAAACGACAACATACAAGGAAAGTTGCGGCCTACGAAGATGGCCGATGGTGTCACGGCACTTCTTCTAGAGCATCCAGTCGTCATATCAGACCGGAACAACTCGGAACGCCGAGAGCGAGAACAGATCATCAAGGATCTACACCAGAGAAGCAAAGACGTACGACTAGTTGCTTTAAACTTTGCTCATGGAGACATAGATGAGATAAAGAGAGTCACAAGGGAGCGAGTGTTGAAACGAGGCGATAACCACCAAACTATCCAAGCTGCTTCAGATGAGGCTAAGGTTCTTGGAATTATGGACAATTTCATCGAGAGGTTCCAGCCTTGCGACCCCGATAACAGGCCAGATAGTTATTTCGACTGGATCATCGATCTAGATCCTACCAAAGATAGTCGGGCCAACGTAGAAACTGTGGTTAGGGAATTGCACCAAAGATATCCATCTCTTATTACTAGGTTGCCTAGCGATGAAGAGATGGACGAGGCCGTTAAAGCTGCTATCGAGAATTACAAGCCTGACTTAAGGCATACCATTCCTGACCGAGGCAAAAAGCCGGATCAATTGAAGCATTCAGAACAACTTCATATCCCTAAAAAAAAGAAGCCGCTGGAATATATGTCTATTTCTGTTCCTGGCAAGGAGATCAGGGTTGCGCTTGAGGATGCTTTTAAGGACACGGACCCGGAGACACAACGATTCTACAAGCAACTACAACAGACACGACGTATCCAACCTCTCTTCCACGTAACACTCATGCATCGTGCGTCATCTAAGGAAAACCCAGAACTATGGCAACAATACGTGAAACTCGAAGCCGAGAGCAAGAGTGAAGATGGAAAGGTAGATGAATGCGACGTCCAGCTCGAGCGTGTTGTGTATGACGATCGTGTCATGGCCATTGTTGTGCGCTTGCTCGACGAAGAAGGAAAGTGGAAATGTGTCAACAAGGTGCCACACATCACGGTTGGTACAAGCGATAGCAATGTCAAGCCAAAGGAAAGCAATGATCTTCTCGCACGGTGGCTTGAGGTTGGCAGCGGGGGCGACACAGGTATCGGCGAACGACTCATTGATGGCAAGACCACGTTGAAGGGCAATGTCCGCGGCGTGCTATCGAGATAGGAATCTAGAAACTCGCATTCGGCTGAACGTCCCCAGAGGGTGCAGGCAAATAACAGAAGCAGAGGACAGAACTCTCGGAGAGGTAGAGGAAGAGGGCGGGGTGGAGCTCGAGGTGATAGAGTGGATAGGGAAAAGGAGGAGGTTGCATGAGAAGCCCTCCCCCCTAAAAACGGATACTAGGTATGGCAAGAACGTATGATGCATACAGAGTCGACGAAAAGCTCAGCACTGCTCCTATACCTACCTACATAGTACCTGGTTTATCTTGTTTCACCCCAATGCCCTAAAATACCTAGGCATTTCACAACGGTTGGCATTACTAGGTACCTACCTAGCACACATAGTAGTCAATACAATCGCCTCTTCTGTCAATCCAGAAATGATTCCCTTAATTCTCTAACCTCCTAGTCCCCCTGTCCCCTTACTAGATACCTGCCTATATAGGTAGCTTTGATGCTATCGATTTTTCTCCATCCATTGGAGCCCCTTTATTTTCCCAGTTCACACATACCTAGGTACCTATCCTCTAACCTGATCACAGGCATCTTTCAGCCAGCTCACCAACCAACCATAAAACCGTCTCCTGTTCCACTGATAGCCTCCGCAAGACCCCTATTTGCAATATCCTATGAAAAGACTTTTAAAACATCAGCACCCCTCCTTTTTATTTCCTGTCCTTGACATAGGTAACTAATATTTGGGAGACATGGAAGTAAACAAAAAAAAAAAAAGAAAAAAAGTCTCCTATCTTCTTCTAAGCAGGTAGGGTATTCGTAACCTCAGCAAACGCATTCCACTGTTTCCATGCCTCGCCGCTCTTGATCGTCCAGCGCGCCCTCCTAACACCCTCCTTCCAGCGCCCCCCTCCAGGACCCCTTTCTTTGACCACGTTCCCGTCATCGCCGGATCCCATGTTACTTGAATCTGCCTCACAGACTCCCGCGACAACTAGGAATGCTGCCGTGTTCATGAGCACGAACTCGAGGATCGGGTCATTGGATGGGACCTCGTTCTGTAGTATTTTGCGCAAGATTTCCGCGTTCTCGTGGGGTTCGCGACCGGGCGATACGGTGCTTAGCGGGTGTGCGCTCAGCCCAAAGTCAGTGGGCTCGAGGGTGAAATGTTCGACGTCGACAGTACCACTCGCGTGCTCAACTAGCTGCCAGCATAGCGTGGGCCCCGCGCAGGATACCTCGTCGAGCTGCTCCTTGCCGCAAACAACGAGGCCTTTTCGCGCACCCGCTATACGCAAGGCCTCGGCGAATACCGGGCCTAGATCATCGCGGGCAACGCCCAGCATGCGCGCCTCGATGGCATCGCCGAAGGGGTTACTCAATGGGCCAAGTAGGTTGAATATGGTACGCCAGCCGAGCTCCTTGCGGATCGAGGCTACGTGGCGCATGCCCGGGTGGAAGACGGGTGCGAATAGGAAAGCGTAGTTGGTCTGCGAATAGACGTCGGTGATGGTGGATGGAGTGATACGGTTGAGTTGCGCGGGGGTGGGGCGCATTGTCATGAGGAGGTCTGCGGACCCAGACTTTGAGGTTGAAGCACGGTTACCGTGTTTGGCAATAAGAAGCAGTGAAGAGGCTAGAATGGATGAAGTCGTGGATATGTTGAATGTGTTGTGGGAGTCACCGCCTGTGCCGACTATATCGCACTGGATTTATAAATACGTATTATTATGCTGCTTCTGTTGCGTAGTGATAAAGGCCATCTGTCTATTTCGTATAACGTATGCCTCTATTCCGGAGGAAAGTATATGGATGAGATGGGCTTAGGGGAGAGACTTACTAGGCCACCATTATATTTGCCTTCAGGCCTGCGTCTCTTTTCGATAACAGACTCAAGGCCGGCCAGGTCGATCTTAGCAGCATGGGCGCGCATGGCGGCAGAGGCCTCAGCGAGAACGTCAGCGCGGCGGTCCCATGCTGTGAAGTGAAGGGCTGTCAGTAAGGAGCCCGTTTGAACAGGGCTCAGCTTGTTGACAAATATAAGTGATAAGGCATGGGCGATCTCTTTTGCTGTGACGTTCTCCTTAGCCGGGTCAGGCCACAGCCTTTGGAGGAGCGGCCGGATATCTTCAAAGGCAGTCTCATCGGCCATTGCGACTTGTTTGTCTTATAGTATGTCTTCTTATAAGCTTGTCGGAAACTTGGTTTATAAAAGCAACTAGCTAGGTAAGCTACCTAGTGCCTTGCTATGAGATTAGTATTCGTTTTAACACAGCAATTATCGCAGTTTCGGCTTTTCATGTGTTAGGTAAAAAGAGAAGAAGAAAGAGAAAGAGATTGTCTTACATGTAGGATAAGATGTTGGTTATATGCAAGATGAGAGATGTCAGGAAAAGGGGTTGCTTCCTATCCTGTGACTCAATGGAACCTTATTCTTGTCCGGTATCCTAATTCTACTATGCTGTGTAGGTAGATATACAGTAATTGAGGTCGGCGGATGATTTACAGATACCCCGCCATCGGATACCTTAGGTGGGGCTTGGAGGGGACCCCTTGACATCCCGTTCAAACCCCTGTCAATTGAGGTGGTGAGCTGCGGCAGATTAGTTACTTGTCTCTACTGATAGTTAACTTGTGCACGGGCCTCAATGCCGTTCTTGAATCAGTTTGGTAAAAAATGATTTAAAAATGATTTTTCGAGGTTTTAAGCGACAGCAACAAATAAGACAATTCTGCGGCGGAAGACACTTCAACACATGATTACGGAGGAAGAAAAAAGAAAAAGAGAAAAAAAGGATAAGAGCGACTCTAAATTCTAAGAGATCGAAGGAATAGGATCAGGCTCTCTGCTTTATTGCCAGACATGCCGCCGCGAATTTATTGCTCCACACGGAGCTGCGTTAGTAGAACGCTCCAAAGGACGACAAGCTCGACGAGACCTACAGCTGCCATATCTCAGACCTCAAGAATCATTTCGAGGAATTATGCAAGTGCACCTACGTCCACAGTACCACTTTCCTCCTTGAAATTACCAGACAACTATGTACCCCCGACACAACCACCCAGCGCACGACGTCCCGATCAGCGAAAATCCCAGCTCCTTAGGTCCTATACGGCCATGCTCCGTGCGACTCCGCTTATGCTATTCTTCCAACATAACAACGTCGCTGGCGTAGAGTGGGCCGCAATCCGGCGTGAATTGCGCGCGGCCTTGGCCAGCGTTCCGGGGCCTATCATAGGCCCTCCCGGCAGCGAACCCGTGGACCTCTCGTCTCATATAGAGCTGCAAGTGCTTCGTACACGTATGTTCACCATCGCCCTGAAGATTGTCGAATTCTTCAAGCCCGAAGATTATAAGGGCGCGTCCAACGCCTACACACACGACCTGTCTGCGACAGCTTACGAAGCCATATCCAAGGCTGCCATAGAAGAAACATCTGTATATGCGCAGATTAGCCCGTTGCTTATCGGACCCACCGCTGCCGTCTCTCTCCCAATTGTATCTCCGGCTCACCTAGCGGCTGTGCTATCTGTTCTTTCTCCCTCGCCACCGGCCTTCCCAGCGCCTACGAGGAAGAAGAGACCGGGATATTATGAGCCGACGGTACAGAATGGACTGCAGAAGTTAGTTCTGATTGGCGGCAGGATAGAAAGCAAGGTGTTCGATTACGAAGGCGTTAAGTGGGTTGGTGGAATCGAGGGCGGAGTAGATGGCCTGAGGTCGCAACTCGTTGCCATGCTGCAAAGCGCCGGTCTAAGCCTTACGACAGCGTTGCAAGGCCACGGTAAGGACCTTTGGCTGTCGTTGGAGAGCAGGCGGATACAGCTTGATGAGCAGGCAAATGGGGGGGCCAAGAAAGAGGAAGAGGGCAAGGGAGAAGAGAGCAAAGAAAGCACATAGGTTATGCGATACATTTGAAGTGATAGAAAGTATAGGAACCTATATTTATGAGGCTAGACACCTACATATAACAACTATCGATGAATGTATCCATATAATAGGTACCTACGTAACTTACACATGTGACGTTTAATCAATGTTGAGCTGCCCAGGCCGACATGCACGTTGTATCTACATGTATGTTGATATAGGTACGTATGCACTGATATGTGAATACATGATGTATTGCATACATGAAGCCCACTGGATGCCCCTGCTCCCTGCTTACTAGTGGCGTTCCGGTGTCTTGGTATCTTACACGTCCAGATAATACACATGACAGGTTACAGCGGGTAAGTGTACTAGTCCACGAAACTCTAGGGCGTTTAGGGTCTAATTAATTAGGTATTGTACAATACAGGTACATATTAGGTAGTACCTACCAAACTACCTAGTACTAGGTATTGTACTAACCTAGGAGCCTTAGCTGTCCTGGTAGGTAGAACATTCCCATGTCGCAACAGTTGAACGTCATTCATTTCCCGTTACCTTTTTCATAACCTCAGCTTTTTAGTTAACTTTTATCAGATCGATCCGTCCATATTCTAGAAACATCACGGTCCTCTTTCGACATAACACATCAGAGCATAAACGAATTTAGCTCAAACTTGGAATCTAGACTGGTCTATACATAAGTAGTACTACCTATATAGGGATCAAGTCTAGCTTCTTAGGTACCTGACCATGGACTTCGCACCATATCAGTCGTCTCCTCCTGAGAACAGCCGTCCATTCTCGCCGCCCCGATCCAACGTAGCCTCACCACGCGCATCTCTTGACAACCGACGAGCTTACTCTCCTTCGCAACAGCAAAGAGGTGGCTTTGCGTCTCCGCCACCTCTCCAACACCCCCAACCTCAACGCTCGTGGCAGCCACAGCTCCCCGGTCAGACGATCGGTGGTTATGGCCCAGAGACCGGGGCATTCGTGAGCGAATTCGACACGAGCTTGGGCATACGGCTGGATTACGAGGCATGCTTGGCGTACCTAGCACTACCACCGCTTGGGGCTATCATACTCCTCATTTTGGAGCGAAAGAGTGATTTTGTGAGGTAGGTTTATGACTAATGGAGCTCTGCCTGTAGTATCTAGATAGATGCTAATACTTCCTACCTAGGTTCCATGCATGGCAGTCGAGTCTCCTATTCACCGTCATATTCATCATTCATCTACTCTTCTCATGGTCGACCTTCCTTAGTTGGGTCATCTTCCTTGCCGATTTATGCACAATGGGGTGGTTAGCTGTTCGTGCATACCGAGACGCCGACACACTGGACAGATTTGAGGTCCCCATTTTCGGTCAAATAGCGAGTCGGATACTGGATGACGAGTAGAGTGGGCGCCCTTTACTTCTTGCTTGACTTCTAGGCCTGATGGTGGAGAAGTATGCTTTCCAGCTTCTGATCCGAGATTCAGGCTTGCTATATCATTATTGTTTTTGTACATATCACATATACCCCATGTGCCCCAAGTTGGCCTCTATTAATATCGACCGATACCAATATCCTCGAATGCTTGACCATATTCCGTCCTATTTCCCATTCCATCGTGTCACTTACCAACAAGTTCCCGGCTTACATGACAGCTAATAGGTACTTCAAGCATGCCTATCAAAGTACCTAGTATAGGCATGTCAACCTCGATCTGAAGATCTAAGACGTATAAATAAGACCTATCATAGACCTAACCTTTATCATTTCAAACCACGTGAATTGGGGCAGAAATAGTTCACATATGTACCTAGGTAGATGCCTATTTAGGTTACATATATATACCATTATGGCTCATCTTACACATGTACCTGTCTAGGGTAGTGGGATCAAAATGCTACCCTGATATAGCCGATAGGAAGAGCTGGCTACCGATATCGTTGATCATGAACAAGAACGTCACGCGGAGGTCCTTCGCCCTCACCCGAGAATAAAGGCAACTGCGGTAGAAATAATAAGCGTATAAGTGATCAGATTCAGCATCACTTTCAGTTCGCTTATTTACTTTGTTCAGTTCGCATCTCACCATCATCACTGTCACTACAGAACGTCGTTCCTGGCTCGTATAACAAGAGTTCGAACACCTAGCTACTAAGTATGAGTGTAGTCGAGACACAAGTCCAGGCTCAGGCTCTAGAGACCTATCCGTTAGTATAGATCCCTCGTTTATAAGTGCCCATTGTTTCTAAATAGGTAGCTAGTTGTCCTCTGTTGGATACCCGCTTCTCGATTTTAAAGCAGTCTATAATCAAGCCCGAAGACAAAGCTCGAGTTATTAATTCTTATCAACGCCTTACGATCGCCCTGGAGAAGAACGCCAACTTGATCGCCAAGCGAGGTCCTCAAGCAATACCGGAAATCGACTTCGCCGACGTCCAAAGTAATGACGGTTCTTTCCCTACAGGTTTCAAAAGCATTGTCAAGCAGACAGGTTGTGTCATAATCCGTGGAGTCGTATCAGAGGAACAAGCTTCATCTTGGGAAGACGAGCTCAGGAGCTACACGAAGAACCACCGTGTCGCAGGGTTCCCCAAGGATGACCCTCAAAACTTTAGCCTCTTCTGGACTCGACCACAAGTCCAGATACGGAGCCATCCAAATGTGATGAAAGCAATGAAAGCAGTGGGCCAGCTGTGGCACATATCCCAAGACGATCAGCTATTCGATTTGGAAAGCCAGGTGGTTTATGCTGATCGTTTTCGAATTAGACACCCCACAACTGGTTAGTTTGAGAGATGAAGATATTAAGGATAGGTGACTGAAAGCCAAGTGGATAACTGACATGTACATGTGTAATAGATGCAGAATATACCCTTCCAGCTCATCAAGACAGCGGAGCTATAGAGAGGTGGGAGGACCCCGAGTACCGTGCGTGCTATCAAAAGATTTTTGAAGGTAGATGGGAAGAGTATGACCCGTGGTGTGCAGACCACCGCTCCGATGCCAAAACCAGCCTCTACTCATTGGCCAGTAAGTACCTACCTAGTACCTAGCACATCACCACATACCAACACGACAACTTATGAACCTACCTCTCTGGGTACCTAACATATTACACCAGAGTCATGTTCCGCTTTCCGCGCTATGCAAGGATGGATGAGTCTATCCCATACCAACACCGGCGAAGGAACCCTACGTCTAGTCCCCGAGCTCAAGTGCGCGACCGCGTACCAAATGCTGCGGCCATACTTCGTCCTCGACGAAAGGTTCAACGACACCGCGCCCCTATTCCCCGGCGCCAACCCCGGAAACCTGCAGTTCTTTCCAACCACCAAACTGCATCCCCATCTGCTCCTGGAAAAGAGCATGGTCGGCATCCCGCCCGTGAAGCCCGGCGACTACGTCTTCTGGCACTGCGACCTCGTCCACGAGGTCGACCGGTTCCACCCCGGCACCCGCGACTCGTCCGTCAGCTACAACGGCTGCGTGCCCCTGTGCCCATACAACCTCGAGAACCTACTGAGGCTGCGCCAGAGCTTTCTGGATGTCATGCCGCCGAAGGATTTTAACGGGATCGAGCATGGCGAGCTGGAGAGGGATCATAAGGATCACGGTGCGAGGAGGGAGAATATATTGTCGGTCGAGGGGTTGAGAGCGTTGGGCTTTGAGCCGTTCGATGCGGAAGAGGGGGGGATTACGGAGGGCCAGCGCGAGATGCGGAGGCTGGCGAATCGGAAACTTGGGTTTGAGAGTGCATAATGTGTTATCTAGTAGTCTCGATCCGACCCAAAATATGCTGTAGCTAGATGCTTGCCCAGGTAAGCAAGTATTGGAGAAGTAGAGGGTTTGCAAGTGAGAGCTTTGGCAGTGGGCAATAAAGGAGATCATCCCTAATTATCCTGCTTAAGCACCCGTTAGCTTAAAGGCAGTAGATAATGAATACATATGGAGGGGGTTTGGCTGCGAATAGCTTCACGTTAGAAGGCTTCTACCTAGGTAGGTGTTGGTAGAAAAAAAAAAGGAAAAGAAAAAGGAAAAAAAAAAAAGAAAACGAAAAACAAAAGAGTTTGTGGTAGGATTGAACCCGCACCTTTGGGCGTCCCGCAGTGGTGTTCGTTCTGAACCCGCACTTTAAGGGACAGCCGCATGGTGGTGTTCGCACCTTACCACTGAGCCAACATAGGTTGAAAACCTAGGTACCCAGGTTCTCACCCAGGAAGTGAGAGGTGTTGCTTTACGGGGACTTATAAGTTTTACTTCGGTAGGAAGGTCGGTTACGAGAGAGGGGGGGGGAATAGTAGCCTGAGGGTTGGGATTTTGGGTGGAGCCCACGTCTGAAGGTATAACCTTAGAGATAAGGCTACCAGTATACATTTCATCATTTGGTACTAAGTACACAACACAGCCTAACTTCGAGGTGGCATTGCTATGTCTCCGGGCCCTTCAAGGTCACACCCTGCTCTCCTAAGGATCATTAAGCTGTCGTGGCGGCGTATCATACATCCTAGGCCTCATCTCATTTTTGGTAGAGCATGAATGACTTTGGGGAGTCGATTTCAAGCCTCGATTTCCATCGAAGTGGAAGTAACCCTAGAAACGGTTGTGTCGATATTGTCCTTTCTGCAGAATGCCGGTACCTCCTGAGCTGTGATGCACTAGGGCTCCGTTCATACCTCACGGTATCACGGGAGCGTCTTCAATAATCCATCCATCCTCATCTGCCATTGCCCAACGCAGACAACCGAGCATAGCTTCACTCCAAAGTTTGGAGGAGGGGAGTTGTAGGAAAGCGTTGAAAGCATGGGGGAGGCCAGGGAATATGTGGACATTGGTCCTGACACTGAATAGGGGTAAGTGTATAGTTAGTACGAAAATTCAGAAAACAGCTTATGGTGGGAAATCTCAGCCCCTTACCCAGCATTCTTCAACTTTTGCGCGTATAATAGCCCCTCGTCACGGAGCGGGTCCCAGCCACAAATGAGGAAGGCAGTCTGGGGCATACTTCGCAGCTCCTCTTCATCAGTAAGACCAGGATTCCAAATCGGATCGTGGGGATCAACCTCGCTGCCAAGTAGCTCGCGTAACAACTTTATACGCTTTTCCGAGAGGATGGCAGCATCCCGGCACTGAAAGATCGATGTCTTTTCCTTTCCAGCAAAGAGGTGATATGGAAAGGCCTCGTATTGGAAAACATTTGGAATACCCAGGAATTGGCCCTTTATGCGACAGCTTGTGCCTGTTTCGCGCGCCCACCGCAGCTCATCCTGCACAACACGCGCCGCCAACGAACCGCCGGCGGAAATCCCACCTACGATGAGCCGAGAAGGGTTAATCCCCAACTTCTCGGTATGTGTGGCGACCCACTCGAAGCCGTCCAAGGCGTCGTGCCACGGCGTCAATCCTTTGACCTGCGGTGTGTGCCTATAGCATACATGCACAACCGTAATGGACAGCGCGTGGGCTAGCCACGAGCAGGCGAACACCTCCGTGTCAAGGCTGCCAATGCTATAACCGCCGCCGTGAAAATACACATAGCCCGGTAGCGCAGCAGACCCTAACAAGATCGGCCGGTAGCTACGTATGGTGATAGAATTGCCATCGCGCGTAGGCACAACGTAGTCCTCTGTCGCCACAAGCTTGTCCACGCCACTTGTCTTGACGAGGACCCTGGCCCCGTGACCGCGCAGCTTATTCGCGTTCTCCTGCTGCTCTAGGAACGATAGATGATCTTCGGAATAGGACAAGACTGCCTCGTTGGCCGCTGCGAAGGCGAGCCACTCCTTGCTCGGCTTCCCCCATTCACTGAAATCCATTGAAGGTATCGTAATTTACCGCTTAGAGAAGCAAGATTCGTCTTTATACCAGACTCTTCGACCACATATGCGGCTACGTATACCGTACTGGGGCTTTTGTAACCGAGAAGTCCGAAAGGGACACTCGCAGATTTTGTCTAGGTATGCAGCACTTACATAAGAATAAGAAGAGATATTTTATATGTTCAGGTAAGAGTAATCATTTTACGGACATATAAAATAATTGGTGTGGATGAGTAAGGATAGGACGATCGCCAGAGATAGATACCCAGTCCCGAGAGAGCGGAGCCACGCTCCCGTGATAGGATCATAATCCTTGTCATATCCCCAACGACGTGGTAATACGATTACTCAGGTCTCGCTACAGCTGTTACCCCATACTCATGGGATCCGATCGGGCTCTTATTAGAGGCTGGGCAAGAGTGCTCGAGCATAAGTAGACGGATAAGGGAATATGTGCATTTGCAGGTAACTCCGCAACAGGACCCACCGATTCCGTCTTGGAGTCCGTAGTCCGGGATCTACACTGCGATCTACCGGGGCTTAGCTATGACCATCCCATCTTGGATCTGAGCTCAATTATGCTCATGTACATTGCCTACCTAAGTACCTAGTATCTACCTAACCAAATAGAGTGAATAGCAACGAACTTCGTTCAAGATGTAAGGGCAATTATTAAGCTCCAACAGAATTCAGGACAAACACGATAGTACAGCATTAGCACAGTTCTTGGCAGCCTATTCGGAAGGGGAATGGACAATTGGACTAGCGGCAACGTACTGAGAACCTACTGAGAACATGTCCCGAAAAGCTCTCATCGCCGATTGATGTCATAGCTAGTACGCCTCCTTAGCTTTCCTCCCAAATCAGCTTTCTATCCAAACAAACTACTCTACATCAGAAATAAAAAGGCATCAATGGACATTTAAATACAGCGGCGATAACAAGAATGGACACGCCTCAACCCCCCACTCGCCCAGAATCACATGTGATCCCATACCAGCAACAAAAGCGCGCTCGGATCTTTCCCACAACGATGATTACCCTAACTTCGCTGTCCATGGTTTCCTGCGTAATCGTCCTCGGCATCGCCATCGCGCTCGCCGTCGACCCCGCTCTCCAGAGCTACATCCCCGTCTGGACCGCTCCGCAGGCGGGGGTAGCTCTGCTCTGGTCCGCTCTTGAGCTCATCACGGCGTACGTACCAACACCGACAGGGAGCAACCGACGAACTATTCACCCAGCCGCGCTCGTGGCGGTCCATCTACTGCTATGGCTTGGTTTCGCCGTCGGGGTCGGCCTCACCGCCTACGTTCTTCAGTACGGGCTCGTCTTTGTCGGGCCCGATGATCGCGACGCGTATCCCGATGTCTATGATTATTATTACGATGATAAGGACGGCGACGACTATGATTATTACAGCAACTTCTACATCCATTCGATGGAGGCTCTTGTGGCGTTTCTGGCCCTCTTGATGTAAGTACCTATAACGCTTTCTCGTCGCTATTTATACGTGCCCTTTTTTCCCCCCTTTTTTTAGGTCACCGCATAACTGAGGGCTATAATACTAATTACCATGATAGAATAATACATTTTATATTTTTCGCTGGTGCCTGTGTAGAGGTTACGAGACGCAGAAAGCGAAGTTATAAGGCGGATAGTGGTGGAGTAGAACTAGATATTCAGTTAGCCGATTGGGGTACGCCTAAACATCTAGGTTAAGCGCATGAGCGAGGGGGGAGAGAGGCTATTCCTTGTATATACGGCCGGCTTGGGTCGAGTTCTTGGTGGTGAAAGGCGTAAGGGGGGGTTATGTTGATTTTATTTATCATCCGATAATATTGAGTTCATAAGTAACGAAATAAAGGGTGTCTATCTCTACCTATATATGTGACCGATACCTGCTGCTTCTATATAGTATTAATCTATAAACATGGCATCCGTTGAGCTTCTGTATATCTTGTACAGGGCTTGCCTTTGTCTCTATGTATGATCATATCTACCTACCTAATATCGACCGATTTGTACCTAGTAGCTAATGAAGCCATAAACCGCACGCATATAACCTGGCAAACTGTCAGAATTCTCCATCTCAAAGTCCAGTTGACCTTTCTTATGCTCTTATATACGAAGTATGTTATGTTCTAATAGAGGCTGTGAAAGTTCGAATCGGAGGATTCACAAGCGATGCCTAGGTACTATTTATTGTTGATGAGTTATAAGTACGCCTAGAAGATGATTGTGTGTTTAGTATGCTATAGTGATTCAAGATACATCAAGGATCTCGTAAGGACCACCGAAAGTGAGGCCGATGTTGATTATGTGAAGTAACTAATTCTCTACCTAATTGGTAGGTATCTAGCTTGGGTGATCATGAAGCTTGGCTCGACGGTGAGTAGCATGCGTACAAGCAGGTGCTTTTTCGTGGATTATCTCGGAATTCATCATCTGTTCTGCTAAAGGTACCGTGTCTTCTAAGGCGATAGACTCGTATTCTTATCAACATTAAGCCAGGAGCGTCAGAATGACATATTACGAATTGCAATGCTTCCTTGTGATATCTCCTTATTATCAGTTAGTATTTAACCAGGCCTCGACTCTACGGACCGAATTGATGCCACTGGGATGATTAGGGTGTTATTCGGTGCCTCTTGGGCGCCTAGAACTATCGTGACAGGGTGGATGGTCTGATAGGGGTCTGATAGGGGGGTTAAAAAGGATCTGATCCGTGATCGAGAATGACGGGTGATATTAATTGAGACCGGTAATACTCTCGAGAAATCAATTCATAACATTCCTCTCTAAACATGAAATATTATCTATCAAAGTTAAGCCCGAAGGACCGGAAATTCCGTCCTGATCCCGGCGCCTTTGAAAGAAGAACCTCCCACGTGAAACTCGTCCTGGATACGGCTCGGCGGGCCGTTCTTCCATAAATGTTCTGGTCAAGCTTCTTCGGTTTATCGTGAGAAGTTCCTGCCTTTTGGCTGAACTCCAGTTTGGTTTCGGGAAGATGCAAAAGGAAAGAAAACAGGAGTCCATCGTGAAAGGGGAGCATACCTATGTGTTTTCCACCCCTTGGAAGATCTATGGAAGTTCTGGGTTGCATCCCTGGGTCACATCTATTACGCGCCTCGGTCGTACCTGGCATAGAACAAGATGCACGACATCCAAGAGCCTTAGCAATTGGCTATATCTCAGCTAAAATCTAGCGATGAGGACTTGACTGAATACCTAGGTAGCGTGAGGTGAGGTTAATATTCCACACAGCATGGTGAATCTGGATTTGCTGTACCTACCACCACCAACCAACCTTAACACATCGACGACTGATTAAAACGGCGATTAGAATGGTGTATTATATTTGCTGTGAGTTGAATTATCGCTCAGGTTCGCTTAAGAATGTAAAGTAACCTACCCTAGGACCTACATATAGGTCGAAGCGATGTATGGGACAATACCACCGTTCTCGGCCCCGGAATGAAACCCTACATGAACGAGACGAGAACGTATATATGTATGGAAACGGAGAGATTGCGTCATGCATTTAGATCGTGTTAATTCGGATCCCTAAAGACATACGCATACGAGAGAATTACAAATTGCAGCACAGATTCTAGAAAGAGACCGACCACCTCGCGACAGACTGCCTATCTATCATATCCAATGTATGTAGACCTATGTAGACCTACTACACAGGCACTAGGCACCAACCTAGGTAGGTAGGTATGTCTGTCGTGAATTCCACCAACTACAACGGGCATCACGACTTCGGAGCCGATACATGCCCCGCTGGGCTGCCCCGTTGATCAACATTGGAGTATTCTCTATGTATTTTCCAATAATAATGTATTTGATCCAATGTTTTGGCCTGAACAATGGATAGACCGAGGGGATTAGCATTGGCATTGGGAACTGATTTGGGCATCAAAAGGTGCTCAGATGTTACCGTGGGGACTTGAAGGACGGACCCATGGTTCTTTTGCAGTTGCCGTCTGAATAAGCTACTATGCATCGCTAGTTCTAAAAGTCGATACCCGAAGGTGGAATATCCGCCAGCGGTTAGATCTAGTATGGGGGGAGGCGATCCAAATGGATCGACGTAAGCGTCTCCTCAATAGTAAGGAGCAGAGAAATACTTACCTATGCTGTATGTATTGTGGGCAGGTAGATGATGACAAACAAGTAGGTAGCTTTGAGGTGGATGTGACATGAAGGCAAACCCCACCAAGGTATTGTATTGTATTGTATTGTAGTTATTGTATTGTATAATTTCTTCGACAATGACAATAACAATATTTACGACAACTTGTCAGTGACGGGTAAATTTCAGAGTTGAAGGAGTCAATGAACACCCGTGTAGGTCATTAGGTAGTTACCTAGGTTAGGGATTGTATTGTATTGTATTGTATTGTACATATCCCGTTCGTGCGAGGGAAGGCAACCCGGGTATTTGCCGAACTATCCCACGCGTGGCTGCGCCCTGGATAGGTGTAAGCCCCTGTTGATCCGGAAGTGAAAATCTAGGATCAGCCTAGATGACTGACGCAGTAGGCGTTCATTGATGTTGTATGTAATATGTATTGTATGATACTTCGTACCATGTATTGTATGATACCCATGTAACTACATGTAGGTATTAAATATAGTGTAGTGCCATTCTGAACCTTTTTCGCTTATTCGGTCTGTTAACCTTTTAAACGTTCAGCTCTCGGGCGCTAAAGACTAGGACCGGGATAGTTGATATCGACTGCATGGATGTGACAGCATAGGCATACCGGATATGTAAGGTAGATTATGCAAGGTAGACTAAGCAGGACTAGGGCCTAGGTAGGACTAGGTACCTAGCAGATAAATGGGGGGGAAAAGAGTGTTGGTTGGCTCGTAAGTTCCAGCCGCAATCCAAGTTTAGGTACAATAGGTACCTACCTAGTTACATATGACACCCCCCTAGTCTCTCTATGTAAGACGCGTGTGGAAGAGCAAGAGAGGATATCTTCCTGCATAATACCTGTAGTGTAGGTACCTATGTATTGTACAAATACCTGCAGTGTAGGTACAAAGATAGATAGCTCCAAGAGTTGAAGAGGATCGAAATAATAAGCACAGTAATATTTGCAACAGGTAACTACATATGTATCTGTATATCTGTACGTAGTATCTTGCATTTGGACCAGATCCTTCAGTCAAGTATGATGATGCTATATCATGTAGGTAATAGGAGAAGAAAGAAAAGGCCTAATTATAACCACCAACTATTATTTACCACCTCAGTATTGCAAACCCCTTTTCTTTGCTGTTCAACTACATACCTTGTAGTTACCTGCGTATCTCGGTAGATGTATGTACTTACATACACATGTACATGCCTACCTGGTACTTTTCCAAATCATACCTATATATCTGGCTACACACATACTAGAAGAAATAGTTCTCTCTCTTCACAATCATTCATTGTTTATGTCCTCGGCCCTTTTCAACCACATCATTTCTTCTTATAGATGCACAGCACAGGCACATCTGCAATGGCCTCATGATCCTAGTCGCCGTTAGAACAGGCTGTTGTTTTGCAGAAAGATTGATGAAGGGAAGGGAAGGGGAGGAAGGGAAACGTTATGACCTCTAGGGCTCTTATTTTCATTTTTGGATCCTGTCTTTGGATTTTGGCCAGGGCTGACTGGTATTACTATGGTATACGACAAGGCCGACGGCAAACTACTACTATGCAGGTACAAGCCTCCTTAAGGGCAAACAGGGAGAAACCGGAAAGTTACGGTCAGTTGCCATTCAGTCCATCTGTCACTTTTTGCACAGACACGTTTTCTTCAATGCTGCTGAATTGTTGTTGGAGTGCGGGTGAGTGGATGCTCCTGGCTACATAGGTAGCTTCCTTTTCATTGCATATCTTTACGCTGTTGAGTATTTTGTTGGCTTTCCTATTAGTATATACTGATGGATACACATGTACATATATCATATATCCTACAACTCACGATGCCTACGAAAAACTTCTACATTTCTCTGCTATGGTGTCTACTACGGCATTTCTCGTCTTCCACTTAGAGGTACATACCTATTATCACATCTTGGCCACCTGGCTACGTACGTACGTAGGCTTTTTATCATGTCAGGCTTGGTCAGCATGCATGTAGTTATTGAGGTCTGTTCCAGGATCGATCTATCGTTCTCCTTGGCCAATGTAATCCTGTTCCTGTCTTACCTAACATTGAAAGCTACATCAAGGTTATTAACACACGATTCACACGATTCAACACGGGTACCTACAGGGTATTCTGTAGGTATTTACCTACATACATGATATGGAGTACTGGGCATTGTAGTACTGTAGCGCCAATACAGTCTGCGGTACGTTGAGAATGGTATTGTATTTCCTACATGTATGTATTGTACTGTAACTATATACATAGTAGTACCTCTCAATAATATTTGCACCTGCCTGTCTGGATACTTAGGCGCCTATAGATTAAGGGTATTAACGTATTAAGGATAGGTTGTATCCATATGCGCGTATTGTGTGTAAGCATTGTATTGTGCAATACCATGCATATGCTCCACACCGTAGACCTCACTGTACATATACTGTATCATATAAACTTAAATCCCAGGGTACTTACTGCACGGCGGACCGCTAAAGCAGCCTCAGGGCTCCATCAGGATCCAATCTTTTTTTTTCTTTCTTTTTTTTCTTAAAAAACATTCTTTCAATTCTCCAATCTTTTTTTTCCCCAACTAATAATACTTGGATCAACTTCTTGAATTTCTTATGTCTTTCGGTATAACCAAAGCAAACCTAACCTAACTTACCCAGTTGGTAATACTAGGCAGTGAACTACAGATAAAATACATACATACAAGGAGACGCTAGGACAAAAGAAGCAAGGTGTGGCCTCTTTACGGAGAAAACGCAACAAATGCGCCGACGACTCCAGCTTAACTGGAATCTCGGCCCAGGGTCGCGTCGAAACACCTCAAACATCGCACCACTTGCAGCACACTCTCTCACCCGTTCCTACACTAGCAACCAACTCCTGCTGGTTATTTTCTTCACGCGCATGTGCTTTGTAGGTACTTGTCTACTCACCTGCCTACCTCTTTGCCTACCTACCTACATACATTACATACATACTATGGTATGTACCTAATCTTAGGGACATCTGGATGTGTGTATTCGTGTGCTAAACCCCCACCCCCCCTTCTTTTTGGGATCTGATCCCCTTGTTCTTTTCGTCTCGGCTACGCATTACATAGGCAGCACGTACATATACACTTACCTACACATATCTACATACATAACCATACATACTCCTATCCATACACCCATACACCCGTCCATATCTACATACCTACCCACATACGTACGATACTAAACAAGTACTTACTGCTAGTTAGGTAGAGCTGTAGGTGGATGGGTAGGTAGGATACGGGGAGGTAAATGAGGTAACTGGACTCCCACCCCTTCAAGGCGCTGGACCAGACCAGATAGGTCGCATCCCCCGTCTACACCCCCCTCCCCCCCGTCCAGCCCGTTCACGTCTCCCCGTCCCCTGCCAGCCCTAGGTCGGGTTTCGTGACTTGGACTTGGTCCCCCCCTTACGCTGCAGCACTGGCAGCGTGGAATCGGCGTGCCCCTGCTCAGATCGCGCCCCCATAAAAAATTGCAAATTAAAATCAAATCAAATGGCAGAGGCACAACAGGAACAGCCACAGGCTCATCAACCTCAGCCTGAACCCGTCATTGCCGCCGCTCAAGAACTAGCCCATGTCCTCCCACATCAATCACCGGTCAAGCCTTTACTATCAGGAGCTACAGCAGAGAAGGAAATTATACAACAAGGGGCGCAGGGGCAGGTACGGGTAGAGGCACACGTCACGACATCTCAAGGGCCAGATGCCAATTCTTTGGATCTCGCACGCGCACCAACACCAAATTTACAAGTCGCGAATAATGCAACGACCACAGTAGCAGTTGCCCACGCGCAGGAGCCGGAGCCGGCACAACAACAGGAACAAGGACTGGGGCAGGGGCATCAGTCTTCCCAACAATTAACCTCGAATCGGTCTACCGACGACATCAATTCCACTTCCACGCCAGCAATCGCCTCACCTGTGACTGTTTCCAAGACGGCTACTGTCGTTGTCGACCAGGCCACCCCGCCCCCGGCGATAGCGACCATTGACGGAGTTCAGTCTGACCAGCAGCAGAAGCCAGTGCAGGACGGCTGTGTTGCGCCATCGTCGTCGGATGCCATGTCGAACAACCCGTCTCACCATCCATCGGGGCCTCCTCGACAGCCCCCAACCTACCAAAATCCGGCAGCATATACAACGCCAGGCATGAGCGGCGCACAATATGGATATGCAAATGCAGCAGGTCAAGCGCCGGACACGTACCGGACAGCATTACCAAGTATGCGCACATTTGACCCAGTTCAACAACAAGCTCAACAGCAGCAGCACATGGCGATGGCGATGCCTGTCAATCCTATCCCATCGGTCCCCTCGATGCCACCACAGCAGCATATGCCCTACTTTGGGCAACAGCCACTTCCTATGACTGCGAGCAACCCGTATGCCCTACCCCCAGACTCCTTAAGACCGCAGTATGCTTTACCACCTAGCGATCCTACGAGTGTACTGAGTGGGCGACAAAAAAAGGTACTTGTCATGATATTATCCCCTCCTTTTGAAGCCAACCTATTCTCCCCCTTCTCAGGTAACAGGTAACTGACTAGGTCACTTTGCCTGCTATCGTAGGAGATTAAGCGCCGAACAAAAACGGGCTGTTTGACATGTCGCAAACGACGTATAAAGGTACGTGATGTTATGGTTTATGTGTGTGAATTCCCTCTTCAGGAGTCGGAAGTATCGTCTTCGTTGCGCAAAGTGGAGAAAGTGATTATTCCCAAGAAGGTTGATGATGAAGGAGGAAGTAGGAGAAGGAACAATTTAGAGTGCATCGACATGGCTAGAGGAGTAGACAAAGATTGGGTACTTGGGGGGTTTGTTTTTTTTATTTTTTTTTTATTTTTATTTTTCTATTAACCTTTTTGGACAATTGCATGGAATGCTGCTTTCCCTTGGTCGTTGGGGTTTCGCTTGAGAAGGAGCTACGGCGAAGCGAGCGAGCCAGCCAAAGCCATCAAAAAGCAACATTGAGGTACAAAAAAGCAAGTGCAAGTGTCAGCGCAAGTGCCAGTGCAGGTACTCGCTCAAAGCTGGGCAGCCATCTAGCAAGCACTACCCTACAAGGCCAGGCCTCTCCACTCCCCTCACCAAAACGCAAGACCGAACTAAAAGTTTGGGGACGATCCCCATAGATGTCTCCAACAAGAGAGCTTGAGCTTGTACTGACTGGGCTTCCCCTCCTTTATTTTCAATGTTCATCTATTATCATCACCACCACTACTGTCCACACCTACCCTTGAAAGCATTTCATAGGTACAATTCATCTCACTTGCCTATTTTCATTCGCGCCTGCATTGTTTTCTCCTGATTCTTTTTAACATGCAATTGGTGGGGTGTATGAAGTACTAAAACTCGATATTTTACAGTGCGATGAGCAACACCCGATCTGCAAAAATTGCCAAAAATCGAAGCGCGAATGTCTCGGGTACGATCCCATCTTTAAAAACCAACAACAACAGCATCCTACCAATATTCGACCCGCCCCAAATAACAGTCCTGGTTCTTCCACCCCTGTACCGTCAAGCCGACCTGCCACGACCTCCGCCTCCGGATCTAGCATCATACCAACCCATAGTACCCAGAGTCAGACGCAAACTCCCTACTCAACACTCCCCCCGGTAATTTCTAATACTACTACTGCATCAGTATCTGTTCACTCTTTCGCTGGAACCTTGACAGGTACAGGGACAAGCGCATCAGCGGTCAAAGGTGAACCGCTCGAATATCCAGCCGTTATTGATCCTACCTTGGACAACGTTCTGAGTGCTTCGAGTATGTCGACTTCTCATTTCCCAGCGATCAAGCCCATCACCCCATACTTTGTTCATAGCTCACCAGACGCACCTTGTCTGAGAGGTGGTGGTCCCTCCTCTGTTCCCATGTATTCCTCTGTTTCGCATTCTGCGCCATTTCCCTTTCAGCAACAAACTTCGGCTTACACAGGATTCCCAGCGAGAAAGATGAAGGTCCACGAGCTTGTGGGCATGAGTGGCACGGTCCCTCCCGCCCTCGATTCTCCTCTGACCAGCGAACGATTAGCAGAAGTCCGAGACTTATACGACCAGGTATATGCCCCCGGCTTAGAGAAGTTTTTCGAAACAGAATGGTATACGAAGCCCCAAGGTGTTAGTGCTTTGATATCCAACGCAGCTGTCAACGAAATGTTGGCGGGCTTCCTCCAATCTATGGCCAAGACGGATGCAAACGATGTCGCCGGAATGCAATACTCGGCCAATCTCGAATTCCGAGTCGTTTGGGATTTAGCTTCGCTGGTTTACACGTCTGAGTACAAAGTCAACGTAGGAGATCGTTTACCGCCTTCCGATGATGGGTCTGAAGCACGGAATCGAGTATCTGTCTTCGAAGCTTTGCTATCGGGCGATTATCTCGACCAGAATCCCTTGCACCCGCCGCCCGCGAATTCCGACATTCGACTCCACCGCATTAGGGAGTTCAAGTTCTGGTACTGGTTGGCAGAATTCCTACGTCTGGTGGACCAACCTGGGATGGACATGTTGCGTCAGCGAGATTACTTCTTAGGACAAATGCGCGAATTGTTGGATGGACGTGAAAACCGCGACGTTCTGTATTCTCTCGCTGTCATTCGTGCGCTCGCGCCGAATTTTCCGCCAGACTTCGAGAGTACCCTACCTCCGCATCTCGACGAGAGCGACCCTAAGAACAAGCTCGCCGTGGCCCGAAAGTTTGTTCAAGATGAATCTCAGGTCACTGGGGGCACTACCAATGTAGTCCGCCGTTTCGCTGAGCTTGCCGTGAGGGCTTTCATCGTCCCGGGGAATAATATCATTCGAAGGTGAGGGGAGACAGTCACTGGGCCCTCAACAGTAATTATAGCAATGTGTTAGTATACATTTCAACCCTCGGAAAGCTGCTCCTTGGTAGCTTTTTTTCTTTTTCTTGCTTTTTCTTTTCTCTTTTCGTCATTGCATGACCCATATGGCTCATTCGATCGATCATTATACCCTACTGTGTTTACTCCCCTACCCTGATGATATTGGACGGATTATGGACCACCAAGTCGTACAAGGTCAAAATAATCAGGGCGCATAGATCAGATCAGAAGACGGATTCATTAAGCAGGCGTTGCGGCGACCCACGAAACCCCGAAAATGAGAGAATACGCTGTATTTCCCGACGACGATGTACGAATAAGTGTTTGAACACAAGAGAATTGACGATTGAACGCGATGGTAGGATAAATAAAGGGTGATCACGTTTTAAAAAATAAGACAGGCTTAGGTTCAAAAAAGGTGTATTTTTTTTCGATGGAATTGGGTTTTACGAACGAAATGGCACAAGTTTCCCTAGTTGCGACTCGGTTTCGCTTTTCGACTAGAGGCGACAAGAGGAGGGACTCTATCCTTTCTTGTCAAGCTTCTATTTCCGTTCCGTCGTGCGAGCTTCATAAGAAAGCCATATAGAGAGAGGTCCCATCTAGCACGACATTATAGAGCTTTTGTGGTAGATTTCAAGAAAGCTGGTATCAAAATTTATGTCTTGAAGCCGAGTATTTTGGTGCCTCTTAGGTCTGGCTCAGCAAAAAGCTCATGTTGCCAAGGTTTACCAACGCTGTAATGGGGAACGGGGTTGGTTCTGTACGGACATTAAACCCCCATTTTAGTGCGAGGAATCCTTTGGTGTTCTCTAGACAGAATCCTAGCATAATATAAAACTGGGAATTACAGAACGCGAATGATGTCCTCTGATACCTACCTATGTGTATGTACCCTTCAAATCCTTTCAGATATAAATATAGAGGGCTCTTCAATGTTTATATGGGGCCCCTTGCTCCTAAATACCTACCTAGGTACCTTGGGTAAATTGGTACTAGGTAGCCTCTACTATCTAGGACTGCTAGGTACCTTAGGTACTTTGGGTATGATAGGTATGATAGCTGGAGGTAAATACGTGCTAATAGTGCTAGATACTATACTTCCAAGCTTCTGTAGGTGAGTAATCATTTCTAGGCAACTAACGGCAATATCCAATGTTATCCATTATGGAATAAGTGATGTGGTTGCTTGTGGACTTAATTCGGCCACGTACCGATCCATTAGACAGCTTATGTAGGTACTCATGTGGTTGGGTGGGATTACACAGTCAGTGCCAGGTCGTTGAGGGGAAGGAAAGGCATGTGAAAGAGCTTAATTAGAGAAATGTGAAGGGAAACGTTTAAAACAAGGTAATTTACTACTAGGTATGGCGAATGAACCTCCGAGTTGCTTACATGATCAGCATCGTTTTCGTTTCACTCATATTACGGCTTGTAAAGATTCTTGTTAGATAGAAAATACGCACTGTGGCTGTTCTATTTTCTATCCAGATCCGGTTGACGGATATGATCAGGTTTCAGCTCTTTTCTCTAGCTGTCTAGGTAGGTACCTATGCATTCAGTTCAGACCTATCCCTCGGTCTTCAAAATCTCAAAACGCCATGAGGGGAATCATGTCATGCATCACATTGCCAACGCCTTTTTTTGTTGAAAAAATGACCCACCAGCACTCCTGGTCCTTTTTGATTCCTCATACCATATTCCTTAATGCCAGTTGATGCGTAGACTCATGCTTGTTGAAACACAGGCAAACTAACCCCTAGTTGCGAAGTTTCGGGAGTTCGGTAGAAATAAGGAACTCTAGAATATGCACAATGTTGATGATTGTGCATTCAGATAGACATGATATACAGTAGTAAAATTAGTATCGGTAGCTGTTACGAAAAGGTTAGTCATGGCCAAAAAATTAGTGAGGATATGAATAAGGAGGTAAAACATACTGGTCGCTCTTGTAAGGACCCTCAACGTCTAGTCCGAGGTATTCACTTTGTACCTTGGTGAGGGGTGTAACCTCAGCGTTGACATGAGACAAGTGGAGTCTGGCCACTTCCTCGTCAAGAATCTTAGGCAACACATAGACACCCACGGAAAGCTTTTCCGTCTTGGCGAAGGCAACATATTTCTGGCCAAAGGCCTTGTCCTGGGCCTTGTACAACATAATCTGAGCAAGCACTTGGTTGCTGAAAGAGCAGGACATGACGAAAGATGAGTGACCAGTGGCACAACCCAGGTTGACAAGACGGCCCTCGGCTAGGAGAATGATGTGTCGGCCGTTTGCCATGAGGAAGCGGTCGACCTGGGGCTTGATGTTTTGGACGCTCTTGGCATTCTTCTTCAACCAGGCAACGTCAATCTCGATATCAAAGTGACCAATGTCTAGGAAAATTGTCAGTCTTTACGGTACCAAAAAAGAACGAAAAAAGAACTTTGGAAATCAATAGGGATGTACATACTGCAGACGATAGCATCATTAGGCATAGCCTCGAAGTGCTTTCCAACCAGAATGTCTCGGCAGCCGGTGGTGGTGACGAAGATCTGGGCAGAAGGAGCAGCCTTCTCCATTGTGGTAACCTGGAAACCGGCCATGGCAGCCTGGAGGGCGTTGATGGGGTCTACCTCAGTAACGAGGACGCGAGCACCCATACCCTGAAGAGCCATGGCACAGCCCTTACCGACATCACCGAAACCGGCAACGACAGCGATCTTGCCAGCAATCATGACATCGGTGGCGCGCTTGATACCGTCGATCAGAGACTCACGGCAGCCGTAGAGGTTGTCAAACTTGCTCTTGGTAACGCTGTCGTTGACATTGATGGCTGGGACGAGCAGAGTCTTGTTCTTCAACATGCGGTAAAGGTGGTGGACACCAGTGGTAGTCTCCTCAGAGACACCGAAGCAGTCCTTGAGCATCTCAGGGTACTTGTCGTGGACAAGGTGGGTCAAGTCACCACCGTCATCGAGGATGAGGTTAAGCTTCTTGCCATCCTTGAAAGCGGACAATTGCTGTTCTAGACACCAGTTGTACTCCTCGTCGGTCTCACCCTTCCAGGCGAAGACGGGGACACCAGCAGCAGCAATGGCAGCGGCGGCGTGGTCTTGGGTGGAGAAGATGTTGCAAGAAGTCCAGGTAACTTCAGCACCAAGAGACGTTAGGGTCTCGATCAGGACAGCGGTCTGGATAGTCATGTGCAGGCAACCGGCGATACGGGCACCGGCAAGGGGCTGGTCTGCGGCATACTTCTTTCGAATGGCCATTAGACCAGGCATCTCATTCTCGGCGAGCTCAATCTCCTTGCGGCCGAAGGCGGCAAGGGACAGGTCAGCGACCTTGAACTTGCTGGCGGGGGCAGCCATTACTACAGTATTGTTAGTATTGTGTGTATAGGCGAGGAGGGGACGTGAAGACGTAAAGACGTACTGAGGTAATTGATTGAATTAAGTGAGGCGGTGAAAGGTGAAAGATCAAGATCCCAACAAGATAAGCAGGCGGGGAAATCGATATTCTAGGATTGGCGTCTAAGTCAGTAAATGAACCTTTGGAAGAGGGACAGAAGAATATATGTGAAGGCGAGGAAACAACTTGATGTTAGCCAAAATGTAATCTTCAGTTACTTACAGGATATATTTGGCAAGAAGGTAATCGGATGGATCGTAGGAGGAGTTTGAGGAGAAGAGAAAGGGTAAGGGTTGGGAAGAGAAGAAAAGAAAAAGGTCAGGAGAAATAAATATAAAAATGGATGAATAGTACTACAAGTACATGTACATACCATGTAAGCTTTAACCTAGTACTATGTAGGTAGGCGTACCGAAGGATTTTTTTAGATTTTTTAGATTTTTTTTTTTCTCTTCAGGCTTTTCCACTACTACATGTAGGTACTATATTTTGCTCTGGCAAGGTTAGGTACCTAGCATGACCCCTCAGTAACCGCCGGACTTCGTCGGCGAGTGGTCGGGGTCCGTTGCTGACGGCACCACTAGTCTTCTTCTGGACTAGGGGATTTGGTCCCTGGAAAATGCCCCTCATCCCGATCTTGTCCACCCACTCGGCACATCTTTTTGCTATTGTGTTGTTTAGTTGGAATATCAGTAACTCCGTGTAGTACTATATGTAGTGCTCTTATGTAAGTCCTGACCAGCGCGGAAGAATCGGGAGTAAAAGGCTCTCAAGGTTGATCCTACTTCATTAAGGGTAGAACCGTACAATATAATTTTTACTGTGATAACTATGCGTGTACATGTATAGTTCCCCTTTTCTGTATGTCTTCGGTATAATAAATCAAAGCTTTCTTTTCTCTCTCCTTATATCTCTAAGTTCTCTACAAACCACATAGATCGGACTGCTGAGCCGGGGCACTTTAAAATTGGGCTTTCCCAATATGAACTTGACGAATATGTCTATCCCCTAATCGTGTTGGAGTAGGTATTTCGATCAAGGTGTCCTAGTCTCTTATCTCTACAATCTCGCAAAATTCGTTAAACTGGATCAATGTGTGGTGCTGCCCTCAGTCTCAACTTCGAAATGCTTGACCTCTTAACTTGCCCCTCCCTATAAGAGATGAAATGGGCTGGATGTTTTTCAAAGAACTTGGTAGAATTGGTTCTACAGACCCTCAGAAACCCTAAGATACCACCGGACGCCAGGCCACATGCATGTACACCGATTAACCCCTTCCTCCTGCCAATCCAGCTTATTCTGGGAGAAGATTGCCTCGAACAGCGAACATCTTGGCACTGATATTGGCTGTGAACCCATCTATTTGCTTGCTATACTGCTCGACTTGCTTTGCATTCAACATACCCTCCAGTCGGCTAGGCTCTTGGGGAAGCTTGAAGATCCGCTGCCATTCATCCTCCGGAAGTGGTTGTTGCTTAGCCGCAACTCTTCCAGCGTTCTCAGCCTTTCGCTTCGTTTGCCACGCTGTAATCTTAGTTTGCTCGCGAGCGAGTTGTCTCTGGTAGTACTGATGGTTGTTAAGTTCGGTGTAGTGTGACTCGATGCTATCAAGCAGAAGATCGCAAGTCTTCTCTAGGAAGGGATCGATCGAGAGATCGAGGATATCGGTCGATGGGTGAAGAGGCATCTTGACAGGGTAACGTTCAATCTCGGAAAGAGATGTCGGCATTTTAACCTCTCCGTCAGTGGGAGAATTAGGGAGTTGGTGGAGGAATGATGTCAGGAGGTGCGAGTTGTGAATGTGGATGGGAAACTCGACGATGATATCTTTGAAGGTGAGCTTGGACTTTTGTAGACTGCATCAAATTAGCATCTACAACTTGACTTGATAGAACTGTGATCTAACCTCTCGGTGGTGAATTTGCCTTCCTTGAAAGCCGCCATGAAGGTCTGCGTGAGCTTAAATGCTCGTAAGCTAAGCGCACCCTGCGAGCTTCGGCTAACATCGTGCACCAAGGCCACAGTTCGGTCATTGTCGCGCTGGTAGTGGTATTGGTTCTCGATGAAGCTTGAGTTGACAAAGTTGCTCATGGTCGCACTCGTATACCAGCCGACATTGTTGGCGTCGACATTTACCTCCTTGAGGTGACGGATCATTTCGTTTTGGTAGATAATGTTTGATTTGGCGCGAGGCGCGGCAGCAGCAAGAGCAGATGCGTCATTCTGGTGGCCGCCTTCAACGCTTGCTAGATCAACTGTCGGAAAGGGAAAAGCATTCGTGATCTCAAGAACTCCATCCTTGTCCATGCCCACAATCGATCCAGTGGCAGTCGTAGGGAAACTGTTTGAGCAGTGCTTAACTACCTTCAACACAACCTATATATAGAGGAGCGTAATGCCGTAGGTCAGCCAGTCATCCTAATTTGATGAGGGGGTAATCAAGTGATTTCTTTCTTCTTCTTGTTTGGACAACGGGAGGAAGGCAAAATAAAAATAAAGCTCACCAACGCCTCGACCTGGACCGTCTTGAACGGCGCATCCTTTAAAGAATCGGCCATGATCGCAAATTTGATAGATCTGTGCCGAATGTAGAGTTGGTGGAAGTGGGTGGTGGGGAAGTCGAACTCGGGTTTGGCGATAACAACGATGCTTGAATCTAGTCAAGATTTTGCGATTTTTGGTGGGATAATCTTTGATGATTCGATGCGATTTCTGTGTGTCGGAAATTTGGTGGGCGGGGAGAAGTGGCACAATCGATAACTAGTTAGTTAGATTTAACTAACTAATGTAACTAACTACCAGTATTGCTCTGGGCTTATCTAATAACTATGCATTTATCAGATAAAATATTTCTTATCTCATCAGTTTGCATTAATTCATATTACCCTAACCTACATATGTAGGTTAGTACCTACAAGTATGTACTTTTACTTACATTAATCAAGCTGGAGATAGTTAAGAACATCCATCCATCGCACTTGCTGATGAAGCGAAGCGAACGTAGCAAAGCAACGCAAAGTTAAAAACCTAAAGCATCCCACCCCCGAACCCCCACGCCCATGTTGTCATTTTCCATTTTCGACATTCCACAAATCAAACATAGCTATCTATGTAAAGAGCCTCAAAACAACGTCGTCTCTTCTCAACACCTATCTATCATATTTGAACTTATATATCTATTGCCATTCCATTCGCCAATGTTTTATATACGGGTTATACAGTACACACAGTATATACCGACTGCGTATTTACCTACCTAGTACCCCTTGGCAGACTCGGCATCTAACCAAGGTGGATTCAATGTAGGTACAGCATTAACATTGGAATATCACTGATCAGAACACCAGGTTGCAGGATCAACTACTTTGTAACTACCTACCTACCCAGTCTTAGCCGGGGTAGAGAACTATCGTGGTTGTGTTACTAACACATCCTTCTCTTTTTGCCACCGGGAGAAGAACAATGCTAGTCTCATCGTGGGTCAAATCCTCGATTAGGAGAGGGAAGCTATACTTCCGATATACGGATACACATAATCTCATTTCTCATTTCTCCTTGGTCTCTATCTACCTAGGTTAGGTAGGTAGGTAGGTAGGTATCTATCTATGTCTTTGTGCTAAGATCTATCATCATCGCCATGGGTCAACGATCAGAACCAATAACCCGATACCATTCCACAAGTTAGAAATCACAAGCCAAAAAAAATCAATCCCAATCCCAATCCCTCACGAGAATACGGCCCGTCGGCCGCGGACTTGTCCTATTCGCCAACGCCGTCGCTCTCTATCTCAAGCGCACAAAATGGAATCAGACCGGGCGGGCCATCATGCATCCCGGTGTAACCCTACCAAGGTACGCACTCATTCCCAGTCTCATTCCCAGTCAATAATTTCCCAGTTTTTCACGTCATCCCGAATGATAAGCCTATGTCGGTCAATCTTCCAATGCGTGTACAATGACCGGGTTGCTGCCGCTGCTTTGCGATGTCCTGGTCCGACGCCTCCCTTGGTCGCATCCTCTTGCGATCTCCACAGGCAGGTTGCAAGGTTCCTACCGTCCTTATCAGGGTGTCCGAACCAATATCTGAAGCTTGTTAATATGCTCTCTTTCATGAAGTTGGGTGGACAGATACCTACTTCAGGAAGCCTCCACTGGCTATCGCCTCTGTATGTGCTACCTTATCCAATGCACCCAAGTCCTCGTACACGGTTGTGGGTGGAATCTGTGATCGGAAGGCTACAATGAAGAAGGAAGTCTCCTTCCATCGATAGCCATGAGTACGAACCAGTCGTTCCAATTCTTGGAGTATTTCATTCCAATTGAACGACTCGACATAGGACGCAGTGGCATAGTCAGGTCGCAGGTTTTCCATGCGAGCAAGTGCGCGAGCAAGTAGTGCGTTTTCTGCATCAAGCGTTCTCAAGTCGAGAAGATGATCCTGCTCGGTATAAGGCGATTGAACTAGGAAGTGGCTGCCATCGTGCTTGAAGATGTCCAATTCTTCATTCGGAGGTCTTGCCATCTCCTCTGTTGATATTTTTATTTGGCCCTTCTCGTGAAGGAAATCAGGCGAGATACCTAAATGGTGTGGTGGCACTTGATTAACTGACATATTCAGAGTGCTTGATAGGAAGAGTAGTTGTAGCCACCAGATGCTAGAGAGTGGTAGGGGAAAGTGCTGAGAATCAACTAATGCCTTAAATATCTAGGTTGATAGTAGGGGTGCGGGTGGACTTGAGAAAGTAGTTGGGGGATGTAAAAGCTTTGAAATGGATCACAAGACGGTTTTTATGCTAAGAAGTCTCTGCGTAAGGACATCCCGCAAGCTGGCTTTTGATGAGTAGGAACGTCGTTTGACCAGACGAGATGTACACCACAATCACATTAACTTAAAGCCAGGAGGTCAAACTAGGTACCTAGTAAGTTACCATCCACCAGCGGTATGGCGAGCGGATCCAGCTGCATGGCATTGCTTATGTATGTAGGAGACCCTACTTTCTTTGTGAGGTGTTGAAATTCTGGGTCGTTCTTCGCCCCGGATCAGATCGCGCCATCCCGCAAATTTTTGATACCATCGCCCAACATTTAGCCAGGTAAGACAAGCCCAGCACTAAGGCGCACTTGGACTATGAATCTTGAACTAAGTCAACTGAAGTGAGATCAATATATTAATGACACCAGTTGATACTACAATAAGATCAGGTACAATTTATGTATGAATGGTATGATGTAGGTTTTCTACGTGCTCGCACGTCACCGTACTTTTCTTCGCCCCTTAACCGTCTCACCCCGATCAATGGTGAGCACTGAATCTGCATCGTATCTAACATGCCTAGGTAAGTATGTAACGCTTCCAAGATTGATACTCAGAAACATTGAATATACCAGCCGGCCTACTACCTAGGTAGGTAATTACCTATCTACCATATAGCACACCCTAAGTAGGTAGCAATATGTAGTATCCATACGACATCAATCTTGATAGACAACGTGTTTGGGAGGACTTATGTATCAGAGCTTAGATCCTCGCATCGGAATTGGCCAATCGGGGTTGTTCGGAATACAAAACAATCGACATGTCACATCTGTGCATCTGCATCATGCCGCAACGACCAAAGACGAGTCCACCAAAGACGAGTCCTCTTTTAGTACAGGTATCAAACAAAAATATAGCTTACCCACGATGATGCTAAAAAGCATGATGAACAAATCGTGCCTGGAAAAAGTTCTCCCATTTATTGATATTTAATTTGATTTGTTTGATTTGCATTCTGACATATTGTATGATAGCTTTCAGTGGCATGTGTTAGTACCAAGGTCAACAAGCATCCATATGTCTGAGATATTCTGCTGCTATGACAATCGACTTACTAATCGCAAGCGATTGGTGCATATTTACGACAGGGCCACAGGTCCAGAAAGCAGAATCTCGGCGCAGATGCCGGTAGGATATCTCGGAATCTTCCTCCAGATGCGACTTTGCCCCAATCCGCCTGAATTGCCCTTGCAAATCGGAAAGAGTTGCTGCTCACCGCACGGCCGATCCAAACCCTTGGAGTCGCGATTATCGGTGGATTCGCCGAAAATCCCCAACGCAATCAAATACGGGATGGCCTACTCCAAGGCTGAAAATAGGAGACTGAACTGTTGCCATTGGATGACATAGTATCCTCACGAACGATCTCGGACCATCAAATCCAAGCAGATAATAGAATTTGTGGCATGATCCCCCTTCAATGTTCATCTGTTATCTATAGCTCCCTAGGTATCCTGGTATATCCCCCTCAATTTGTTTGATGCAGGTAGGGTAGTCCTTTCTATCGCATAGCAGATAAACTATCGGCATATACGATCTAACAACTTGGTTTAGTTTATGCTTGGATGATGAAGCTCCTCATCAACTCACTTGTGACACCTGCTCGACTAACTAGTGTGAGCAAGGATGAAATGATTCCTTAGTCCCCTCCACGTTTGCATCGTGCGTGAACTCCCACGTCACCACCTATACATTCCGAGTCAAAGCATCAAAGCTGTATGGTTCTCATATATATGATGTTCGGGGTCGGAGTATGCACTTGTAGGTCAGCAGGCGTGGTCCAATACACTTTGAAACATCGCTGGAAATACACCTACCTAACTAGGTAAGTAAGTATATCCTACAAATGATAAAATAGATACTTAGTGAAGTTTTATCTTGGGTATAAGAGAATCATATAACAATCCCATAAGGCCTCAATGCCTCACATCACCAAGCATCAACTCGAGTTTTATAGCTGCCATCCTATGTGTCGAGCTAAAGGGAGCATCGATTTGATATCTACCTACTTGATGAGTACTCGGTCGGTAGATGCCTAGGTAACTAGGATCAAAATAGGTGGTTGAAATGGGAGTCATATGACCACCCATGAGCACTACCCAGAGAACTTCTCAACCAAGTACGTCATATTTCTGACACTTCATGAGGGTATTCTCATGTCTCGAATGTCAAGTCATCGTATAAGGAGTCACTTTTATTAGGTGATTTCAAGCGCTTTGTTTCCCCGAACTGAAACTTTGCATTGTCGGAGTCGCGCGTTTTTACAATACAGTCGGGAATGCCGAGTCACGCACATAGTCGTTCAAGAACTATTCGCCAGAGTAAATGTAAATGGGAATTTCGTCCTAAAACTACGTCTTAGTAGGCTGGGAAATTGTTGTTTGCGCAAGTAGGGGGGTAGAGGTAACCTTCTCAATACATTCCCTTGGAGATGAAAAAATGTTTCGTATCAAAGAAAGTCTTGGTGAATACGAAGACAATATATCTTCGATAGATGCCTTTGGAGCTTAGGGGTGCTTTCCATTGAACGAGCTAGGTTAGACCGTCAGCTAACCCTCGTGATCAACCAATCATATAAGAAACATCATTGACTTGCTCGGTGATAGGTTTCGAAAGAGTTTCTTCTTTAGGTATCAAGAGAATGCGGGGTTGAGAATATGAACTATATTCTCGTCAATGAAGCGTCCGTTGCGTGATTCGGTGAAGTGGATTATCCAAAACTCCAAGTCCAACTATCTCTCCATCTTTGAAGCCTTGACCGCAAGTTGTCTCCTGCTATCTCTGATTAGCGTTTGGCATCACTTGACTAGATACATATACGCACAAAAGTCTCAAACTGGCCGACATCTTGTCAAGATATCATTACAGTCTGTGCGAATCGCCGGTGTAACGATGATGTGTGTGTTATGCCTACTAGGCTAGTAAGTAGGTAAACAACAAACAGCCCAGCCCCAGCCCCTAGCCCACAACACCAAAATGACAACAGGTTTTACTTTTTTTTAACTGCCCAGGTGTCACTTAAATTATTCAACACCCTATTGTGTACACGGTAGATACCCCTGTATTGCTGATTAGGAGATACGGACCCCACGGGGATAGATTGAAGCCCTCAGAATTACCCCTTTTCCCACATGAGGCCGTCACGTTACAATTCTCAGTGGAAACTAGATTAGGGCTGTCTATTATTTATCTTGAAGGGATAGGGCAAACATATTACCGAGCTGGTAATTACTCCAGCAACGTAACATCCGAAGACATATCCCGTATCATGGGTCCTAAAGAGATAGTAGGCTTAACTTAGCCATGCAAACATGGCGTATCCACATACAGCGACATGTTTCCCTGCAGAAGAACAATATCATAGGCAGCTTCGATCTAACATTTCACCGAAGTCAAGACAAAGTTGTACGACGTGGATCGTACGATGTTGTCACCTCCATCTTTCCTAATTCTAGGTACTCTTTGCGCTATATCGAGCCCCAATATCCCGTCATATGAATTGCACGAACTCTCGTTGGTTACCAAGTCGCTGGCAAAGACATAAACGGCCCCTCTATCCGAACATCTTTGATACTCTTCAGTAACTTATTATCCACGACATGATCTAGATCTGGCCGGGCAGATGATATGGGGTCGAGGTATGGATGTCACGGACGTTGAAACCGCCGACGGCAGGAGATTGTAGAGGAAGCAGGAACGGGGTATTACTTACATTTTTATCATTGATATTACAAAGAACTTAGATTCTGATAATCAGTAACTAACTATACACTTGAGAAATTCCTATTGGGCTACCACATTCGTCGAAATACTGGCCTGCCCAGGCTTACATTCTTGGCTACATATTCCTGGGGAAACACTAAACTCACGACGTTAGGTACTTATAACACAAACACAGCCGAGAGAAGTTGCATTGCGGCTGTATACGAGAACAAGATAAGAGACCTTCCTTTATAAGCATTTTATACCTAGTAGTGAATCACCGTGATACTTACATAGAGGCTGAGGAGGATAGTAAACTTGAGGTAGGTTAGATATAGGCAATGATATCCCTACCAATCTATCAGGTACCCGTATACCACCTGCTGTGGGTAGGTAGCTATTTAGCAAATGCAAATGTGTAACTTATTTCTTACATTGGCCACGTGCTGCCATACATAATCATACTGTTTCATTTATTTGCTATGGGGCCGGCACTCCTGAGACCCGACTATGCTCTTCCCCAGGTTTCTAGAACACATGTAGGGCCCCCAGTGACGTCGGTGACGTATCTCGCCTTGCCGGCCTGCAATATGAGCTTGGGGGGCGAGCGCGGAGGGTTTGGCCTGGAAAGTTTCCGTTAGTCTCGACAGGATTGCCAGTATATCCTAGATGAGGAGCAAAGGACAGCGAATCAAGCTACGGATATGTGGGCACCGAAAGCAAACCTCGGAATAGGGGCGAAAGCCAACCTCTTTCAAGCTGGGCTTCTCTTAATCAATATACCGACATCCGGCTCCCTGGGTCGCCGTCATCGCTCCGTTCTAGAACAATAATGGAGATAAACAAATGTGGATAGTAGGGGTATGGGTGAATACCACGTGCCATTGATATCGTGATCTGAGTTGTTTGAGATCACTTCTTCAAGGTTAATACCTAGGAAAAAATGGATCGGCTAGATTATCGGTGGAGTAGTTGATTCCATGAAGAAGATAAGGAAGTTCAATAGTCCTTCCTGTTCTGATGAATTGGCGTATCATTTCGTCGACTATCGGGTTAATTCCGCTATAACAGACTTGACCAAGACGAGCATATAAGGGAGTCAAACGTCCCCCCTTTCCCCCTTTTATCCTAACGAGAAAAATACTTGTTCTCATCAACATATCATACCTGACACTCCCACCACAGCACATACCCAGCAAGCTTTAACCCAAGGAACATCATCAACACCTCCAAAATGATCATGGCAACTCATCTTCGGAATCTCTTCCTGTTATGTCCAGTAATTGCGGCAGCATGGCCAGGATTTGTTGCATACAAAGAGAGGACCTGCAGCGATCCGCTTGATATCTGGAGTGACGGGGACCTGATCGACAACAGCACACTTCTAATAGACCGCTCCATCACAGACGTAGACAGTCATGCGGGCGGCCGCTATTACGAGAATATGACCTTCCCAGCGGCGAAAGCAACGGGCGACATGGACACAGACGCGGGGACCCAGTTCGTGTACTGGAAAGTTGAGGACCCTGACCCGACCTGCCAGTTCATCATGATGAAGGATACTCCTCGAGGGTGGCAGATGCTTAACGAAATGCCCGGGGCCGAAATTCTGCGGGTGGCGCAAGCCGGCTGCTACTACACATCTCTCAACGTAAGTCCCAAAGCATATAACAGATCACCGATCTCGTTCTTCGTCCGTCCGTCTATCCACATTTGCTGACAATTCATATGATATACAAACAGCCAAACGACAACCTGATTACTAGCTACTGCTGTGGCCGCGACGACTGTGCCATCGCAGAAGTTGAGATTCAAAGCAATTCTCCTAAGGATACCTCCGGTGAAATCGCACCGAGCTGCACGATCAAGAGATCCTACTCGGCCACCCCCACCATCCAGGACGGGAAACAGATAGCTATTACCAGGCCGCAGACCTGCGAAGCGCCCCCGGCTTGTACGCATTCGATCACGCAAAGCAGCATGGTTTCAACGGCTCTCGCGCATTTTCAGTCGTATTCCTGGACCACTGAAGAAGGTGTCGATGTAAGTCCGGCCAACCCCTTTACCACCACCACCACCACCACGAAAACGGGGATAATGGGGGAGCGTTGCTAATATTTCTCTTTACTACACAGGTTCACTTCGAATCAGGCGTCGACTTCCTCTTGGCTAGCAAGATGACGACCGGTATCAGTTTCAGTATTGCACAGAGTTGGATGGATGAGACTGGCACAACCCTGACGGAGACGAATATCACGGCCGCCCAGGAAGCCGGAAGGCAGGAGGCAGGTAGCGTGGCGTTCTACTCCTTCATTCCGCAGTACGACTGCTGGACGGGCGACGTCAGTTGTGGAAACGACCAGGATGGAAACGAGAAGGTCCTTGAGGGTATTAGCTTTTGCCAGCCTCGCTTGGCGACTACTGGCGACCCTGCTGGAGTGTTTAGGATGGTGTATACCTCTGGATGAGCAACGTCTGGGCAGATAACATTTGGCCGCGAAAGCCCTTTTGTTTCGTGTTTCCATGTATTTTGTTTCGTTATGCGTGCTTTGGATGATTTTGGACATTGGCTTATTGGGATTCTGGGATGAACATGACATGAGATGATATAGGGATGGGTTCGGTAGGCGCGCTCGACGGACTGGGCGCAGGGGTTCAATGGATAGCATATGAATAGTCTATATTATTGGAAACTGTAGTCTTCCGCATTGTATTCCTTTCTTCTCGCGAGCCAAGCTTTTGCTACTTCGTACGTCCCTAAGTAGAGGCCGCTGCCGACGCAGGTCCAGACAGCACGAAGGATGGCTCCTCTAAATAATCCAGAGACTCCCCGTTCCGAGACGATCTGACGTGCTACGGCGAGCGCACCTTGTGAACTCTTGCTGGCTGTGTTCTGTATCCCAACGACCGGATTATTCGCGCTTTGCTTTGAACTCTGGTCACGCCCCGCAGCCAGCATGATCCGAGTCTTGACCACATCCATAGGCGTCGTGATAATGGCCGCAAAACTGCCTGCCAAGCCTGCGCTCGCGCCTGTGACCACTCCCGTTTCAAGCAAACTCCGCTTTTCCGCCATATGGTCGGTAGTGCCATCTTTGGACAGATCTGAACGCCTTCTCCAAAACCATGCACGCATGGATTCAAAGATGGGAAATTGAATAGCGGTGAAAGGCAAGTTCCTAGCTACTAGAGCGGAATAACCGGAGAGCAATTTGCCTCCCGCTCCGGTACCGCCCAACTGCTTCAGAGCCTGAAGCGAAGCAAACCTATGCGCGCTCGCAGACCGTTGCTGGAGCATCTGTGCATTCTGTTTGATCACTTCAGAAGGAGTAAGGACTAGACAAGACGCACACTCGGCTATTGCTGAGGCACCCGAATGCATTAAAGGCTGTGGGAGACCTAACGGCGACCCGTGGCGGCCGATGAATGTCTTGGCGGCTTCGTAAGTCATGAAAAAAGTGCCAGCGGCAGGTAAAGTGGCGAGTATAACTATGCCAATGCCTTGGTAGAGGCCCTGGAAAAGCTGCCTCGATGGCAGCTTCGTCTTAGTTGACGGACTGGCAAAAGTCTTGATGAAATCGCGACTTTGCTGGCGGGTTTTGAGCGTGTCTAATGGATAGACTATCAGGTCTACCGCGAATGCTGCCCCGCCACCAGCCTAGGTAAACGTGGAAAAATTAGAACATTGTATCGGTGTTTGATTTTGCACATTACAAAACTGTGTGTAGAAATTCCAGGAAATTTAAGGGGCTGGTTGTAGCATGAGAATATCTTACCAACATGACATCGAGATTTGAGGTTTTACTCATTTTATAGTAGTTGTCTAAGTTTGATTACTTTTGGTAACCCAGATACTGCGACAGCGGGTATTTATAGTATTATCGAAAGTGGTTGAGGTGGGTGAGGTGAGGCGAGGTCTGGTTTGGTCTCTTGGTGTCTAATACGACTGGAGTTAGAACGGAGTGAACCGAACTTGGAAAGTGATGAGATTGATAAGATTATGCAGGGCATATGCAGTATACAGGGTCTTCAATGTTGGTCTTGATACATTACTAGGTACTAGGTAACTACATATTTAGTACCTACATGTACATCAATGATACATAGTACAAAATCCATTTGCAGATAGCATCTCCTGTACCTACATATGACATAACTAAAGTCCAGAATAAGTAGGGAAAATAATGAGGTCATTATGTAATTAATAACTACCTCTTACATAATACCATGTACAATGTCTGTAGGCACATACATACATACTATGTATTAGTAACATTATTAACGACATCATAGCCCGGATTGGATTGGGTAAGCCATGGACATCTTCCCAAGCCTAGCACAAGTAGGCTCAGATGAGAACCTTTTCTTGTAATTAATCGTTGCAAGCTCTAAACTGATTAGGTAAGAACAGATGGATATCATGCAAGGGCATTACTTCATCCTCGAATATCCTCATCCTCACCCACTTCCCCTCCCTACAAGCAATCCGTTAACCGTCCGTACCGCTGCTTCTGAACGTGGCACACAGTGCAGCGTAGTGGTGGGTTAAATCTAGAACGTTTTGTGGCAAACTTGTCGCCTGAATAATCGATCGAACCTTGACTGCGCCCTCCTCCTCAATCAACGCCCGGATTGTGTGAAGGAGCTCGGGAGAGAACTCTGAATACCAACGGTACTGCCAAGTCACGAGTCGGATCACAGCAGCCACTGTGTCTCTTGTATTCCTTTGCTTCTCGTACGCTCGTAGAATTCCCGAAAGTGCTTTCGGGCTAAATCGTGCGGCAAGGCATGCCCTATACGCCTCTACTGCCTCATCGTGATGTTGGAGACGCTCCGCCAAGGCACCAAGAATCTCCCATTCTTCGGCTGACTTCTTGTATTGCATTGACTGGGCCCTGTATTGCGCCATCTGCGTTCTCCATATCGTATAGACACGGAGGTCCTCGTATAGTACCATGAAGAGACTGTCCAGCCATCTTTCACACAATCGCTTGTTGTTTAGGCGCGAGAGATGCTCGTCAGTGGTTGCGCTCTATAGCATATATCAGTATCCATCCCTGATCTGTGAAAACAAACTGCGAAAATCTGAAGAGTCAAAAATACTTACAGTATCACCATCGGCTTTCACTTCTCCAGGGTCAATGGTGTGGGTTGGCTTCTCGACGCTGTTTTCTTCACCATGGCCATTGGTTAGCGTAGGCGCAGTAGAGTCGGCTTCCGCTGAGGCTGCGCCCGTTGCGGCCTTCTCTTCATCCCCCTCATCGTCAGTCTGATCGCCATTAGTGGTAGGCTCTGGAGTCCCGCGCAGTCCGTCAGTGCTTGGGTTGCGTTTCGTCGATTGAGGCTGTGAGACACTGTCTTGTTTTTCACTCCGATACTCGTCTTCCATGACGAAAACATTGCTTCGTATCTTAAGGAGCTGATCCCAGCCAATCTTAGCGGTCATTTCCGTAAGAATTCCATAGGCCAGCTTGAAAGTGCCACGATATGAGGCAGCCCGAAGGCCAAGTAGGCTTGGATCCACCTGTTCCGAGTATCTGGACTCTGGTTCGCTGTCGATCTCTTCTAGGCGTGTCTCGGGTAAAGTTGGTAGGTAGACATCCTTCGGTTCGGGCATGACTGGTGCATCTTTGTCTTGGTAAGTAAACATCGGGCAAGAGTTGAGTATCGTAAGCGCATTGTCCCAATCCTCCATGGCGACGTAGACCTGCGCTAACCTCGCCCATGTGCCGAATTCACTTGGCGCCGCGATTGTGCTGCGATCAGCACAACCTAGAGCCATCTTGAGCCTCTCCTCCTTCTGTGATGGGGTCTCAGCTGCTAGCGCCTTCTTGAGGAGGAATTCGGCTTGGGTGTCTAGCATGACGTAGTCCATGGGTGTGTTCTTGAGTGCCTGGTATAGTATGCGCACACCTTGCACTTCCTCGTTGCCCATGAATAGAACCTTGGATAGTAGGGACGATACCTCGACATTCTGTGTCCTTAGTTTCTCGAACAGATTGATGGCTGATGCAAAACGTCCCGTAGTATGAAAGTATTTTAGAAGGCCGGCCGTTAAGTGATTCGACACATTGTTTGGAACTTGGACCACGGAATCAGAGCCCAGTTGCCAACCTGTACGGTTTTAGCTAATAGCCCCGGATTGAACGACAACAAGCGCACGTACCTCGGAAGAAGAGGCTCTCAGCGGCGCTCAGGAAGCGATGCTCAGTTTCAGTGTTGGTAACAGGATTGAAGCGCCTCACACCCATAATCTTCCTAATGGTATCCCCGCTCCCATCGTCAGCGTAGGAATAAGCTCGCAGGACACTGCATAGATAGGTTTCAAGCCAGAGATCGTCGGTGGCTTTTCGTTTCTCGCCCCGTTCGTCAACGCAATAGGCTTCTACGGTTCCAGGAATTGTAACATGAACGCGCATGTCAAGTCTAGAGAAGGCATTATAGCAGCAGTACAAGCCTTCAACGATCTTGTGTGTAGCAACTTGGCCGTGCTCTTTGTAAGTGAGGGTGTTGATATAGGCAGCAAGACTAGCTGATGAGGATGCATCAACGCCTGTGACGTGGTGGTATACGCCTGTCTACACCAACGAGTTCAGTTCAGAGCCAAGTTTCCGGGGTATCACTTAGTTGACGAACCTGTTTCCCGGTGTTTCTGAGATTCTGTTTTAAGAGATGAACAAGATCTGGGGGACCGAGTTCGCGCAGTGATATTAAGGTCTCAGTACGGGCTTCGATCGATTCGTGCAACACCTCCTCGGAGATTCTGACGAGGTTTTGTTAGGACGATACTAAAATTGGCACATATAGCAAAGATTATATAGGAACTGACTCTGGAACCGCCGGTGTAGGCATTGCGATCCGAAGTGAAAAAAGGTACCTAGTAGGTGGCTATGGTTGAGTTCGAGGATATGTAGGTAGGAATAGCTTCAATGTTCAGCCTCAGTGTTGCTTGCTTGCTTGGTTGCTTGCAAGTTTCGATGCTTGAATCTTGTATTAACTCAATTCAATTCAACTTCGCAAAATCATAAATCATAATGCATCAAAGAAGCATTGGAAAGAGTGGATTCTGATAGTTAATAGAGAAAAGATTAAAAGATTGCGCGTTCGAATGGCTACAGTGGACACGGGACACTGGGACACTGGATGCATACGTGCATACATCCATATGATCGTGGAGTAACAGTTACAGATTCTCTTTCGTGCTGCGTGTTTGGATTGTTGAATTTCCGAGATACGCACGGGCCAATAGAGAGGAGCAGTGTATATGGTTTATGTCCATACTTATCCACTTCTGTATCTAGGGTATTGTTATATCGATGTTTCATGATGAGCTAAGGTTCAGCCAATGTTCCAAGTTTGAACTTTAGCCTTGCATCCATGTGGCGGCCAGGGGTCGGATCAATCTAGTATGAGGTGCCTTAGGCATGTGGGCCCCTAATTATGTACCTTAAGGCCCTGAACGGAATGCGTCTTATTTTAAGAAGGGGTCCTTACAGCTTGTGGATCCCTTGCACAAAATATTCAAAAACACGCTAAAAAAAGAACTTAACCTAAAAGAGCACCTTTTTTTTTTGCACAAATCTCTAAGACCCCTGTCATTAGCTTGTACTACGCTGTAAGACCTATCTCTTATTTTATGCAATGTACTGTTTAAATCGGGTCCAAAGCTAAACTATAAGGGGTTTAGCGCCCCACAAAAGAGCTCTTATTTTCCTGTAAGCAAGACAGGTCGATTTCAACCTGTCTTGCTTACAGAAAAGCCTCTTACAGCGTCGCACAAGCCCTGACAGCCCTTTCAAAGCCCTACGCAGCTGGCAAACAAGCCATTACAGCTGGCAGGCCAACTACGCAACTAGTTATTTTCAAATATCAATACAGTTGCCATTCAATTATTACAAGTGCCTTTTAATAATTACAGCTGTTGTTTTACTTCTTTCCATTTTATTTAAATTATTACAGCTGTGACAGGTATCTCCAGCTGTCGTCAGGTGTCAATTGGATTAGCCATATTTAGTTTAGATTGATTGCAAGGGATAAGGAAGATACATTTGGATTCATAAGATTTTATGTGTGGGGCCAATGTATCTTTTTAAGAAGAGCCCTTAAAATAAGACGGATTCCGTTCACAGCCTAAAGGCTTATGTACCTGCTATGTCACGACCGACCTTTCTGATCCCTGCTTACAGTAACACTCCCAAGGTTCAACTTTGAAGTTACTTACCTACATAGTACTGTACTAGGGACTGACTCAGCCTTGCGATTTCCTACATAGTTAACTAGTAAATGTACTTACTGTAGTTACATGCACGTGTACCTATTAATTATAGTATATACATAATACCTACATGTAGTAGTTACATTTGAATGGATCAATTGCCATTCGCGTCTTCCATCGCGACTTTACTATCTTATTGACTTAATTTATCACTTAAACATCAATCCCCATCGATCTGCCATATAAGGTACCTGTCTAGTTACAAAACATCTACGGATAGCTACACATCAATCATATAATTTGCGCTTGAGATTGATTATACCGAATTATGCGAACCTAACTTATTGGAACCTTTAGTTTTCCATGGCGTAGGAGGCGCACAGTAACTGACATCATGGTAATGCCTCTTCTTCTTCCTTATAGTTATAACCAGTTGGCTTTTGTTTGATTTCTTAGGCAAGCTATGAACGGAATACGAACTAATTAATTACCGACTCAGCCTGCCTTCTCCGCCATCAACGTAGAACCGGAAGAAAATATCGACGAAGAGATCGACAATACTCGCGAAATTCAGATAGATGAAGCTTTGAAACGTTTCCAAACAGCTCTAAAGCTCCACGCCCAGGGCCCTAATCATTATCCTGACGCTTCCGCGGCGTACGATTTCCTGTTTCAGTCTGAAATATTCCGATATCCCGAGAGCATCACCGATTTCGAACGCGCCGAACGACAGTCCGATCCCCGCCACCTTGATCTCGACCCATTCCCTCAGCCTCTCGATGCTGCTCAGGCTGATATTGACGGCAGCGGAAGTAGCTTGCCCCAAACCCTTTACCTCGCATACAAAAACTATGGCCAGTTTGCCCTTGACAGTATTAGATCTCTAGCAAGCGAGGAAAAAGACTCACTAGCCGGGTTGAAGGACAAGGCCGTCCTTGCAAATGCTCAGAAGGCACTTGGCGAATTCAGCTCGGCCTTGGATTTTGATCCGTCTGATGCCGAACTTTGGAGGAGGGCTGCGCGCGTTGCCGCATTTTTGAAAAGTCCTAGAGTTAGTCGATACTGTCTTGAGGCGGCAATCGAGCTTGAAGATGATCCAGCTGTCGAAGAAATCGAGCCTCCCTCTCTCGCCGAGGCATTCGCCGGGGAACAATTAAAGAGGCAACTTGATGTTTTATCCGACCACCTTGCACTATCGCACCCAATAATGACGCCCTTCCTTAAGAGATCAATACCAGATCAACTGAAAAGGCATCTAGACCCCTTTCCATTCCTGCCAAATTATACCGATTCACTTGCTCCACCAGAGGTTCCAGCTCTAGCTGATGAACAGCAACCACGACGCCTCGTAATCGATGTTTCTATAGCATCGTGGGCTGATTTAGGGATGTCAATTGTTCATCATGTTGCGGCTCAAGGCATCTCTGGGGAAGCTGTGACTTTGAATGTACCTGAAATACCAGTGACCCAAGAAGATGCCCAGACACTTGTGGAAAGATCGAAACCGGAGTCACTTAAGGAGACACCATTAAGCCAAAGAAGTCGGGAAAATGGCACGGTGGCGCAACTCAAAGACGACCAGAATGATTCACCTAAGGAGTGCACCGCCGAAGATGTACGCGCTGAGAGGAGCGCCTCTGTTCTTTCTCGAAAGCGTTCACTATCTATAGCGGGCCTAGCCGAGGGGGGCGATGAGGAGGTCGTCGACCGCAGAGGAAGCAAGCGTATTCGACGTCGAGAAATTGCTGGGGAAATCATGGATACGAACACACAACACGCAACCCAATTACAGCCATTCCAAGCTGCTGACCAGAATCTTTTCCAAATGACTCGTAACATGATAGAGAATATTGGAGTCACGGATAGAGATACTCTTGATCGACTAGCTGAAGTACTCGATTCATGTGCCTCTTCTACTCGTACTGCCAAGCTCGAACGAACTTCTATGGTTGATCTACGTAACTCACTTGTGGGATTTGACGAAGAGAGCACCAGAGTAGTCCTTTCTAAAAAGGAGGCATCATCTGTGGGATTCGCATCGTTCCTCGAACACTCCAAGTCTGGATCTCAAAATAAACCAGAAATGCCCATGTTTCATGACACAAAGGGTCTAGAGTCATTCGTTCAGAGGGTGAATGCGAATTGGTTGGGGATTCAGGAGGTTGCTTTCGAATGGGTAAGACATGTGTGTACTACTTATCTCACGAGCAAGTGGTCCGATTCCATGAAGACTGCGGTTGTCCAAGTAATCAGTCATTTGGATGAGGACATCTGGAACCGCATGCGATATGAGCTGAAATATATCGCTTCGTCTACAGACCCGGGCCAAACGTTAGCTACGATTGACCGCATGGTCCAGATGCTCTTCGAATTACACCTAGACGTATATGAGCGGATTACAAATCCTAACAGCGCCGTAGATTTCGGTATACGCATGGAAACCAAAGGACGACTTGCACGCTGGTTTACCTTCGCTTCGCAGATGAGCCGGGATCGCGCCGAAAGTGCAGACGCTACCCTGTCTATTCGATTTCTCTGGTCTGCTGTTTTTTCTGTAACTCTGACAGAGGGCGTCTCCAGAGACCACATTCTCCAATGCTGGAAGAGTCTCCGCGAAAGGCTTGGGGAAGACGAGGTGTCTATCGACATCCAGCTTCCCAATAACGCAATTATGCCCGAGGTCTCAGCGCACGCAGCTGATAGAGAGATTTCAAAACTGACAACAATGGATTTCTTCCTTGGGTTATTCCAAAACGACCTCAGTGATCCCGTGTCGATCATTGAGAGCCTGGAACCCGTCCTCAACCCCACCTCTGTCTGTACCGCAACAGGAGGGTTGGATACGTCCGAGGCGATGGCAGTTGACGATGACTCCACGACCCCGGTGACTGGGGCTGGTGCATTGCCCATTTCCGAGACCGCAAATCAAGGCCTTCGCGACCTTTGGAAGTTTCTTCTTGGGACCAGTACGGAATTGAGATTGTTCCTTTGGAGCCGGCTTGGAGAGGCCTACAGTGCTATTGATTACACCACAAAACAATTCTCGTGCCTTCTTAAAAGTATTGAGATGGTTATTACCGACTTTGAACAAGATTCATATATGGCTATGTCTGCTGAAGCCCGCCGCCCTCTATTTCTTAAGATGCTTAAGTTCCTGGATGAATTGTTGGTACAAGCACTTTCGGTGGCACTGAACGATCCGAAAGCTTTTGAAATCATCGACGATGAGCACCTCAAGTCAAGTATATCAGCCTTGGTTAAAGTATGTTGCGTGCTACATGTCTCGTGTATGTATGAAGATGAGGTACGCGTTGGCATGAAACAACATGCTTCCAATGGCGCGACCTTCCAGTCTTTCTTGGGAAAACTACGTGAGATGCAGGTTAGGAACTGGTCTCTGTTATACACCATGTTAAAGACTGGCATCGCACAAAACAAGGCAGGGTTTACTACGCCGGAAAATGACCTGGCTGATTACCTGGCGGCCATTCATCAAGTCTTGGGTCTTAGGAAATTTTGCAAGTCGTCTGGCAAGATATTCCTCAAGATGATGCGAGTGGAACTTTTGAAGCAGAGCCTCATAGACAACTGGGAAGATTACCTCGCTCAAGTCCTTTATGATCTTTATGGCTTAAAACTAGGGGTTGGCCTAAGTGAGGTACAAGACCATGGCTGCCCCCCTGAAAAGCTCGAGCGCCGTAATACCACCGCCCTAGTGGAGAGGGTATCCGTTCTCGCCAATCGCATGCCAATGAAGGACTTGCTAAAGTCAGACATCAAGACAACGATCGAGCATATGCAACAAGCCATCGGGCAAACCAAATCCAACCAACAGTTCATACAGAATTTGCGGATTTTCAATCAAACCCTGCAGAGGCCCATCCCACCTCTTCGCTTATACGAAGCACTCAAGGGTAACATCTCTATCGATGCAGTGACTGTCACTACCCCGGACAGCGCGTTGGCTAAGCACAGATGGTTCTTTCTTTTAGGAATGATAGCATTTACTAAGTTTAAAGGAGTAGATCTTAACAGGAGACAGACTCCAGGCGCAACAGACGATCTTCGTATCGGTGCTACATTTCTACGCCAGCAACTCCAGTTCACCCCTGATCAGTGGGATGCATGGTTTAGATTAGCCGAGTGCTTCGATTATGAGCTCGATGAATCAGTACTCTGGACGGCAGATAAGATGAACAAGGAGAGGGCAGAGTTAGTGAAATACCAACGGAGCGCAATCCACTGTTACACACTTGCCTTATCACAATCTCGAAACACCTTCCTTGAAGCCCTAGGGGAGTGTACTGACGACATCCACGACATGTACCACAAGTTCGGCATGCGTATGTATGCTTCGAGCCGAGAACCGTTTGCAATGGAACCATTCCGTCATCCCGAGCACAAGAGGTTCATTATCCATGAGTCCGGCGTGGAGTCTAAAGATCTTCACCCCCAAATGGATGACTACAAAGTTTGGAAGTATGCCTCTGGGTTATTCAAGAAAGCCATGGAAGTAAAGCCAAAGCAGTGGCAGTAAGTCGGCTCCAGCCCCCTTATCGACTATAATCTAGCTAATCAGCATTGTAGAAATCCGTACATGGTAGCCAAGTGCATCTGGAAAATGTACCAGAAACACCCAACATCCCTTGAGCATAGAGATAGACGGGATCGACCAACCATACAGACAGTTATCAGCGCTCTTGAAAAGGCGGTCCAAGTCGTGTCCGCTCTACCAAAGCCACGTCATGGTCAAGATCCGATTCTAGAGCCTCATTACAAAATCGTATCGATTATGCATAAACTTGTTACGCGAGGAGATATATCACCGCAAGAAGCGGCAGATATACTCCAGCGTCAGCCATATGCAGTTCGAAATGGGGAACCCGTTGAAATCGGCGAGCCAGAAGACTGGGAACCATACGTTATCCAAACACTCAGCCATCTGCGGGAGAAGGATAGATCAAATTGGCAGCATCGCATCATCATGCGCCACGCCAGGATACTCTTCGATGAGAACTCGGAGGAACAAGGCTACGTTCAGGCAATGGCCGCTTTCGGCGTTCTCCGGGAGTCTATGCTAACCAAGACTATGGTGATGAACGTATGGAAGTGCGACGCAGAACGGCCTGGCCGACATCATGTTTATACTGAGCAGTATGTTCGATTTGTCGTCAAACTTTTGATCGTGCTGAAAGACCGAACGAATTTCGAGGCCTTGCTCCGACGTCTACGTAAGAAAGGCGCCGATTTCTATCATTTCAATGAGCTTTGGCAAAACTGCTGCCTCGAATATCTACGGCTTATCCGGCAGACGTATCAGATCCCATCCGTACTGGAGGATGATTTCAAAGCCTCAAGTCCTGAAGAGTTTGACATCATCGCATCTAGGATCAGTGATTGGTCTTCAGATCCAACCTCGTCTCATCCTGCACTTAGCGCTTTGCAAGAGACTATCGAGTTAAAGAAGCTTAATACTGGATTGATGAAGGGTAGCGCCATTGATGATTTAATCACCGATTGCTATACGGAATTATATTTTGATTTGCGAAAATCTCTTCCGGGACCACCTGTCTCTACCCTAATTGCAGAACGGGAACAAGCACGCCTTCAGCAGGAAGGCCGCCAATCTGAGAAGGTGCCGGAAGTCAAACTTGCGAACCAGCTAAGCAGTCTCCTAAACCCACAGCCACACGAGAACTCGGGCGCAGAGAATGGTGTAGGAGAATCCGCGCCGGTGAATTTGGAAGGCGCACAACGGCCTCGCAAGGCTGGAATACGACGCGCTGATATTCTCCGCAAGGCGGAGCAGGCAGCCATGCGTGCTCAAGAGGGCCCGAAACCAGCTAGCACCAAATCCCGAGGGTCCATTTCCAGTGGCAAGACGCCTGCTGTAGAGGAAAAGGATGACGACCCGAATGATGATTCAAGGAGTGATGATGGCGGTCTCGACGAGGATGTGGAGATGAAGGACGAAGAAGCTGATGGTGATATAAGCTCAGCCCCCGGTAGCGTCCACGACTCAGCCGATGACGAAAGCGACCTTAGTGACGCGCCGCCAGAGGACGTGTTGGACGAAGACGAGGCTCAGCAACTCATGTTCCCCAACTTGACTCGCAGGAGCATGAACGGACTAATGGGAGATTCTAGCAGCGAAGGCGCCAATGGCGAAGATTCTTCAGACGGGGAGCCTGACGAAGACGATGAAGCTGAGGAGGCCGAAGATATTGAGGAAGCGGAGGAAGCGGAGGAAGCAGAAGAAGCAGAGGAACTTGAAGAGTAAAAGCGTTTATATACGGCTAGCCTTTGCACCCATTAAATGGTATGATCAGAGGTTTGTTATTGGGATTTTTAGCGCTATCGTCGATATGGCAAAATTTAGTAGGGCAGTAGTCTATTGCTCGGCCTTGGATTGTAAGGGTTGGGTGTTTCACCTGTTATGAGCACCACAAACGTCTTCTTCATGATCCGGCCAACGAGGGCCAGTTCTATCCGGAACTAGATGAGCAAAATAGTAAACAATAGAGTAATGTCTACAGAATGTTGACTATTAAGTGGTGCAGATGGAGCGCTCCTCGGCAGTCAGTCATAGCTAAAAGACTAGCTATATACCTGCTAGGTAGTCGTACTTCTTAGGCCAATCAATATTGAAAACAATCATCATATTAAGGGTTCAGCATCCATTCACGTAAACTATGGGTATCGAACGCGTAATGAAGTAGTAAATTTATGTCTTCGTAACCGCGTTCCCGGTTTGGATTATATAACAATACAAAATAGGTATCTAACACTTCAAATGCACAGCTATATGGTGTTAGTATCAATCCTGGCATTGATTGGTATTAGGACTTGGTAACTTTTGCTCACCTCCTGCATATAAGGAATAGTTGTCTGCATTGTTCAGCGATCGTTCTGGGGGCAATGCCACACTCTCATTATACCCATACACATAGTCGTTAGTATGAGGACTATATACTTCCTCACAGTGTGTCATCTCGTGAATAGTGGTAGTGGCTTGAGACTGCTTGTGGCAGGCTGGCGGAAGCGGTGGCAGTGTGTTATAGAATAGTGGGCACATCACGACAATGTCCATGTCCCATGCTGTGTACGCGTTCAAAGGTCCGTCGATCTCGCATACACGGTAATAGTCGTAGCAGTAGTATGTTGAAATCCCCGAATCTGTCGTTGAGCACTCCTTCGCAGCCGCCGTCAGTCGGTCGTGGACGATCTGCCGCGTCTCGGAGGAGTTGGTCCCGAAATACTCGACGAAACGGGCCGATGATGGATCAGCGGCGTCGGCGGCAGCGGCAAGAGCCAGTGACTCGCAATTAGAGAGGGCTAAGGTGCTGGCAGCAAGTTCAGTGGTGTTGCAGCCATCGCGGATGTTCGTGCGTTCCTGAAGACCTTTGAAGGTTATGGCTTTGGTCACCGCAGCGGCTAACCCTGCGTCAACGTCTATGCTGATGGTGTTGGAACTGAAGCTGATCGCGGGCCCGGCTAGCTCGGTAGACCCGGCCTGGGCTACCGGCATCAATCCTGTGGCTGAGAATGTGTAGATTCCGGATTTGGTAAAATCGTGGAGGGCAGCGGCACTTATAACAACATCTATAGATTCGGAAGCCTTCAAAAGGCGGAAGTGCTCGGGTTTGAGAGCATCAGGTTGGATGCTGGTGTGGATGCCCTTGAAAGATACCTGAACACCTAAGAACCCCCAATATTAGTATTAAACGTAGTCTATTACTTACGTGCCATGGCAGGTAGGAAGTTGGGCAGTTAACAAGGAGCAATAATGTAAATATTATACCTGATTCGTCCGCTACCGATAACTTTTGAACTGGGAGAGCTTCATCGAGGAGAGTGCCCACTTTCAATAGGTTGAGGTCTGTTGCACCAGTGTTCTTGATAGTTGCGACTAGTTCAGCAGCAACACCCGTTGTGGAAGAAAATAGCGTAACCTCCAACACAGAAGTTTCTTCGCTGTGCTGACTCCTTGGGACGAAAGCTGCGAGGGCCGTGGCACAGCGCGTGACAACTAACAGAACTTTTGCGTACCTCATCGTGAAAACCGCAACTGTTCGTGCAGCAGTAGCAGCAGAAGAGAACCTCTGAAGATATTGATGCCAATTTCTTCATTCTTTTATAGCCATTTGAACAGCTAGGGTTCTAACGTGTCTTCCCAATACAAGGGTTCATTTCCGTGTGGAGAATATCTCGTGTTCGGCGCCCAGACATGCTGGTGGTAGTCACTGTAACGCTGATATAGTTGGGGGTATTTAAAAAAAGGTGAACTATACGAACAAATCAGTTGATATCCAGAGCCTTTTCAGCTTTACTACAGAGATATGAAAGGATATACTATCTTCCATTCCTATTCCAATTGAATCCCCCATGATACTTACCTAAGTAGGTAGGTAAACTAGAGGCTACTAGGTAGCCATTGGCAGGTAACTATCATGCATATTATCATGTCGCATGTTCTAATTGGAGAATACTCATTAGGCTTTTTGATGAATACGATAATCATAGAGTACATACTACCTAGATACATGTGTAGGTAGGTTTCCTTCTTTAGCATCGTGACCGGCCTAGGCTCCGATAAAGGTAGGCGTCGTGATCCAAGTACGTTTACTTCGTAGACAAAGCTGAAAATAAAACCGATGGCTACCTGAGATTCTTGAAGTCAAGTGTTGAGACTCAATGATGGATATCGCTAGCACTAAATCGACCGGCAACGAATGCTCCGAGGAAGATGCCTCCGAGTACAGAGAGAAAGTACCCCACGTTCATCGTCATAACAGCTAACATACTTATATGTAGTTAGATAAGAAATTCCAGTAGGCAACGATTCTTGCAAAGGGGACACAGCCTAACTCACAGTAGATATCCGATACCCCCTATCACCACTTCAAACAAGGCGCGCGTCGTCTCGGTGGCGACCCTGAATGGATGACTATTCCACTGAGATCTGACTTGCCGGCTCATCGACTCTAGCTCGTTATTGGTGCCTGGGTAATCGTCCGAGTCTGAAGGCACGTCCTTACGGTGACGATGCAGTTTTGGATTCGAATCAAAGACGACGGATCGTACAGCTATAAGGATGCGGTGGAGCAGGCCAAGGACGATGAGGAAGATGCATGTGCCAGCATACGAGCCTTCACCCTGTGGAGTCCAGGCGCTCGAGTAAAGAGGGGTGGTGACGCTTTGGAAAAACACCATGGCCATTTCCGCCGATGTCATCAAAATGGGTGATGCTGAGGAATCTCCCATGCCCATGTCCATTCCCCCAGTAGACGACGGCATTGCGCTTGAAGTGGTACTCGTCATGGTCATGGTCATGGTCATGTCCATACCCGACATCGCGGTCGACGTAGCCATCGTCATGTCGCTCTGGTCCATGTCGCGACCTACTAGGGAGACAGTCAATTAAGATCCCGCGTCGACGAGATAGAAAGTTCAGGCTGGCTGATGTAGCGCAAAATAAATAGATAGAGAGTTGAGTGCTGTGTGCTTGGCACTTATGTAAGTCTCGGAAGAGGGGAGTGTATTAGAGGGTTTTATCACGCAGATGTTGGATGGCACTACCCATGGAAACAGCTTCAATTTGAATTTAAATTTTCATGTACCTAACCGCAAAGTGCAACATGTAACTTGTGTAACTACTTAATTTCATTTTTTGGTACGGCCGAGTCTGTTTTTATATACATCATGGATCATGTACATATGAAGTGCATGTGTTCAATGTTTGTGTGGCTTGTCTCAATTGCTGATCGGAATAAGTATATGGATGGATCCATTTCATGATGTGCATCCCTTAACATAGAGGTACCTACAGTAGGACTGTGCCAGACTTTATGACATATCACTCATACATAAAGTAATTTTAAAGCCATATCCTTATTAGTTATGTATCTGGTTAGGTAACTTCAAGTTGGAAAGATGAAGGATCATATAACTATTTGGACTCACCTGCGTGTAGTGTACATATGTTGCATAACTATTATCTGGATTCTGGATTCTGTGCCTCTTCATAAAGTACGAATTAGCTTTTCCAGGTTCGTGGATCACCGACCAACTCCCGCTAACTATGGGGGTTACTTGGCTATTTCTGGAAAGTGTAGGATTGAAAATCTGCTCAAACCCTCTCAATGTCAAGCCCGGGCATGGGTAGCTAACCTCCGTACTATGTAGGTTAGTATGTTGTTTGGCTCGGGTCGGTGTTAAGTCTTACTAGATACACGCCTGCTCATCTTACGGGCTGTACAATTTCTGCATGTTTTTCACCACATACATAACCTACCTTCATAGTACTATGTAGTAACTTGAATTTAATGCAACATTGAACTTACATATGTACTTTAATGTTGCATATGGTTTAAGACATGGAGCATAAGTTGACGCGAATCCTATAAGTACTGCAACTTACTTATGTGCTATGCATCTTCGCTGTTGGAAGTTAATACGGACGTACTACATACATATGTACCTAGGCACCGCCATGTTCTTATGACAGATAACATGTTTTCTTTTTGCCCCTTTACCCCTTTACTCCTTTTGGCTACTCCTTAAACCGCCCTCCCAATGTCTCGGGGAGATTCTCTGGCGAGTTGGACAAAAGAGACCTTTTATGTTTGTGTATTACCACCTAAATAATTACGTTAGATATACCTTCCAAATAATACATGTTGTTCTTTTCATAATAAATGGTCAACTTACGAGAAAACTTCTGAATGCAAGTATACTTCGCGTGCACCGGGCTTCGAGCCTACAACTCTCAATTGAGCCGCCGCTGCTTCATCCTGCACTGTTTTTAGAACTTCCCGGGGCCCACAAGCGACAATTCCCACAGATAGTCCGGGTTGGAGAGTCGCATCCTTCACGAGCATTGAGATATCTGGTCGACCCGAAAAGACATTAATCGGCAGTCGTTTAACAACTGGGCTTCTATCATTCGTTTTCTCATCGGACAGTTCACGATCCTTAGATGTGCTATTGATCTTGGATTCAGGTCGGCCAGTTTGGTATACCGAGATATCTAGGGTTTGGGGGATCTCCATGTCGTTTTCTTGCAGGAACTCCAGCAACGCATCCTCGTACCATCGGACTAGGTGCATATCCCGTGTGGCGATAACAACCTGAACTTTACTTATGACTATTTTGCCATCTGTTTTTGCTTGCCAGGCTGACCGAAGTAGATTCTCCATCACAAAGGGCAATGATAGGGCCGCTCCGGCGCCACACGCGATTATGAGGGCATGATCATAAGTGTATAGTGGACGTCCCTGAATCCCACCATATGGCCCATCTAGGAGGACTGGAACGCTAAACTCGGGTCGCTGCACCGCTGCCTTAGCGAGGCGAGTTGTTAGCCCCCCTCTCGGATGTACGAAAAATATAAGTTTTGATTTTCCGGCGTTGCGTCTTACGACCGGCACACTACATATTGTAAACGGATGGGCTGAAAAGGTGTGAATGCCCATGTGAACAAAGCGAAGGAACATGTGCTGGCCTGGCTGCCATGTACTTTCGATTGGGATCGTCACTTTCAGAGCCAAATCTGAAACCATCTCAAATCTGGCGCGATGTGAAAACCCAAATTCGAAATAAGTTCGAATTTGGGAATAGAGTAAGGAGAGTGTGTAAAGGATGCCTGTGGCGATGAAATAGTCCCTATTTAAAGTCGTTAGTCTTTGAAAATCTTTGTGGTGGGGAATAGGGGGTGAACAACGTACCAAGAGCTCAACCGAAAGTCACAATGAAGGAAGAAGAATACTACGAATACGATAGCTGCTACATAATGAGTGGCCTTGAAGAACTCGTAAAACCGATCCCTAATTAATTTATGGTAAGTTGACAGAATGCAGGACGTGTTCAATGAAGAGACTAACCGAATAGCGCGAAGAGAGAAGACTTGAAGGTACGCCTGCGCGATCAAGGCAACGACACCTGTCCAGTATACAACGCCTGTATTCCATGAATTAACCATGTCACCTTTCCACACATGGAAAACAATAAATGGGAATGTATGTATAAGCGCCAAAACAAACATAGCCCACCCCACCCAATTATGGAATATAATTAGCCTTTCGTGGGATACGCCGGTTATAGAAGCGATCATGTTCGCCTTTGATGGAAGTATGATCATAAATGGCAGACATGCTAGTGCCATCCAACCCGTACGGGTTGCGAGAGGTGGGGAGCTACCATAACTGGTTGTGCTCGTGTTCGGCCAGTAGTAGGGCTGGGGACCTAGAGTCATCGCTGAGCGTATGTATGTTAGTCTGGGAATCTCATCATGTGCTTCAAGCCCATGGATTATAGCAGGAAAAGAAGGACATACCTAGGAAGAATACGGCTCCCACGGTCAAAATGAAAATAATGCCTAAAGATGGAATACGCCACTGAATGGCAGTAATATGGTAACGCCGGTAGGATAGGAAACGCGTCCCGGCCACCAGTCTCCGCCACCATGACGTTTCCTTGATAGCTCTGGGAGCAAGCTGATGACCCCAAAATCCAAGCATACAAATTCCAATGATCGCAACAAAAAGATATATGGTGCCCAAGGCGTAGACATGATCTGCCTCATACCTAAGATTTTGGCAAAGTCAATATGGCCTCCGCATAGCTGAAGAGATTGATACATACCAGTATCGCCAGTGCCCGCTACGATAAGCGCATTGCTCCGGATTTAACTTGCAAGTGTCGGCCCGGGAGGAGTGAAGCATCACCGGCTGGTCCAGCCAGGGAGTTCCCGACATTGCCATGTGGTCCATACTGCCTGATCGCCCTAGGTTGGGTGCCTAGATAGATACGCAATGGGGGAGCGGATAGGGCTTGGGTCGGATATCAACTAACGGGGGAGCATTAGCAAACTATGCAGAACCTTAGAAGCCTCATCACTCTTGGGAAACCTGCAGGTTACTGACCTTTATGTAATGGCACGAACCCCGTGTCTCAGCCCATCTAGCCGCTAAGGAATCCATGGTTGACAAGCTTATACATAGATCAAGGTCCCCCTAATAGTCGGCCAGTACCTGCCTACCTGCGAGTACCAATCAGTTCATACATAAATGTGATCATTCATGATGGAACACTCACTACTCGCTGCTGGGTAACGAGTAACCAAAAAAGAGGGATTTGAATGGGTTAGTAGCTGGGGAGGGGAGTGGGCGTATCAATACCCTTCCTTTCTGTGATAGGTCTTTACAGGGGTAGTTACTTGACGACGGGAATAACTCAGCCCACGTAATATGTCGGTAACTTGCTCATAATACATATATCTAGATTATACATAGTACATACATATGGCTGTATGGGATTTTATACCATTGACCAGTAGTACGACTATACGAGTGAGTACCTTGTACCTAGGTTAGTAGCAACGTAGAACACATCATTGATGTATGCATGTACGTCCATTGATATCCAAACCATGGCCATGGATTGCCAGTGTCCAGGCAAAGCCGAATCCTTTTGGAACAGCGCACGGGTTTATACCTACATGTATAATGCAATGGACTACTAGCAGCATGTACTATGCATTATTCGATGTTGACCTACATAAAGACTGCGGATTAAACCTCGGAGTGGGTTGCGCAGGAGGAACCATGACGATCAGATGATGCCCATGTAATCATAAGTAGGCAGCTGGTGCCCTCTGCGTCGTCGCCCTCGACTTTTAAGCTGGAACGTCGAACTTGTCACCCCTGGCTATTGATTAGTTGTGTCCATAGGTAGTCGAGAGTACATCATGGTTACACGTGATCAACTAATCGAACTTGACCATACGGATACAGGAGACGAATAATGAGAAAGGTAACAGTGAGATGAATCCATATGGATAAGTACCTCGATGAACAGAACAACTGACAGCGATAGGACCGAAAAGATAAGACTGGCTATTGATAGATGAAAATCTTTTTCTACTCGTGTATTTGCTTTGTCAAAACCTCTCTCTAAATGCTACCAGCGTACGAACTACATGCGGTGGGTCTGTGAGATCACCTGATGGATGGACGACGATACTGTATATCCCAAGTCTATCCCAAGTCTTGACAGAATCACGATACACAAAAGATTGAGGACACCGACAAAGGAGATAGTGATAGTGGGTACATAGATAAAGGAAGCAAGCACTTGTAGGTGTATTATTCACCTAGGTAGTCAGAAGTCCTATGGCTCTTATTATCGCATTTATGACTGAAATTATCAGACATATGGTAGATACAGTCAAACATTCTAACATCGCTTCCAAATCCAACCCCATTTCTCATTAACAGTAACATTCCTGCCTCCTCCGAAGTAAGCGTATGAGTTAGTGGCTGCAGAAGTGAGCGCGATACGAAAATTTACGTTCAAAATCCCAACGTAGCCATCTGGTCCTATGCATGGTGACCAAAGAAGGCTATCTCGTGGAACATCTGTATGGAGGGTGACGTCTTCGGTAAGGGGAGAAGTATTTGAATTTGCGATTGTTTGAACTGTGGAAACCTATGCGTTGACCATTGAATTAGTTCCCAGTTCTTCATATTCCAACCCCCTCTGAATGCCATATACATACTGTGTTTGCCGCATTATCGCTATAGTAAGTAGTAATAGTTTGGGACAACTTCGTTGCTGGGTCTAATGCTAGATGGCCTTTGATCCAAACATCCTTGAGCGCAACTCGCCAGCCAGGCTCTCCCTCCACCAATCTCATATGTGCCTCACAGTTAACGGATGTCGGCTTGATTCCACCATATGATGCCGCAAAATCGGGAAGTGTGAAAGAAAAATGCCGCCATCCACCTGAAACGGTCTTCTTACCACCATTTTGGGGGCAGCCGTTTCCCGAAAAGGAGACGGAGCTCACAGTTGGTGGTGAGAAGGGCACACCTAGCGAGTCGGGCAGGGCCAACTCTTTCTGCAACGTCGCCGCAAAGCAAATGGCAAAAAGGGAAAGACAGTACTTGATCAAATACATCCTTTTCTATGTAGAGCCTATGTTCCTTTCACATGAAGGTAAGTAGGCCGTTAGAGGTAGAGAAATAAAAGGACTTCAATCTGTATGCTTCAATATATTGTCGGACAGCTCGATCATCTTATATACCTGTGTAGCTAGCAAATGCTAGGTACTAATTATAAGATGATGGGTCGAGAAGCACTGATATGCCATCCTTCATGACTAAAAGATCATTCGTTCGCATGTATCGTGGGATGGCCACCGCCAATTGATTTACTTATCGAATGTTTTACCAATTTGCTAGATAGATACCTATTTATAGACTGGATACATACTTAGGTAGCTAAGCAGTGTTGAGGTTCTAGATTACGGTCTTTGAGACTTTAGCCATATTGTTTCTGTGATATCCAGTTTAGAAAAAGTACTATGGCCTGCTATATACAGCCAGAAAGAGACTAGGCCTGTGTAAGAATGGCAAACCAAATCATCCCTTCCAGGTAATCGGAGCCTGGGAGACAAGAATCCTGAACTATTGTCCGCTGTGGCTTTAAATGAATATACTAAACAGGATACCAAGCCTTTTACCTAGATTCCGGAATCATGCTTCTAACCATAGAACATATAGCAACCTGATTGTCACGAGGCGGAATCTAGAAGACACCGGAGAACATCGTTATTGCGCGGATATCTCTTCTACTTCTCCTCGCCCATCGTCATATGGCGGAGTACTGGGGCCCTGGCTGATAATAAAGGCTGTATAGGCATCGCCCGTGCTTTCATCTTCTAACTTGAAGTCATCGAAGTGGAAGGACTCGCTGAACTTGGCCAGCATGTCCTCCGTAGGTTCGACTGAGAGTGCGTGAAGCAAGGCCCTATAATTTAATTGTAAAGTCACCCTTAGTTGACAGAAAGGTCTGTGTAATGGGGTTCAGTTTAACTCATCCACCCAGTCTGTGTGTCCCCTGAGGCAATATTGAATATACGGCATAACAGCCCTCTGATAAATCATCCTAACGGTGCGTGTACCAACTGCTCCGGCCTCCTCCCGTGCTATAAGGGCCCACCCTACGCTTCGCAATGGAGCCGGACAGCCATTGCCATCAAACGAAGCCGTTGAGTACCCGGATTATGTACTTGTACCCCTCCCAATGGCGCCCCGCCCACACCCCTCCCCCCTGTCAGCGTACTCTTAGCTGCGACTCTGGCGTTGACGCTGACGGCATCCTTTCGGCTTGAACTCTATTCCTTTCGCCCAAACCGGTGCAATATATAAAAATACTGCGAGGGTTAGTCCTTTAACTAACAAAATGCTGGCCTCCCTCTTTGAATCTTCGCCCATTTATTCTACTGAAGCCCGACTGGTTACACATCCATCTACAGGAACTAGATGAGCTGAGAATACTATCCATATCATTAAGAGACGACACCTTATGATTCATCCCCGGCACCTCCACCGGCTTCTCTGTCTCCAGAAACAAGGAAGGAATAACCTTTGTTCAATTTGAGGAATATCCATCCCGCCTGATCGATGATAACCCCTTTTTCGCGGAAGATGCGAGTGTCTTACATAATATCCGCATAAGTATTCTTGTTTATCATCATGTGCTGTGCTTCCAAGTCCAACCCAAGAACAAACACCAAGGAAACCTCTGTTGAGCAACCACCGTACTCCCATACATTCTCATAAGGGCTCCGCAGTGACCTCCTTACAGATCTGTAAGATACCGTCGATCTCTTCAGGCGGATTTCGGCCTAGGCCGCATTCTGTCCCCACACCGAAGGGGAATGGAACACTGATCTGTGCAATCTCGATGCGTTTCTTTGTCCCGGCTTTATCATTGGCATGCACTAGCCCAAGGTACACGCGGGGCGGTTCAAGCTGGGACTATCAAGCTTAAGACCATTCAGGGGCGCCAAGTAATCAGAATCCGTTCGTCCCTTTGGTACAGGCAGGTGAATCCATTCAGTTCGCGATTTGAGTGTTTTGTGAGTGAGCAGGGCGTTGGTGAGCTCAATTAAGAGCGACGTATCCTGGGGCTCAATGAAGTGCCTACGATAGAGATCGCCGTAGCAAAGATGAAAGGTAATCTCCCTGTAGCACGTCTTCGGAAAAGTAGGGCCGATGCCAAACATCAGTAAACCGTCCCTTATCGAATTCAAGCCCCGTCATCTCGAAGCACAAGTCCCATTGAATCACCACGTCATCATGAGGGATGATTTCGGCGATATGCTCAAGCGTTTCCATAACACGTTGCTCATAGAATGGCTCGACCGCATTTATCACTGGTTTCAGATGACCGATCATAACGCTACACGGCGAGGGCAGGCCGACCTGGAAACGTACGTTAGATGGAATTATCTTTTGTTCACGAAGTCGTTTGAACTCTGCGTAAAACGATATCGCCGCCTCATCGTAGGCTATTGGTTTAATATCCGCAAGCCTAAATGTCGGCACTCCAGACTCAGGCAACGGTGTCCCTCCTAGTTCGTCCCGCCGGCAAACTAGACGAAAGCGTTGCAGTTGCCCTCCGATGTAATTCCATCGCTCGCCGTAATTGCCATCTGGTATGGCTTCCAAGAGTCCACCAACAACCGCTATTTCGCCAAACCATTGTCAGTTTTGGCCGAGTCATTCATACGGCGCCTTTATATCAGTTCATAGTTCTAGTTTGCCGTTTCTTTGTGTACTATGAGCCATGTCCATTGGATGATTTAATTTACTCGAATGTGGCATCGTACATTACTCCGTATAAATCAGAGATAATACCTAACCTGATGTACTCAGGTACTATCACTACCGGAAAGAGCTGCTTTGCCTACCTTATGGGCTTACTACATCACCCCGTTGCTTTAATAGTACCCAGTGCTAGCCCGCGACGGGTCCGATTAAGCTTGCTTAACTAGGTGTTGAGCCAATCAAATTAACCGAGCCTCTTTTGGCCCGGAGCCGCTCCGGTGTTGTTCCTCGGCGCGGAGAGTTTCTTGGTTGGTGATAATCGGGCGCTTGTATTGTCCTAATGATCTCGATGTATCAGTTTTCGATAACGCACTTAAAGGTAGGCTTGTAAATGAAATGACTATGATGTTTTTGGTCTGGTCTGATTTTGTGGATGGCGGGCGAATTTGGCTAACTACGGACAATAGGTGCATAATAAACCATAGTTTGGCTGTAGTTATTACTATTGTATTGTCTAAATTTAGTCTCGCGCGGCTTATGTTGTGGTTGTCAACGACCTTGGCTTCTTCTTTAGAAGAAATTTAATACCAAAATGAGTGGGCTTGTGGACTAGGTTCTACTTATAATCCTATTACGGTTGATGTAGGTAGAAAATACATATCTACCAAGGTAGTTATCTAGTATTAGGTATGCATATGATGTATTGTACCTACATACTACAACAAACGGAGTCCGTTAAGCGCTGGGAGATATTTCATGCAATATGCGAGACATTCAAGCAACTGAGTGAGTGTGGATTGCTTTCTCCATACTTGGCGGGGCGAAAGAACGAACACTGTTGACACATTATGTGGGAAGACCAGTTATACAATCCTCTAAGGGCAACTTTGTATATTTAAAAGAGCTATAAGGAGACAGACCCTTCGCTGTCCTTGTATACAATTAAGTGATATGATGTATTACTGGTTTGATTAGTATTTGATGTTCACTCCTTAAATGTGAGTGGACATGAGTTTCGTATAATGCCTTTCCTAATGCTATGCTCCGTCGCATTTCCTAAAGAGGACCCGCATGACTCCTAGAGCTTCAACCTTGCTGACTAGACACGGCCCGGGGTGGGTCCCTAAGTGCAAAATGGTAAGTAGTAGATGGTACATAAGTACCTAGGTAGGTAGGTATTCAAAATCATGTCGTGAAATATAGAGACAGCCTGGAGGCGGCCCCGTAATCGTGCATAGTAGATTGCCAGAGACTACAACACAATTGATCGTTGTTACCGGTCGAAGACTAGCGCATTGACAATATGACCTTTCTTCCATCCCTGGCTTTGCAAAGATAAGTTTTCTTTGAGAATTTTGCCCATGTAGGCTACGCGTATGCGCTTTGTCGAGGGAAGCTGTACGGAAAGGTCAGATTACACGTACGAGGGAAAGAAGCGGAGGATGAAATGAAGTAAATTACCCTTGAATCTTCAGCCACTTTTCTCGCAAGACTTCTCACATTCTCCTCAAGGCCTACACTGACGACCACATCAGGCAGGTTCTCGCTGAGTCTGGCACGGACTTTCACCATATCCCGTATATCAACAACGGCTTTGCCCTTCTCCTCTCTTCGCTGTAGAGCTTCGTCTTCGTCTAATTCTGTGGTATCTTCTTCGACGGTAAGATTGCCGTCAGCTTTGCTCTTCTTGACATCGTCCTCTTCGGTTACGTTTGTGGGGTCGCAAACAATCCATTCCGGCAATGCATAATAATTTCCTAGGGAATCGTATACACCGTTCGACAAGTCACCCGTTGGCAACGTGATTTCGGCTGCTCTTAGTATGCTTTGCGCTGTAGCTATCCCGCCTGTTCCATCATCATCCGTCGGCTCCCCGCCGGTCGCGCGGATCTCATCCGCTTCCCAAAGGACTGCTAGTGCTGCCTTAAGGACTTGCCATACTTCAGGCCGTCCGGTAACTCGGGTATCGAAAAAGTCAGCCCGCTCGGTATCCAACTGTGAACGCGTCCATGGGCGATCTCGCGCAACCCATTGGTGATGTCGTAAGGGTTTATCTATGTGTTGCGATAGTGGCGATGGGCTGCCGTGGATTCTATGATGGTGGTGGTGAGAGTGAGGCTGCTGTGGATGCGTTGGAGACTGAGGTGATTGATGGGAGCGAGACACGGCTCGCGAGGCTGGCGCGCTTTCATCTGTAGCGGATGGGTGTAGAGGTGGCGGCGAGTTGATGGCATGCGCAGAAGGAGATGAGGCGTTGCTACCTGGGTAGGGTGCATTAGGGCCAGCGGGCCGTGAGAAGCAGCAGCCCTGATGATTTCGAAGTCAGTAAACCTTAAGAAGAAATGCGCCCTCTGGTAGCATCTGCCAGAAGAATGCGGTTTTGAGTGCGATAAGTACCATGGCTTTTGTGCTCTAAGATATCGAGCTACTCGAAATAGCGATTGGGCATACCCAGCATAGACGATGCTTTTATCGGAGCATTGTCAGGTCAAATATTCATTCCCGATAAGAGCTCGTGTCTTCAATGTCTATGTATGTCTTGAGTTTTTTATTCTTGCAAAAGTTGAAATTGGCAAATGATATTTCGGTATGGTCGTTAACCATAGTATAGTAGGGTGATGGTGTTGATTTTGCTATATATTGCAAATACTGAGGAGTTCCGAAGCGAGCCTCAGCATTTGGATTACGAGTGAAGGATGAAGTAAAGTTCAAGATGGATTGAATGATAGAGCGCAAATCGACCCACTAATACAGCTTACAAGGATGATCTACACCCTAGATATGCATGTACCTACCTATTGCGTACTTTCCCGCTAAGAAATCCAGATGCCCCTCTAACCACATGGCAGTATTTTTGTTAGCGACTTACGCCATACCTACTACATAACGAAGATATCAAGATCCATGGATGGACGAAGTGGAAGATACATAATCACTAGGTCAATTAAAATCCATGTAAATTTTCATTGGCTTTGACAACTCCTAGCTTTCCAGATGGATACTTACGTACTATGCACACATCGTGCACACATGTATATTGCACACATCAGGTACATAGGTAACGATAGGCAACAACTTCAATGCTCATCATCTTGCACCACCAAGTAAGTAATACATAGTCCCTCACAGGTACCTACATAGTATGCAAGCAAGCAAGTAATAACCCGAGCCACTCACGTTGATAATGAGATGCCGATATCAACGCACAAGAAACCGAGAACCACAAAAGAGGATACCTAATGATAGTGCATCCTACATATAATCCCCATACCATTCATTACCAGAGGTAGCCTCTGCAATTCTTGCTTCTGCACAAACAACGCGTCATATCCTTCTGCATCTTCGGATCAAGTGCATCGTTGTCCGAATCATCAATACCGTCTACATAGTCAAATGTCAACTCTTCACCCCTTGGTATATCTCGGACCGCAAATAGGGCCAGGTCATGTAAATGCTTATCAGCATGGTCCCCTACTCGAGCAAAGATGCGCATGTTCGGGTCACAGGAGTGGTTTACGAATCGAGTTGGACCCGACATAAACTCGCCGTCCACTTCCAAAGGTGGACCACGTAGTCGCTCGTCGTACGAGTCCGGGTCCGAAAACTTGTCCAGCGCGAAGAGGTAGACATCTTTACGTTGCGCGATGTGAGACTTTGCGCGTCGGCCATTAGCTTCCCGCGCAGTGATCACTTCGCCCATATATTTATCGACAAACTGGCCCTTTTTGATGTCTACCGTACTCCGCACCCCCCAACCACGATTCGTAGTCCTGAATACCTGTAATGGGATCTTGCGACCTCTCTCTACTACTCGGTTGGGGCAGTCCTGAGGGCACACGCAGCTTTCATGACACTCGTAGATGGGGTCGCGTGAAGCTAGGATCTTGGAACGTAGTCGGCCAGCCTTTGCGCCATGTGTGTGGTACGCATATGTTCTCTTGCGAAATTTCCCACGGTAGGATTTCTCATCCGCGGCAGCGTTATCGTCGTCATCGGAAGAATCGTCCTCCACATCCTGTAGGCAATTGCACGTATTGTACTGGCAATCATCTCCATCGATGCACTCACAGCCAGTGAGGAACTCCTTCTTAGTTAATTCCACACCGTTTCCGAGGATTGACCTATCTACAAAACGGAAATCAGGATCAAGCACCGCATTGTCTTCTGTATTGATAATTGTGACGGGGAATCGCGTGTGTGTCGCGAACGAGCGAATCTGGCAAAAGTGACAATTCTTTTTTTCATCGTCCCGGCCCTAGCAGTAGTTTTATATTAGTTGACTTAAAAGGTCCTTGTTTTGGGGGAGTAGGTAAAGAAATATAGCTAACCAGCTCGCCGTGAAAGAAAAAATGTTGACGGGTAGCCTTCTTCATTTTGTAGCAGGTTGGGGGGATGTAGAAGGGCCCCGTCACCGGAAGTCAAGCGTGCTAAGGCCGGTCAAGTAATTCCATGGCTTGTAACCAATCAAAGGTCAATTATATATGTCATAAGCTCGGGGAGCTTCTTGAACCGTGCGTGTGAGAAAACAATGTAGAATGAAACTTTAACTACATATTAACTAAAATCCATGATAATGTTGAAATGGGCAGATAATTGATGCATGTGGGTTACGTTCAGAAGTGATTCATAATTAGCCTCATAATCGGGGTTTCTGATGTCAAAGCTTGTTTGCACGTGTCCACGTGATACTAGGTACTAGGTATACTCTACATAACTACAAGGTACCCCATGTAGGTATTGTACAATTCTTCAATCATTGATTCTTTCTAGCTAGTTCTTTCTAACTCAACCTAGTACAACTTCTGGCTCAATTATCTTCGTATTTTATAATATTTTATAAAACATGAAGGCTTTCATAGTTATGTTTTCTAACAATTAAAACCTATCCACGAACGCATCCAAGTGTATACCCGTTTTCCACTTCTCAGTGACTACAGTACCTAGCCCAAGACTCGATCATCTTCATCCAGATTTATGACTACTACCCAAACCAACCCCAGCCCTCTTCGAACCGCTAGTTCTGCCCTTCCTCTAGTGATCATATACCTAGAAGAACATGTCTTAGATAGATGGCTGATATGTAATTAGAATAGTGCCCGCGTCTATCAAAACATTAGTGTCCCTAAGAAGATTTTCCAGGCCGATACTATCTTATGCCCGTGCATCGCTGCGACGGACTATAAGGGCAACTATTTCGTCATGGCCTTTCACTCCGATGACCCAAACGACATACGCAAGAGTTATCAAGCTAAGGCTTGTAACCAAATGAACCATAACGAATTCTGTAAAATTTCGAAGGAAAACTTGCTAATTATTGCTTATTGATCGACGTCCATGGAATCTAGAACCAAATCCAGCTCCTCACAAAGCTCACGCACTTCGACTATAGTATTGTAGTGCACGAAACTCACACGGATTGGCCCATCTTCGTCCATATGTAGCACATCTTGTGTCGGCCTCGGAGCATAGTTATCCCCTGATGCGTCCTGAGTCGCCCGTTCTGGCAAATCTTATTAGCAACCTCGGTAGAAGATTTTCCAATTACTTGAAACGTGACGAGCGATACTCGCTTCTTGGGATCTGATGATTTCTCGCCGAAAACACGCAACTGTTCTGGCCGACCCCTGAGATAGGATAAAAGGGTTTCTTGAAGGACCACCTCCTGGGCTACCATTGCATCCCAACCTATTCGATTCAGATAACGGACAATTGGGACCAGAGCAGCTTCGAGTTCGTATGTAAGTGAACCGAGACGCAAACGCCAGTCAAAGCCCGGTGTCTCGGTGAAGAAATAATAATGGGTTACACCCGACAGCATGCGCTTTTACACGCTGCGTCGACCGTATATCTGAGCAATGTGTGGGCCGAATACCTTGTACCAACTGAAGCAGTAGAAGTCAACATCTGGAGCCTTCACGTCAGCGGATCGATGAGGCGCCCATGCAACCCCATCCACGATCAAAATGGTGCCATGAATACGGTGGACCATATCTGCGACTTATCGGATAGGATGGATTGTCCGACTACGTTTGACACGTGATTGCAAGTAACAACTCGTGTCTTAGGCGTCAGGAGTGGTTTTGATGTTTCCAGAGACAAATAGGGATCGTCTCCTGGAGGCGGCGACCACCAATTGATTGCGATGTTGAAGTATTTAGCTAGAGAACCCCAAGCCCCGGCACTGGCCTCATGGCACAAATTGGACACAACCATCTCGCAATCGGAATTGAGCATCTTCTTCACATGATCCTCTGGTCAAGGTGTATACATGGCAGTTTGATAAAGTGAGTAACTGTCTTAATATCTTGATGCCGAGGTACCTAGAAGCGCCCGTGAGGAACACTCTACTAACATGAGCTCCGAGGAGAAGAGGGCCTGTGGTTAAGGTCAAAGTGATGCTTTTGATTTGTGCGTCGACCTCATCTTGGACACTGATCGTTTGACTGTTCTCCGAACAATTGTGTTGACTTTGATTCACATCAACAATTACAGCGATTGTACTTACTGTTGGCTTCAAACTAAGTATTTCTACCGTGGGATCCTGAACACCATAGCGTCTTCCTAGAAACATCGAAAGAGATATGATCTGGACAGAATCGATTCCGCCTTGTTGGAGGTTGAAGTCGAAGTCTTCGAATTCCACACGACGAGATTCGTTATCCCCGGCCACAATGCGGGCATACCCTTGTGCTATCTCTCTCGCGGTCGTCTTGTGAGCAAGCAATCTGCTTCTTGGGGCCTGCTATTTGGCGGATAACGGCGAAGCAACGTGTTCTATGTCAGAGATCCATTTATTCACAAGGCCCCTATCTAGCTTTATTGAACTACTGTAGGGCAACTTATCAACCACCAACAGGTCGGTAGGAACCATGTACTCGGGTAGTCGAGGCGAGAGGAATTCCTTCACATCAGAGATCGTTATACCGGCATCGTATCGTATCGAAAGGTCTGTGTGGGGGCTGTGAGCGTTGCTGATATTGGGGCTGGTTTGCCTGGAATAGTTGTTGCTTCCATATTTTTGTGTGTTGGCTCTGGTGCTATCAAGAGTAGTGCCTTGACATTCATAGGCGAGGACAAAATCCCTGTCTTTCGGAAAAGGGATTCTAATCTCCACCTAGCATGAGTCAATATGAGGAGACCGAGTTTCTCATAAAAAGATTGAAATCTGGAAAGAACGTGGTAACAAGGAGAGAGCTCACAATCACGTACATTTATAATGCCTTCTTTTGGTAAGTCCCTGTATTATCCCAAAGTCACCAGGTGTGTGCTACGTATCCGACTCTAACATAGGGCTGAGAACGTTGGCTCGCTCCTATCTGACAATACCCCTATCTTGTAATAACGCATTTTACTAGAACACTGACTTGTATGGATAGTAAGGGCACCACCGACGACGAATATAATCTCAGAAGTAGAAGATGCTCTGTAGTACGGCGCAAAGGGCTGGTTCAAAATAGACGCAGCAAAACCGACATCTCGGCTCTCTAAAAATAACCGTATCGTGCCATGGACTGAAGATTTTGTTGACGATATTAAGACTAGTCTACTGACTTGTCGTGTCTTGTAAACCTTCCCCTTCTATTAACTTTGAAGATACCTAGCTAGACACGCAAGTAAAGGTTTGGATCATATGCTAACGAACTGCATCGTATAGGCTTCTATTCCTAATGTACTGGCTTTGCTTTAATTAGATGTTCAATAACCAGATAGCCCAAGCTGGATAGATGATTACCTACGGAATCCCCAATGACACTATAAAGTCAACAGCTGCTATCACATCAATCATAGGGACACCTATAATTCAAAGTGGACCCTACACATTTCTCACACGGCACCGCATCCGTTTTGGTCCCATCGCCCGTCTCACGGTTGGGTTTGGAATTCTCACGTTAGCAATGGTCTACGCTGCTATTGTGTAGCATCTCATATACCGTACCGGACCGTACTACGACCACCCCATGGCATGTCCGTAGGGAAAGACCAGCCAAATCAGATCAGCCTTTTTCTTCAGATTCCCATTTACGTATTCGGTGAGGTGGCCTCCATCTTCTGCTGTATGATAGGGACAGAGTACGCGTATAATGGCGCGCCAAAGAGCATGAAAAGCTTGGTTCAAGCTATTTGGCTTGCCATGGCAGGTATCGGTGGGTGTCTGGCTTTGGCGCTGAACCCACTCGCTGAAGATCCACGATTGGTGATTACCTATGTACTCAATTATGGCGGGGTTGTTAGCTATCAGTACCGTGTTAACTATTGTAGTTCTTCTTCGGACACCAGGACAGAGGAAAGACGAGTATTTTGTAGAACAAGGGTGGCATTGGGAGAATGGCAGAGATGTAATTCGAGAGGTTCTGTACCGGTAAGTATCCTGTTATATAGAGTGATAAATATCCCTGGAGGCATACAAATGCATAAGTACCATCGTATAACTTAACCTAAGTGCTTGCTCTACATTTGTGAAATGCAGAGGCTCATCAATTCAACCTTGGAAGTTAATCATTGACGTTGCCTACAGGCCCACTAGGTACCTAGGTACAAGCAGCTACATATGTACTGGCTGGCGACAGCCATAAATGTAAACCAACAACTCAATAAAGAAAACATCTATGGATACCCACGAAAAGAGAAATACTATCCCCGTCATGTTTGAAAATGGCGCCTACATTCGCAGAAGCCACAGCTATTAATGCTGTAGATTCTCATACGTACACCGCTAACTTCACCTCGGAATGGTGTGTAGGTTCAGGTTGGTATTCCTTACTTTGCCCAACCCCCCTCAACCATTATCATTACCAACGTAACTAACATATTTTAGTCCCCCACGGCGGTGTGGTGACTTCTGTCTTTCTCCGCGTTGCTGAGACTCACTTCCGCACCACGCTCGCGGCGCAAAACCAGCCACACACAATTTCACTACACTTAGAATTCCTACGGCGGACACAGGAAGGCCCAGCAGTCTTAGTGGTTCGCGACGTCAAACTTGGCCGCCAGACCTCGACTGTTCATATCGCATTATCGCAAGATAGTCGCGAAGAAGTTGTTGGCTACCTGACGCACTCACATATGAACATAGACAATGGATTGTCTCTGAAGACATTGTGGTCCTTGCACCCAGCTCCTCCGCTGCCACCAGCTGACTTTCGTTCGCTCCTCGGTGGGACCGAGGATCATAGTTGGAAGGAGGTGAACGAGCCACATGCTAAGTTCCGCAAGGTAACCCAACGTGTCCGTACGTTTGTGCCGCGAGAGGGACAGGTAATGCCAGGCTTAGTTGATGAGTGGCTACGTCTTGACTCGGGCGAGAAATTCACAAATGAGAGCTTGGGCTTCGCGTCGGACAGTTTCCCCCCGGTTATCGAAGATCTATGGTACATGGAAGGGAGGGACGAACGTCTTCCATCCTTTTGGTATCCTACCGTGATTCTCAATTTGGATATCAAAAAGGTGCTACCACCAGAAGGCGTTGAGTGGCTATTCGTCCGTATACAGCCAAAGAATGTCCGCAATGGGAAGATGGATTTGGAGGTGATCATTATGAATGATATTGGGGAGATCATCGCTTTGAGCAATCATGTCGTCTTACTTGTTGGTACAGACAGGAATCTGGCAGCGCGACGAAATGGTCAGAATAAGATTTAAACATGGCAATACCGATGTACTGTGTATGCATATATTCACACTAGATAGTACCTAACAGTAGATAAGTAAAGATGGATGTATACAACTCAATGTTAATACCCTGCCGTAGGTATCGTAAATGGAGGTTGCATCCAAGTTTGCTCCTCATGAATTGTACCTACCTAACATTCAAGTTACATAGCAGTGAATCAGTGATAGCACATGCCACATGTGAGTGTCTAGGTACTATTAAATGCAAGTAAAAAAGAAAGTGTGGAGACAGAACCTTCGAAATGCGACTGCTTAGCGCAACAAAGGCTTACATAACATGTGACGCTCAATTACTCCGGGCTCTTTAGGTACAAGTCGTACTGGGTAGTTACCTAATACAAGTTGTACCTGTTAGTATGCTACAGGCAGGCATTACGATATAAGGCAACAGTTCCAAGTTGTTTAGGAACTGGTTTCTTCTGAAGCCGCCATGTTTATAACTTGTTTATGACTTGCAATTAATACCAAAAGGAGGTTTAAGACTATATCTAGTGGCGGTAATTCAAGTAATAATTATTATTCTTAGTCTCTCATTCTTCAATCATTCTATCGTGGTACATTAATTACAAATTACACTCATTCATCAATGGCTACTGGCGCCACTGCTTCTTCGGCTTCTCAGCCATCCATCCATAATGTTTTGGTTTTCTCCAAAGGCGCGTCTCTTGCCATAACACGCACTTCTCTTGTTGTAAATGGTACCTATTTAACAATTACCTATCCCCTGCTCCTTATTTCTTCCCAACCTTGTTAAAGCTAATGCATTTTCTCACTCTTGCTAGACAAATCACTGGCAAGACATCATCGGAGAAAGCTTTGTGGCATTTCTATCGGTAGTAGTCCTGCTGAGTTCACCATCCCTCTCTATAATATCCTGTGGTCGGAAATCGGCGCCGCCGGAGACCTGGTTATCGATTACGCGAATCCTATTTCCAAAAAACACCTGCGCCTAGCAACGCTAACCTACCCCCTCGAGGAACTCCCCCCCGACGCAGTGAAAGAGTGGGTTGATCGTCTCCTCCAAGAAGCCTATGGGCCAGCCCAGCGTTGCAAACGTGCCAAAGTTTTAGTCAATCCACATGCAGGACCAGGGGGTGCCGATAATATATGGGAACATGATGTAAAGCCGTTGCTTGAGGCAGCGCGCATGCCTCTAGATGTGGTACGAACTAAATTCCCTGGCGAAGCTGTCGGGATATGCGAAAATCTCGATATCGATGCGTATGACGTCGTAATCCCTTGTTCGGGAGATGGGCTACCATACGAGTGCATTAATGGGTTGGGAAAGCGAGCTGACGCGCGCAAGGCCCTGCGCCAGGTGGCTGTGGGGCATATACCGTGCGGCAGCGGAAACGCAATGAGCTGTAACCTGAATGGCTCCTACAGACCAAGCTTCGCGGCACTGGCCATCATCAAGGGCGTCAGGACACCACTAGATCTGATGAGCGTCACTCAAGGAGATACACGGACTCTTAGCTTCCTCAGCCAATCGGTGGGGATTATAGCTGAATGCGATCTGGGCACAGAAAACTTACGGTGGCTGGGTGCAGCGCGATTCAACGTTGGCCTTGTGCAAAGAATATTTAGCAAAAAAGTGTATCCCTGCGATATTTCTATGAAAGTAGAGATTGTGGAAAAAATTGATATCAAAGCGCACTACAAACGCGAGCAAACAGAGTCCGATTACACCACAAGGAGGGAGAAGGAAGCATCTATTGTTGGCGAATCTGCTTCAAGCGAAGCTGATATTGGAGATGGCTTACCCCCATTGCGATTTGGTACTGTCCATGACAAGATTCCCGACGATTGGGAAACAGCGTCGTATGACAAACTGGGCAATTTCTATTGTGGAAATGTGAGGACAAAAGAGAAATCCATTAGACAGGTGTATGGTGTTGCTAACAAATTGACAGATGGCGTGGATGGCCCCAGATGCGAACTTTTTTGCAGCAGCATGCCCCAACGACGGTCTGATGGATGTCGTAATCAACGATGGCGATATATCAGCAGCCAAGTATTTGGAACTGTTAACGTCGGTTGAGACTGGCCATTTGTTTGATAATCCTCACGTATCATACAAAAAAGTAGCCGCATATCGCTTCACCCCTCGAAACCAGAACGATGGCTACATCAGCATCGATGGCGAACATGTCCCTTTCGAACCTTTCCAAGTCGAGATCCACCAGGGGTTAGGTACTGTATTGTCGAAATGTGGAAAGTACGAAGCAGCAGGGCCAAACGGCTGGGAAGAAGCCAGTGTCTGAAATTGCCGAAATTATCAGATGGAACGAATTCCAGTAAGCAAGTCGTGAGATACCCAATACCGTCACATATCCTACCTGTGTAAATAGTTGCAGACTTGCCCCGCAAGAAAATGTTCTTGGTCTCCAGTAGCGAAGCAACAGCGTCATTAAAGCTCCGGTTCCCATATAGCCGTTACTCATTTTTAAAACCGTTTTGGAACTCAACAGAATAAGTATTTGGTATTTTCCCTCGATCCTTGGGTATTCATCTGTGAAAAGAAAACGCCTGGACTCCGAACCCGTACCAAATGATTTGTGTCAGCCATGAATAGAGACAATATTACGTAGAACTCAATCATCAAATCCACCCCAGCCATCCTGGGCGTCACGTTCCTCATTTGTTATGTCTTCGTCTGACGAACCAGCAGCATTCCACGGCAACCTTTCGTCGGATAGCGACTCCTTGGCTCTTGCCCGTACAGGTTTGCAGGTGGATCTGGCCTGGACCTCCACAATTCGCCGTAACCCGTCCAAGAGCACTACCGAGTCCTCAAAGGTCTTCTCGTCTTCTAACTCAGCCAAAAGCTCAACTTTCTCTGCCTCGTCAACCCAAATATCCAGCACATGTAGTCGCAAACCGACAGGGACTTTGGACAAATCGCCAGTTTTCTCCAACGGCCACTCCTGCAGCAGCTTGAGCATACCATCCACGCGCGAATTATCCCATCTCTTCCCATTGCTTCCCTTCTTCTTATTGGTAGCCCAGGCCAGACTAGAGCCAAACACACGTCGCACCAATAGCAGATATTTCTCCATGCGCAAAACATCAATAGAGGTCCATTCTCGAGAGAGCGTGGCCCAAAAGGCGCGGAGGAAAGGGATGACTGCAGCACATTCATCATCCAATGGAGTAGGCAGAATAGATACGAGATCTGCTAAGTCGGCACAAAGATTTTGCTGAGGAATGGGTCGATCGCACATCCAGACGCTGTAGAAGAGGCCCTTGCATAATTTTAAGTAGTCAAGGTCAGTTAGTTTACGGGCAGTAGTAGGAGCGGAGAGAAATGTGCGCAGAGTATCGAGGGCAGATGTGCGTGTTTTTCGGTCTATTTTTTGTCGTACGTAGGTCAGTTTCTAGATGGCTTAACACGAAATGGCAGTGAAGAGACCAAGAGGATAAGTTTAGTAACGAACCGCTAGATGCGAGGTGCTTTATGAAAGGCATGGTCCTTTCGTCGGTCGCCATTGCAAGATTAAGATTATTGAAAATACCGAGAGGAAGTATCACTGGGTTGGTATGAATTGGATTGATGTGTTGTGTAGAATGGTTTGCTTATAGTTGTATTTTACTTGTAGTGAAGCGATTAGTGATGGGCCCGGGATGGTTTGGTAGGAGAAAAAAAAATTTAGGCCCGTCGCAGCGCAGCGTGTCCCGCAGATCTAAGTGGGGGGGCGGAAGCATTCCGGGATAACTCTAAAGTTAGTTTGTTTCCGCCCTACTCCGTAGTCCGTAAATGTCGCTGCAAGCCTTCAACTGCGAGCGCTGACTAATACCTTCAACGTCAACCTTTGGAGCCAACAATTACAAATTTCTATCCTTTGAGACGAATTTCCGAAGTTCAACACTTGTAACAGAGGGGATATTTCAATAACAAACTTTAGGGTACTGTGGAGTGCTATTGGCTTAAACCCCCGTTTAGATAACCCTAGGTACATCCCCTCAACCGTCAATATCCTCCCCTAACATCCTCCCTAAAGCAGTTGTCTAAACCAGCACATTCTTGCCCAATTCCCTGTTGCCAGCCAATCACTCTGGTACTCTTAGTCGTATCGTCCATGATTACTCCCGAAGACAGGTCAGAAGTCCGATCGCCACGCCAGCTATCATTACAATGTAGACTCCACCCAAGACAAGAGATGTAATAACCATAGCCGCTATTCCGTGACAGTTAGAGGCTAAGTGCTCGAGATCGGTCGCGTTGAAGTAGATCCACCAGTTCCATGAATGCTGCGCTGTTAGGCAGGCAAATACCAGGAGGACGATGCTGGCCACAAGTTGAGGAAGCTTCATAATGAGTGTAAGCTTAGATCCAGACTGGGAGCCGTCGGTCTTGTAGCCGGTGACGCATGGACAGATTGCCATGAGCAGGAACATGATCCAAATGAGGATGGCTGAGACGAGAAGATAGACGAAGACTTCATGTGCATCCTTGGCATCCGATTCCATGCCCTTCTGGACAAAATAGGGAACGAGTTCGTTGTTGACGAATGCGGCGAAGTAGGAGTATCCTCCGGCTTGACAGCCGAGAAGAGCGGCGTAGATAATGGTGGAGCAAACGTTGTCAGACATAATGGCGGTGTTGATGAAGGTACGTAGTAACAGTCGTGTGTAGTGTCGACGTGTATCAGGTAGTGACGATGCTATGATAGTCTCTAATGCCCAAAATGTTAGTAAAGGCATCTCGAAGTTGGTAATCCATTGGACATATCAATACTTACTTACACCGCTTGAAGATGCCTATTAACTTCGGATAACTAGATGACTAGTAAAGGTGCGATGGCAGTAGTAGAATAGTTGCCGAGATGAATTACCTTACTTGCTTGCCAGGTGTATTATGATATGGACAATTCACAAGTTGGGTGTCAGTTGTTGGAAGTTAAGTAGATGAAGCGAAGCGTGCCCTTTTTAAATATTAAATTTTCCAATCTGGAAAGCTGATTATCTCTTCAAGTTGAGGTAGTTTCGGACAGTATGAACGAGGCCGATAAATATGTGCTCATAAATATACCGTGCCGAGTAGAATCAATCACCCGGTACCAGATATGTACTGATTGAGTCTTTGTCGTGGCATATTTACCATTCACCACCACCACCCATTGTTCCTCTATCAACCATTGTCCTTCTCCATAGGAAAAATGGTTGTCTGCGAGCTATTGTGTTGCTGTACAGTGTGCCCCCATGACCATTCAGTGTAGTTATTCCTGCTACAAGTTCGCGATATACCGACCATTGATGATTCGACCCGACATACCAATGGTGCAGACGATAGGGTACATTTCTTCGCAAAAACCTTGTTTCAATGATCATATATTGAGTCAACGTTGTTAGTGAACCGTTTATTTCATTTATTGTAATCTTCCAGATTGACATGGCGGTTGGCTGAGGCCGGGACTTTTATTACATTGAAATTCAATTCCTAATAGCATTGATGAAAGTCTTTGGTAAGAAGACTCATACTCCAGCCTTTAGCGGAGTTAGCATAGCTTCCTTTAACATCCAGTATTTATTACGTGGAAGCCTCAGCTATTATGTATATTTCCGGTCTCTTTCCATAATCTATTAACCCTTTCCAGAACAATGAACTTCGTTTGACCGGGGCTAAACGTAGTTGACCACCAGGTAGTGACCAAGAGAGATCATACGAGGTAGGCAGATGCTGATAATCGTGATAAGGGATTAAGCGCATAGCTAATAGAGTGTCGTCACAGCTGCATCTTTTAGATGAAAGTTAGCATATAAATCCTATACCTTGGATAAAGGTATGGTCAAATAAACATGAACAAATGCATTACCACGCTGAAGATTATACATCCTATGCACGACTAGATCCCGAATATATGTACCTAACCTAATGAGGTTCTTACGCACGTATTGTCCTTATAAACTGCATCGGTATCAACCTCATAACGAATGATGCCAATCGACAATTCCTTTCTTGCCCTCTCCTGTGGAATCAGTGTGGATGGATGGTTCAGAAAATCTGAATGATGCCCCTAACCAATTACAGCCCCTGAAATGAGCCCTGAATCTAGCGTTAAGGAAACCCCGTTTATATAAACAGCGCTAAGGCTACAGAGGTATAAGTAAGCTAACACGACTTCATCTGGCTCGATTGCCCGTTTAAGAGAGGATAGTCTCTCGACTATCTGTGGCATCTGGGGGATTCTTCGACATTCTTCTTCAAACATCGGCGTCTTGACCCATGTAGGGTATATTTGGTTGATCCTGATACCCGCAGATTCCAAATCCATCACTATTCTTGTAGGTAAGCAAAGCCGAGGCTGATATCTTTTGTGACATACGAACCTGCAACCTTTGGGATACCCGTAACTGCGTTGTTGGACGTAACGTAAGGGACTCTTCCGGGTACGGCAGCAAGTGCCGTAGTTGAAGAGACATGAACAATAGATCCACGACCGATATGCCGGTGCCCATGTCTTCCCAAATCAACCGAAACAGGTTTCTGTGACTGCATAACTTCCGCCACAGCGCGTGTAACGAGGACTAAATCCCCTAGGGTTAGGGTTAGGGTTAGGGTTAGGGTTAGGGTTAGGGTTAGGGTTAGGGTTAGGGTTAGGGTTAGGGTTAGGGTTAGGGTTAGGGTTAGGGTTAGGGTTAGGGTTAGGGTTAGGGTTAGGGTTAGGGTTAGGGTTAGGGTTAGGGTTAGGGTTAGG